CAAAACAAGTAGGTTATAAAAGGAGGGAGAATAATAACAAAAATCTTGTTCTTCTTAACAATTCCTGTTTTACATCTGAGACAATCTAAGAGATCCAACTTGAATCCAAGGATGTTGACTTTGTTACCTGTATATAGTAAACTCTGAGACACACACAGGACCAGATTGTAGTAAAGTAGTTAGAGAAGTAGGCTAAAGACTAGAAGGAGGATAAGGATAGACAGGTTTACTAGAAAGGCTAACTGTACATTCTGAAGGATTAGAAACTGTAAGAGGACATTGTCTAAGCTTATTATAACAATCTGACTGTAAGACATTTAGACTAATACAAAATGTAGGAACTTATTACTCAGAACTACTAGTAGCTAAGAATGTAGAGGGAAATTCTAAAGTATGTAAGTAGTTATAATATATACTAACAGACTAAAGCCTACTAGACAAGGGTTCAGACTCTTCTATATTTATATTAGATTCTAGATCACTCTTAGGAAGAAGTCTTAGTAGACCTGATTAGTAAGCTACCTGAGTCTTAGGGTTATAATACTATCTGTATAATTATTAACTAATTCTTTAAGTAAGTCTATACAGTTCTGACCTAAATAGAACTTACTTCTAAAAGTATAGTGTGTATTTATTAGAATCATGTTTTCCAGTTGTACAGACTCTCTTAGAAGCTCATTCATGATTGTAGACTGTAATTCAAGTTGAAATTCATATAGGACTTGTACACACTTCTCAGAATTTAAGGGAACTCTTTTACTATATATTACTTACAAACTAATAGTTAAACTAAGTAAGTTAATTAGAAGATTGAGCTCTACCTTCAGATGTTCATTAATTATTAGTAGTTGGATTAGTCTGAGTAGTTAGCTCTGGCAGAATTTGTGTACAATAACTAGTAACACTCTACAACAGGACAGTCTCTGTTCTTCCTCAATTATAAGAGATATTTGTATTAGAAGACAGTTCTAAGCTAGAACAGTAGTTCTGAATCTGTAACAGACTTTGTAGAACAGATGTGTAAGACTAGGGAGAATGTACAAGCTCTTTTAGAGAAGGTAGTACAGGTTATAAAGTAGAACTACAACTAGAAGAGGTTTACAGTTAAGGAGTACTAGTCTAGTAATAAAGTTATACTAGAAGCTACTAATCTGACTACAGATTGTCTAATAAAGAAGTTGGACAACAAGCACTTTGAACCCTTTGTCATTAAGAAGAAGGTTAGTACCTTAGTCTATAAACTCTAACTTCTAACAATCTGAAAGTACATACACTTAGTGTTTAACAAGGTTCTGTTATCTTAGTACTATAACTTAAGTTTTCCTTCACAACAAAGGCCTCTACTGTCTTTACTAGAACTTGTCAGTTCTGAACCAGAATATAAAGTAGAGTATGTAGTAGATACTAAGCTAGTATATAGAAAGCTCAAATTTCTTATCTACTAGAAAGAGTACTTAGTTGAAGAACACACTTAGAAACTTACTAAGAATCTTACTCATACTACTAAGGTAATCTAAGACTTTTATCAACTTTATCTGAGTACTCTGTACCAACTTTACCTTACAGATTTTCAAACCCTACTATTCTAACTTATGTCTAAGCTACTAACTAAGTTTAATGTTTACTAATCAGAATAATTAGTTTTAGAGAGAGGGTAATATTATAATTCTTTACTCTTATAGTCTTAGTTCTACAGGTTCTGTACTCTTCTGTACTAGAACTTAAGACTTCTGTCCCTTAGGAGTACTGTCTATAGACTATATATAGACTAACTCTCTCTATAATTCTTACTACTACCCCTCTTTACTTTATTATTCTGTTCCTTTGTCCACCCCTTTATTCTTTGTACTTTTATCTTTGACCTTCTTTTCTTTCATTCTTAATAGCTCACTATTCTCTGAGTACTCTTGTATAGTTTAGTATATATAAGTATACAAGATCAGACTAGTCCTGTAGTCTTAATCTTGTTTACTCTAGATAGTCCTGTACTCTTAGACTTACTCTATATACTCTACACTTGTCTTACTCCCTCTTTCTACCTGTTCTACAAGTTCTAACTATGTTCTAGTGTTTGTGTCCTGTATTTCTGTTGTGTAGGATAGTTGTAGCCTAGGTCCCCTTACTAAGCCTTTAGGTCCTCCCTACACTGTTACTAATACTAGTTTACTACTTAGACAACTTTAATCTTTTAGTTTTAAAACTTTTAAACTACTTATATACACTTTGTTCTAAGTACAATCTAGTGACTCTTATTTAATAATACTAAATAACTGTAAGACAATACTAGACTTTCAGACTGTAAGGTTCCTAAAAGTGTTACTACTTGAGAGAGACTCTAGCAAACTAGTAAACAAAGGCTAGAGATTGAGTTTTACAAGTAGTAAGTTAAAAAGTATTTAGAAAAGAGTGTAACTATGTAAATTGTAAAGACAATACACAAACTTAAAAGAGTAAAAGAGAGTGAAGGATAGTAGTGATTCAACCTTGAGAGTAGAGTATAAAATAATAGAAAATAAAGTAACAAATGAGTAAGAGACAATATAAAATTAATAGAATAGTAAATCAGTTTAATAGTTTTTTAAGAAAGTAAAAAGTATGTTTATAAAGAAAGTAAGGAATACTTAAACAAGTAGTAGCTTAACTTAAGCAAACTAATTGAGTAGTAGCTTAGATTGGGCAGATTGGGTAGATTGAGTAGATTGAGTAGGAGGAGTAACTGAGTAGTAGTTTGAGTTAGGAAAAGTCAAGTAATAGTTCTAACTATGTGTAGAAATGAATCAAACAGTAGTTTAGACTCAAAGGAGAGTAGGATTGGATAGAGAGGAAAGTTAAGTAGTAACTCAGACTAAGAGGGTATTGATTAAGTAGTAGCTTGGACTAAGAGTAGTATTAAGGTAGAGATTAGTTTTTTAACTCTTATGTTAGAGAAGATGTGTTCTCTAGATTAATAGTACTCTCAAACTACAAATGTAGACTTGTAGCCCTTAATCCAACTATATTCCTAAAGTTACTAGCTAGGATTTATACTAAGAGAACAAGTAGGAATATAAGAAGAGTCAAAAAACTAAAGAACTACTATATTTACAAACTGCTTTTTATAATAACTAAATAATAAGAGTAAAGTAAGGAATGAAACTTGAGAATAAGATCAAAGAAATAATAAGGACAAATATTGTAAAGCCAACAGGTGTATCAGAGGCTAGAAAGAATTAACAGAGTGTTGTGTATCAGAGAATATAGGTTAAAAGACTATTATACAAAAGAGACACAAGTTACTATATTAGGTAAGAAATGGATTAGCTGTATTATAATTGTATACACTACCTTGTGTCTCTATAGCTCTCTCCTGTACTTAATACTAAGACAATCTTTATGAAACTTTGTAGAACAATAGATAAGATGTTAAGGATTATGAAAATCTAGTAGTAATATTAGTTTTTCACAAAACTGACAGAAATATAAAGAAAATAAAATAGGTCCAATCCTACAGTTCTAACATTACCTAGAATACTTAATATAAAGAAGAGAGTAAGATTATAATTTAGTTTATATTACTTTTATTTTCTTTATAAATAAATTAGATTTTTAAAGTGTACTATTATAAGTTACCTTTATTTTTCTCTAACATATTTTCTTTGTTTTACTTTTGTAATTTAGACTCTAATAGTTTAAAATACTATATATTTTGTAAGTTCTGTAAAGATTCTTTCTATATTCTTTTAGTTATATTTAAGAACCTTACTATATATAATCTTAACTTTTCTTTTCCTTCTATTTTATATTGTGTATTTCTCTACTTATACACTTTCTTAATTGTTATTACTTTATACTTAAAAATTCCTTCTTTTATTTTCTACATTCTTATTTTTGAATCCAAAATCTTTCTAATACTCTTTTTCTCTTTAAACAAAGTATATAGAGTTGTTTAATAAGTCTTTACTTACTTTATATATATATACTTATTCTTAATCTTTTCCTTTATCCTTTTTTACTTTAGTTTTATTATTTGTCTTTATAACTCTTTATTCTTTAAAACTAATATTTAAAAACAAGTAGTTTATACTAGTTCTTTTATAAATTTTTAATTCTTCTTACTTTCTTTCTATACTCTCTGTATAAATCCTGTCTTTAGTAGCTAGAGAATATAGTAGAATTGAGAACTGTAAATACAATTTACAGTTTAAGTATACTATTAGTTTAAAGTATAGTGTTTCTCTTAACAGTCAGAACATTAAAAAAATTCTAGTCTGAGTTAAGTTATAAATCAGACTAAAAGTCCTTCTAACTCAGTCTGACTCAATTTTGTGTATTACTAGAATTAAGTGTATACAAATATTTACTTAATACTGAATAATTTTACAAAAGTCTATTTACTCAATTTGAATAGTATAAACAGTTTAAGAACTCTAATGTACTAAATTAGAGCTTTTTTTATAGAGTAGAATTATAATAATAGTAAGACAAAGTGTAAGTAAACAGTTAACAGACTTTACAAAGTAACTTTTAGACTGAAAGTATGAGAGAGTATTTAAACTGAGAGATAGGTCAACTTAATCTAGACTGGCTCTTGACTGTATGAGAGAAAATTGCAGAAAGCACATACAAATCCAAAAGTGTTTACCTGATAATTCCTGTAGTAGTAAGTATTGTTCTGTTTGTTTATACAGAAGTGACTACAGATCCACTGTTACAATTAGAGTCTGGGCACCAGGCAAGATTTATTATTAAATTAACATACTAAGAATAAGGACGGGCCTAGGAACAATTGCAAGCTGTTTGTATACCATTTTAAATTTAGAGTAATATTCTAGTCCATTTACATTGTGTAAGGGGAAATGTTATCCGTTAGCATCACCTATTAGTAATAAGTTGTTACTAACCTGACTTTTCTGCCAATACAATTGATCCAGACTTCTTCTGTTTCACGCGGTGTTTCGCATGCCCAGAGGACCGGCTAGTTATGGGTTTCGTTTCACATTTGACTTTATGTACAAAGAGGGCTGGGATGTTCCTCGTCTGAAGCTTCCCTGGACTTGATTCCTGTTGAACGACTTCCTGGTTATTCACTCGTTAAGAAATGTTTGGGTTACCTTCTAGACAAAGCAAGCCCAGAGGATTGAAATGGCGTTCCTCTGTCTGGTTTGCCACATTGAGTACTCAAATTCTTTTAATGTGGGCTTTTTGACACTGAGATCCCTTTCGTGCAGTTGTCGGATACGGTACGCAAGCTTGTTGTGCTCCCATAGATCTTTGGGACTTATATCACAATGCAGGTATAACAGTTGATGTAATGGTTTACGCCCTCGTTATTCCAGTCCTTCCTTTCCAACTTGAGAAGCTCGGATTCCATCATGTTTCAGCGCTGGTGGCATACTTGCTGCTGGCATTTGTATGTCCCCTTTTTTAGTTCTCAAATATCTGCGCTCGTTGATAGGCCGCTGTGTAGTCCGTGACTTTAGTCATTTGTGTGTTCCCTTTCTCGCACTAGGACGGGATTACCTTCGATACTGACTTCACCACCCTATCCTTAGTCTCTCCTCTTTTTTCTTGGTTGTCTGAGAAGTACCGCACGAGACGCTCGCCATTAATATGGGGCCTTATCAGTCTTATGGGTTTTCTGGTTATGTTCATGGAGGCTCCTAATTATGCGGTGATGATTGTTGCGAGAGGTCTACAGGGAATTAGTTCTGCCGTCGTTTGGGTTGTTGGCCTCGCATTACTGTAAGAGCGCGGTACAAGTCTCCATATATGTGACTAATGTTGAGATCTACCTCGTGATTCCTAGGGCGGACTGTGTTCCCGATGCAAAGGTTGGGCGTAAGTTGCTTTGTAATGCGTCTCTTGGGCATACAAATACGTTTACTTACACAATCCAACTGCAGAACAACTCGGCTGGGCGATGTCTGGTATGCCAATAGGGTCAGTTATCTGTCTCCGCATGTAGTTTTTGCGAATGACGTAGTTTTGTTCATATAGGGCTTTGGTCGCTCCACCCGTTGCAGGCGTGCTTTATGACCGCTTCGGATTTCGCGCCCCTTTCGTCTTTGGGATCATCCTCACAGGAGGTGACTTAATCGGGCGATTACTACTCATCGAAAGGAAAGATGCGCTGAAATGGAGTTACGATCCCGCCGAACTTGCTTCTGCAAGTCTCGAAGAACCTGTTGAAGGGCCCCCCGCCCCAAGTACCATTTTTCGCAGTATTTGATGCTTATAACTGACTTCGAACCCGCAGCACCTGAGACTGGATATCACGCTGATAAATCAGAGGGGGAGGGTTCCGAGAGGACTCAAAAGAAAGAGGGAAACGATATCAAAGATTCTTCTAACAACAACCCATCCCTTAAGTTATCAGAGTTTCAAGTCTGGAAATTCATGCTCAAATCTCAGCGGACGATGGTTGCGATCACCACTGTGCTGGTGTACGGGTAAGGATTTTATGAGTTTGTCATTGCTTTCTTCATTAGTGTTAATGTTCCATTGAAGGATTGTGTTCGCCGGACTTGAACCGACGTTGGCACTGCGATTGCAGCATGTCTATGACTTCAACGCGACAAAAGTTGGTCTGGTCGACCTTGCGAGCGCAGCCGCCGCTATCTTTGGTAAGCAGTGAATGTCTGTGGCGTGCAATTGTCGTTTTAATCTTCCTGTCAGCTTCGCCTATTTCCGGATACCTATCTGATCGTTTTGGAACGGAATGGATCACTATTTTATGCATCCTTTTAACGATTCCTTGGTATATGCTCCTAGTGATCAAGGGTCACCTTGCGTTCTTCATCGTCTGCCTCGCAGTTGGCAGTGAGTTGTTGTAACATGTTTTATGTCCTCAGGATCGTTTGAACGTTTGAATCCAGTGTTTGCATTGTCAGGTCTTGTCACTCCTCTTATGGCAGAACTGGCGTCTGTTGTGAGACAAGTAGATGGCGTTGGTTGTGAGTGTATCCAAAGCCTATTGTCCATCACTTGACTGACTGGGCATTTCTTCTAGTTGCACATGTTTATGGGTTCTTTAACCTGGCGTATGGACTCGGTTCAGCAGGTACTATTGATTCTACCGTGGCTATCTTGTGTGCCATTCTGAATTTCTTCCTATCTTGCTAGTTGGTCCGATCATAGCTGGACTAGTTTACTCACACTCAAAGAAGGGGTGGCAAATTCTTCTCGCCTATGGATCGGGATTGCTCCTTTTGTGTAGTATTCTCAATTTCTTCTTTGGTGGGGAGCGTCCACTTGCGAGGAGGTGGTTTAGAGGAAATAATAATGCAACCTGACCTGATAGTCATAATTGAATTTCATTCCTATGCATTCGTAGCATTACCTAACTAGATGGCCACCCCAACAGCTCCTGTATTTTGTAGGCTCGCAGTACATTCTCTACTCATGACTTCACACTATCCCTGCTCTGTTCTACTTTGTTTAAGTTACTATAAACTTTGGATTGGATGTCAATGTGCTAATAATGTGGCATTACGTAGCTAGAACCCCATCTCAGTAGTTCTTGCATTCTGTAGATTTGTCGCACACACTCCACTCAGGACTTCATGCTAACCCCTACTCCAAGTTTTTTACAAGATAAAGACTTTGGATTGTCTGTTAATGTGCAATATTTAAAGAATTTCAAAGGAATTACAAGTACATTCGTGTAATTGGGCGCACAACTACGGGTATCCTCCTAATACAGAAACGGAAGAAGAATGGTGCCATAGGCACAGCTCCAGCATGTCCACGTTACTCAAATCTGCATTATAATAAGAAAAGTCCATAACTAAGTCATCGCCTGAAGTTTAAGGGAAAAGAAATGAAAAGAATAAAGGGAAACGGAAACGGAAACGGAAACGGAAAACGGGGAAAGAAGTACAACCAGTAAAAAAGGAAAGCCATTAGTTCGTATATGAGAAGTCTGTGATTTCATTGTGAGCTAGAAGTACGCTCATGAGGACGCCGCCTAGATTCACGAGAGCATCGAGAGGGCTGAGGCTGATGCTCAGATAGGCTTTCCGGGTAATTGTCGCTATGCAAAACAGGCGGAGAGTGAACAGGTGACGGTGAGCTAGGAGTCGCATCAGGAGAAGTTAACGCAGTTCCTGCGACTGACTCCTCCGGCCGTTCCGATAGAGAAGACTGTGAACCAGAGACAGAGCTCTCTGAAGCATGCATTACTCGTGCCTCCAACCTCGTCGGGCGAGGAGGAAGTGGTGGTGCGATCTCGTCATCTGTTTCTGACTCCGTAGTCCGCGACTGATTTGCAGAGCTGTGCGAAGGGTGAATACTGTTACCTGGACGAGTGGGCAAGGTCGGTGTGAAGTCCCGTGTCGACGGAGACCCTGTTTCTGGCCTCTGTGGCTCCAGTAAGGCATGAGATATCTGCGTGTAAGAGGCACCGTATATCACTGTCTGTCGTGGAAGATTCACTTCGAGCGGGAGGGAGAGGATCTTGCATCCTTAGAGGCAGTGAAGGATACTGTGACAGAGGTACTCATGAAGGTTTCGATGGCGACTTGTACCTTTGTCGTTGAATAGGAGGTTCGCATGAACGATCATGTCTTCCATTAACGAGTCCTATATTATAATTATCGATGAACGACATAAGCAGCAGCATCAAAGACTCTGAGAATAACAAGATCATACCTTCCAACTTTGCATCGATAAGAGATCAGTGCTTTTCGAGATGTCATCTTCACCAAAGACTACACCGTTGAAGATGATAGACAGAAAGGAGAAGTAAAGATAGGTGACTTCGGACTAGCACAAGCGTTCGGTGTACTCATTAATGCAAAAAATCGAATGGACGAAAAACTATTTATGAGTATATGAAGGATTGCAACGACGGCGACACAAAGTGTAAGCAGACAGCTGAAGGACTTTGCAAAGTGCTACTAGGTTGAAGGCACGAAAGGGTATTTCAAACTGAGAGATGGGTCAACTTAGTTCACGTAGGCGTTTGACTTGGCCACTGAGCATTGTTGTTTTGTTCTGTTTACGCAGAAGTGGCAATAGTTACATAATAGTTATAGTCTTGGCTATTTGGGGTCTGGGCACTGCAATGTCTCGGACTGATGTTGGACTAGGCAGAATTTATTGAGTAAGGATGGGCCTAAGAACACGGTGAGCTGTATAAAAGCTGTAAAAATATCTTTAAATCGAATTAGAGTAATATTGTGGTCCATTCCTACAGTGGTCCTACACCATTGGGAAAGTTACCCATTACCTATGTCTATTAGTAATAGATTATTACTAACCGACTTTTTCCGCCAATACGATCGATCCAGACGTCTTCTGTTTCACGCGATGTTTCGGATGTCCAGAGGGCTGGCTAGTTTTGCGGGCAGTTTAAATTTCGACGGAATGTCCAAAGATGGCTGGCCTGTTCCCGCTTAAGCCTTGATTCCCTAGCCTTATCTGCATCTTGGACGATTACCTAGTTATCCACTCGTTAATGCTTGAGTTACCTTCAAGACAAAACAAACCCTGGGGATTGAAATGGCGTTCCTCTGTCTGGTTCACCACTTTGAGTAAGAAATTCCTTTTAATATGGGGATTATGACACTGAGTTGCTTTTCATGCAGTTGTCGGATACGGTAGGCATGTTTGCTGTGCATCATTAGCCTTTGTGACTCAGTACACAATGCAGGGATAACAGTTGATGTAATGGTTTACGCCCTCGTTATTCCAGTCCTTCCTTTCCAACTCGAGAAGCTCGGATTCCATCACGTTTCGGCCAAGGTGGCATACTTGCTTCTAGCTTATGTACGCTCTCTTTCTTCACAAGCACGCTCTTTAATGATTTTTTATGTAGTCTGTGACTTTAGTTATTTGTGTGTTCTCTTCTCAATTCTAGGACAGGCTCACCTTTGATACTGATTTCACCACCCTATTCTCAGTCTCCCCTATCTTTTCTTGGTTGTCTGAGAAGTACCACACGAGGCGCTCGCCATTAATATGGGGCCTTATTAGTCTTATGGGTTTTCTGGTTATGTTCATGGAGGCTCCTAACTATGCGGTGATGATTGTTGCGAGAGGTCTACAGGGAATTAGTTCTGCCGTCGTCTGGGTCGTTGGTCTTGCGTTACTGTCAGTGCGCTGTACAAGTCTTTGTACCTGTATCTAACGCTGCGGTCTACTATGTATTTTCTAGGGCAGATTGTGTCCCCGAGGCAAAGGTCGGGCGTAAGTTGCTTTGTTAACGCCTTTATTGGGGATATAAAGAGTTATCTTACCCGATCCATTTGTAGAGCAACTCGGCTGGGCGATGGCTGGTATGCCGATAGGGTCAGTCATATGTCTTGCTATGTCTTTGCGAATGACGTAGTTTTATTCGTCTAGGGCTTTGGCGTCGCCACCAGTGGCAGGCGTTCTTTATGATCACTTCGGATTTCGTGCCCCTTTCATATTTGGAATCATCCTCACGGCAGGCGACTTGTTCGGGCGAATATTACTCATCGAAAGGCAAGACGCGCTGAAGTGGGGTCACGATCCTGTTGAACGTGTTGCAGCAAGTCTCGAAGAACCTGTTGAGGGATCCCCCGCGCAAAGTACCATTTTCCGCAATGTTTGAAACTTGTTCCTGACTTCGAAATCACAGCACCCGCAATTGGATATCCTGCTGGTAAGCCAGAAGGGGAGGGTTCCAAAGAGCTTCAGAAGAAAGAGACGAATGATGCCAAGGCTCCTTCTATCAATAACCCGCCCCTCAAACTATCGGAGTGTCAGGTCTGGAAGTTCATGCTCAAATCTCGACGAACGATGGTTGCGATCACCACCGTGCTAGTTTACGCGTAAGAGATCTTGTGGCTTGTCGTGGCTTCCTCCAAAAGTGTTAACTTTGCATTGAAGGATTGTGTTTACCGGTCTTGAACCAACGCTTGCACTACGATTGCAAGATGTCTACGATTTCGACTCGACAAGAGTTGGTCTGGTCATCCTCGCGAGCGCAGCCGCCGCTATTTTTGGTAGGTAGCGATTGCCCGTTACGTGCAACTGCAGTTGATATCTTCCTGTCAGCTTCGCCTATTTCAGGTTACATATCTGATCGGTTTGGAACGGAATGGATCACTCTCTTGTGTCTCATTTTGACGGTTCCTTGGTATATACTCCTAATTATCAAGGGTCACCTTGCGTTTTTCATCGTATGTCTCGCTATGGGCAGTGAGTTATTGTACCCTGTTATTTGACTTTAGGATTGCGCTGAACGTTTAAATCTAGTGTTTACGCTGTCGGGTCTTGTCTCTCCTCTGATAGCGGAACTTGCATCTGTTGTAAGACGAGTGGATGGCATTGGTTGTAAGTGCATCCAAATCCTACTGTTCGCTGCTTAGCTAACTAGGCATCTAGTCGCACATGTTTATGGGTTCTTTAACCTGACGTACGGACTCGGTTCAGCAGGTAGAATTGATTTTATAGTAACTATTCCTTTGCACCTTTCTGACTAATCTTCTCCCTATCTTTTTAGTTGGTCCCATCATAGCCGGACTAGTTTATTCACACGCAAAGAGGGGGTGGCATATTCTTCTCGCCTACGGAGCGGGTATACTTTTACTGTGTAGTGTTCTCAATTTCTTTCTTGGTGGGGAACGGCCACTCGCGAGGAGGTGGCTAAGAGGGAATAATGACGTGGCAAGACGTAATGATAATGAATCGTAGTTTATTTTATTCATTCCCTTGCAATAATGTAGCATTACCTAGCTAGACATCACATCTCAGTAGCCCGTGCATTCTGTAAATTACAGCACACTCCACTCAGGATCTCACACTAGCCCCCTACTCCATTCTAGTTCATTTAAAATACAAATACTTCGGATTGTCCGTTCAGGTGTAACATCGAACAAGGATTTAAGAAAGAGAAATTACAAGTGCATTTGTGTACTGTATAGAAATTGGTGTAAGAGGCTACTATTGTTCGAAAAACTTATTCTGCTACAACTAATCAATCAACTGGGTAATAGGGCGCCACAAACACAGGTATCCTCTTAATACAGAAACAGACGAAAGAAGGTGTCATAGGTAGTGTACGGCTCCAGCTTGTTCGCGTTACTCGAATCTGCATTATAACAACAAAAATCCATAACTAAGTCACCGCCTAAAGTATAAAGAAATGGAAACATAGAGGAATTGTGAAAAGAAGTACAAGCAGTAGAAACAGAAAGTCATTAGTTCGTTCATGTGATGTCTGTGATTTCATTGCGAGCTTGAAGTACGTTCATGAGAGCGCCGCGCCGATTCATGAGAGCCTCGTGGAGGCTGTGATTGATGCTCAGGTAGGCTTTCCTCGTTGCTGTCGCTATGCAGAACAAGCGGAGAGCGGACTGGTGACGGCGAGCTGGGAGCCACGTCAGGCGAAGTTAACGTAGTCCCTGCGACTGATTCGTCCGGCCGTTCAGATAGAGGGGAGGCCTGTGAGCCGGAAACTGAGCTCTCCGACGCGTGCATTGCTCGTGCCTCCAACTTTGGCGGGCGTGGAGGAAGTGGTGGTGCAACCTCGTCATCTGTTTCCGACTCGGTACTTCGCGATTGATTGGCAGAGCGATGTGAAGGGTGGATACTGTTGCCTGGACGAGCAGGCAAGGTCGGTGTGAAGTCCTGCGTTGATGCTGACGGAGACTCTGTTTCCGGCCTCTGTGGCTCCAACAAGGCATGTGATATCTGAGTGTAAGAAGCCCCGTAGTCACTATCTGCCGTAGACGTTTCGCTACGAGCAGGCGGAAGGGGACCTGGCATGTTTGGAGGTGGTGAGGGAGATTGTGACGGAGGTGCTCGTGGAGGTTTCGATGGCGAAGCACTTATACCTTTGTCGTCGAATAGGAGGTTCGCATGGACAATCATATCCTCCATTAACGAGTCCTATGTTACGATTGTCAATGAACGGCATAAAGCAGTGGACGCGTGAAAGTAACGACTGTACCTTCCAGCTTTGCATCGACAAGAGATCAGTACTTTTCGAGATCTCGTCTTCACCAAAGACTACACCGCCGAAAATGATAGCCAAATTCTTTGGATCCATCTTATTCCGTTCGCTATTAGCAGCCACACGGGCAAGATGTTCTATGAGTGCCTTGAATGTCGCTTGGTGAACAGCCGGGAGTCTGCGCAACTTCCCACGAAGGAAGAGGAAATTATTTTGCACATGCTCCTCTGCGAAGCTCAAGTTCAGTAAAAAGGTGGTTGAGTCGTGTTGGTTGGCTCACCTAGACCTTCTGTATGTTTGATCCTATCCTCCAAGGCGAATTTGAAGAGCGGTTCCGGGAGTTCACGCAGGTATTGCTACGAGGGGCTCAGACATGTACGATTACGGTAGATGATTAGCATACCTTCAAAAGAGCCGCTACTACAAATATATCATCGGAGGGGTAGAATTGGAAATTTTTTTCATCTCTCTCCAGTTTGTGTATCATCTTGTGATAGACCTCAGGGTCGGAAGATGAGACATGATAAAATACTATTTACCTCTTGGACAACAGCATGTCGGCCCGATACCTGGCGCGGATGTTAAGTAATATTTGATATCGTTCAAAGGTGAATCATACCCGATAGATCCCTTCGGCATTTAGACCCCGTTTGTCGACCTCTGCGATACATAGATGCACTAGTTTCGGGACTTCACCTTCCTGAAGGCCGCGAGATGTGGCATAATCCACCAAGCTGACGCCGAAGATGAGGTCATTGCAGTCCCCAACGTAATAATTCGTGTATAATGTTCGCCTCGGCATCGTTTGCTTGATATACCGCGATTTTATTGTCGCCAAGGACGAAACCTCTTTCTGCGGTGAGATATGCGATACGTAACCCTGTGCATGGGAGGCGAGGTGGGAGACAGTGGTGCTCGTCGCGCTAAAGTTGGGTTAATTGACGTGAGACGGGACGAACGACATGACTTACAGTGCATTAGCTGTGTATTTCTCTAGGACAGTCTTCAACTGAGTAGCAGCCTCATCAATGAATAGCTCCAAGCTCTGTCCCAATTCCATGAGTATGCAGTGAACATCGTATCGATCATGGGTGCTTTAACTTACCTGAAAGGCTCCTTCCAGAATCTTGGAACGACGAAGTCGGAGAGTTTCAAGCCAATGAACGCCCTTCCTGTATTCCTTGTCTGATCATTAATGCTCGTCAGAGTTTGAAAATCCACCCAATTGGTATAACCGTCGTACCCGCTTCGTCTGCTTCACGTTTCGCCCGCACTGATCGCACAGCCATGTCGCCCTTACTACCCGAAACCCCTTCTTTGAGAGATCCTCCTTTATTATCAAGGAACGTCATCAGTTGATTCAACTGCCTCTTGCCTATAGAGTTCATCAGGTATGCTGAAGAATGGCATTTGGTTAAGATTCTCTGCTAACCTTGATTAGCAAGGTCATGCAATGGATTTGATGCCGAAGGCGAGCGGTTCCGGGGCTGATGACCGGATGCACGGCGTGAAAGTGGCCGAAGTGGCTGAGGATTGGTGACCACCGGACTCGTGTTGGGATTTGACCTAGTGGGGCTTAGGGCTACCGATGCCTCCGTGGTTCCGGTATTTGTTGGAGACAGTGCATTCAATTTGTTATCCTAATAGAGTTCGTCACAGCTTTATTCAACTCAATTGACAGAGGCATACCTCGACCTCCTGGCATTTCTTGAAGTAGGTACGCTTGAGTCGTGGAAGGACATTCTCGGCGTAATCCTGATGAGCTGCGGCAGACTCCTTGAGATCATCCTTAATACGCTTTCGGGTTCGATCTTGTGTTTCCTACACCAAAGCATTTAAATGGATTGATTACATGCTATGCATTGGAAAACGGACCTTGAGAGCCGAGATGGGATTGATGACGTCTACGGTCAAGGCTGAGATGAACGCCATCCTGCATTGCGCCTCTGAAGCATAGAAGCAACGTCATAGATATGAGCAAATAACATGAGTGTCATGATCGCATGGCTTACCCCTTTCCAAACCGTCTCGAATTTCCGACCAGACTTGACGGACTGTACTCGGTTCTGTAGCATGATCGAGGTAAATGTCTATAGTTTTTGTCTTCTTGTGTAAGCGCAACAGCGAGTCGACACTACGAGGACTAAGTCGCTGCGCGGATGATGGGTTCGGCAGCCAAGAACTCACTAGGATTCCTCGATCTTCGCTCTGAAATACGAGACATGAGTGGACTTGAAAGAAATCCCGACCAACGAGCATATGACAAACCTCTCCTGAAAGAAACTAAGGTACGAGTCTTGCAGATATCTGAGATGGTGTTCGAAGATCGCAATCGGACCCTGTTGAGGCTTGTCACTTGTCGACACACGCGGTGTCGACGCGCTCTCGGACGGGGAGGACATGGAGGATACAAGTAGAAGTTGGACGAACGAACTGAGAGTGGATGATTCTGTGTGATATCCTCTTTCGGACAGCACGTGACGTGCTCTCGGTTTCAGGAACACGGGGGTGCTTCATTATATTTTATATATATGCATGCCAGGATTGCTATGTTGCTATAAATAATGTACTACGACGTCGCAACGGCCGAAGTTGAATTTGTCTCTTTACACATCGAAATAACAAAGTAAGTAACAGTATATTATTCGTGATTCACGTGGGAGCGGACTGGTAAACCGGCTCAATAAAGGCGAGTGGGAAGGAACCCGAACCAATCGGTTGTCGAGCCGGGAGAGAACTGGACTGGGGAGATCTGCGTGGCGACTTTTTGGGACTCTGTCGAGCGACGCTGCCTCCGCCCTATGCGAATGTCCTTTCTTTGACTCTCGTCTGACGCGTCATCTCTCCTTAAGGCGCCATATCATGGACGCCTATACTGGACAGGTCGTGATCCATCCGGACGCACCGTCCGTGCTGCTCAGCAAGCCGCACCATCCGTAAGTCTCGTGTCGTTCATTCTTTATCCATTGCTGGTTCTGAGCTTCGAACGATCGAATATGTTGTAGGATATGGAAAGATACCCTTCTGTTTCCAGCATACTTTGCCATTTTGTCCGTCGTTGTACTTCTCCTCTATGGCATCTCAGTTTCCAAGCCAGTCCAGTCGCTCTTGCCACGTCTGTATCCGAACCGGAATGTGCCAAACGCCCAAGAGACAAATGATGCTGTTTCCCAGGAAGCTCTGCAACATAACGGTGTTTTGGCAGATATAAAACTTCATGTCAATGCAAAGGGTGGTCCCGTTATATTTGCGTACAAGGTCCTTCGTTTAGTTGGTTGCCTGGCTCTCGTTGGGTTCACCATTGCGACTCTGATCATTGATGAACAAGGCCGGGAGAGTAGCTTTCTTGATGCTTTGAAAAAGAAGAAAAAGAAGAAAAAGCATGCGCGTGCTTCTGACGAGTTTACAGAGGCGGAATGGCTGCAGGTCGCTCTATGTTTGGCTTATGTAGGTTTAATCATCATAAACTCCAATCAGTCAAGACACTCATGTTGCTGTAGACGTATGCATCATTCCTTGCCTTGGTATCTGTCGCCGTGAGCCGTCGCTGGGCGAAAACTGCGAATTTCCACCTCGTTTCTCTCCTACTCTTTACTTGGGCGGTCTTTGCATACCGTGACTTCTGGCCGCTCATGACTTATACTCTCCGGCCTGCCGACATAGGAGATAAGCTGCTGTGGCCGAAATTTGTCCTCCTCACGCTGACCGCGATTGGTATCCCCCTTTTGATTCCTAGGCCGTATGTCCCTTTCGACCCAAAGGTCTGTTGATTCTTAACGTAATCTACTCGACTTTGGATATCTAATGGCAATCCTTAGGATCCCGCCAAAGAGCCAAATCCGGAACAGACGACGCCATTACTCTCGCTCGTTCTGTATTCGTTCCTCGACCCTGTTATCTTCAAAGCATATCGCATCCCCCATCTCCCTGCAAGCCAATTCCCTCCTCTGGCCGATTATGATCGTGCGAAGAACCTTCGGAAGCGTAGTTTCAAGTATCTTGATCACTTTTCTGGCGCAAGGAAGGAGCACCTCTTCTTTAGTCTTATGAGGGTCTTCCGTAAGTCCAGTAAGCAAGACGTCGATTATTGGCTTACTTTGTCTTAGGTGGCGAATACATCGGAATATCCCTGATGACCATCATTAAAGTACTCACTCTGTATGCTAGTCCGATTGGAATCAATAGGCTTCTTAGGCATGTCGTAATGTGTTAGGCGCATTCGTGCTATTCTCATCATGAACCTTATAGATATCTGGAAGACGGTGGTTCTAATGCGGTTGTTCGTCCCTGGTATGTATTGCGCAAGGCTTGAAGAGTATATCGGTCAGAAATTGACGCGTAACATAGGTTATGGGTATCTTGGCTTTTCTTCGGCCCTGTCATAGGTTCAATCGCGATGCAATGGTACATCTTTCTCACAGTGAGTCATCTAGATATGCACTTCAGGAATAGTCTTCACTGATGCGCTTTACCGATGCGCAGACCGGAACACTTGTGCGCACCGAAGGTATCATTACACAACTAGTCTTCGAGCATGCCCTACGTATCCGCATGAAAGCCCAGACGTCTGAAGGTCAAAGCAGCTCACGCCCTTCTACCGCAACGACGACACCCGATACCGCCTCCATTGCCGATTCCGATGTAACCGCTGAAGGGACTACTCTCAACGGCAATGGAAGTGAGGTGCCACCAAGCATTGCGAGCGTAGAATCGGACGCTGGCAAAGGAAAGAGAAAGACTTCACCTACATCTACAGACCCCAACGCTCCAGCCACGAAGAGCACGAGCAGCACTAGCAACCTTGTTGGGAAGCTTAATAATCTGATAACAACGGACCTGCAGAACATTGTTGAGGGCCGGGATTTCATCATGCTAGGTGCGGCAAAGTCTAGATTATCAGCCAGCATGTTTCTAGCTAATAGCCACATACTGCAGTTGTTCAATCGCCTTTACTGGTCGCGATCGGTATTGTCTTTCTGTACATAATTCTTGGCTGGAGGTATGCGATAGAAGTTGAGCTTCTTTCATGCCTGGACTTAAATTGTTGACAGCGCTTTCGTCGGCCTGGTTGTTATGGTCCTCCTTTTCCCGATCCCCGGGTACGTTGCCAAGTTGACCCAAACAGTACAGATAGAGAGGATGAAAAAGGTCAGTGGCGCCATCATTTACTTGACCTTGTTTGTACTCATGAAAGAACGTTAGACCGACGCGAGAGTGCAGACTGTTACAGAGAGTAAGTCTATTCCGAGTCACTCTTCCTGCATTACCCCTTCTGACACACTCGAAAATATTTTACAGCAATGAACGTTATTCGGATGATCAAACTGTTTGGTTGGGAGCCCAAAATGAACAAGTCGATCGCTGAGAAACGTGACGATGAGCTTAAGTTAATTAAAAAGAGGCAATTCCTTGACATATCTAACGGAACACTCAAGTACGTGACTTTCGTTCATTCGGAGCTCTACTAACATTCTTGCTGTAGTTTTGTGATTCCTATACTGACTATGATTGCAACGTTCATCACCTATGTAAGAGATCTCTGAATTCAACATCTGCATAAGACCAGACCGTCTGCTGACATTTCTTTAGACGCTTATTATGAAACAGCAGTTAACGGGTAAGCACTGTCCACATTATCAGTTTTTATTAATTTGCAACGAACAGCCGAGTAACACGTTCTGTAGCCTCTACCGTCTTCTCGTCAATGGCAGGTAGGTATTATTACAAGTTTCGAAGATCTGTATTAATACTCGACTTAGTCTTTGACATGCTCCGCGACCAGCTCCATCTCATCTTCTTCATGGTCCCTGCTTGCATCCAAGGTATCCTCTGGTCTAAGTTAAAGCTTATTGATGAAGCTGACTCTGATCCTAGCGAAGGTCTCTCTCGATCGCGTGACTGAATATTTGAGTGACACGGAGCTCCTGGACGAGTTCCAGGTTGAAAATAAGGAAAGAACCGAGCAAATTGAAGAATTCTCTGCTGCACCGAAAGACCCCGACGTCATAGGCTTTTGCGATGCTGCATTTGTCTGGTCGAATGTCGATGGCTCACTTACGCCATCACGGCGTAGATTCCGTCTGACACTTGATGGCGAGGTTATATTCAAACGAGGCGGATTGAACTTGATCATTGGACCAACTGGATCCGGAAAGACATCGTTATTGATGGCTTTGCTCGGTAAGTGCTATCATCAAAGCCATTTAGCGATTTGCATGTTGACAAGACTGGAAGGTGAAATGCACTCCCTTCCCTCTGGCCCTACTTCTTGGTATAATCTTCCTCGCGACAAGGGTGTTGCGTATGCTGCTCAGGAATCGTGGGTACAAAATGAGACAATTCGGGACAATATATTGTTCGGGTCGCCGTACGATGAGGAGCGATATAAGAAGGGTACGATGGACATCAATTCATGTAACACCTGCAAAACTTAAATTCTTCTTAGTTATTTACCAGTGCGGACTAGAGCGAGATTTGACCCTTTTCGACGCTGGCGATCAAACAGAAGTGGGAGAAAAGGGGTTAACGCTGAGGTTGGTAGTTGCGGTTAATCATGGTGACTGTAGCTGATTGATACCCCTTGTTCGATTCTAGTGGTGGTCAGAAGGTAAAATTAGACTATTTCTGCAGCAAGTTGTTACTAACACGAGGCAAGGCACGGATTACCCTTGCACGAGCTGTTTACTCCAGTGCTGACATTCTGCTACTGGACGATGTCCTTGCGGCACTTGATGTACATACGTCCCGCTGGGTTGTGGAAAAGTGCTTCAACGGCGACCTTGTTCGTGGGCGTACCGTGTTGCTTGTTGTATGTGACTCATCTTCGTTGTTTCGTGGTATTCAGTCTGAAATCACTGGTTCATTACCAGACACATAACGTAGTTATGGCCAGGTACGTGGTGTAATTCATTCTCATTAACACTCAGATCTAATCGTTACGTCGTGCTTACTTTGCTTAAACGCACATTACGCATCCGTAAACTTCTGTGACCTTTGTCCTTTGTTGGAACTAGTCCCATTGCTTCTTATGTCGTTTCCCTTGGAACGGACGGACGCGTCGCGAATCAAGGATCTGTTGCCGAGGCAATGGCGACTGACAAGGAAATGCAAGACGAGATCGAAAAATCGGAGGCTGCTATTAAGAAAGGGGAGGAAGCGTCGACAGATGACGACGTCAAGGGTGAGGAGGTCAAGAAGTCAGACGGCAAACTCGTAGTTGCCGAAGAAATAGCGGAAGGCCATGTCAGTTGGCCGGCCAGTGAGTGTTTTTTGCTTTCTTACAGCCGTTGAAGCCCAATTGAGCACATTCATTTCAATAGTCAAACTTTATCTCTTCAACCTCGGTGGTCCTCTGTTCTGGTTCTGTTTCCTATCCTCCATGTTTGTGGTAGACTTTGCAAGCGTTATACAGACATGGTATCTGGGGTACTGGGCATCACAATATGAGGATCATCCTGCATCAGAGGTTTCCGTCCCATAGTGCGTTGTAAATTATTGAAGAAATTGATCCAAACTTACGACTTTTGGTTCAGTCATTTAACCGTCTTCACCAGCATCCTGTTATTCGGAGTAATTATGTACTTCATTGGCTACGTCCTATATGTGCGTGCAGTTCATCGCTATCCTTTCATTGGCCTTCATTGGTTTTTCCTTCAGATATTCGGGAGTATCAAAGCGTCGAAGACAATCCATGAACAACTCATCGCGGCAATAACAGGTTTGTTCTTCACAGCTAGATATACGGGAGACGATTTATCTTAACGAGCTCGTGTCCAATAGGAACTACACTTCGGTAAGCCGCTTCGACCCGATAAGCTAGCCAATATTTATCATAAAATTAGTTGGCTGGATTCCACTCCATCTGGACGTATTGTCGCCAGGTGTACACAAGATATCAGCGCAGGTGTGCAAACTGTCCCTCCCCTTAACGTATTCTAATTATATCATATTTCATTTGACCAGTCGACGGAACGGTATCTCAACATCTAGGCTGGGTAATAGAACTCACAATTACGCTTCTGATCCGACTCGCAGCTGTAGTCTATATGACACCGATTTTCATCGTACCAGGGATCGTTGTTGGTGCTTTAGGAAGCTGGTTTGGACAGATCTACATCAAAGCGCAGCTGTCTGTGAAACGCGAGATGTCTAATGCGAAATCTCCAGTCTTGAGTCATTTTGGAGCAGCTGTTACAGGTCTTGTTTCTATACGGGCTTTTGGCGCACAAGACATGTTTAAGTCGGAGACTCTGGCACGTATCGACAGATATGTCCGCTCTGCAAGGACGTTTTATAACCTCAATAGGTCCGTTAGCGCCTTCCACTCTGCTCAACCGCCGCTGATTTTGAGTGCATAGATGGGTTTGTATTCGTATAGACACGCTGGGTGGCTTGTTTGCATCTGGTTTGGCTGCGTACCTGGTGTACGGCAAACAGCTTGGTTCTGCTAGCAATACCGGTTTCTCGCTGAACATGGCAGGTATGAATCACGTATTTACTTATGCCGGAGTACGCGCTAAACATCATTTCCTGCTCACAGTTGCATTCAGCTCTCTTATTCTTTGGTGGGTGAGAATCCTCAACCAATTTGAAGTTGCAGGTATGTTCCTCTTCAAACCTGAATTTGAATCTAAAGAGCTGACATAACTACAGGTAACAGGTAAGGAAAGAACCATCGCTCTAGATTTCTATTCACGCATCTCCTTGGCAGCCTGGAGCGTATACAAGGCTACATTGAAATTGAGCAGGAAACGAAGCCAGCTCCGGACGGTGTTCCGCCCGCTTACTGGCCTTCCTCTGGTAAGATTGTCGTTGACAAGCTTTCGGCTCGCTATTCCCGTGATGGACCGAAAGTCTTGTATGATATCTCTTTTGAGATTAAGGCTGGTGAACGAGTGGGAGTTGGTAAGTGGTAGTCTTCATTCCGAAGTACGCAATGCTAAGGCGAAATTGTGAAGTTGGTCGGACTGGGAGCGGGAAGGTGCTGTCCTCTTATTCTTTTCACTGTGCTCAATGATTAACACCGACATATTTTCCCAGAGTTCACTGACGCTCTCGCTTCTGAGATGCATTCCCACAGAAGGAAATGTCTATTACGACAATATAGCCACGAACGATATAAACCTAGACGTTCTACGTCGCAGTATCACGATCATCCCACAAACAGTGCGTATATCGACGCCACCAATCCTATGTACCGATTTATTTACTAATGCGCTTCGATTTTCCGTAGCCGGAGCTGCTCAGCGGGAGTCTCCGCCACAACCTAGACCCATTCGACGAAAACGACGACGCCACTCTGAATGACGCCCTACGTTCCGCGGGACTCTTCACTTTACAGAGCAACGTCGACGAGGAAAACAGGATAAACCTGGACACGCAAATCGCTGCAGGTGGATCGAACTTGTCCGTTGGGCAGAGACAGATTATCGCCCTTGCCCGAGCTATCGTCCGGCGTAGTAAATTGCTCATCCTTGACGAAGGTAAGAACTAAGGAGAGATGGGCGATGGATGTATTCTGATATATGAAATGCTTCATTCTTTTCTTCGTAATAGCAACATCCTATATCGACAACAAAACAGATTCTGTCATCCAAAGCTCATTGCGTAACGAACTCGGCGGGGACGTGACCCTTATCACTGTCGCGCATCGACTAAAGACCATCATGGATTCGGATAAAATCGTGCGTTTCTGAACACATACATACATACCCTTTCCACTCATTAATCTCAACTCTGGAACTAAAATGACTTCACCGGTACTTTCTCAGATGGTGCTCGACGCAGGCCGACTCGTCGAGTTCGACACACCCTCAAACCTGTTAAAGAAAGAAGGCGGCTTCCTAAAATCCCTTGTTGACCAAAGTGGGGACAGAGATGCTTTATACGCTATGGCGAACGCGAATTCGAGTTCGAGTCGCTAGCATTGTAGCGGTCTTCCTACCCAGCTCATTTAAAAATATTAATAACATGTGAGGAAGTATGGATAGATTTTTATTTATTTTATTTTTGTAGATAGAAAGTATGTATATACAATGAAAACGGTATGCAAAGGGGATTGGTTATAAATGGGGTATATCTACACCAAGATTGTCAAGCACCTGACCATAAAATTGTCATTTGTGATCGATTCAGCAACTGTGAAGGACTTCTTGAATATGGTAAGACATGAGACTATTAGGTTCGTCAGATAAGATGGGTCGCCGAAGCTGTAGGCTACTTGTCCAAAGTTCATTGGGCCCACTTAACCCAGTCAAGGCATATCATGAAGATGTTACCGCCTTTTTGACTATCGCAGACAGGAGACCAGTTTTCGGTCGGAGATGTAAACGCAACAGATTGAATAGAACACGTGATCGCAACGGAATGACGTCATAAACGCAACGTAAAAACAGACGGACTATGTATGCGACAACTAAGAGGCTAAGAGCAAGGCACAGAAACGTAGAGATTGCCCATGCACCGTAGTTCGTTGAGCACATTTTTAGAGAACGAAAAGAGAGATAGACGACGACATTTTAAACAAGCAAGGGATTTTAACTGATAGGTAGCTGAAGCGGACTGGAGGGACGGCCTTAGTAGGTCCTAGCAGACTCAAGACAAAGCAAATCCCTCAAGGCACCTAAGCACGCCTTGTATAGCCAACAGGCTCAGCACCGTTCCGCGGAGGGTAGTCTCTGTCCCTCATGCTTCCGCCGCTTCGTGGTGGAGCACCCGCAGCGGAATAGCCATTGGAAGAGTAGCTAGCTGAACCGTTGTAAGGAGCACTGGTTGGAGGATAACCAGGGGTGTCAGAGCTATGATCAGCAGGATAGGGCCCAGAGCGGTAGTTTGAGCCGCCAGACCTTGGCGGGGGACTTTGCGAGCGACGGCTAGATGGCGAGTAAGGTAATGAACGAGAGTATAAAGCATAACAAACGTACCGGTACCGTGGTCCCGGAACTTCGCTCCCACCGCGAGGCGGATAGTCGCCATACCTGGCTGCTGGAGGTACCGCAGCCGCGGGAGGCAACGGAGGCGTGGTTGGGCGTCCTCGATAATCACCCGCCGCGTAATCCCTTTCAAATAGAGTCAATAATTATATAAAATACGTATTTCCCTGGGCGTACCTTGGAGGTGGTCTGTCGTAATCGTCGCGCGCACGAGGAGGTGGAGGACCAGGTGGAGTGCGCGGCCGAGGTGGACCGCCATACGGCGGGTACCTGTCGGCAGGAGGCACACCCGCACCCCTCCTTTCCACTCCGCCTCTCTCGAATTCACGAGCTTCATATCCACGGGAGTATGGAGGTTCACCAGGGTAGTATGACCGAGGCGGAGCACCAGGTGGTGGCCTCATTCTGTAGTCATCATAGTCTCTTGGAGCACGAGATGCAGGAGGATAGTCTCGATAGTCCCTTGGAGGCGTAGGAGGTCTTCTGTAATCACGAGACGGAGGTGGTGGGTAATCATAGGCGTAGCGAGGGTCCTTTGGTGGATAACGCCCGCCATAGTCTTCACGATACGGATAGTCCCTTGGAGGCGGAGGATAATCACGAGAAGCAGGATCAGCGAAATGACCTGGCCTGCGTGGTCCAGGACTAAAATGGACATTAGGTGAAAGTCGCGGATGAGGAAGGAAAGATACATACCCATGGGCAGAGTGATTGGGACACTCCCTAGAGATACTGCTTTCAGCCTGGCCCGGAACAATGCAAATGCCTTCGAATACCACCTACCTCGCCCAATGGCCAGTCATTCCACATTTGAAACAAGCACCAGGATCACCGTTGTACTTTGCCGTGCGACCACCGCCATGGGACATCTCAACTCTAATTTTGTTACCCATGAAAAAACCTTCATGATACTTGGCTACGCTTTCCTCGGCAGCTTCCCTAGTCTCGAACTCCTGCGATGACAATGAACGACTGAGAGGATAAAAGACGATGAAGTAAAGAACCTACCACAAAGCCGTAGCCCAGCCTATGTACAAAGGTACAAACTTAGGGTCAGAGGCCGTGCAAAAAAATAAAAGGGGACATGTACTGACTTGAGTTCAATGTTCACAATCTCGCCGATTTTTCCGAAACAACTCTGGAGGTCCTCACGACGCGTATGTTCGGGCAGACCGCCGATATAGACTTTGTTAGGCTGAAGAAACAAGGTGTAAACAAAGAATTCGCCATATGTAACCAAGACCATAATGAGCGCCCAGAAACACGCCCAAGGGGCAGAGAAGATCAAGACAGCCTTCCAGAGATGGTCGCGCCGCGCATGGAGAAGAGGGCAATAAGAACAAGAGAGCTAAGCACCTTTATCTGTTTTTCTCTGTATGAAGACGCGGATTTAGGTCCGCCAGCGGACGGCGGTTCAGAACGATAGTCGCCTGGAGGATCCACTGGAGGAGCCGACCCGCTGTCGTGCAGCGGAGCGGCGCCTGCTGGGTCATGGCCATCTGCATCAGCAAGAGACACACCATTGCCTTCAGCAGCCCATTTGTCCTGAGGCAGAGGGATAGCAGCAGCACCAGGGGAAGCCATTGTTGCCTCTGCAATCAGCAGTCGCGGTAGAAGAGAAGACGCTTGAGAGTGGTGACCGTTTCACTTTGAGACAGAAGAGTGACAAACACGCGACTTTTATCAATTCCCACGCAACGCACGCTACCGTGGGAGCGTCCGTACATTTCAAAATTACCAACAACAGTACCAGAAACAAATTCAAAATCAAAAAGAATGGACGTGGACGTTCATATTACTAGTCAACCTACGATGGTACTGTCCGAAAGCTCAGAATAGAATGTCAGGTATAGATAGTGTGCAAAAAGAAAAAGGGTCTGTCAGAAGCCAATTGCAGGAAATTTGTAGAGTCACATCGGGTTTCGTCATCCGTTCATACTGCGTCAGGGCGGTCATGCAAGGGTCCAGAAGCCCGTTGCTACCATAACGGAAAGTAGCAGGCCTGTTCCCAGTGTCCCGGTTTTCAAGTCCGCCAAGAATGTAGTGTGGCCCAAGGCACTGCTTGGAGAAGTGGTCGACGAACCCGACCCTCCAGACCCGCCACCGCCTGACGAGCCACCAGCAGGAGCTGTAGGCGTGAAGGTTACATCCGTATTGGCAAGGCAAGAGCTGACAGCATTGTTCTCGTCATTAGTATTGCTAGGCGCCCTGCTGTTGACAGTTGCATTTCCAGCAAAGTCACAAGAAGCAGCGTTCCTGCTCGTTGCCTCGTAGAACTGTGTCATGACAAACGACAGCTTGGATGCAGGATCACAGAATGCCATACGGCCATAGGAACCAGATGAACCACTTCCAGCGATATCATTGCAGGTACCCCCATTCTGACCGAGGAGACCGCAAGCCTACAGAAAGATGTGTAACGCATTAGTAACGTGTAATAGAATGAAGCATAAAATAGAGTAACTTACAGTGTTCAACAAGTCACCAACCAGAACAGTGGTGTTGGTCGTTTGGGGCGTGAATTGACAACTCAACGAGTTGACAACACATGCGCAAGCAGTGTCATTGGGTGTTGGCGGTAGAGTTGTCGAAGCGAAGAATGAAGAGTTTTGCGCTGGACACGCTGGGAACTGTGTTGAACCAGCTCCGCTCTGCGTTGGAGTATTCGGGCCCGTCGCATTTCCGTACTGCTGGGCAAGTCGAGTGAAATCGTCGTTCGGTGTCACAGTATTGCCGCTTATAGTGACCATACCAAATTGTCCTTGGTCGGACTGAGCCGGGAAATACGAGAAAGCGATTCCTGAATAAAATAGAAATCGCGATTTAGAGGTCTATTAGAAATGCGAAAAATAAAAAGTAAAACAATTACCCCCGGACCAGACTGGAGACATCTGAGTCGAAAAGAGGGCCTGGACTTCTGTCCATAGACGAGGTGGCGACGTGATGCATCCGTATTCGCTGAAATACGCTGGGATATTGTAACCGGCGAAGTGACCCTCAACGTCGGCGTATGCCGACTCGAAGTTGTCGTTACCGCACCACTCACTGCGAATAGATGGTTAATAAAGTACGTGCAGAACTAGTGAGTGGGCTTACTAGTTGTTCAATCCGAAAATATCTAATGAATCCGCGTCGGAGTCACAGGAGAAGAAGTTCGCGAGAGGATCCAACCAAGAACGGTCAGCATCGATTGCTGCGTATCCCACGAGTATGTTTAGATTTTTAGATTTTCTAAATCACGAGCGTGAGCGACCAACTGTGCCGTAACGCTTGTAGGTGGTACCACTTACAGGTATGCCTTGATGTCACGCGCAGCAGCTACAGCAACAAGCGTCAACGATTGTCTTGGCATTACGGGAGTCCATACCTTTTATGAACGGCGCCGTTGCCGTCTCGTTGGCAGACGTGATGACCTCGTTGCCAACATTGCTGTAGCAGAACGTCAAAAGGCGAGCAGAAATCGAGTAAATATGTGCAGCTCACTATGCCAAAACATTGTCATATTTTGCGAAAGCATCGATGGTGCCTATGTATAAGTCAAGCAAGTTTGTTGTCCAGGCGGGCGAAGAGCGGTCAATGGAGCCATTCAGAGGAAGAGACAGGTCGATGCTAAGTCGCCGTTGAGAACACTTCATTGTCACGAGTGCTACAGAAAGCTCACATGGTGTAAATGCCAGCGCCACTCAACGCACTCATACAAGCGTCATGGTTGAGTGAAGAGTTGACGCTGTACACACGAATCGTGTTGACACCCAGCTGTTGCAAGAACGGAAGGTCACGAGAGCAGGCAGAGCCATCCGACAACGGGTCAATGAAAGTGCTAGGCTCAGAGAAAGGTGCATTTGGGTCGGTATTAACGACACCTGCAAAGGTAGATGTCGGTCAGTAAGGTGCCACAAAACAAAGATGGGAAACCGAAAAATACGCAATTCGGTAAAGATGCTGAAGTACACTTGCCTTGCTCCTGGTATGCGACACCTTTGATGTAGAAACGGTTTCCATCGTCTGTGTAGAGGTAACGGCCTGCACGAGAGACCTTGGAAATGGCAAACGCCGAAGAAGCAAAGAGAGCCGCGCTAAGAAGACGTTGGACCAGCATGATGACGAGTCAGATGGTCGCGTATAGATACCTGCTACCTTTCGTCAGAAAGATATTGAAGTAAGTAAGTACCAGGAGAACGGAAGGACAAGAGGTTGAGCGATGAGAGTTGGGAAGGATACGAAGAGGCGAAAGGGAAAGTGGACACCGTCGTGCGAGCGTTGTTCGCCCAGTCGGCGCTAGGCATCGCGTAATGTGCCGCCCAGAGTGTCCCGGAGGCTGTGTTTGGTCAAGTCTGTCTCAGTGTCCGGGGTCCGCCTCGTGTAACGGCTTGGCACGTGCCTCGCGTTTCGCAGGCTTGCTGCAGATGACAATTTGAGCGTGCTCGCCGTGTGTCGTGCACTGGCAGCAGGTGTATGAACGACACGCGGCTGCCCCACAAGTGAAGTTGCGATATAGAACGTACGGTGCTTTATATCTTTCTCCCTTCACCTTGATTCCAAGCGACCCTTTCTTCCCATTATGCGCTTGCGCGGTGAATTATGTATTGGAGCCGCAACCGTTCTGTCGTACGTCCTTCCTTAAAACCGGCCATCCTCCCCAATCGTTTGCTGACAGTCCTATTTTGTACGAAAGCTTCGTCTCTGTATTGCTTATAATCTTCGCCCATGTAAGCTTTTGAGCTACAGTTACGGCACAATAAGTCCTTAGCATCCTTCAGGTCGGCCAAATCAATACGTCAACTGTTCCGAGAGGCTTGTCCATGGTCAGCAACTCCACTTTAAGTTTGCTCAATGGATTCCATTGACAATATGATTTCAGATCAATGTGAACATGTCCGCCTATGGGTAGGTTAATACCCTATTGGGTCATTTGCTCGCCGATTAAAATTTCTTCAAGTGATGCCTTGCAGAGTGCAACTGGCGATCCCGTTGAGGGTTTGTATGCTACTAATGCAACAGCGCCTTTGGGACAGGGCCAGGGACTTCGCCAATTGTACAAGTTTGGACTATACTCGTTCTGTGGTTACATGAATGGGACTCAAGGCATTTGTTCAAACCACACAACAGCACTCCAGCTTCAGCCGTATGATGCCGTCCTCGCCGACATGCCCACCAAGTTTCCAAGCCTGACGAGGGCTTTCGTACCCGATATTTATACCTTTACAAATTCGCATTATCTTGGTGAATTTTCTAGGGCAGCTTACTACCTACTTCTGTTGGGCAGTATCTGCGCAGCACTCGCCATGTTCACGTGAGTGATCGGTGTTAATTCATATGCTTCCGCGTCTAATCGCACAAACGCCTATAGCGGCATTCCGAAGCGGACGTACACGTATATGCTCTCTACTTTATTTGCAATCTTCGGCTCTGGTCTCTTGTTCATCGGTGTAGTGATCTGGACGGTTCTGGTGAACAAAACAGAAGGCATAAACAAAGCTATCGTTAGTCATTGTGGCCTGCATAATAAATCCTGACTGACTTGTATCGTTCAGCTAACGAACTCCGGCTCTGGCGTGTCGACTCCACTCGGCATTACTGTGTCCGCGGGTGCGTCACTCTGGCTATTCTGGGCAAGCTTCGTCTGCCTGTTCCTCTCCATAGTACCATACCTTGTTAGGTGCGCCAATCAGGTGACATTAGCGTGGGGGCTTGACTAACCCACTGTCTGTTTCTCGTAGTTGCTGCACATACCGAGGGTGAAATTCACGCCGAAGAAGCAGCGCAGTTTATCTTTATAACCCACACTACATCATAAATTGCGACACCTGAACAGCCGACGCAAGTTGGTTCCGTACTCACCAAAGCTGACGAAGAGGACAGGCGCCTTTTTAAGTAGGACACTTATGTAGAAACCGGATGGATATCAATGAAATTTAATGAAACAATCTTTGTTTAAACTTGTTCTTTCCGTGCCAGTCCAACGCTACTTTGAAAGCTTTCACACTGGTGACTGAATCGCCAAGAATGTGATAAACTTATGTTGATGACATAATGTGGGAATTACCTGCCTATGTAGGATCGCTGTGCATTGTTCACCAACCAGAACACCTCCTGTAGACCTGTACACTGACCTCGACGAGCTTGTTACGCGTCCTCTCTCTGCTGCTACGATGTCGGATGAGGTCCCGGAACCACCTTTGCAGAATCCAGTTAGAGGTACAAGTGTCGACACATCCCTGCAAGCGCTCGGACTCGAGCAATCCGGCAATCAGCCCGAAGGGCACTCCTCAACGCGTGTACGCGCCCCTAGCGTGCCCAAAGCCACGACAGCCATCAAGCAGACGGCAGCGAAACTTGGGAGTACCATCCTTGGATCCAATCCAAGTCTAAGGCGGGACACTAGTCCGCCGTCTCAGCAACAACAAGGCGGAAGCGGACTCACTATGAGTCTACCCTCAGCGAACCCGCGTCGCTTTCTAAGCTTAGGCAGAAAGAGTAAAGGAAAGGGGCGAGAATCGACGGACGGTAGCTCAGGTATGCAATCAAGTTTGTTGTTGCTGGATCGGGGGGCAGCAGTCAAATATTCTCTGACGAGAAGTCATTGTCCTCCGCTTCCACACATTGTCCGGAAATAAGAGCTCACTTTGTATTTATATTGATTTACTCAGATGAGAGGCGTACCAGTCCTTCCAGACCTACTTTACCGCGTTCGTCGTCCAATGTGCGCCGAACATCTCTTGGCCTCGACGATTCCCCGTTCATCCGTCCGCATTCACCTTCGCCACCGGCTTCACCACCGCACCGCCCCTCGCTAGAGGCAATTAAGACTTTTAGCTCCGTAAGTCGCCCTTGGCTCTTCCCTGCACGTTCATGCAGCTCATAGTCATGCGTGCTTTACAGATGCGTGCCGGGACTCAAACGCTCATCCAGGCAATTCAAGCCCTGCCTTGGACAGATGAGCCCGAGAACGATGATGAGGCTATTCCGCCTACGGGTGCGAATTCTGACAGCAGTGAGGAGGAACAATCAGGTGGGAATGACGTCTGTCACGGTGCGCAGTATAGAGCGGTAACTAATGTGCTGCGGTCAGGCCCTCCGCTCGCGTCTTCCATACACACGATCTACAGGCCCATTGCTCGCTCCCGCAAATACGACTCGCCTATGACAACAGGGACAGTGAAAGGGAAGGGGAAGGAAACGGGCTACTTTTCTCCACTTCCTTCGAGTGAGGAAGAAGACGGGGATGTATCCGATGAAGACGAAGACTTTGAGACTACGCCCATTGAAACACGATCACCAGACGCCATTGAAGAGGTTCCTTATAATGGCGATCAGATTGCAGCTGCGCGATACCCTGCGGTCGATAAATTGGATCGCATTGCGCAATTGCGTCGCACTCAAATGACTAGAAGTTCCAGTCTTGCGACTGTACGCGTCAAGCGGCGGACGATGCTTGCCGAGAAGCTCAAAGACGTGTTCGGGATAGCTGAGATCAATGAAGTTGTTGCAGGTACCGCCACATTTATTGTAACATTTGTAGAATTACTTACGATAATGCCTTTATAGAAATACCATGCTGGTTGCTCCGTTCGATCCGTACGTTAATTTTACGGCATGCCAGTCCAAATGCTAACGTTACTATTTAGTTCTTCAGGGTTACATGTATTTGACGAACTCACACTTATGCTTTTTCGCACACCTGCCTTCTCGTGAAGATCAAGTGCTGAAGTCGGGTTCGCTAAACAAGAAGACACAACGGACTAAACGATGGGTCAAGCATTGGTTTGTTCTCAAGAACGACGTCCTGTCCTGGTATCAGTCGTCTTCTGTAAGCCGAATATATCTTCATATGTTCAGAATCTAATTTCCTGTTAGGATCCCTATTTCCCGCACGGTGTGGTCGACTTACGATACGCGATTTCGTGCGAAACGATGCAGGAGAAGAGCTTCAGGATACGCACGAATCAGAAGGTAATCACCATTATGGCAGATTCGGTACCGAGTCGCGACGAATGGGTAAAAGCCATTCGCAAGGTTATTTTCAAAGCGCAGAATGTTGGAGAGAGCGTCAAGGTACGTCACTTCTCTTGGACATAATTTAAAGCTAATTCAAACCGCCCGTTCACAGATCGCTATTCCATACTCGGTAATCGTAGACGTTGACCGATCATCTGCTATGGATTTCAGCGAGACAATTGAGGTCAAAGTCATCGATCAGGAGGAAAAGCCATCCGTTGGATCCTACGACTCGTACTTCTTTGCATATTTCCACAACGTCTCCGCAGCGTTGGACCAGATACGAGATGCTGTCAAGAAGTATAAACCATTCTCCCACGGCATACCGCCTATCAATGAAGTTGTTCATGACACAACACATGCAGCAGCCTCAAGCGACCGAGCCGGATCGATACAAGCTGAGCAAAGCAACAAGAATGGCTATGGGTTAAAGTTCCCGTCGTTTCTCCGTCCCTTCCAATCTGATAGTGGACCTATTTCGTCAACTCCAACTCAAAGTAGTATTCAACCAAAGGTCCAGGAGTCAACTTCGGTGCTTCGACAGCCTGGGTGTCTCGTCTCGTCACCTTCTGTCATTAGCACTCACTCGAGCCGGTCAAGTTATCAGTTCCCGCCGGCCGTATCGACCGAGTCTGCCACACAAGGTTCTCAACTTGACGTTCCAGCAAGTGGCAGCATGAAGAGTGTAAACACGGTCCACACCTACCCTCCTCCACCATCACCACCATCAGAGCTTACCCCAATTGCGTCTAGAGAAAGCTCCGGAACGACATCTTCGTGGGGCATGCCGAATTGGTTACGAAGCCCTCGACGCGCCTTTGTTACCACATCGACCTCGTCATCCCTCGGGACGATTGGACAGAAAGGCGTGTTTGAAGTCGTCTCTGGCCCTTCCTCTTCATCGCGAACAATAGATCGTGGACTCTCGGACTTTGGTTTTAGTGTTTTGGAGCCGAAGAACGTTGCGGAGCCCGATGTTGTCGAGAAGTTCCGTACTACGTTTGCTTTCGACGAAAAAGAGCAGTTGCTGGGATGTGCGTTCTTTTGATTTCCGTTGTGAGTTTACTGGATTTCTGACTTTGCCTTTAGACTTCCCTGGTTATTTGTTCCGACTTCTGCCTACATATGGTCGACTATACATCTCGACTAATTTTTTCTGCTTCAAATCAAGCGGTCCGTTAGCAACTAGGACGAGGATGCAACTACCTATCCGCGACATTCTATCGTTAGAAAAGACGAAGGCTTACCGTTTTTCCTTTGTCGGGCTCGTTGTCATAATCAAAGGTCACGAAGAGCTGTTCTTTGAATTCAACTCCTCAGATCGTAGAAGGGCCTTTGTCAGTCTTCTTGAACGTCAGATGGAGGTCGTACAGGCTAGGGATACTAGCGGAGAAATGCAGAACGGACACAACGCGAAACCCGATGCACTGTTATTGGACGAGATCGAGCCTGCTGCATTGTTCGGCGACGAGGACCCCAGAATACCCTCCGATTCCACAGCTGAAGACTTACCAGCAGTCATGTTCACTTCGACGTCATCGACCTTCTTGACATTCAAGCCGCGTCACCCTCTCCACTTTACATGCTTGACCATAGGATCGAGAGGAGATGTCCAACCATACATCGCTCTTGCGAAGGGCCTGATGGCTGACGGCCATAAAGTGCGTATCGCGACGCACGGGGAATTCAAGGATTGGATCGAATCGTATGGAATCGAATTTGGATATGTTGGCGGCGATCCGGCTGAACTGATGCGTATCTGTGTGGAGAATGGCATGTTCACTGTCTCCTTTTTGAAAGAGGGCATACAGAAATTCCGTGGATGGATTGATGATCTTTTGAAGACATCCTGGGAGGCGTGCAAAGGTACCGATGTCCTGATAGAGAGTCCGAGCGCCATGGCCGGTATACATATCGCAGAAGCACTCCGAATTCCGTATTATAGAGCTTTTACTATGACGTGGACGAGAACTCGAGCATATCCTCATGCCTTCGCCGTTCCTGAACACAAGATGGGTGGAGGGTACAATTATATGGTAAGTAAAACCAAATATTGTCCAATTCAACGCTCACATTCTCAATCCGCTTTGTTACAGTCATACGTAATGTTCGATCAGGTTTTCTGGCGGGCAACTGCTGGACAGATTAATCGCTGGAGACGAGAGACTCTCGGGATGTCGAGCACGAACTTAGATAAACTGGAACCACATAAGGTACCATTCCTTTACAACTTTAGTCCTACGGTTGTCCCGCAGCCCCTGGATTGGCCGGAGTGGATTCGGGTGACGGGTAAGTGATTGATGTTTGCATTGCGTTTAGCGGCTGATCGTTTTACACGTCATCATAGGTTACTGGTTCTTAGATGATGCTGATGTTAGCGCTGAGAAGTGGTCTGCACCGAAAGACCTCGTCGACTTCATTGATTCAGCTCATCAAGCAGGGAAGAAAGTGGTCTATATTGGTTTCGGGAGTATCGTCGTCTCAGATCCGGAAGCCATGACCCGCTGTGTTGTCGAAGCCATCATACGAAGTGGAGTCTATGCGATTTTGTCGAAGGGATGGTCTGATCGTCTTCACCTGAAGAAGGGAGCTGATGTATCGGAGCCAGAAGTGCCACTGCCATCGCAGATATACACTATCAAATCCATACCGCATGATTGGCTGTTTAAACGTATAGAGGCGGCTTGTCATCATGGCGGTGCAGGCACAACGGGTGCGAGTTTACGAGCGGGAATCCCGACCGTCATCAAGCCTTTCTTTGGAGATCAGTACTTCTGGGGTGATCGCGTCGAGGCACTCGGTGTTGGTTCTTGTGTCCGCAAGCTTAGTGTTGAAGCCCTATCGGAAGCTCTCACTCTGGCGACAACGGATGAAAAGCAGATTGCGAAGGCACGTCTTGTAGGAGAGAGGATCCGATCGGTGAGTTGCTATCTGAAGCAGTAGTCTCATAACTTACGTTTATGTTACTTAGGAAAATGGCGTAGCCACTGCAATAGAATCCATTTATCGGGACCTGGAGTACGCTAGGAGCCTCGTCAAGGCACCTCGCAGGAGTACCTCAGCAGACGAGGATGAGACGATTCGCGAGAGACAACGTCCGTCGAGCGCGTCTATCTCGACAACAATCTCTTCACCCCAGAGTATTACCGATAGTTATCTCGAAGCCCAAGAAGCGCAAAGTGAGGACTGGAGCGTCATTTCTGATTCAGACGACAGGCGCTCTTCTCGTAATAGCAGCGATTTGCGTACACATTCACCTAATTCAAAGCGTAATAGCCTTGCTGCTGTCGTTTTGTCGGTCTTGCCTGATGCGCTACAGCCTGGCTCACCGAAGAACAACCCACGCACGTAATTTTCAAATTTCATTGTCAAAGTCTGTACCAGCATGTTTAGTTTTTTCCGTGGTCTCATTATAATTTTCGCGTTCGTGATATTCTGCTTCGACTACAGCTTGTTCTGTATGTTACGCACTACGTTTTAGAGTATTTAGATGTCCTGTACTGTGACTCACATGTCTAATCCCCATACAATTGTACAACCTATTTTACATTGTTCGCTTCGCTTCGCAACGTAGATATATATACCATACATGAACGACCATTCATCACCTAACAAAGATATCGGAAAGAACTAATAAGCTGCAGCAGAGACGCCGGTCTCCTTATCCTTATAATGTTCATTGAATATCCTCTTACTGAACTGGCCGAACGTTTCGTCTGGTCCGACCAGCTGGTGCGTCTCGGGCTGCATAAACAGAGCGAACGTCTCACGCGAAACTTGTCGTTTTGCATCTTCTTCACCTTTACACGAGCCAACGCGAACGCAATGAGGCGTGGCGCGGAGCTTCCCGCCAGTAGCGAGTTCTAGTGCTTCACCAGTCTGGAAGGCGAGACAGTCGGTGGGGATGGACACCTTCGTGAGTGTTCCGCCACGCGAGCGGATATAGAGCCCAGAGTGTGGAGAGGGAGAAGGTACGAGCTTCGCGGGTTGGTCTGGTTCTTGGGAGAGGTACATTGCCTACAAGACAAAAACAATAACTTGATAAGCAAGACAAGGGAAAAGATAGGATGAATGAAATGTTAGGACTTCACGCAACTGAACATAGACCTGTAAGAAGTGAGTGGTCCAGATGAAAACCACACCAGCTGTCGATAGGTTCGTCCTCCTTAGGTTTCGTCGTATCCTGCGATTCTGGTTCTGGTGGGAAGTAGTGGAGCAGGCGAGCCTTCGTCGTTTGCTTCGAGATAAGCTCAGGTAAAGAGAGCGAACGATCCGAAAGGTGCTTGGAGGCTATTATTATTATTATTATTATTGTTATTGATTTATTTTAAACCGAACGTAAATAAAAATTCTGAGTGCAATGAGAAAAAATAGCTTTGGAAAGAGCATACCGAAGGGTTGACACGCAGCTGCTAGTTCGCTGCCAAGTTTGTAGATAAACTTTCCGAGATCCTTGAACGCTTCCTCGAAACCTTCCACACCAGGTTCGTCTGGAGCTGGCCCTGCGAATAGTTGTTCATTTCAAGCTCATGCGATGTCTGCACGAAGAGTGAAGAAGGTTACACACAGATGTTTTCCCCGTAGTATTCCGGATAGGCATCCCTCTGTTCGGCACTCATGTTTGGACTGTCAACCAGTGGATTTGCATAATATGAGCCTTTCAATGTGTCTTATTTGCTGATGAGTACCATCAAGAATAAATTATCTTCAATCTGGCATATACCTGGCTTGCCGTTCATAATTTCCTGAGAGCTTTCAGTTAGGCAAAGGGACTGCGTACAAGACCAAGGTGTAAACATACGTTACCTTTCCATGCGACCAGCCAAAGCTAGTCAGGATCAGCCAATAAGAAGAGCAGGTCATGAACAGGTAGATAGAAATACACACACCTATACCGGCTCTTCGGGTCCACATACCTCTCCTTCGAGCTCTCCGGTAATCGTGCAAATCGATTCACCAACATCAATAATCGTTCCCGCTTAGCAGCATAATCTGACGGCAGGTCTTTGACGACAATGATTCCCAGTGCATTTGGATCCGACCCAAATGCTGTTTCTAATTCACCCAAAACAATAATCAGGATATATCTTGATTGCTAACTATAATATCGTAGTTGCGCACCAATTGATGCCTGTAATGCCAACGGTGAAGATTGGAGAGTCGGGTACGAAATTGTTACGGCGCCCTCTGGGGAATAAGTAACAGGCTGCAAGCGGCTTCGTGTCAGAGTAGCCATCGTGCGCGTTAGAAAGGTTCTTGCCAATAAACTGGCCATATTGCTTTCTTAGCTTCTTGCCGACTTGACCAAATTCGCGACGTGTAAAGTTGCGGAACGAGTCGCGTCTGGATAAATGCTCAACAAATAATCACGGGCCTTTCACGGGTCGGGCGCGAGACCTTTGCACATTCATTTTGGTACGTTGCAAAGTAAACACGGCATGCTCATTACATTTTTACCTGCATGCCCTACACTAACTACAGTACGTCATATGTAAATATTAAGAGTTTTTTGACAGTAGCTTGTAAAAGAAAGAGAAATAACACCAAACGACGGCTAGTCTGTCGAAGTACAGAAAGTGCGAAAGTCCAAGACGTTAGACAAACATGGCAAGAATTGGGAGTAGTTTTAGTCAACGGCATCCCTAGGCGTCACTATAATCGTCTCAACCGCTGTTGTCTCCCTGAAATATTCCTCGATAGCGTCACAGTGTTCTTGGAGAACGAGGTCGCAGTCAAACACGAAAACTTCCCTCAACCTCGTTGTATCGGCATTACGCAGAACTTGAACCAGACAGTCACCAGTAACGTCATCCGCAGAAACAATGCCAAAAATGCGCAATCTTGAGAGAACACTGGTTTCAGACAAGGCACTACGGCGACCGATTCTTGCAATAAACTCGTCGTCCACAACACAGTTCTCGAGCCAGAGGCTTTCAAGCGATTCGCATAGATCTAGGCAGTCAGCAAGGTGAGTTACGTTCGAAGTAGCGTCGAAATGTTCCAGCGCAAACGTCTTTATTGGAGGACGACTACGCTCAAAGAAGTCGTAGAGATTATTCCAGGCGGCACTGGCAGGGACGTCGCCAGATACTTCCATTTCGGTGATTGACGGTGCATATAAGTTGTCAAACAATTCACCAGGGTCAGTCGTGTATCCCCAGGCCAGTTTGAATGTCAACAGTTTCAGAGCGGTTACTCGTTCAGCTGGAGGAGCGTCTCCGTGGTTCAAGTACGCCGAGACATATCGTAACTGTGGAAATTCAGCGAGAATGATAAGCAGCTCTGTCGTAGAGAGGCAGGTTACGCCGTTAGTATCCAGAAGCTCCAGCCTGGTAAGTGAATCGGTGAGCGGCTCGTGATACCCGAATCCGAATTCGTCAACGGCACGCCGGATACCACGAACAAACAAAGGAATGGAAGGAAGCTCCTCCTTACGAGGTGTATCATCCACGCCATAGTACCAGAGATACTTTTCCTCGATAATTGGCATCGCACCAGAGCTCCCTGCTTTCACATGCGTTTCAAAGTAGGCCTTGTCCGACCCGAATTCAATCCCCTTCCTAAGCAGCACAGCGGTTTTGGTTATCACCCGAAATAGATTTACGGAGTCCACCGGGTAAATGATGAACGGACCGTCCCTATCTTGAAAGGTGACATCGATAATGAGAGGTCGCTGTTTACATCGAGGAACCCATAGTTTAGTAAGCTCGAGAGCGGAAGTTATGTCAGCCCGCCGAGCGACAACTTGAAGGTGAGTCCATAGCCTCGGTGTCGATATTGCAACTTCCCGCCAAAGTCTCGAGACATGAGATAGCCGTAAGGGTGCTAATGTTGTTATTTCGAAGGTGGCATCTGCGTCTGCGGCGTTTTCGACGTCGCAGGCCTGTGCAAAGATTTCGCTGATGATTTCTCGGGGGAGCACGCTCGAGAGTAAGTCCAGGTTCCAAGTAACTTGAGGAAGGAAACCTGCGTCCACTCCTCCTGTGTCGGCGTCCGACGGACTAGCGGGTGTGTTTGGCGGCACGTCGAGCGCCATTGGGGAGGACATTGGGAGGAGGGTAGGGTGGATGATGGAAAGCCACCGCATAGATATACGAGGGCACCGTTGCGTTTGTGCGGCCTTCAACTGAGCTATATGATGTCCTCGGTGGCATATTGCCGCCGTGGAACAACAAAGGAAGAGCCCTGCGTGCGACCAAGTTTGCAGAATAAGTCGAGCGGACAACTGCAGAGTAACGTCCCAAATGAGAAAGCCCGCAACAAGAGTCCTGATTGGGCTACGAGAGCAAAGCTGGCAGGAGTGGTAGCCGAGGATAGCGAGGTGGCTCAGCAGCAAACATCGCTGAACAAAGTTGAGGCAGAAGTCGAGATACTGAGAGAGGCATCCGCAAGGCTTTCATGAAAACCCACACTTTGAAAGCTGAACGGCGCAGTGGATCAACGAAACAAACGTGCTAGTGCTAAGCATGTTGAAAGAAAGAAAGAGCCTAACACTAGCACACTTTGCACAACTCACCACTGCTTAAAATGGAAATTGTAGGCTAAGGCATGGAGAATCATATGTAGTATAGTTTTTGTCCAAACACGCTCGAAGACGACATAACCTAGGAGTGGAAAAGAAATAACTTAAATGCCTGAACCTCTTCTAGGAGTTGGATATCCCTTTCCTTCAAATAATTCTAGAGGGCTAAATTAGCAACAATGCTCGCTGACTCCTCATTCCAGCAGGCACTTTGTTTTGATGGCAGGAAATTCCGACACGCTTACTCCGATTCGCCAGTAATTAAGCAATGTATAGTCCGAATAGATATAAAAAAAGTACCCATTTCGTAATAGTTGAAGGGCAGAAAGGGAATTGCTACAGAAATTATGATATGCGGCGTATATTACAGGCTTGCTTTGGGTTTGCTGTGGGAATGGAATCAGAAAGAGTTCTAAGAGCTTGAACTTGCGTCATGGTCCGTCTCCTGGCTTTCAGAACTAGATACAGATAAGATACCCGTCTGGTCGAGGGCTTCCCGCAAAGCGGACCCACTGTCATCGATGGAGTGAAGGAACCGAAGCAATTCTCGACACAACTGCCAATCCCCGTCGTCCTGTGCTCTATGCAAGAGAACGATCGCGCCTTTGTAGTCTTCCAGTTGTTCTAGGTTGTGCAGTACGAGTAAATATGATGCAGCGGTCTTGAGTTTGTTTAGGGAGAGGCATTTCTGAGAATAGCTGATCAGATCACGACCGAATGCTACATATTTGAAAGAGCTCACGTCGAACAGCACTTTAGGACTACCAACAATTCCAAAAAGGTACTTCCACCTGGCCATCTCAGTTTTACGGGCACAACCGACGACGACATCCAGAGCGGCGTCGAAATGATCCAAGAATTCAACTGCCTTTGGTAGGACTGCAGATGCAACAGTAGTGTCCGATGGGTTGTCGAGGTCAGCTTCAGATTCAACGACAGTATGGAGGAGAATTTCAAGAGAGTGGGCAAAGTACACCAGGTTTTCGTAATGCTTTGCAAAAGAAACGGCTTGTCCTACTTCGCCAGACTGAAGATGCGCATGCAAGATATGATGGAGGAAGAGATGTGACTGCAACCGAATGTCAGTAGATCTACATTATGGATGTAAATTTTGCTTACGCTAGTTGTATGCCTGAACAAAACGAACGGAAGTGTAGGGCGCGCAGCAATTTCATGCTCTGCGCCAATCAGTATGCCCTTGTCCATTAGACAGGCTAGTATAATAATGAGAAGTCCAACTAGATGAAGAGAAGAGTGGACACCTTACACAATGGATAGAACTCTAGAGGTATATTGACACTTTCTTCAATAGAGTCAGGCGGGGTAGCGGATCCGGATGGTGTCTCCAGGTTCAGGGCGTTAAGCCATATTCGAATGCCTCGACCATCGTATCCCCATAACGAGTTTTCGAGTGTTCCAATACCACTAAGGTGTATCCAACAAAATTCTATGCGATCCGCAAGGATTTGCATATCGTACTTTACCTCCTGTTGCCCAGCCTTTTGAGGACGCAGAAGCACCAGTTTCCCACCAACCATCATGAGTACAGTCGCAACAGCAAGGTCCTCCATCGGATCTCCGAGCTCTACACTTCTTTGTTAATTACGGATGAACATAAATTCCTAGATTTGACTTACGCTTTTGCGCATTTGGAATCATCCAACTTAGGCCTCTGACAGCATTTGGTGCAGCAATGACTCCGTCAAACGTAATACTGCCACAAAAGTGAAGTTGTATAGTCTCCGCCGTCGGAACAATAAGATAATGGCTCAGCGCATTATCAGCAGTGTAAACGAGCAGGGAGTTATCGACGAGCGACATTGTAACAACAGGTGATGTCAGAATTTCCCTATGAAGGACGTTTTGGTTACTAAGGTCTAGGTCTCGGGAATATAGTCTAAGCTAGCAATAGAAATTCACATTTTGTATTATTTTCAACCTCGTGTCATGCAAATTAAAACCCACCTGATATGCTTTTGATAATTCAACCGCCGCGATTAAAACATGGTGGAACCAGAGGACCCCACCCCTGACTGCAAACGCTTGCTCCTGCACACTGTCACCGAATAGTTTCCATCGGCCAGACGTAGTGCTGAAGTGGATCAGCCCCCGTCGACCTGCGACGGCAATGAGACGACCATCCATGCTTATCGCTGAATAACGTATAGGCCAATTCGACGCAAGATATTCCAGAGGGATCTAATCTCTGAAGTTACTACTGAAGAAGCGTCTCGGATGAAGGAAAATATACCTTGATGTGCTGCCAAACGTCCGACTCTGGATTGATAACACTCATGTCAGGCTGATCAGCGCCACGATAAACGAGCACTCGATCGTCCAATTGTAGGAATGCGTAACGTGTGTTATCCTACAGTAATCATTTAAACCGACTTCAAGTGCTGATTGTCATGAAATACGCACGGGTGTTTGCTGTTCGGTCACGGCACTTTTTGCGAAAGGAATAACAAAAAGCTGTCCATCTGGATCTGCGAACCTGTCAGTAATTTGGACAATATGACGTTAGACACCTACTATTTAGGCTGGGCTGGGACACTACGAATAACTCAAAGTTCCCTTGTCCCCAGAACTAGTTGGATGAGTGAGAGCATAAAAGGGAAAGGAAGGCTTCTCACAAGATCCAGTACTCCGAACATGAAAATATCTCGGAATCTACTTACAATCAGTTTGGTGCTTCAGCAGTCAACTAAAAAACTACCTTTCATTGTCTACGTCCTCCTCGACACCAAACCCCCATGCCAGACATCTGCCGCCTATACTCCACACCGCCCAACCATTCTTCCAGCCAACAGCAAGAGCATAACCATCCGAGCTCCATTCCATAGCACAGACAGATCCTGACTTTGTACGCCCAAGTAAAGTTGGTAATGACAGGATTTGTGCCTTAGGCATTTCTCCCTCAAATGAAGGAAAACTGGCGAGTTCCACAGTACCGCTATCATAGAGAAAATCAGTGAAAAAATGATTTGCGTACCAAATGTCATCTTACCTCTGTGTTCCGGTGGCCACTACTGAGAATTTCGAGTTCGTTGCCACACAAACTGCCCGTCGAGAATCAATATAGTCAAATTCGCCGTCAGTACTATCATCCGCAGGAGCTTTTTGTTTCTGGACCCATCGTGGAGGTTCCACGTCGTGAATGCAAACACCTTGCCATTGTAATATTGAGCCTTCTGAGCTCTGGCTATCCTGGAACAACAGTTAGATATGATGGACTCGAGCGAACGATGCAGACACTTTTTCGATGGTGGACATTTACCCGGTTCTGCTGTTCCTCCGTCACAGGCTCCTGGGGGCTATTGCTTTCTCGGCTGAGTTCTTTCTCGACCAGCTGAACAAAATATGCACGTCCGTCAGATGTGATCCACGTCTCTACCTTCGCGGCTCGCGAGTATGACATCTGAACAACGGTCACTACGTTGGTTGTTAATTGTCATCCTTTCAAACAGACGAACAAATTACCATTAGCATTCATTAACCAAGGCAACTCATAGTCATTTAGAATCCACGTGTCGTGCCCCGTCAGTGTCCGCCTTGCTTCTGCATCATTATTGCCGTCGTTGAAATCGTCATCTATCGTTGGCCAAGGTATGCGTTGTACGGAGGGAGGGTCCTTGGTAGAGAACATAATGCAATTCCTCCGAGGAGAGACACTAAATACAAGTTAAGAACAAATGGAAAAACAGTTATTTAAGATTCTTATACCTCAAGAGATCGCCGTCCACACGAATAACACCTTCGAAGCTAAGAGAGACCGAAAACATCGGGAGAGCCTCTCCAGGACCGGGCTGAAAGTGTCGTTGAGCGTTCGAAGGCAGGGGAGGAGTCTGATACGGTTCCATTGCTGGTCGGCCATCGTAGTGTAAATGAACGAGAACTAAATACGATTTGCTGGTCTACACCGCGATTAGAGTGAAGACATCAGAATTCATAGAAATCAGATGGATTAACAAACGCACTTGTATCAGTATTCTCGATCCATCCGGGGCCCATTTAGCGGAAACATTTTCTCCATGCTCAAGCAATGAAGTGGTCGTTCTCGACAAAAAAGCAAGGACCACGGAGGGCTATGTATTGTCACAGAGTTCCGTCAAACTCCAGTTTCGTTCGGTTCTAGCATGTTGACATACCCTAGCTCGCCAAACAGCAATCCCGTTCTTCGTAAGCGTACAAAAGAGAGCCTTGTTGAGGCTGGGAGACAATGCGATCACGGGTTCCGGAGCGAGGTTAGGCAACGACGGCATAGTCGAGAGCTGCCGAGCAGCGGATGTCGGGAAGTACATCTTTACCAACCAAAGCTCAACAAGAAGAAATACAAAGTCGTCCGGACGCGCAGTGGCGCTCTGGAAGAGATATCGGTGTGTAGGCGACCTTACGGACAACGTGGCATTTGAGCAAGTTTATGTGCGACCATTGCGCGGAACCGTGGAATCTTAAGGTTTGTCTGGTTGATGACCGCGCGTCTAAAGTACTTGTGTGAACACACACATTCTCCGGGAGCCGAACGAACCGTGCGAGTGCATATATAAATGAAATGCTAAACTACTAATACAACTGGTAGTGGGATTCTTGCAAGTACTCAACTACTAAAGAGAATTAACGAAACGACGAGACGGGCCATACAACGATATCAAAGCGAGGGAAGCACAATGAGCGAGGAGTGGGGAGAATCGTCCAAGGTAGTAAGTAATTATCACCTCCGACCCATGGGCCAAGTCGTCAGTGCCTGGAACGTGGGTATTTGACATGTTTCTATATTGAAGTATCGTAGGTATTAGACCAGGACGTGTCAGTCGTCCCAGCTACCGAGCGGAAGCAGCCTGTAAGGTGCCTTTCTGAAGTCGAGACTCGCGAAGGAGTTGCAATACGGAAGCGACACCTTCTCGAGACTACAGGATAATGAGAAAGAATACACGATCGTCTTTAACATGTGCATACCCTTTGAATGTTGGCTTTAAACTTTGCCAATCCGTGATTTTCAATACGTTTCGTCAAACCCCACCCGAAACGTGACACAATTCGGGCTTGAGTCGTTTGGACTGTTCCACTGTATAAGACGTCGCGTGAGTTCGTGTCCTTGCAGATCGGGAAGAGCATAGGTACGCACCCGTTCTCAGCTTCGCGTAATTCGACAAATTCCTGCACCTCCATGACTTTGACATGGTCTAGGTTTTTCGTCTGACAGCGTACCACCTTCCCAAAAGGATCCACCTCACTCTCCTCAATTACCCAGCTTTCGGCCCTCGAGACGATGTTTTTCGGCGCCCATTTAGGAACGGCACCGCGCTTCAGAATAAGCCTACGCGTGGATAGGGTGCCTTGAGGGGTAAAAGTGCGAGAGACAACATCGCAGGAAACGACATGTGACGCATAAGGATTTGGATATCGAAGAAGGAATGCCAATGAGACTATCGACCAAGAATCACTTCAGAGCAGAAAAATCAAATCAGACGAATATCCGACACAAGTAACAAAGCCAATGCTTAGTACTTACTCGTACAAAAATGACTGAGTAAAAAGTCGCATCGCAGAACAAATTGTCCAGCAATTTCTCGTCTTTCACGCTGAACAGAGCAGGGTTTGTGAGAGGAGGAGTGATGAAAGGGGAGGACTGGCTCAAGACATGAACGAGAAGCTCCAAGAGTTGCTCATGTGTCTATCCGACACCAATAAATTAGATTACGTAATGAAGACACAACTATATTTGGTAGCTGAACGAGACATGTAAAGTTACTAATTCTAGCAGTACTAGTGCTATTAATACGGGCAAAAAGCTAACTGGAGTCATCCTCCCGCACAGTACCATCTGGAGAAATGAAAAGACGTAACCCATCGAATGCTGGCCGAACCCACTGCTTGTCCCCTCCCTCTATCATTGCAATGGCGTTACGGACATCTTCCGTCATGTTCGACAAGTCTCCAAGTCCTTCGACGGATTGAAGAACCTCAGTATATTCCTCATGCGTCATATCATGCGTAAACCCAACTAGATAGCTGCGCTTCGCTTTGAACCTACGTACGGCGTCCACCGATTGCTTCAAACCGAAGTGCGACGTGTGTGACTTGATGCGCAGGCAGTCCAAGACAAGCACGGGGATCCGCGTTGATTCATCTGAATTACCAGACCCCAAAAGAAATTGGTATACGTCTTCGGGAATGAGAGAGACGTCCGATATATAGACAACAGCATCCTGAATCTTGAAGCCCATGCATAAATACGGCTCGGGTCTTGGGGGTTCGATTCCGCGCAGTTCGTCCGGATGAATCCGGCTGGGGGGTGCAAAGCTTGGAAATGGTGAATTACGGCCCGAAACAGGTGTGGGAGGAGACGTGTAGCTCGGAGTCGGAAGACTCGCGGAGGGTGGCGGACATTGACTGAACACCCTCCCATGGTGAACTAAATTCCCAATGTGAGAACGATTCACAAGCACGATGTACCGCCGCGGAAACACAAACCGCAAAATGGAGTGACTCGAATTCCCGTGTCCAAAATCTCGAAAGGTTGCCTGTCTTCTATGATATGCCATTTGAACTCAGGGACCTGCAAGTTGGGTTTGAATTCAGTTCGGTTCGAGACAATTGATTTGAACTCGACTGAGACTACTCACATCTCCACCACCGGAAGCGAACTCCTTTGAAACCAGATACGGAAATGCTCTCCCCACTTCATTATATGTTGCTTGAGACGCATAAATGTCGATGTAGGGTTGAATATTGCCATGCAAGGTCCAACCTAATGTATTCCCACTTTAATTAATGCAGAGGTTCGACTTACGGCACAAAACATACCGCGTAAATCGTCCAACCCGTTCATGGCTGGCCACATGAATTCATTCTTCAGCATGAGAAAAGGCACCGTAGAAGCCGTTATACTCACCATCGGCATGAGCATGTGTGATTAGCACCGCGTCTATTCTTCTCAGTTGATACTTCGGAAATAATTCCAGAGCTGAAGCCAGGAATGTCTTGCCCACATCTATCACCACAGTTCTGTACATTCATTCGGACAATTGAACATTAATATTAGAACTGAGTGTGGCCTCGGACTTAGGCTGAAGCACTTACACTAGATTGCCATTCATGCCTTTCACCCTGAAAACCGCACTCGTGTTACGACGTGCATTCTTCCTCCCCGCTGGTGTCAGTGTCGACAAGCAAGCCTCGCACTTAGGATCACTTGGCCCTGCCGTCAGACATCTGACATGTGGTAGGCTGCTTGAAGTGCCTGTGCCAAGGAAGACGAACTCGAGGGCGTCTGTTGCGAGTGGCACATCAGTGTTTTGTATGACCATAGAAGGTAACTCTCGTGAGTCGTGAGGTGGAGAGGAAAGATCGACGAGGCGCGCTGAGATTGATACTCCAAGGAGTAGGATGAGATACCCTCTATTTAAATATCATGAAAAGCATGTCTATGGAAGCGTGCTGGGGACAAATAAGGTCCGCACGAGGCGTGCCCTGCCTCGCTAAGGTGTGGAATCTGTGGATTGCATAATAGTTGCAGACGGACCCTTTACTTCTACCAATGCACAAAACCATGTATAAGCCGGTCGCACAGACTCACAGAAGTCGAACATCTTTCTTCACGTATTGTAGCCAGCAAGTGTGGAGCAGAGCAGAGTTCGAAGATAAATTTTCCGCTTCCTTGGTTGTACCTTCCAGGCTAGATGAGAATCTCGGCTTAACCTTGATACATTAAGACATATTCATTTCCTTCCTTCAAAGCAACTAATTCTCCAAAACAAGTCGTCCTAATCATGGACGGGAAATCTATTCTTTTACTTCGTGAAGACTGGATGCAGAAGAAGACCCGAGCAGAGGTCAGCAATTTTTGGAACGCATGACGATCGAATAAAAATGGGCAAAAACTCACTTGATACAACATCATCGTCCGCAACGGCATGATTGAGTCCGACCTTCTGGGCGTGTGGTGCAAATTTGCTGGATTTCCCCCAGACTAGTGCATACCGGAAGTTTGAAGCCAGAGAACGGTGTATTCCCTGGCATACATCCTTCAAAAATAATTGTAAGTCAGAGAAGAGGACTACCAGAAGAGAAGAACACTACTTCGATCGTCGCTCCTTTCCGAAGGCAGATTGGATCCGTCAGGTCAGGATGTTGTCCACGCTTCTTCGTATAAACCTTTACAAGGTCGAGGTATTCCCACACTGGATAAGACATTGGGCATCAGTCTGTAATACTGACTGGTAGTCTCAACAACCTTACTTTTTTCTAGGAGGTAATCCAGACTGGATCGATAACCGTAATTTAATTCACATAATCTTAAAAGCTTCATCGAGCTTACTTTAGATCCATTTCACAACTGATAACAGCTACAGAAGGCGGATCAGTCTATGTGCCGTAAACTATAAATTTAGTAAGTCACCTGTGTGATCCTCTCTTGCTAACTTATCGACCTGCTCCAGGCTTATGGAGTCGACCTTGTTATAGACGTCTGGGACTAGTTGAGAATGTGTAGGTTTCGATCATATTAAAGGCAACCCACACAAACAGGGTATATATTTGCGAGTGCCTTTCGTTACAGTTAGGTAACGACTCGTGGAACAAGCGAGGCAATTTACCAATGAGGACGTCGATGAACTCGTCAGTTGATACCTGATAGGCCTGATTAGCACCTGGAGGAAAGGGAAAGCGAGCCCTGGAGGGTGAATGAGTAGACGCACATCTTCTCGAATCATAACATCGCTGTTGTGCATCTTGTCTGGAAGGGGCAGTTCTTAGAAGGTCTAGAGACTCATAGATGCAGCTCACATCCTGCTAGAATTGTCCTTATCGTCTTCTCATCGGTTCTCGTCATCTTGACTGTTGTATTAATCTTGGCGTTGGTGCCTGTCAGAATCAGTTTGGGTAGGACTGGACACTGAAGACGCACAGTTATCTATTTGCCGGGATCAGTGCAGGATAAAAAGAATATGCCAATGTGCTTACTCCTCCAGTGGTCTTCCGCTTTACAACAATGTCAGGTCTGCGTTTGTTAAGTCGAATTCCAACAGCATCTAGCTCGATCTCGAGCAATCTCCGCTGCTCTACAGATTTAGTAGCATCCAACATCATAATAATCAAGTCGGCCGTCTTTGCGACTATTAGGGAAGATATGAAGGATGCATTTTGCGGTCTAAGTAAGAAAAACGAACCTGCTACCACTTGGCGACCTCGACCACGACCTGGATGAAATGGAGTCACTGTCATTTGGTGGATTGAAGATGCATACCTTGACTTGCTCCCTCAACAATACCTGGCAAATCCAGGAGTTGTATGCGTGCACCTGAGTACTCTATAACGCCCGGAATTGCCTATCCACCAAGCATATACTCAATGTGTTTGCCTGTTGGATAATCTAGGGAAAACAAACAGTTAAAGTAGTGAACTCGTACGCCGCTGCTTCCGACTCGGTGTGCGTCATCTTACTCAGGAAAGTGGACTACACATATCGTAAGATGCCGATGCAAGGATCGAAGCAGAATAATGAATCGACGAACCTTTCCGACGGACGGAAATCCAATCAAGGCCACTCGAGCATCACCAGATTTCTGCACTTCGAAGCCAGTACCAGCGCCACCCGACTTGGAAGTCGGCTCTATATTTTTTTTAGTCTTGTTAAATGTCACATCACACGTTTTACTATACCTAGTAATTCAGCACGATATCGGGCAAGCTTTGCTTTTAGAAGACCCAGATGATATTCCGTGGCCTGATAAAGTATATTCATAAGAGACAGCAAGTATGATGAGGCAAGTCCTGCTCCCCTTATTCTTTTGGGCTAGTAATGTAGACTAGTGAGCAAAGTGCTGGAATATAAATGCAAATGAATCTCTTACTCCTCGCCATCTCCTCTAAGTGGATGTATAAACATTTAATAAGTGCAAACAAAGACAACGAGACGGCACACCCTCAATTGCTTTTATCTACGAAGACGTAAGTATTGTATTACCATGCTCAATAGCATAACTTGAAACCAGACCTTTTCCAAAACACCCATCTTTTGGAATGCGACAGAAAGGCAGATACAAATTCTACTGAGATAGTTATATGATGGAGAAATGTGGAAGTTGAGAGCAAGTCACGAGCGTGCAAGTCCACTCCAGTCGCGTCGCACCTGCACTGGTACTTACTACTCGCAGGTCGACTGCACGACCTCCCTCAATCCTGTCGTCCAATGCGCCGCCATATACCCACACTCTATTCACACCCAGAGCGAGACCTGAACGACGGCGATGATAATGACGGCGACGGCCAATGGTCGACGTCCTCAGGGCATCGGCAGCTTTCTTACGGCACACCTGGCATGTCGTCGATGAAGTCACGCTCAAAGCAGAGGTCGCCGACATCGTTTGCGTCATCCCCTGGAAGCACTATTGTTTCTCCCTCAATGCCACCACCACCTTCGTCCGCCAAGTACTCGGACATCTACTCTCAGTTTGTCCAGCGTTACCGCTCTCGTCCAAATACTTTCGACGACCCTAGAGATGACCCAGAAAGCTCCGTCTTCCATCGCGGAGCGGGTCCACTCTTTGAAGATGACAGTGATGAAGAACCATCTAGGATTACTCAGGGGCATGACGGTCGTGAACGACATTCTTTCTCTTTGCTAGACGGCGCTAACTCAGACAATATATCAGTTGAGGCGCGAGAACGCCTCGAGTGGCAAAGCATGCTCGCATCTGTCCTCGATGGGGACGTGTTAAAATCCGAAAAGAGTCGGATTCAGGTCGCCCTTCTTGGCTCGGCCGATGCTGGGAACAATAGACAGTTCGATATTTGGTTGGGTATCCGTGCAAAGCTCAGAGGTAGGTCCGTTCAAGAAGAACGACGGATCCTTGAGGAGCGCAAGTTGCATCTGGTAGACCGCGTCATAGGGGAGATAATGCAATTTCGTGTACAAGATGACCCGGAATACCCGTCCGCTGCGCATCAAGTGAATGTTGTATTGCAGCATTTCGACAAAATACAGTCATTTTATCCAAACCTGAAAGCATTTTACTTGGACAAACCCACTGCGGCAGACCCGGATTTCCAATCCCGGTGTGATGCACTTATAACATGGTCCACCGTCCTCTCCTCACTTCGGCAGCAACTTGCAATATTCCGTAAATGGACTGGAAGCGAGACTCTTGATGTCACGGCTGCTTCTCCTGAGCATGGTATGTGCATTCCAGTTTTTGATATAGTAGGCCTTCAGCTCAAGCAAACGGTCGGCATTAGAGGGGACATCGTTTTTGGAGCGGGTCCTCAAAGAAGAGACAATCCAACGCACGTTTGAGAAGGGTTCCCTTACAACTGTTCATGCCCTCATCGCTTCCGCTCGGGACGCACAAGTCAATTTGGCTCCGATGTTCCAACTTCTAAACCTGCCCACATTTGAAGAGGAACTTGTTCAGCTCATTTCTTTCCCCACCCGGCTGGCACATGCCTTGCTTCGCTCGCGGTTGGACTACGCCAACCGTGTGACCGATCCCGACGTATTGATTGTTGACCAAATGCTGGAAGATTTTCGTCTGGCGATCGGTTTAGCCTGCACGTTAAAGCGACAGTATGAAGCATTTCTCCTTCCGGACCCTGGCGGAAACTGGAATCTGCCGAGTTGTATTAGCAAGGATTATGATAGCACTTTATTGGAGACGTTATCTATGTTCTTCAAACTGATCAACTGGAAGCTGAAGAGCGGGACGAAGGACATTTATTTTAGAGAAACAGAAGTGCTTGAGTCTCAATGGGCGACTTTTAATGATGTATGCCTAGTCGTCGATGGTGGTGCTACTTTGGTGGCGGAACAAATCTGGTCAGTGTCTAAAGAATTTGTGCATTCTTCGTGGTCGCTTAACAATACTTCCTCCCTCCCCCTTAGTTCCATAACGCACAGGCTTATGCTGCGAGCGACAAACAACTTTTGTCGCCAAATACGTGTTCCGGTTCATGGCAAAGAGAAACAAAAGTTACTTTCTGTGACCAGTCAAATAGCACACAGTCCATCAAGTATTAATGGCCTAGGGTTCGACTTCCAAAAGGGCATGGCTGAAAGCAAGGGCAAGTTCATGTCGGATGAACAAGTAATTAGCTGGTATGAGAAAGTACTTGAAAGCATAAAGGCACGGTACCGCAAACTCCAACGCTTTGTTCGGTGAGCTCGTTGTTGGGCTGAGAACTGTAGATCAGAGCTAATCAAATTCTCGTAGGACCCTTTCTCAGCGGTTTGGAAACGCCGCTGAATATACTCTGGAACACATTGCTTTGGATTCATTCATCGCCAATTTGGTCGAAACGGATCATTTCCTTGTATATACGCAGTCGTTTGAAGAGGAAGGGACGTATGTTGTCGCGTCGAGGGGCTTGCGCGACCGCCCTGATACAATTCGTCAAATGCTTCGAGACCCTTACCATGTACACGATCTCTGGGAAGACGGCTATCGGAGTATACGACGTTCAAGTGACCTTTCAACAACCGCATCAAGCCTGGAGGTAGATGCTGATGAAGAAGAGGAGTTCGACGAGTCAGCGTATTTGCTCATTTTGTCTCCTCGGACGCGCTTCCTTTGGAACGGCCTGGTGCTTATGCTACCATTGGAGAAGATTGATTTCGAGCTCAAGGATAACCGAGTCCGGCTCATCGCGGACGGTCCACAGCCTCGCTTGAATCTCGCAAAAGAAAAGTTTGCGGACGTGTTCACGTCCGTAGACGAAGAAAGCGATTCTGCGGAGTCATTCTGCCCTCCCTTGACATGCGTCGTTGATCAAATGGCACACCTCCCTATTGTGAATCGCGAGTCGCGGAAGATAGACCGAGTCACAAATAACCTAGCTGAACAAATCGTCGAAGCTGTACACCATATCCGCGGCAGCTTGACCGGTATAGCAAAATGCACAGACTTGCTTGAAAGTTGGTATGCTTTTGCATCGGAGCACGGTCAGCATGCGCAAAAGTATACCGACCGAACGACTTGGATGAAGTTCAACCGCATGTTGATTAAGCTGGCGATATCATGGGTGTCGTTTATTTGTGATGACTGTGATCCTACGGACCGTAAAACATTCCGATGGGCTGTCAGTGCTCTAGAATTTGCGCTGATTCGGACTAAGCGAAATAATATTCTTAGTCTGCCGGAGGATCAGTTCGAAATGTTGCGGCAGAAGGTCGCTAGTTGCATGACACTCCTTATTAGCCACTTCGACATTCTCGGTGCACGGTCAGCACAGGATGCTTTGCGAGAGAAGGAGAGACAGGCGGAGCTCAGGCAACTTGGTCTCGATACGACCAATGCGAATCAGAACGAAGAGGATCTCTGGGAGCCTATAACCCCCGCAAGCGGTATCGAATACGAGGAGCGAAGCTTCGCCAATCTGGTGACAGCAGGGGATCGAAGCGTCAAGAGATTAAGAGGTGAAATTTTGCGCCAACTGTGTTTACTGGAGGATAGACGTGCAGGCGTTGGTGCGGAACAGCATGTTGTCGGGCGTGTCCTGGACGATCAGAAACCGGAGGATCAGTCATTGATGTTCCTAGCGTCTGCCACATCTAACGTCTCAATCCGATGGCAGCAAGGAAAGTTCATTGGTGCAGGTGCATTTGGCTCTGTATACACAGCAATCAACCTCGATACGGGATCCGTCATGGCCGTTAAAGAAATCAGAGTCCAAGACGTGACAGGCACTCCGAACCTATACAAACAGATCCAAGATGAACTCCGAGTCATGGAGATGCTACATCACCCGAATATTGTCGAATATTATGGCATTGAGGTTCACCGTGACAAAGTTTACATCTTCGAAGAGTACTGCGAGGGTGGTAGCTTAGCTGCGAACTTGGAAGTTGGACGGATCGCAGACGAGAACATTTTACAAATTTACACAATGCAGATGCTCGAGGGTTTACAGTATCTTCATTCACAGAATATTGTCCATCGAGATATCAAGCCAGACAGTGCGTATTCTACTTCTTTAACAGTTCACCAATTCTTATGATATTATCAGATATTTTGCTGGACCATATGGGCGTCTTGAAGTTTGTTGACTTTGGCGCGGCAAAGGTTATTGCCAAGAATACACGGACATTCCAGCGTACCAGGGTTGCAGTTGCAAACAACACGATTAATGCTACTGGCACGGGTGTGCTAGAAGGTAGTCTTGGCATGAAGAACTCGTTGACCGGTACGCCCATGTACATGTCTCCCGAGGTAATTAAGAACGATAAGCGTGGTCGTCATGGCGCAATGGACATCTGGTCATTAGGCTGTGTAGTCTTGGAGTGCGCGACCGGACGCAAACCGTGGAGCAACCTCGACAACGAATGGTAAGTCTTCATATGGATCCACAGTCTCGTCTCGTCTCTTAACGGTATCAATTGGACAATTGACTTTAGGGCGATCATGTTCCATATTGGTGTAGCAACGCAACATCCACCTCTCCCCGAGAACGGCGAGCTTAGTGACATGGGAATCAACTTCATCAAACAGTGTCTCACAATCGATCCTATGCGTCGTCCGACTGCGGAGGAGCTCACGCATCATCCTTGGATGCAGCAGCTCATGGAGACTCTTCGTAATTACGAGGAAGAAGAGCTTGCGACAAATGCGCCTGTTGAGATGCCCTCGGATCAGGATTTTCAAGGCGCAGCAGTAGCTAGACACGCAGCCATAGAGAAAGAGAAGGAAGTTGAGGCAATTACGGCAGCTTCTCCCGAATCTGTTACTCCTGCTTCAGAATCTAGTGCAGCTGATGCCGGATTAATGATCACAAATCCCATTATTGTACAAGCCGTACAAACACCAGAACCACCACCCACTTCCGCTTAATCTGCACTCCCTATCTTCCCGGATTGCTTGTATTGTCTCGATTTGTAGCTTTAGTTTGGGCTATGTTCATGCGCACGGACTCATTTTTCAAATACTTCATACACGCATTATTATCCTTATTGCTGCCAATGTACCAAAGTTGAAACAGACATCAAGGAGAACGTTCGACTCAACGATACAGTAGACCAAAAATGACGAAAGAGGCTGTCCGCAAAAATGGAATAGCAGCCAAAACAAAACAAAAACCACACTGTGGCACTAAAAGAGAAGCAGAACTATGAACAAGATAAAAATCGCAGGATATACCACTACTATCTAACACCCTCCTCATTCGATCATCCAACGGTTTGAGAATGGATCGTTTCGTCCTCTGGAGCTAGTCGTGGTCGAGTACGATCCGTAGCTGTGGTTTGATCCATGAGACTTGTCACTTGAATGGCTTGAGTAGCTCCTCTGGCTTCCGACTGATGTCTGGCGCGATAACTGACGTTGATCAGCAAATGGTCCTGCGTCTGACGGCGTCTCCCTCTGGTATGTCTCTCGAGAGTATGTCGTCTGGGTGCGATAACCGGAATCAGTCGTCCTCTGAGAAGCCGAGTCTTCCGTTGAGGACTCGAACGGCTCGATCGAGGGGTTGGTGAACCGCGGACCAAGACGTGGAGGACTGAACTTCATCTGGCTTGGAGGAACATCCATCGCAAAAGCAACAGAGAATGTTGGCAATGCGGCACGACCTGAGGGGAACTCGACCTTCTCTTCGTCGTCATACATTTGCCCTTTTGCGACAACAGGCTCAAAATTATCCGGTAAGGGCTCCTCAGCATTAACTTTGGTGGACGGGACAAAGTGTCAGAGGCACAGTGATTGACATAATTCAAGTGCACTCACGATAGCGAGGAAGGCCCTTTCCGAAATTGATTCGGCATAGAATACCCAATACCAGCGTCAGCAAAGTCAGTATGACAGATGCCAATGTCATGAGCATCTATGCCAAGAAGTCAGTTCCGTATTTCTTATATGGATAGCATCATAACATACGAAAAATTGCCAAAGCTTAATAGTCCAGCGGAAAGTTGGGGAAATGAACATTGCACCCCATCCACCCAGGTAGCCGAATGACAAAACAAGAAATATTGTCATCGCAAGACGCAATTCACGACGAACGGCAATCCATCCCTGTGGAACATGATCAGATATGAGCGAATAAGAGCATAAAGGGAATGTACCAATGTGAGCCATGGCACCAAAAGCTAGGAAAATGACGTAAGTGACGTGTTCAGATATGCATTGGCCTTCCACATACCACTATAACAGCAACCATCAATCCCTTGAGCAACGTCGGGTTCGTGGAAAGACGCCCAACGGCTCCATTGCAGAGCGAATCAATCCAAAGTGCAATGGACACAACGATGAAGAAGAGCGAGAGTTGGATTGCAATGGAAAGAGTCAACACCAGCTTGTAAATACGATTGATGGTCCTTGACGCTCCGACACGTTTGAAGGTTTGCCATCCGAAAGCCTGTATAGACATGATTAGTAAAGTTAATTACACTTGCCAAAGCGACAAACCTTGAACAATCTCCAGGAAAGAATGGCAGACAGGATCAGTGCAACACCATTGAGGACCAAGCTTGCGATTTCAGGATCACCACGAGCTTTCCAATAATTTCGAAGGAGATTAACTCCATCGCAAGCACCTTGGGTCGTAAGCTCATTGAACTGGCGTCGGAATTCCTCCGTATGGTTGATCTGAAGGCCTCCCCATATCGTGGCCAGAACATGGGTCACGAGCGAAGCAATACTTTATCCTCATTAGTCCCAAGCCATATCTAGGAGTTGGAATGAGCTCACATGTGAGGAATTGACTCGTTTAATATCTTCAAGTAGAATGTATGCGTGAGACCAACAATTGAACTGGTATACAATGCTACTTACAGCGACAATAGACATCCCAAGCACCCAGAACTGGAATGCAATGAAGGTGATGTCTTCTCGCTTCGTATTATCGAGCCTGCCGTGATTCAATAAGTGACACGCAGGTCATACGGAAAGAGAACACGACTTACTTTTCAACAGGCCAGTTCAATGTATACAAGCACCGGCGTGAAAGTTCCACTTGCTCGTTATTGAAACCAAACCCGTTGATTACAACTTGCGCAGACCCATTTGTATTCACAGCTGTGATTCGGAAACCCAAATTGTCCCTCTTTTCAAGCTCATCGTCATCGGACACATCGCTTCCTGCATCACTCTCGTCATCGCTCTTGTCATCGTCCTCATCGTCGTCGTCGTCTCCGTCGTCTCCTCCCTTCTTCTAGTTATTTGTCAGCTCGCATAAATGCAAAAGAATAAAGGACAGTACCTTTCCCGCGTTCCCTACTGCAATGCTCGGCGCGGCAGGTGCAGGAGTAGAGGGGGAAGGAAGAGCGGGAGGAGCAACAGCCGAAGCCGAAGGAACAGGAACAGAAGGAACAGGAGCAGAAGGAGCAGATGCGGCAGGTGCAACTACCGATGAGTCGTCCTTCGACGCAGCAGGTAGAGCTACTGTCGAGCTACTCGTAGACGAGGTGGTGCTTGTCGACGAGACACTCGATGAAAGCGAGCTAGTCGCCGATGAAGTTTCTGCAGCGGCTGAAGTCGCAGTAGTGGAAAGTAAGCTATCTGTTGTTGCAAACGCTAAACTCGCACTGGACAAAGTCTGCGTCGATAACTGGCTTTCTTCTGCATCACTGCTTGGGATAGCACCAGAGACTGCGGAAGAGTTGGTCTTCACATTCGAAGCAGCCCAGATCTGCTGACAACTCGAGATCAAGAAGCTATCAGGTACAGTCTCACAGAAACGAAGTTCATCGTCTCCAAAGACTGCGAAACCTGGGTCTCGAGCATCCGCTTGCGTAACAAGATGCCATAAGAAATCGGCGGCTCGGGCATTGATAGTGAAGGCCTGGATCTGGAACACGACTTGCACCAGACAGTGGAGGACGGAGAAGAGGAAGTAGAGTTTGGTTATACGAGAGAAAGTTACTCGCTCCCACTACCGTTCGCAATCAATTTGACTTGATCCTAATGAGATATATGCAAGGACTCACGAAGAGCTTGAGCTTAGCAGGGAGGGGAAAGGCGGTCCAAATCTGCTTGAATCTCATTGCGGATAACCTGGGCACCATTGAGTTAAGATAGTAAGAGAGCCAAGAAAGATGAACATACGTTGTGAGGTAGGATACAAATAAGTGGCTTCAAAGAAATGAGAGAGTAACGTGGAGCCGCTTGGGCGAAGTAATCGGTCAACGAAGGTTACGACGGGGAAAGGAGAGGAAGAAAATGCGAAGAAAGAAAGCAAGGGATGAAAGGATGGCTGCGACGGTCCAGCCGGTGAGCAGACGTCGATGAGGAAGGAGAGTGGAGGGTGGACGAGGGAGACAAGGGCCTTGTCAACGACGGACAGCTCGCGTTGTGAGGGCTTCATCTCTTTAGCTAATAGGTCCACTGCGGATCGCTGTATTCGCTTAGCTAATCATATCAATGGCTCGGTCCAGCCGGCTAAAGCGGCTCTTTGTGCTCGGTTGCTTTCCCATGTGGCTAGAGGCGGTGTCGCTCACAACGTCAATAACTCGCACAGTTCTTCGTATTCCATATCAGCCCGACATCACCACCTCTTTTGATCTTAACAATCAATATGGTCCTTCCCCACAGCTTAAAATGCCTCGCCTCCCACACGGAAGCAAACATTGTAAAATAAATGACATGAATAACTACAAGTGTTGGACAGCGTGTGGTTACTTCTTGTTGAACTTCCTTACTATGCACTCTTCCGAAAAACAAATCGCAGGAACCGTCAGATATGGTACCATCGTTTGTCCTCGTTCACTGCCCAAAATACTGTCGTTTCTTCGTCCTTTGTTAGCGCATCAATGCACACACTCTTCTGTCGTTGCCAGGATCCTCCGTGAAAAACTTTCAGCGTCCCGCTCGACATCAGATGGTTCAGTAGGTCGATAACTTCTCGGCGGTCATACACTGCCCTCAGTCTCCAACGAAGCTCCGCCTGGGTGTGAGATCAGCATCTTCCAACTTGTACGAGTCTGGGCCCTCACCTGAGATATACCCGGTCTTAAATGAACAAGCCCAACAACAGCCCGAAGGCCCGCCTCCCAAACCATCGAGATGCGGTCTCCAGTTATGTCCAACCATCGCCTCGGGAACACTTTTGTCAGAGGGCCGTCTTCTCCTGGTAGCGTGATCGTCCAAGAACCGATATACTTCGCGGATACGACAAATGTCGAGTCGTAACCAGTTACATAGACTCGAGGCACGCGTGATGTGTGCAGCTGGTGAATGATGCTCGCTAGCGATCCGTCCGCAGCAGCAACGATACCCTGTTACAAGGTTATCTTACCGGCTCGGCAATCACACGTTATTAAAATAACTTACTTTTAGCTCCTCAATCGTGATGCCACGCTCTGACCGAGCATCAACATTTTGGACAATGGACTCCGCAATATGTTTATCGTTTTCCGAGAAGCTGTTTAGCTGCGTTTGCGCATCTTCGATGCATTTCAAACAATCCACGACTCCGTCTGAACAGATACCACAGCAAGCCTGTTCACCAAGCACCGTCGCTCCGTGACCAGGCGTATCTTCAATCTCAATCGAGTCTGGTTCGTCGTTCAACTGCGCTTGTTCGCTTTCGCAACTCGCCATCCCACTCAACTTGATTTGCACGCCTAGTTCGATGTCATCATCGTCTTCGCGACCAAATCAGTAGGTTGCGAGAAAGAGTCAACGGTGATAAAACTCACCGACTTTCCTACTATTGCCTTCTACAGCAGGACGAGCAGCCTGTGCGCGAGAGGTATCGACTTCGAATTCTGCTCTATGATCTGAAAACAGCTGGAGTATTGCAGCCGTGTCCCCGTCAGTGGCCGTGAATGGCCATTCCCACTGGTCGGTCTTGGCTGCTTCAAAAGATTCCTCCAGTTGCGAGGCGTCAAGAAAAAGGTCCTTCGAAATGGGTCCACTGAGAGCATTCTGGTTCCTGAACGATTAGACTTTTGTCAGCTAAAAAGCTCCTGCACTGCTAGTTAAATGCGCAACGAACATCTCTGATATCTTGACCGTGCGTCCAGGCACCAGTCGACTTGGGTCCCGGTTCATCTTTGAGAACACGTTTCTCGATAACAAGTTTTCCATCGCTGTTGAGATTTCATCTTCTCCTATTCCATGTAACAACGCAGCAGCTCGATTAGAATCATACGATTCGTCGGGAGTTCCGATAACCATCTGAACCCGCAATCAGCCTACGTAGTGGAGTTTTGAGACGGAGACTCACCTTCAAAGCAGACTCCGCAAGACTCAGCTGATCGGAGTGAGAGACATTGCTCGGAGGGTCGACATTTTCCACAACGAAGGCGCTTTCCAAGACCAGCTTTTCTCGAGCTTCTTCGCCTAAGGCATAGTTTGTTAAAAAATCCCAGGAGTCATGAGCCGCTTTTCGTTCCTCCACAACCCATGATGAAACGAAGTCTTCCATGCTCGCGGATAAAGGAGTGTACTCCTTTTCCTCAAGGGCAGAAACACCAACCCGTCTAGAAAAAGTATAGTCATTACCATCGTGTCTGGCTGCATTGCAAGAGATTCGTACATCGAGTTCTTATCCACATGCTCTCGCAAATATTCCAAATGTGCCTTAAGATCGAACTCGGTGGGGTTTTGTGGATTCCTGTCCGGAAGCTCTGGCGTGCCTCGGTTCTTGATCCAGAGGTCATGCCAGCAATTCTCCAGTCGATGTAAATATGCCTCCGCTCCAGGTTGCTCCTTCAAGACTAACAATCGCGCCCGAACACTATTCTTCCGGAGGGAAGGGAACACCTGGTCCAAAGCAGTCCATTCAAGCCTGTAATGAGTTCGACAGCGCGCACGCAGGATTACATAGGCGTCACGGAGCAATTCGTCGTATTCCGCACTCCATTGGAATCTTTGGCGGCGCTTTCGCCCATATTCAGCGCCTTTACGGGTTGACAAAATTCCATTAACAGATACCGGACAAGAATTGTCAATCACTCACCCTTGTCCCTTTGACTCTTGCTTCTACTTGTAGGAGCAGTAACTTCGCTACCATCGTCTCTTCCACTTTCATGGACCAGGTCCTTCTGCATATCAATGAGCGATTCGACGGACACGCCTGGGGTAGTGATAGTGGCATGAGGTCCAAGTTTTGCTTTGTCAAATTCACGAGCGACCTGAGCTTTCGAGAATAAATTGCGGCTGCTCCTCATCTTCTCAGCTGCCTTTATCGCATCAGATATTTGCACCTCCCACTGATGAGTGTCTTGTACAACGTTGCCTCGAACATAAGATTGTCGGAGTCTACGAAGACGTCCTGCTGCAACACCTTTAACTAGTCCAGGATGCACCCTTTCTACCATGGCGTCCCACGCGGCTTCCCTACTACGGATAGCTTCTAAGCCTTTTCGTGCTAGAAGCGACTTCATCTCGGCCTCCTTTTTCTCCTCTTTCTCTTTCTTTTGCTTCTGCTTCATCTTGTCAATATCCCGTTGTGTCGATGCACGAGACGATTCATAATAAGCTTTTACAGTTTCGATCGGTGCAGATATAACATGGCTTATCCTTTCGAGATGGCTTGCCCCTTGTTCGTCATCATCGAGCGGTGTGCTACCAGTGCGGACGTTGATAAATTGCTTTAGATACTGTACTTGATACCACGAAAATGTATATTCTGAAGTCCATGATGATGAGCGTCTGAGAGCGATAGCAACGCGGTACTCCCCGCTGTAAGGATCATGAAGCACCGTGGACGCCAAAAGTTCGTGTTGAGCTTCTTCCGCACGTTTCTTGTTCAAGGAAGCTTCCTTAAGCTCCTCCCAGAATGTCGCGGCTTCAGTTCCGGAAAGTGTCGGGACTGTCTTCCAGAAAGGCGCAGGATCTTTCTGAAGAGCAAAGAAATATAAAGGAGCGTTGGTGCAGAATTGCCAATATTCAGGTCGGATTACGGGGATCCTGGATGCCCAGTCGCTAGGAAGAGGTTCAAAATCATTAGAGTCTGGGTTTCCGTCAGCTTTGGGGTCTCGGACTTTGGAAGAGTCGTCTCGTTCTGTTCGCCTAAGAGGAACCACCAGTTTCAACGAGTAAAGATAGTCCAGCAAGTCGGAAATTCGCTCGCGTGATCTCGCTCTGCCAATCTGCAAGGCTTGCTTCCACTCGTCAGGAATGTCTTTAACCGGTTTGTTTCGTCTTTCGGTTGTCGCGATAGCATCTCTAATGTCCTCACGGAAGACGGTCGAGGAGACGCAAGCGCAGTACACACCCAAGGTTATGTCGTTCTCGAAGAATTGCCAACCAACGATTCGATGCTGACGGGATATAATGAAAGAAGACCTATTTTCACGTTCCAAGAGTTCAATGGATCCGAGATGCAGCTCCCGAGCGCGCGCGACCTTTCCAGTTACATATCCGTACTGTTGTGATAAAGTCTGCTTCTCCATAAGCATTGCTTCCCGGATAACATCGTCAGAGTGGCTAAGCAGTTGCTGAGCTCGGTCCACATTCCTATGCCATCGCTCTTGATATATTTCGTGTGCATTGGTCAAATATAGCCAACGATGCGCAAGGCCAAGCGGACTGTTTGGATCCTCTTCTATTTCCTTCTTCGCTTGTTCTCGGATCTGCTCCTGTCTACGCGGAACAACTATCCCAGCGTTTCGATGCTCAGCGATGTATGCGTGTAGACGTTCCTCGGACACCGTCGGCAAGTAAGCTATCTTCGCATTGCGATGTCCGCCCGTTATGTATGGAATACTGGTATTAAAGACCTTAATTCGACCACTCGCTTCGAGTTTATCGAGACTGTATCTCAGCGTTCGTTTATCCATCCTCGTACCAACTGGAGCACTGGCACCTTCCCCTGCCTTGATGATAGTTTCTATGAAGTCCAGGTATGCTGCTTGGAATTCGTTTGTGGACGTGTTTACTATCCCACCCAAATTCTCGATCAGCTGGACAAGCTCGTTCTCGCGGCGCATCGCCGACAGGTTAGCTCGTTCGCGATCACCGGAAGCCCCTTTCATTCGTTTTTGAGTTGAAACCAATGCCGATGGATCTGTATTCTCAAGGTTGTCCGGTGCAGAAGGCGCATGTGTTGCAGTCGAGTTCTCTGCAACCGTCACCATTCCTGTCGTCCCGGTTCCTTCCACTATGTCAGGAGCGTCAGACTTGATCATACTTTCACCGCCTTTGCTTTTACCGTCCGCTTTGACAGGCTGTACGACCGTCAAATGCATTTCCGAACTGTCTTCGCCCTCGTTATATGGCAGGGAAGACGAAATAGAGTCATTGATCTGGGCTGCCAACGATGCAATAGCCCTTGTGACTTCATCTATACCGCCTGTTTGACCCATTAAGTCGTTCGATGAAGGTTCCGGTACCATCAAGAGTCTAGCTGCAGTATCTACCTCAGTAACTCCTGGGCTAGTCGAATGGTATGCACGGGAATCGAACTGGGGGGCAAGGCGGTCATTATCTGATATCGTTTGTGGTCTTAGAACGCTTTCTGACTCTCCAGAAGGATGCTGGTGGCTATGATTCTCAGGAACCGGCGTAGAGGTACTGGCACCAGGAGATGCTGATCCACCTGCTGCTTGAGAGACTTGTCCGATACTATCTGGATGCATTTCATCGGGCAACGAAGTCGTAGACCCTAACGGGTACGCCAGTACCTCTGTTGTGTCCCTCTCATCTCTCTCAACCCCTACTTCAGTCGTAGGTTTTTGCTTCGGTGGACGACCCCTTTTGCGCTTTTGCGGGATTTTAGACGAACCTTGAGAAGGCACAATTGCCGAATCCGCTTCACGCCCAGAGGTGCTAGTCATCATTCCAGGCTCTTCAGCCTCTCCCCTTTTACGCTTAACTCCTCTTCCCAACGTTGCACCAGATACACTTGTCGCTGCCTGGTTAAGGGAGTCAGCTTCTACGGCTTCCGAGCTTTGAGGGGGAACAGTGGCGTCTTTCTTGGCCTTCTTTCCCTGTCGCGCAGCAGAAGCAGCGTCTGAATTCTTCGGCGGCCTTCCTCTTTTCCTCGTGCCATCTGGAAGGATAGGATTCGTCCACTTCTTCTTTGATGCTCTTTGTGACTGGCCAGTACCGTCTTCGGTAAGCTTATTTTTGGCTCCTTTCTGCGCTTTGCCTCCTCCATCGTCGAAGACACTCAGCCTGTGCACCCTAGCTCCGCTCCATTCCTTATAGAAGGCACGGAGGTCGTCGCGGGTCTCGTAAAAATCGCTTTCATTTGTTTCCAAGAACCCGCCTGCCTTAGATAAGTCTTCGAGTGAGTAGGGAGTTGACGGGGTTTCAAATCCTTCGCGGGTTACGAGCTCAGAATAAGCACTTAGGACGAAGACTCGGTATCGCCGTTCCCTCCCATGCGTTTCGAGGACCTGGACTATACTCAAATCTGCCAAATGCGGTGGAGGCGCCTGACGTTCCATACGTGAGACAAGAAGTTCTAATGTTCTCTTGTCAAACGATCCAAGCTGGTCACATAAATCCTGAACATTTGTTAATACAATGTAGCGGGCCAATATACTAAAGACTCAACGCTTAAAGTGGCACCAGTCGTTCCAGACTCTTGGAGAGCGTCAAGGATTTGCCTATGAAGTGTCAAAGTACATTTCACTTGTGCCTGTTCAGGTCCGTCTAAGGCAAAAACCAACAAGCATTCAGCCGAATGTCGCGAACAAAATTATCAATTTGTGGCTAACCGTCAGTCACCAGATTGTCTATCATATCCTCCTCCTCATCTGCAATCTTGACACCCTTTTCAGAAGCAGCTACACTGCCAGCTCGATCTGAAGGAGCTAATCGAATGTACAGCTGCTTGTTCTGTGTAGTGTCGGGGTTCTGGCTCGTCATAAAGAACTTCTCAATCGCCCCCTCATTTATTAGCTCTTTCAATCGAGCAATAAAGAATCGCCTGTCTGTCCGAGACCGCGGGCGGAAACCCTGCAATTAGATGTAAGAATTTAACACCATTGGAACTAAGAGCAACGAACGATTTTCATGGAAATATTGGCATACGGTTGGGTGTAGTTGAGTGAATGCTTCAGGAGTTTAGTAAGCCGTTGCCGCAGAATGTTAAGACTTGTCAAATGTCTAGTGTCGATTGGGTCGAAATGCGGAAGTTGAAGAGACCCAGTTCCTGCTCCTGTTATATTGCTGTCCTGCCTGTCGGCTTCAGCTGACTCTTCTTGAGCGCGCAACTCTTCTTCCCGGACATTCTTCCAAGCTGAACTACGATCAAAAACGTACTTGTGCACACAAAAGTTCTGGCTGTTCCCGCCGCGTCTGAGCTTCACACTACGGATGATCATGATGAGGTCTGATTGTGGTCGTTATGAAAAGGACGTACATGAGATCTAGATCACGGAGTTGCTTCACAACATAGAAGCAGGTCTTTTGGTCATAACCAGTAGTCCTGCCAAGCTCGAGGACACTAATTCCAGCTTCACGGGCACGGGCTATTAATTGTAGGGAAGCGTATACCATTGGAGTTAGCTTGGCAGGCTATCAGATACTATTAGTATGGGAATACAGATAAACAAGTGTTCGCCTTACCCTCGCATGAGAGCCAGTCACCGCAACAAAGCACATCTCCGGGTCAACAGCAATCCTAAGCCTTTCCCCGTATTCTCTGACAAGCTCGTCCAATGAGCGCATATTCGCGCCTGGAATCGTCTCAAGTGAGGCTGCTGGCAAACCCTCAGTTTGCGCGTCATTCTGGGTACTCTTCCCTTTCTTCGAAACTCTTGGCTGTGGAGGTATTTTGACCTCAACGTTCTGGTCATCCGGGACTATACCAACTCGGACAGACGGGTGCTGCGAAACCAGCGTCCAGACAAATGCGTGGTAAGAGTCATCCAAGTTCTGCTGCATAGAACTTCGAGACGAATAGAAGTCCTGAACAAAGTCGCGCAAACGGAAAGCGTTGCATCCTGAAGGAAGAAATCAGTTTCGTGTCAGGTCACATATAGCATAGGACGTTTAAATTCTGCTCGAAGTAACAGTTGTGCGAAGTGTTATTCGAAGATAGTAAAGTCGAACATGGCACAAGCAGGAATCGAAACGACAGGGCCGTTCGACTAATCGCAAACTGTTCGCATATATGCAGTAAGCAGCACCAGAGGGAAAAATACGTGCCTAGGTCACCATCGAAGGCCAATTCTTGAAGGCAGTGACGTAGTAGTTCGTCCATGCTGGTCAATTGCTATTAGGATGATTAGCCTGGTAATGCCTCTTTCCTACGACACTTTGATACCCACGAACTTGCACAATCCACAAGAATGTTCTTTTGTGTATTGGTTTGGGTGACTTAAATTAGGACAAGATGCAGGATGAGCGGTTGCCGCCCGGCTCAGACGAGTGTGATGTAGAACTGACGAAGGCATGCGCGACAAAAAAGAGCGCCAAGTTCCGTGCTGCTTACGTAAAGGTCTACTGAAATGTCCCCAACCCAAGGAATTTATTGATAAAGGTACAAATATATGGTATCTAAAGTAAGGTCTACAACAGGCGCATTAAGTGTGTATGCAGAAGTACCAAAACCGCGCCTTTCTAGTGCATACAACGAGGAGGCGACTGAGTCGCTTTTGATACGTCCCAAACCGACAAAAACGAGGGCGGAAGTCCGGACCAATTACTGCATAATAGTCTGCTGGTCTTTGCTTTCCCAAAGAGTTCTCAAGACATCCGAGAAACCAAGCTTTCCCAGCTGCGCGTTTTGCTCAAAGCGCTCTGCTAACCACTTCTCCACCTTGTCCGACGCGCTGCGCCATAATGTCATGCGTGCTTGGATTTCGGCCGTTTGAGAGAAAACCGTTTGGCTACCGGGCTGCGAAGGAGAAGGAGTGTATTGGATACGCTCATTGCAGGTCGCAAATTGCGATAACGATAGGTTCACGGAAGTGATAGTACAACTCTTCGTTGCCGGATCAACGAAGGAGACTTCGCGGACGAACGCATCCTCGGAACCACCGAAAATCTAAGAAAGGCATGTTTTAATCTTAAGCCAGTTCGAGTTCTAGAGGGAGTAATCACTTTAAGAATCCATGTAGGCGTCTTTTGTTTACAACCCAATATCCGCTCTGTCCGGACGATGCCAGTGGCTGGGTCCACCGAGCGGTCAATAACGTCCACGCTGAGAACGTGTGAGCAATGTGGATTAGGGTATTTTCGCCACATTCCTGCAAGGAAGGAATGAATACTAGCTGTTAGCAAGACGGTAATCAACGTACCGATCACGACATGGGCCCAAGGGTGGCTGGCAAGAGTGTTAGATAGATGAAAATTCATCGCGTTAGTGTCAAAAATACGTACTCATAATTGAAATTCTGTGAGAAGTAGTGCATCGTTGCCGGTCGTTAAAGAACGTCAAGTATCGCAGTCGTCACAGACGAGGACTGGGAAGAGGAGAAGCAGACCCACGGCTGAGATGGGAGAGAGTGGCAAACCAGTGTAAAGTGTGCCGAGTGGAGGAGCAAGCCCGAATTTACCCGATCACGTGAAATCCCCAACCAATCATATCCGCTTCTTTATTCACAAGAGCCAATAGAAATAACATGCGATAATGGTAGGGAGTTAACACACCGAAATTGCAACGAGTTAGGTCCGTAGACCACTTTGATAAAACTAGTAGAAGTTTCAAGTACTATTACGCTACTGAATGATAAGATTATCAAGAAGATTCAAGATACTCCATCGTCGGACCGAGGGTCGGTGAAGTCCTCTTCAACTCCAGGTCTGACGACATGGCCGAGATTGTCTCTAACCTTTCGTCTTTTTGATACTTCGATTAATTCCCTTCGAGTAAAGTTTTAGCACCTGGAATCGCGAGTTTATTAAGGAAAACATACCTTTTCTTAACTGCTATCATCCTGCCTATTCGATCGCTTTTAGTGACCGCATCACCTCTCTCTATTTTACCCATGTCACGTCGCTTCATTCTAGAAGGCTTGGGCAACTTGAGCATCCATTCGGGCACAGTCGATCCCGATTGCAGTAGTACGTTGGCTATCCTGGAATGTCCCCAGTTAAGAAGACCTGAGACTAACAGCCTAATTAAACGTACGGTTTCAGGAACGGTGCATCCTCGTTAGTGAAGTACGTTATCGACAATCCTTCTCGACCAGCCCGTCCGGTGCGCCCTAGAAAGCTACTTCAACATTACGGACACCTCAGTAATGGCTGAACAAACCTATCCTGTGAATATAACTTTGTACACTTCGAGGGAAGTCGAAATTGATCACTCCTTGAACACCCTTGAAATCCATACCGCGTGCCATGACGTCCGTACAAATCATAACCCAGCTGTCGCCCTTCCTCATTCTCGACGCCGCATCCTGACGTTCTTTCATGGACATTCCAGCATGCAGACAGTCAACGTTTTGGACGCTGTTCAAAACAAGCTGCTCCGCGAGAGAGGAGGCACGAGGTTGTGTGGACGTGAATATTATGATAGGAGGCGAATAGGGTTGTGAGAGATACTGCAGGAGGGTCGGAAGCTTTGAAGATTCATCGGCTACATAGACAAGCTTTTGAGTTATGGAGGGCAATGGTGTGTCTCTATTAATAACAACCAGTTAGCGGAAAGGCAATCCTGATCTTAACTAGGTGCGTACTTGAGGCCAACAATAATCCGTACTGGATTTCGAAGGGCTCCCATAGCGATCTTTTCCGCTCCCGCCGGTAGTGTCGCACTGAAAACCGCCTTTTGCACATTTTCGCGCATACAAGCATTCATCACTTCTTGCGTCTGAGACAAGAATTCCGAGTCAAGGAGTCGATCCGCTTCATCCAGTACGAGGTGCTGTACACTATGAATTACAACAGTCAGGAAACACATTCGTATTCCTCAGTGCGGGACCTACTTATCGAGTTCCAAGTTGCAGCGCTGCATGGAATCGACGAGTCGTAAAGGCGTGGAGACAATAATATCTAAAGAGGGATGAATACATCAATTCAACATTGATTATACAGGAGCTCACGAACCAACTTTGACCCTCACAGCCTTGTCGGCGAGTGTGCTGGCAGTTGCTTTACTAAGTAACACCATCTTCCACTTCCTCCCCTGAGCAATTTTCATGCATTCGTTATGTATCTGATGTGCAAGTTCTCGCGTCGGTGCGAGGATTACAGCCCTGACTCCTGATCCTACAGTAACTTTCGAGCTTGAATTGGGTGCTTTTAACAAGGAAAATATAGGAACGAGATAGGATAGCGTCTTCCCGGTCCCTGTAGGTGAAATTGCGGCTAGATCACGTCCCTTAACGCACTTCAGAAGAGTTCCCATTATTACATGCATTTAAGCGTACCTGCAACATGATTGGTGTAGCGTAAGACTGGATATCTGTTGGAGACGAGTATCCATACTCCTTCAAATTTTGGATGATACGTGGGGAAACATCGAATTTCTCTTGCAATGCTTCAAATGTGTGCACTGGGTCGGAAACATTCGTTCCTTTGACGGTAACACGGTGTCGCGGTTGACTCGGCCCTTCCTCCTTATGGACAGCATCGAACTTAACTCTCTTCGTCTCCTCTCTGCTTGCTTCGCCGTTCTCATGCGAAGAGGATGCTTGTCGTATTTTCCTTTTTGGTGCAGCCCCTTGGGTGTATTTGAAGAAATCCAGCTCCGAGGGTAGATCGCCTCTTGTTTTCCCTTCAGATCCGATTTCTGAGGCCTGTTCGTATTTTCTCTATAAGAAAGCATGTCAGCAAGAGAAGCACTTATTAAAAAAATAAACTCGTACATCGAATAGTTGCACGTCCGCCTTGAATCGTTTCTTGTCGAACTGAACCCCACCCCGTGAGAGCAATTGAAATGATTCCATTCTGCTCTAATCCTAGATTCCGAAGTAGTCGGGATAAATCCCTCAGGTAACTCAGGTAGCCGGAGAAAGATGTGGTGAAATTATGAAGCACATGTAATTCTTTGAAATTTAGGACTTGCCTAGCACGTGATGAATTAGATACGGGCCGCTGTTTTGCGGTTCCGAGCTTCACAAGGAACATCACCAAAACGTGCAGAGTCTGACAAGGCAATATATTTACATGTAGACTTTATAAGCGAATATAAGGATCCACAATATGTAAAAAATATATGTCTTAGCAGTAAATTCCAATACATTTTCGTGTTCGATTTGGTGATGTCAACGTCTACGTGAACTGTGTCATTTAGGCCCCATCTTCGTTCCTTTCTTGTTGCTCAGAATACTCTATTGATCGACGGATTCTGTAAAAGGGCTGCATATGACCACGTCTGTTTGCTTGTGTTTCATACCCGTGACTAGAGAAGCAGGTAGCATTATGTCGACAAAAACACGTTCAAGGCCTCAGACGTGTCGCGCTGTCCTTCAATTTCGGAGGAATACTTCTTCAGCGTTCCGCGGGCGATTTGACCCGGGAAGACCCTCTGGACTGCTAGCGAACCGAGCAAAAATATGGAAGGGTATAAGTAGGAAATATTCGACAGTCAGTCTTGACGTGGCGGTTAACCATGTCTGGTCTCCTCAAGTATATCGTCTATGCTTTATCTGCCTACACCGTTGCCGTCTCTGGAGAAAGCGTGATCGTTCCAGGTGCGGCTTGGACGGACACAAGCGGGAATATCATACAAGCTCATGGGGCTGGTATCCTAAAGGTCTAACTTCTCGGTCCTTCCACGCACCTACCTGGTCTCAGACTTGCCAATTTCTTAGGTCGGCTCGACCTTTTACTGGTTCGGAGAAGACAAGGCAGCAAACAGCGCTTTATTCTCTGCGGTCTCATGCTACACAGTAAGACCATCCAACGTCAAGCAGTGTAAAAATGATTTCTGACTCCTATGGTCATTGTATGCGACAGTCCTCAGACCTTGTTAACTGGTCTCGTCAAACAAATGCATTGACTCCGACATCAGGGACAATGATTTCCAGTTCAAATATTGTTGAGAGGCCCAAAGGTACTGTGTTGTGTTGTGTTTAGACGCACAGTGTATAACCATATCTATTACCAGTCATATTCAACGAAAAGGTATTACACAAATCTTACCCATACAATGCGAGTAGGGTCGTTCTAAATACATTTCAGAATCAAGAATATGTGATGTGGTTCCACTCGGATACTTCCAAGTACATTTTAGCTTAAAATTGTTTGAGCACGGGAGTTGATACCCAGCTTAGCTATGGCGCCGCAATGGTTGGTGTAGCGACAGCGAAAACTCCATGTGGTTTGTACTCACTTCGTTGACTGTAGTATCTTACCCATAATGAGATTTCTCAGGTCCATATTCATACAAATCGAGCTGGAAGCCGTTGGGAGCAGATTCTCGCGACGAGGGTCTTTTCCTGGACAGTAAGACGCGAAGGGTTTCCTTCGCAGTACTGCTAGTACTAAAATCCTGTTGCTCCTTCCGCAGCTGATCGTAACTCACTCCTTGTATGACGGCTAACTTTTTCTGATGTCGATTTGCAGAGTCTGCGTATCTACTTTACGCATCCGACAACAATCAGAATTTCAAGATTGCACAGTTGGACACGAACTATTATAACGTCACTTCAGTAGTCTCCCAACTCAACGGTACGCAAGTCAATATATTCTTGTTTGTGGGCCCATAATATTCACCTCCCAAATTAAGGCGCGACGTTGGAGGCGCCAGGGATAGTGAAACGAGACGGAGTAAGCAACTCGCAACTCGTCTTTGACGTTGTTTTGAAAGCTGATGTCATTAATAGGCCTACTGCCTAATTGCATCTCACACAAGCGGTTGGGATCCCAACCCCAATAAATTTTTCAAAGCATCGGTGAGTCGTACCCTTCGCTATTTCTGAACGCACACATGAGTTTATGGTACCACAGTCTCTCTCTGGCCCCTGGTCGTCGCAAGCAGATATCGCCCCGGAAAGTACAAGGACTTACTTTTCCCAGAATGCCTTTGATTTGCCATTGGGCTCCAATGCTATTTATATGGGTGACAGATGGAGACCATCCCTTCTGGGAAGTAGCCGCTACATTTGGTATCCCTTGGACTGGTCGTCTGGCTCACCTCAGATCGTTCCTGCTGATGTTTGGAGCGTTAACGTCAATGCCGGGACCTATACAGTGGCATCTGGTACGGCATATGAAGCTGAAGCTGGAACAATTTCAGGCAGCGCAACCGTCCTCAGCGATTCATCCTTCTCTGGCGGGAAAGCGGTTGGCTATTTGGGTATGAAAGAGGTCGTAAAGCAGTCATGACAATTTTTGACGTGTTGAATAGGCAACGGTGGTTCAGTAACTATCAACAACGTCCAAGGAAATGGTCAGGGACAATGGGTCTCACTATATTATGCAAATGGCGATTCAACTTGGAGGAACACTACTGTTAGGTAAATACCTTAAATCGTGACTCGTACCGCCCAAACACTAATGTTTCGCCGCAGTGTGAACGGCGGGCCAAGTACGGTTGTCGACCAACCTAATACAGGTGGGGGTCATGTCATCCTTAGCGTGCCTGTCAAACTGGATTTGCGAAATGGCGCAAACTCGGTGACGTTTTCCGCCGGTCAAAGCAGTGCGTGCAATGCTGTCTGATATCCAGGATCAATGCCAATTTGCGATGACTTTTAGATTATGCCGCTGACTTGGACAAGATTATTGTCTATCAGCAGGGATGAAACAACTGCAATCAGCTCATAGTTGTCAAGGAGTTCTGAGAAGCAGTAGTTGTGTACTGTCAGTGTAGTACAATGCCTGAACGAATATCCGGAATAAAAGTTGTTAGTAATGATACGTCATCATCCCTTCGATAGCCGATCTGCCGGTGTACCGAGTAATATATTCTCACTGAAAATTCATCTTTCATCCCATCAATCAGCACTCCTTTTCTCCAGTCCCATGCGTCGACGGCGTCGCTAGACTTCTCTCCATTTACTTTCTTTCTTCTATAGAGGCATAGACTAGACATTTAGATATGACTAGATCTCAGTACCCATTCTGGCTCGGTGGTGTTGCGGCTTCGATGGCAGCATGTTGCACACACCCACTAGACTTGACCAAAGTGTACGACTAGCTCGTCTATTTTATCCGTTTCTTGTTCCTCATGAGGATCATCCATTCCAGTCGGATGCAGACGCTAGCAAATAAATTATCCGGTCCCAAACCACCCTCGACTTTCCGTGTTCTTCGAATAGCCATCACAGAGTCAGGAATACGCAGTCTTTACACCGGCCTTACAGCATCGTTACTACGACAAATGTCATATTCCTTGGTCCGTCTGGGAAGCTATGATGAGATAAAGAGGCGGCTGGCAAGAGATGGTGTCCCCAGCACAGGACAACTACTGTTCGCTGCTGGTCTTGCTGGCGGCTTGGGTGGTATTGCAGGAAATCCCGCAGGTATGTCCAGACCATGCTATTCTATGCTGCTTTTCAACCTTTACTACCCGTCATTATTTGATAGACATTCTTTTGGTTCGAATGACAACAGACCAATTACGTCCTCCGACCGAGCGGTTCGGTTATTCTAATGCGTTGAGTGGATTGGTGAGCCTTATCAGACAGGAAGGGGTAAAGGGTTTGTACAGGGGACTTGGGACCAATACTGTAAGTGTCATTAATATCTCTCATACTATCAAATTAATTTTTCTAAAGTCCAGAGCGGTCTTGATGAACGTGAGTCGTCATGGTTTTGTTTAATATTGTCTTCAGACGGACCTTCTTTAGATATCACAGGTTGGGTCGTGAGTATTTGGATTCTCCGGAATTATGCAGCTTTTCTGATACTATCTTTTCAGCTATGACTTTTTCAAGCAACGCCTACTTGGACGACGTTTACAACCCTTTGATTATCAATTCCGGGACGGTGTTGGCTTGCATTGTGCAGCCAGTGTGAGCGCTGGGTTTGTCGCTACAAGTTCGTAATCAACCGGCAGTTGTCAAGTTTTCTCAAGTTTCCTCACCGATGAAATTTTCTCAAGCCATCTGCGCCCCTTTTGACGTGATGAAGTCGAGACTGATGTCCGTCGTAAGTAAACTCGTTCAACAGTCGGTGTCAGGTTTATTAAAAAAATGGGTTTAGTCTCATAATGCAAGCGTGGTGGAAGTCTTTGTCAAGTCAATGAGAGAGGAGGGCCCTCGATTCCTATTTAAAGGATGGACACCCGCTTTCATTCGCCTCGGTCCGAACACAGTTCTGCTCTTTGTTTTCTTCGAAGTAAGTAATCCACATACGGCAATTGTCTCCATGTGTTGCGAGCGATCTGATACTTTAAATAGCAATTGAAGAAACTATGGAGTAACTGACGACTCGATTACTGCACAACTTCGTTCTGTCCACCTTATTCTCACTAATTGGTATTGGAAGAAGTATAGAAACAAACATAGATTGCTTTTTTTCTCTCGGCGGAATAGCGGATTCTGTTTACATTCTGCAGGCGCACCAATAATTTACCTCCTGTACGAGTTGCGTTCCGGTGAGATCGCGGTTAATAGTCATTCGCACGCCTACGACCGCAACAGCCTGGATATTACAACTTTACGCGGTTCAATGGAGTAACTGGAAGCTTAACGAATGCATCTACCATTCGTTATCGAACGAACCGTATTCACCTTATCATTTTTGGAAGGAGCGTAAACTATAGCAATACCAATACAAGAGTAATGCAGTACACTGTATTTGTCAGTGTAAGAGTCAAAGCTTTGAAAGAGAAGAAAAAACTCAAGATGTTTGGTGTCGGGAGGCGTGCGAAAACACCGATTTTGTGCGTCTTGCACGGGGTGCGCGTTAGGTAAGCAACCAAACACGCCACGCGTCGTTTTCATGCACCGCGTCGCTCTGTGACTTGCTCTCTTCTACCAATCTCCTCTGCTTTTTGTCTTCTCCTTTCTGAACGTCTTCTCATCAAGCAATGGCGAGTCACGACAACACCGAGGAGCTGATTGACTACGAAGATGAGCAGGACGTGATCGCTAACGGCGCTGCTGCTGTTTCAAATGGTGCTGCGGCAGGTGATGGTGACGACAAAGAGAAGAAAAACTTCTCTGGCATCCACTCGACGGGCTTCAGGTGAACTTTTTCATACTTGTGGAAGTTACCAGCTTGTTGACACTGCCCACAGAGACTTCCTTCTGAAACCAGAGTTACTTCGTGCCATCAGTGACCTCGGTTTTGAACATCCTTCTGAAGGTGATTATTATATTTTCACTATCTACCTCTTTGCCGCACACCTCAAATTCTTTGAAAACTGATGGTTTATTTTGTAGTTCAGCAGGAGTGCATCCCTCAGGCTGTTCTTGGAATGGATGTTCTCTGCCAGGCAAAATCCGGCCATGGAAAAACGGCAGTGTTTGTACTGGCGACACTCCAACAACTTGAACCAGTCAACGGCGAGGTGTCAGTGCTTGTCCTGTGCCACACCAGAGAGCTCGCCTTCCAAATTAGGAACGAGTATAACCGGTTTGCGAAGTACATGCCTGATGTTCGCATTGCAACTTTCTACGGCGGCACACCAGTTCAAAAGGACGCGGAAATTCTCAAAGACAAAAGCAAATGTCCTCACATCGTTGTAGCAACGCCCGGCCGACTAAATGCGCTCGCAAGAGACAAAATTCTTTTGCCTACACACGTGAAACACTTTGTCCTCGATGAGTGTGATAAAATGCTCGAACAGCTCGGTTAGTCTCGCGCACAATTTCGGCCCAATAATCCCTTTCTCCGCCTAATGGCACCGTTGCGACTTATGATGGCCTTAACGCATCCTTCCCTGCGGCCATCCTGCCGTTTATTGACTATGCTGCATTAATCAATATTCGCCTCGAAAAACTGTGCGAGTACACATTCGCCCGTGGATGAATGTTCTTTTCGGGACATGATGCTTTTGAACGGTTGAGGCAACGAAACATGGAAGGGATATTCGTTGCGTTGTTGCGGATCAGAATCTTCATTTTTATACTCCTTTCTGTCCCATTGACGATTTCGACAATATCTCACACTTCGGCCACTCTGCAGACATGCGTCGTGACGTTCAAGAGATCTTCCGCGTAACCCCGCATCATAAGCAAGTTATGATGTTCTCCGCGACTTTAGCTAAAGATATCCGAGTAACGTGTAAGAAATTCATGGCGAACGTGGGTATTCTTTATCTCCAGAAATCCTTTCTTTCTAACATCCATGCTTGCAGCCTCTCGAAATTTTCGTGGATGACGAGACGAAGCTCACCCTGCACGGGTTACAGCAGCATTACGTCAAACTTGAAGAAGCTCAAAAGAATAGGAAGCTCAACGAACTCCTTGATTCATTGGAGTTCAACCAGGTTTGTTTTTTTAGTTCTTACCGAAACGTGCCGTAAGCTGAGTCGCTATAGGTTGTCATTTTTGTTAAATCTGTAGCACGTGCTATCGAGCTTGACAAATTGTTGCAATCCTGCAACTTCCCAAGTATTAGCATTCATTCTGGTTTGGCACAAGAAGAGCGGTATATAATTGATTCATTTGCTCAAAGTTGCATATTTTCTGACTTATTCGACAGTATCAACCGATACACTGCGTTCAAAGCATTTGAAAAACGAATTCTGGTAGCCACAGACATCTTCGGCCGTGGTATCGACGTTGAGCGTGTCAACATCGTCATCAATTATGACTGTCCTCCGGATGCAGACAGTTATCTCCACCGTGTTGGGTGAGTCCTAACCCGGGATTTCCTACAGTTCATATGTTCATTATTTTTGTCGCTCGAAAGGCGTGCTGGACGCTTTGGTACAAAGGGTTTAGCTATCACCTTCGTGGCTTCTGAGGCAGATCAGACGGTTATGAGCCAGATCCAGGCGAGGTTTGAAGTGGCCGTTCCAGAGTTGCCGGAGAAAATTGATTCCGCGAGCTATAGTAAGCTTTGTTTATACATGTTGATGCAATTAATCAATCTGACATCATGGTCACTAGTGACATCGTGAATGGAGGGTTAGGTTTGAAGAGGCTCAGCCAATAGCTTTGGTGGTTTAATGTCTCAATTCTGAGTGTTATGCACTGCTTACGTTCATCTCGATCGCCTGTAATATACGTATTCTTTTAACCAACGAGTTCGGCGTTTAACGTTCGTGATCGCAAATAAGTGTAAATAAGATCCGCAGAGACAGTTGAGGGCCTGAGAGCGGAGACACGCCAGACTCAATGCATCAACGAGGACGTCATCCCTCTGCCCGTTTCAGTCGGATTGTTCCGTCCGTCCCGTGATGGCAATCGAGTCTCCCCACTGTTCTCCAGGTCCAGGATCCTCTTGATCCCGGCTATTGACCAAGTCATCACTTGTCGTACAACAACATAAAGAACGGCGATTCAGATCGACCCTGTCGGCCAGTTAATCACCTTCGTCTCAAATGAGGAGGAAGTTGGTGCAGCCCGTGCTGCCAAACCTATTCTTCAGAGACGGCGAGCTTGCGATCCCTGGTTACGCATTTGAAACAGTACGTGGTCGCTCTCATTGAATATCAATGTGCTTAGTTAACTTGCTTTGAAGGCCCATGAATGGTCTGATACGGGTTCCCAGACAATTTTGGCTGTAGGAGTCGACTTGCGAGATGGTCAGAATGTCTTGGCTAAGATCGCGCCAGCCGTGAGTCGCTTTTCTCCGTGATGCATTTTTACATAAACTTCATATCTTGATTCTCATATTTCTTTATGAAAGTCCGGGAGCGGAGCAATTTGCCTGGTGCGCACTCCGATTACACTTTATTTGTATTACTCGTTATTCATTATCTTGCTTGCTTCAGGAGCGCGAAGCTCATATGTGAGCAGAATTCTATTAATTTTATTGGATAAGGATTTCAAGTGTTAAATAAACGCGCAAGTCTTGACCAGCTTTCCGGCACATCGGAGGCTACCAGCATCGTACTGCGCGTCATAGAACTCATGACACTCCCGAGGTCTGTCACTTGGCAACGGTCCTGATTCTTAAAAACGTCTGCGTCTGACTGTCCTGTCATTTTTTAAAAGAGAGAGCGGAGACTGCGTCATCCTGCTTGTCGCGTATCCTGGTCCCAATGACCTCGGCCGCTACTTCCCTCCGTCAAAAGTGAACGAACTTCTCCTGGCGACCACCCCGGAAAAACACTCTTCAAAGCCTCAGGACGACGTGTACTCGGGCAACGCTAGCGAAGAAGATTCCCAGGCGGATTACGATGATTATACCATGATGGATCTAGCGTCGTTTCTGGAGTACGTTCACTGATTGTTTCGGAAGTTCGGCGCTTATTTTCCACGTTAGATTCGCTATTCAATCAACGCATTGCTTGGAGCTTGTTCATAAGTAAACCATTTTATTTCATCATAGGAAAGTGTTGAGTGACTCACTGTTCTTAGACATGGCATCATCCACCGCGAAGTCCGCGCTAATGCATTTCATTTGAACGGCCATTCGGGTTTGGTGCGATTTGCGCACTTTGGGAACCGATCAATCTCGCTCGAGCAACTAGGTGGTCCTTCAGCTCTAGTGATCGCGGCGGATACTTTGGAAGAACTTTCGAAACGGAAAGTCAAGGAGGCACTTTGCTATCTCGCTCCAGAACAGACTGGAAGTGTGGAAACGGCGCACGAAGATCATCGGACTGACTTATATTCGCTTGGTATAATGCAGTTTGATGTTGATATGCCGAGTTTTGGCTGAAATTTTCCTTAGGTGTCCTGTTCTGGACGCTGCTAGTCGGTCATGGACAGATGCCATTCGAAGGAAGTCCGATGGAGATTCTTCATGCGATTGCTCAAAGGCGCCCCATACCCGTTCACGAGTTTAGAAGAGACATACCACATGTTGTTGCCCAGATCATTGAAAAAGTAGGCAAAGAGAACTGCATAAGGAATTGTCTGACTGGCACATATAGTTACTCGCAAAGAGCCCAGATGCCCGATATAACAGTGCGTACGGGCTGAAAGCTGACCTTCTGGAGTGCCAGCGAAGGCTCTTATCTGCTGTATCATCTGTCGTTTCCGAGCAATCTATGGAGGTACGATCTATGCACAGAGAATACACAATACAAACTAATCCCGGCCCGGACTAGCTTATTCCATCTTTTGACATAGCCTTGAATGACAAATACCTTGTACGTGGTTGTTTCCCGCTATTCCGCAGTAAGTTGTCGATTGAACAGTGCGGATTTATTAGGGTTTTACTATTCCGAACGTTTTGGTGCGTGGGAGCTCCGAGCCTTCATCTGACAAAGCCGTTCTCGTTATATTCTAAGAAAGAAATCTTAGTTCGGACGAGACAAGGAGCTTGAAATCATCCGTGGTGTCATTCGACAAGTCGCCTCAAGTCATGCACGTCAGTTTGGAACACACAGGCCTTCGTTCTCGACGTCTTATTCTGCTGGTGGCAGCCAGCAAGCGCCGTCTGTACATACCGATGTACCTGATGACCGTAGCGAGTCAGCGATATCATCAAGCATCTCTGGTTCACCATCTAGTGTCGTTGTAAGTTTAGCAGCTGGGCCTAGTATAGCATCCGAGAGCACTACAAGGCCAACTACCGCGAGGCATAGCCAAGCTCGAGAGGGCAGTCCTATCTCATTATCGTCTCTAGGACTGGAACGTCATCGTTCTCGAAATAGTCGCCATGCATCCCGGACCCGGGCAGCACGAAGCGCAAGTCCGTATGTTCTTCAGCAGTTCAAAACGAGGTTTTAATTTATGTGGTGATCGGTACAGCTCGCTCCGTCGTTATTGCAGGTCCTGCAGGGTCAGTATCATTTTATATGGCCTTTACGACTCGTTGATATGTTAGACAGGGTTGGGAAAAGTTCCATAATTCTCGCGAACCAGACAAAGTGGAGAGGTATGTACGAATTACTATAAATGACTCACGCTTATTGTCTTTTCTAGCACATGGGCTTTGGGGACACGCAAAAGTGAGGCTATTCATATGTTGGTTCTGCGCGCTAATAATTTATATTGTGTCAGTTTCAAAAGCAAACGACAGCCCCATTCACTGCTATAGTAAGTGTAGGACCAGCCTACCCGAACTAAATATTTAAATTTCCTCTTTCAGCTACAATGTCTTTCTTCTGTACTTCGGCAATTGATGATTTTCCAGACGGACATACAACGCTTCGTAATGACTTTACGGAGTAGGCTAGGGCCTCTCTTGAATAATGCGCCTTTATTGTACCAAGGTGCTCCAGAGTTTAAGGACATGCTCAAAAGGCACGGGGTGGACATTAATACCCCAGACCTCGAGCTTCTGTCCACGGCTGAGTTACGCGTTCGCTTTCAGACGTTAGTGGAGCAAGTCTTCGCCGTCCTGGCTGATGTCCGACTCCTCGCCCTATTTTTGGATGATCTTCATGAGGCAGACGAATCGTTCGTATACTTCTCAGACACGGCTATCCTCTTGTTCTAATTTTTCACTTTCTGAAGATCATTGGACCTTGTACAGGCTCTTGCAAATTCGAAAAGCCGGATGGTAAGCTGTTCAGATTCACTAGTTTCTAAACGATTCACTTCATAATACGATACTAGCTTATCTTGGGTTCGGTGAGGTCGGAAGATCCGTGAGTTTAGTTCCATCTTAACTCTCTTTTCTACATAATGATTTTTGGGAAAGTGCGAAGGTAGACCGACTTCGACAAGTATTAGGGAGCAAGTCTCGGGTCACTTGGATAACCCTGGAGCCAATGAGTGCAGCTAACGTTCTTTCTCTTGTTTCGAAAACTCTACGACGCTCCAAAGACGACTGCGTTCAGCTGTCACGAGTCGTATATCGAATCTCGCAGGGTAATGCATTTGCCGTTCGGAATTTCCTCATGTCTCTGTATCGACATCATCAGGTCGGTAAAACCGGAATATGCTGGAATTGTATTATCTTATGAAAGTATAACAGATCGTCTTCGACTGGCAATCAAATTATTGGACATTTGACTTGAAGCAGATAGAAGCTAATCTTGTTTCCGAGCAGCCGTTGACATTGCCTGATCAGCATATATATCTTGTGTCGCATTGGCGAGAGCTACCGAGCGATGCACAGCGCTATTTGATTTGGGCAAGTCATTTTGGATCTACGTATGTGTCCATGCTTCACACCATATAGACGGATTCTCAATATCTATTCACAGGTTCAAAGCTGATGAGGTACACATCTGAGTCAAAGACACGTTGTTCACTTACTCACATTCGTTCAGGTGGCATCCGTGATTGATTGGGAGGACTCAAGTAGTGGAAGTGATGGCGAGTCCGAAGCAGACGAAGCATGGCGATCACAACCGGTACCCAGTATGAAAGAGCTGACAGGTCGAAGTGCTACAAGATCTTCCATAAAGGGCTTGCAAGCAGCTATAGCGGAAGGATGGCTTATGCAGAGGGCCCGTGACATGTGTTCCTTCGCTCATGACAGGCATCGGCAGACAGCTATCGCCATGGCAGAAAAACTGCCGGAGGGTACTATAGCAAATATGTCTCTTAGAGTAAGTTTTACATAACGTGCTTGTTCGTGAGCCAAAGAATAACTCGACTTAACGTACAATTGCCCTAGATAATTCTTATGCTACGTCAAGATGAACGAGTAGTCGACCCTTATCGTATAGCAGAACATGCCAAACGGTAGAATGATTCTGGTGCAAGTTTTACACTACTTGACTTTCTTCCTACCAGGTGCCTTAATCTCATAAAGGAGAATCATATCAGAAAGGAAATTCTTGGACAGTTACATGAAGCTGGTCTTGCCGCGTGGGCCCGCGGTGCACACGAGGTTTTATACCAGTGTCGGTATTTATGACTTTACTGATTCCCTCTTAATCATAGCTTGCCCTTGAAACGCTGAAGAACGCTCAGTTTCTGCTAACAGACGAAGATTGGGTAGTCGACTACTCAAGGACTTTCGCTCTTTATCTTAAATTAGCTGAGTAAGACATTTATTTGGTCCTTTGTAACAATTGACTCATTATAGTTCTAGGCTTCATCAGTGGAAAGGTATTCCAGTTCCTAAAAGTTTAATGAAACCAATTGTTCACATATTGTTTTATTTTGGTAACTGCTTGTAGGTGATGTTGAAGCGTCCAATGTGTGTTTGGCGGAGAGACAGGCGAATACCCCGGAAGACAAAGCCCGGAGTCTCAAACTTAGGAGTAGCAATGCCTTTTTATTGAATGACTTCGCTGGAGGCCTAGAAAAGACTATTGAGGCTCTTGAATTACTTGGCTTGAAAGTCAACTTGGACCCATCAGCAGAGGAAATGGATGCATTATTCGAAGAAGTGAAGACTGCGATTTTAGCTATCGGGTTTGAAAAACTCGTGAAGCTTCCTCGCGTTGATGATCCTCGCGCAGAGCTTATTATCCAACTTCTTACTGTTGCAAGTAAGGAATCTAATATGTTCTTTGCACCTGTTTCTACTATCTAATACTTGTTCCTCCTAGTACTAAATGCATACTGGCGTCATGGCGATGGATTTTCCGATGTGATACTTCTCAGCCTCACGATCATAAAGGCGGCTCTGAGGTGAATGAAATCTTTTGTAATACTGACATCTGTCTTACTATGCAACTAGTTCTGGAATGTGTGCTGGAGTATCAATGGGGTTTTTTTGGGCTTTAGGAGGTCAGTCATGAGCGTCATCGTGCTCAATACAAAAATTGAAAATAGAGGACAGCGTCTGCCGAGCAGCGTGGTCTCTACGACTTCTCGAGAGAACTTGGCCAAGCCGGGCTCCAGATAGCAGATGCGCATGGCACTAGCTCAGACAAATGGTCTGCCATTGCATTATTCTATTCCTAGTACTTCTCTCTGATTGAGAATCTCTTTCATACAGTCGTGCACTTGGTTAGTTCACATTCATCTTCATTCGGCCTGTTAGTCTGAACCTCTAGTTATAAGTGTTATACTGCTCTCTGGTGAGAAATCCGTATCGATGACATAAAATTGTGTTCTGAGAAGCTTCAGGTTTCCGGCTACGACAACGTCCATATCAGAGAGAATATCCCTCGATGTGAGCTAGCTCTGAAGTATGGCCTGTCTAGTGGAGACAGGTATAGTCAAATCTTGGCATGTATTTGGGTGTAATTCTAATGGCGCATACAGGGTATTTGCCGAATTTGCACTTATCCACGGTATCTTGAATCGATTTTTCTGTTGTGAACATCGTGAGCGAAACTCACCTTTAATAGAATTGACCCTTGACTGACTTCAATCTAGTCGGAGAACTCTTACCAGAAGCAGAAGACGTATGACTCTTATACTTGAGAAGCAAGCTGTTTTATCTGAGCCAGTCCATAGGCAGTAGACGATATTATATCCTGGACACCTAAATCGGATAGACTTACCTTTGTGAGTCTTTTGGACTTTTACTACTCCGGGTTGCTCAGTTTGTTTCGTAGGCAAATGGAATATTGATGCTTATACGAGCTATCAGTGGCAATACTGTTCATTATTCTTCAACAGCACCATCAGCTTCAATACTCTTTGACACCGAGTCATTTAATGAACAGGATTACTTACAGCACGTATTACTCACGTCGAATAACCCGCCATTGGTATTAGGCTGGTACAATGCTTTCAAAGTTGTTGGACTTTTTTGTTTTGGGTATTTCTCCGAGGCTGCCGAATTTGGATTTTCGGTACTTGAATCGGCCAGACGTCATCCAAACCACCGGCATATACGGTTCTCTCTTTGTTATCACAGTCTAGCCATGATCAACTGTATTAGGGAAAACCATCTGTCTGATATTCAACAAGAGCAATATCTGAGGCAAATTGATCTGAATCAAGCATTCATTCGCAAGTACGTCTACAAGCATTTCTATGTCAACGATTGACTCTACCCTCATTCCAGATGGTTAGCATCGAGTCCAGTCAACACTTCGACTTGGATTGCTCTTGTGGTACGTAGTCTCACAGCCGAAAGTAATTCGCGGATTCAGATAGATGCTCTTGTCCAGGACGCCGAACTCGCTGCTCTGAACGATGATCCAAGTGCACTCAGAAAGTATGACGACGCTGTAATGTACGTCCTTCTCAATCCATGGTAGACGGTGCTTTAAGCATAGCGAATTCAGGTCTGCACACGAACATAGCTGGCTCTTTGAAGAGGGTTGGGCTCTCTTTCTGGTACGTGATTTAACAGGATGTTTATAGAAATACAGGCTGTTAAGAACCCGGTAGCAAGGAAGCTATTTAGTTCGTACGGGTAAGTTAGAGAGAGCCCTCCTCAAATGTGCGTTTCTCATTTGTATTAGGTGTTTCTGGCCTCGGCAATGAACTTCGACATCGAGGTATCTTAAAACAGTCTAAGTGGGGTGCCAGAGGCATTGTGTATGACGTCCCTCCTTGTTTGACAGACCTTATCCATTCTAAGGCTTTTTGCAGCAAGTATCTTTCATCCATTGCTGGGGCGTCTGCTGAAAAGACCCGGAAGACGAGCATCTTCTCGTCAGATGTAGGCGTTCAGACGGAGAACGTGATAATGAATTTGCGTCAATCAGCGTTGACAGATGAACTGCCCGGCGAAGATTACCGTGGCGAAGAAACCAGTCGATTGACATCATCCGATCTCTCGGCTATTCTTCGTTGGAGCAGTGACATCGCTTCTGACATAAATCTTTCCTCAGCTCTGCGAAGACTGACAGAGATTGCGGCCGAAAGTTCAGGAGCGCATTGTGCTTGCGTTGTCATGGCTCGGGAACGTGACTATACGGTAGCGACTTCGATGGTACCACCCGGTATGCTTAGAACAACTTATCGTTGCTAGTCTTCTGAGACTTTCTTTATTTTTATTTTTGTTAGCGCCATGTGTCGTGCATGAGTAAGATTCCACGCATTGATCTTCCTCGCATATACTTTATCTACCTTTAACATAGGAACCCGAAGCACATTCGGACAATATCAGATCCACTTCAGCGAACAGTAATAGAACATTGTAGGTCCCTTATCTGACTACCATGCAGAGATAAATGCTAAAATTATACAAGGTCTTAACTCGAGATCTCGCGTGGTTTTTGATGACATGGCACTCGATTCTCGATTTGCTGCGGAAGCTCAGTATAGCCCCTATAGAGCCGTTATTTGCTTGCCAATATACAGCAATCGTGGACAGACATTTGGAGCGGTCTATCTGGCATCAAGATATTCGTTCCTGCAGTCAACCGTGGATATTCTCACCTTATTCCTTCAACAAGCTAGCACCAGGTGTGTCGAAGTATATAGACCCATCCAAGATTCCTATGGTCTTACGTCCTTATTTTTTTTGCTTAGCATATCTAATGCTCTTCTCTTTCGCTCGGTTCAAGCAGGCAAGTGGGACACGGGTTAAGACTACCTTAATAAAAGACCCTGAATGTGTATTCCTAGGGACACGCGAAAACCTCAAGATGATTTCATCCCAGCGAGCTGCACTAGAGGAAGCGCGACGAAGTCGAGAAGAGGCGCTGAAGGCATCGAAAATCAAGAGTAATTTCCTAGCTTCAATGAGTCACGAGCTTCGTACTCCTTTCAGGTATGCACTCGTAAATTGTATAGTTCAACCAACTGACACCTATACCTTGCGGACAGCTCTTTTTACGGACTTTTGGATATTCTGGCTGGCACCGAATTAAATGCAGCACAGCAAGAGATTGTAATGACGGCTAAAATGAGCTGTGAACTCCTGCTTAAGGCATGGAATTTAATTTATTGTCTACAATATATTGTTGACCTGACAACACCCCAGATCATAGATTCCATTCTAGACTACAGCAAATTAGAAGCATCTGGTCAGTTCCGGTTTTTCGTGCTCGCATGTTTACCCATGTTTAAAGACCTGCAGCTCTCAAACTAGAATTTTCTGGCTTTCCTGTGGAGAACATTATTGCTGTGTGTACTCCACAATAGTTTGTTACTTTCAAATTTTGACCCGTATTCTTAGGACTGCATGGAGCTGCTCCTTCCAATGGCAGCTAAGAAGCTCGACATGTCATTCGACATCAGACCAGAAGTCCCTACATGTGAGTAATTCAAGCCCTTTTACATGAATGATTGTTAATTTGACAAATGGCATAAACATCAGGGGTAGAGGCCGATTATGCTCGGATCCGTCAAGGTGTGTAGAGCCAAATAGTATCCTGAGACCGAATTTGACATTAGCCTCAGTCCTAATGAATCTGATTGGCAACGCCGTTAAATTCAGTGAGCAGACCTATCCCATTGATCCGTGCAATGCTAACTCATCGAATTTTGCAGCTGCATCTGGCTTTGTTCGCGTCGTCTGTTCTGTGGACCAGACAAGGATGGCTCAAGCCGAGGAAGGGCATGTGTTCCTGAAGTTTACTATACAGTAATTGGCTCTCACCTTATCATTGTCATGTCGTCCCTGAACTTTCCATTCTCAGAGATACCGGAATTGGGCTGTCAAAAGCGGACAGAGAACAACTATTTATACCATTTCAGCAAGCAGACACTTCCTCAACGAGAAAGTTTGGGTACGTGACTACGCTTACAATTTTAAGCATCTTCTCAATTACTACGATATTATAAAGTGGCACAGGCTTGGGATTAAGTATATCTCGTCAGCTCGTAAGTCTGATGAAAGGTGTTATCGGAGTTGAGGAAACCGAACTTGGAGTTGGGTCCCTTTTCTACTTCTCGATTCCTGTTAAGGTCTTCGAATCACAGGAGTCAAGACAGGCAGCTGGTAGGTGTTCGATTGTGATAATCATCACTCAACTAACTTCTGCGTCAGAGGACTTGGAGAATCTCAGACAGCTGCTCCTTAAACCACGACCTCCACGAATAACGATCTCGTCGCCTTCGGAAACGACCCGTTCCTTGTTGAATACCTTACTAAACGGCTTTTTTGTGACCTCACTAAAGTCTGTGGAAGAAGTCGAGTTGTCTTTGAAAAACACGGAGGCAAAGAGAACGGCACCGGATTTCATTTTGGTTGATGAACAGTCGGAGGCTCGTGTTAACGAGTTGGCTCAATATATTCGATTGACTTCTGGTGCTACCAGCGACCCAAAGATCATTCATCTTTTTACCCCTACGTCGGAGACCTTATCACGTCAACAATCGACTGGTGCTGTCCAAGCTGGCGTTGTCCGTTTCACAAAGCCACAGCGAAGGCTTCGTCTTCTGTCAGTAGGAAGACACTAATTCGGCGTGTGACGCTTGATTAATATTTACTCGTTCAGGCAAACTTTAGCGAGGCTGCGGGGCATCGGAACCGATGTATACCCGGGCCAACCGTCGGATGTTTCCAAGGCATTAGATGCGGAGACCTTACCTCCGAGAACGGTTTTTGGTAGAGTCTTGATCGCAGAAGGTACGTGATCCTTATTCTCGTCTCGATTGTGCCTTGAGTGACACACTTCTATCAGATAATCCTGTCGCCCAACAACTACTGAAGCAACAATTGGAGCGCCACGATCTGATCGTAACAGCAGCATCGAATGGCGATGAGGCTGTCAAAGGTGAATTCATGCTCAGATGATGACATTGATTGTACTCACAGGAATCATCAGAGTGGGAAGCACATGAACCCGGATACTTCTCAGTCGCCCTGTTCGACCACCGTAAGTTCTACCTATTATTCAGATTTGCCTTTAATTACTGGCTCCTTTCGATAGATATGCCAATATGCGACGGCATTGATGCTTGCAAACGGATCCGCCTTTTGGAGGGTAGAAACAAAGTGACGACAACTCTTCCAAGTATGCAACTGTCGTTTACTCTTTTCTTCGTCGATCTCTGACGTTGTTCCCGTACCGATAGTCGTGGCTTTGAGTGCAGATTGCCAAGAGTCAACGAAACAGCTATGCCTGAGCGCTGGGATGAATGCTTTTTTCTCCAAACCATTAAAGAAGGGTAAGTACACATGACCTTCAACAAAGGTAGACCGATTTTAACAAACGTGAATAGTCGATCAACTGAAGTTACTATCTATGTTTGGGCACCCCACATGAGAAACATAGAACGAAGGAATATTCATCGGTAGATTAATGTGTTATTTTAATAGTCTTCCAAGCGGAGAGTCGGAGCTTTTTGTTGTACAAGTATTGTGCCTGTCTATACGGTTTCCTTATCAAAGAAGCGGCGATGGTTGGCAAGCATCATGACGGGAGAGATCCAGAAGTTGCGCCGAGAGGCTGATCTGAAAAAAGCGAAAATAAACAATCCACAATAATTCTTGAACGAGGTAGTGGGATAGATACGCTTACATATATTGATTTGTTTTTCGTATGTCTATCTTTCACTGGTGTTGAAGGCGCGTTGTTCCCTTGGTCCAATTTCTTGGTTCATTGACCCATTTTCCGCAATGAGAAGATTGCCTATTTTGGTATCAGGTATTGACCCAGGTAACTATGGGCTTGAGGTGACTCACAAATTATTCTTGACTTCCATCTAGATCAGAAGATCCAGAAGCAAAGCAATGTCATTCGGAGTCTTAACTCGTCATGGACGTAAATCCGGTAACACGAAAGCGGTTGCATCACGTACACACGGACGACTTTAATTACTTCCGTTCGAAGTCGGATTCACACACCGGAATGACGCGCAAAGAGACCAGTAGAAGTCTTGGTTGAGACTGGCTGCAGTCGTCAATGCGGGCCATGATTACTTCGCACAGTATCATAGTATAAATGGACTTCGCACCCTCACCCTATATGACTGATATCCTATATCCCCACAACCATTTCGCCTTACGATTAGAGAGTTTATAGATGATATTTCGACTCTCCCTTTGCAGCATATGTTTTCTATCTGTAGTTGCCGCTACTCCAACAGAGAAGCTGCTAGATCTAGGCTTTGCCTTTGACTATACCCCAACTAGCGAGCCAGTCCCGATACCAACGACAAGTGAGACCTTAACTTCGCCCCAGTTTCCTGATGCCTCGCTTACTGGCCTCTCTTCCTGCAGCGCAGTGCGATTCTTTACAGTATGTGTCTTCTTAATAGGTATTTGGTCATATATCCTCAAACCCGAATGTTAATCCGTCCAGTCTCTCATGGGGCCGCGCCTCATTCACAACAGGGTAGGAAGGCTTACCCCAGGCATAATCATCAACGTTAATATCATATTGTTTTCTAGACCGAATCCTGTAGCACCGTACTACATGCAGGTCTATACGTCGTTCGTGTTGTCCAATTTTATCGCTAACTGAAATTCGCTGACTTCAGGACTTCAGGACATTTTTGTTCCCTTCAGTAAGACTCTACATCTTCTGCGCTTGCCAGTCTCTGATCAAATCCTCTATAGGTCATAAACGTTGGAAGTGATCTTCAGATTGTAAGTAATAAACATATACTTTCGCAACCTCCAAGCTTATACGAACCCCTTAGGATTGGCCGGTACCGTATGTCCCAGGGACTCAAGTAAGCAACTTAGTAAAGCCCTGCCTTAGCACTGTCTGAACAATTGGCGTGAAGTATCAAATTTGTATGGTGGGTACACTACTTCGTGTGAGTAGCACTCACTGACGACAAACAGTTCGATTCGAATGGTGTATCCGGAGGCTGTCAGCGAATGGATACAGTTATTCCTGCTGCGAATTCTACCTTGGATGACCCTCCTGTCTGCCAAAACTTGACTTTTCCTGCCGGTATTTTGGATGTGGATGCGCAGGATCACACTGGACCCTTGTACGCCCCACGAATGCAATGTATTCTACTTAATTCTATTAAATTCTCTTTCCTACACTCTACAGGTCTCAATACGGCTTTGTCGACCAGGTGTGTTATCATATGCGTTAGTATCTTGCGTCAGCTCTCAATAAAGCGCGTAAAGTGCACAGATATTAGCATTACACCAAAGAACGGGACGCCACCATTTACCTTGACGGTAGGTTTGCGTTATGCTATCTTCCGTACCTTTCATTATACTGAGCGATTTACCTTTAGGTTGCGCCGGCTCTCCACCCTCCATGGAATATTACTAGCAATGATATGAGCCCTATCAATTGGACAGTACAGCTAGTAAGCAAACTTTGCATTGGCAATTTTCCCATTGAATCTTATTTATTGCGTTACTGCAGTCTTGGGCATCGCCTTTTTTCATATCTCTGGTAGATGCGAATGGGCAAACTTGGGCCAACGGCCCTCTGCATAGTGGAGGAGAGGGTCCCACCGACTGTCTTGCTCTTGGTGCAAAGGAGTCACAGGAGTCAGGTTGTGGTCCCGATAAAAAAGCCATAGGTTCTGGGATTGGAGGTCTTATCGGAGGGTTAGTCATCGGGAGTCTAATCGCTTGGTTTACCCTCAAACGGCGTCGAAGTACACCGGTAATTGATTGCAATCTAAGCATTTCTGAAAAGGGGGGAGGCCGGAACGATGGCGAGTCAATTGATCCGTCGTATCCCTTTGCAGAGCAGGCAATATCCTCCTTTGATCATGCTATGGTACCGGCGTGGGTTTCCAGATGGCGCAGCCGTGTCGCAGAAATACGTGGTTCTGCTGACAATGTTGAGCCGTTTTCAATTACGGCGGCGTCCGGCGATGAACGTTTACCCAAACGAGGAGTTGGAAGAGGGAGCATTTACTCAGACCATGCGCCGCCTTGCCAATCAAATCGACGGAACACAATTGGCACACAAGTTACTGAGTCGGATCGGACTTTGACACAGGAGCGCGCGCCAACCACGAGCGGCCAGGTTTATGTCGTTCATCACGATGGAGGTCACGCACCAGTTACCGTGTATGCATCAGAAGGTGCAGAAGTGATTGAGCTGCCACCGCGCTACATCCCAGATGGTCCGCCGGTTGAAGGACACCAAGGAGCGGGTTCAAGCTCGGGGAAAGACTTGCCCGTCGACTGAGTTATTTCGGCGGTTTGTTTTTTTATGCATAATTATTGGACCGTGCGCAGGACGCCCGTTTTCTATGTGTCGTTATATGTGTCGCACCTGAGACAGTGGACAGGATTTGTTTTTCTCCGGGTGATGTCTGTAATCGTTATCTGCTGTACCTGTATTTGGTCCAAGCGCTTCTGGGCGGTTTATTTGTGATGTCAAGTATCTAAATATACTTTGTAACAAGATGGAAGTGATAATGTAGTTATTTTCTGAACTCCGACGACAGAAAGCCAAAACCTAAGCGCCGCCGATCGTCTGCGTGGCCTATTCCTGGAAACAATGATCATCGTTGCACAGGCAGGAGACGGAAACGGGTGATTACCGAATCGGTAATTGCGCGCTCATAACTTTCGCACAGTAACAAACCGTGCGTGCAGACAATCCTCGTGCTTACCTCCTACTGCGGCCGTCATCTTCCTTCTCAGCCTACGAGCCACCTTGCGTGGGCGGTTTAAATGCTTGCGCGACGGACCGTCTGCGCAGGTATTCTGTGTCTGACATCGCTTGCTGCTTCTGCAACGCAGACGTTCTTGGAACAGGGCTTCCAATTCGACTATACCCCATCAGGTGCTCCTGTGCCGATACCAACAACTGGTAGATTCTCGTTCTTTCAATTCACACATCTACTTGCTAACATCCTTCTCATTTTGTAGCACAGTGCGATTCTATACCGTATGTGTTTCTTTCAAGGTAATCTGCGTGTGCGCGTCTCAAATGCAATGATACTACTTCTAGTCTCTCATGGAGTCGGGCGGCATTTACGACTGGGTGAGCGGAGAACGGACCAATCCATTGAACAAGTATCAATCTTGATTGTACCTCATTCTCAAGGCCAAATCCTCAAGCACCGTACTACATCCAAGTCTACACTTCGTTCGTCCTTGCCTGTCCACCGTAGCGAACTTTACTGACCCTGTGAAAACTGCAGGACATTCCTTTTCCCTTCGGTATTCACTTCGCCGCCGTCACAGCGCTAAACAATGTCTAATCAAATGCTGTGCAGATTGTTAATGTTGGCAGCGGTCTGCAGTTCGTGAGTGATATTTTTAGACGTTGGTATCTTTAGCGTTTATCTGTGCGTTTTAGGATTGGCCGGTTCCCTATGTTCCAGGAACCCAAGTAAGTAACTTGATTAATCGTGTCTAATCAGCGCCTGATTGAGACCGTGAAAAGTATCAAATATGCATGGTGAGTACGGTAATCTTGGGCAAACCATCCATCTCTGACGTCAAACAGTTCGATTCAAACGGTGTATCTGGAGGCTGTCAGCGAATGGATACTGTTATTCCCGCCGAAAATTCCTCCTTGAGCAATCCTCCGATTTGCACAAACCTGACTTATCCAGCTGGTATCTTAGACGTGGAAGGAAAGGACCACACTGGGACTCTGTGAGTGAAATTAATCACAACGTCCTGCATAACCTCCTTTGTATTGACTGATTTGCTGGCAGGTCGCAATATGGATGGGTCGATCAGGTATTATCTATAAATGCACAAATAAATTGTTTTCATCCTTACAGATAATTAAACAGTGCACTGATATCAGTATTCAACCGAAGAACGGGACACCGCCGTTCACGTTAACTGTGGGTTTCTTTTGAATGAATCGGGTTCCGACAATAACGTAACTTCGACTATCTTAGGTTGCTCCAGCTCTTCATCCTCCTTGGAACATTACTAGTAATGACATGAGTCCTATTAATTGGACGGTACAATTAGTGAGCTTTCATCGCGACAAAAACACCCGCACCACTTATTTATGGGAATACTCTACAAATAGTCCTGGGGGTCGCCTTTCTTCATTTCCTTAGTTGATGCGAGTGGGCAAACTTGGGCCAACGGTCCGTTGCACAGTGGTGGCCAGGGCTCCACCGGCTGCCTTGCCTTGGGAGCAGACGCAAGCAGTGGTATTTCGGACTCCGTAGCCATCGGTTCGGGTATTGGAGGACTCATCGGTGGATTAGCCATCGGAGGTCTAGCCGCCTGGTTTATTCTTCGAAGGCGGCATAGCCCCTACCATGACTCGTACATGACTGATCGGATACACAGTGGTTATGGAAAGGATGGTGGTCAGGTAATGGATGGCTCGCTATACACTGCTGTACCTTCTGCAACACACGCTGCAATACCCACCGACCACACAGTTGACAGTCGGACTTCAGCAGGGACCGCTACTGCTAGCAGCCATCGACATCTTTTGCCTGGCTCTGGATACGAAATCGAGCCGTTCACATTGCCGGAGTCGTCCACAGAGGGTTTAATACCAAAGAGTCCAGCCACCGGCGGTACTTCTTCGGCAGACATCCCGCTCTCTCCAATGAGTCGACATAACCCAAGCAGTTCGCAAAATCATAGTCCCCAGCGATCATTGTCCTCAGGGCGCGCGGCAACGACGGGTGGCCAAGTTTATGTTGTACATCATGATGGAGGACGCGCACCCGTTACCGTGTATACATCAGAAGGTGCAGAGGTAATTGAGCTGCCGCCGCGCTACAACCCAGATGACCCGCCGATCGAACAACGCCGAAGAGCGGGATCTGCCCCCCGAAAAACACCCCGGAGTCCTGGATTAAGTTCAAGTAATGGGTAATATTCCGGTAATTCTACCCCCTTTTCCTTGTTGTACTGTCATTTGTGCATATCAATGGACACGAATCTCTGTTGGGTTGTCTCAATCCTATTTATCTACTTTCCACTTACTGGGACATCTGTTACTCACTTTCTTTGCTGGTTTTCTCTACTATACATTCGCATATTTTCTTGATTGACACTGTACGTCGATGTACATATTTTGGTGACTTACATGTAATGCACTTTGCAACACTTACGACCGTTGTTAAATGCGAAATGTGGATTTACTAGATATTATATGCAGTAAAGTGACGGAAAAGTCTACTTAAGTTATGCTTTTTTTTTTCGAGAAAAGGATTGTCAGTTGACAAAGATCCCAATAGGACAACTCCATGATTCCGCAGGTACCTTCGTCCATCCTTTCGGCATGACGTCCGTCTCAACCTTCCGAGAAGGGCGTGAACCGGAAGAGGTTTCCTTGTCAATATCCATCAGGACTGGTGCCTGCTCTGCGTTCTCGGCATCCAACGATGAAATGAGTGTGTCGAGACGTTCTTCCATCACCCGCAGTTCCGTGTCCATCCAGGCATCATTTGGACCAATAGATACCGAGCGTTGCGCTGCGGTAAGAAGGGACGTGCTGATTTCCTCAAGTTCGGGATCGTCACGTACTAAGAGACTGAGCAACGCATTGGCACTGGTGATACATCAGCTTCGATTCGCACGGAATAATCAATGTCTATCAGAACTCACCCTTTTCTCAGTTCCGTAGGCTCGTCGGCTCGGATTGCTAGAGCTGAGATGAGACCGAGCACAACGTCTTTCCGTCTCAAAGCCAAGTAATTTTCTACTCGTACGTCGAGGGAATCCGTCTCCCATTGTTCAACACACCAAGCCGCCCACGCAGCAAGGCAGAGTTCATACGACAAGTCTTTCCTTGAGAAGTCATCGCTGTTTGGTGTCGCCGGTCTGCAGATCAGAAAGTCGGTGATCGCAGATACGAGTATGGGCGGAAATGATGGGTGGCTTGTCTTCAAGGTGGAAAGTAGCGGTGTCCAGACCGAAATTAAACCTTGCGGTAGGATAGGAGATGATTTTAGGTTACTGGCCAGCCGCTTTCTGATTAAATATTGATTCAGTGCCAGGACCTAACAAGCAGGCGAGTGAAATAGAAGTCTTACTTGCCAGACACAGGGACGAGGCCTCCTCGTTCTATCAATGCATCACACAATCGCTCCAATGCCCAGCGCTCTTTCTCATCCTCCCCATCTCCCGTCTGAACAGCACCCCAGCGATGGAAGATTACCGCAGAAGATGCAACTTTAGCCTCACTGATCCAACGTTCGATATCACGTAGCACTGTCGCCAAATTGTCCTTGTATTGCGTTGTAAGAGAAGTGTCTCGGGATATTATCTTCATAAGCGATTTGTATTGTTTGATAAGCGGAGTAAGGGGAGACAAATTAACTATTGCTGTTGATTGGTTTATGTCGGACGCTGAAAGCGTCGGAATGAAATAGTTATGCAAAAGCCATGCAAGCGACTGGAAAGAAGATTAATCAAAAATTTAGCCAAGAAAGAGGGGAGATAAATGCATGCCTCTTTTGCCCCAGAGCGTAATATTTCAAGACCGGGAAGATCCTCGTGAGTAGCAGCATGTCTGATCTCGACCAGCCATTGTGGCAAACCAATCTGCGCTGCGATAGATGCAATAGAGCGTGCGTACGCTCCAAGTTGCAAAGGGTCAACAAGACCGTTGACAAGGCGCACAATTGCAGTTGCATAGCTTTGGCGTACACTCAGAATTAAGCTATTTTTAGCCTCCGGAGAGATTATTTGCCCGTTATGTGGGCGCTGTGCGTGAAATAAACTACCAGGAACCGATGCATCGAGGGTGATGGATGAAAGGATAGAAAGGGCCGCTTCGAGGGCGTGTGGAAGGGGCGTGATCGCTCGCCATGCCGAAAGCTATGGGAAATGTGCGTGAAGGCAATGCAGCAAATGAGTAAAGCTGAATACTACCCACTCGGTTTATGGCTTTAGCTTTTGCGTCTAGGTCTGTTTCGTCTGTATATATCCAGTTGCAGACCTGGTCAAGCTCGGCGAGAGAGATCCATGGAACGCGTCGGGGGAGTCTCATCTGTAACAAATGAAAAACACAAAGGATACACAACAAAGATGCATCGTCCGAAAATAGTTACTACAACTAAAGCTAATGAGTTGAGGGCCGGCTTGCGCGCGACTGCCGACGTGTTATTCCCTCATTTATCCAATCATTTTGACCTACGCGTGGGCATGTCCTTTGCACTCCAGCTCATAGAATAAAGATATCTTCAAAGATATCATACGTGCAGGGACGCTGCCACAGAATGATGCCTGTCGTGCAGCAGGTCCTAGCAGACTAGCTTCATGTGGCGGCAATAGAATTTAGGTGGAACGTGTAAGACGGTCCCCGGATCCGTGAACCTATCGTGAAACGTGAGTCCGCTTCTTTCGGCAAAGGAACTTGCTTGCAGCCGTCTAACATAACACATTGTGGTGTTCCTACAGCCGACAGAATGAAGGATTGGTCGTGTATATGTTACCGACTCTGGTCGTAGATTTCTTATCTGCCTCGCAGCATCCATGCAGTAAGATCAAAGTCATTGGGTGACTTCCCGTAGGATTTTGGAAGCTTCCAAAATCCAAAATACTTGTACCTGTCTTATAAGCGAAATAAAAAAAATTTATTCCAGACCGTAGCACATTTTTCTGCAGTTGTTAGATCATTTTGATTCTATTTCACTTAAGGCAACATCTGACACATTTCTGTACAAAAAGGGTATAGATAAGATCTGTATGATCTTACTTATACCTTTTAAGGCAGGTACTTGATGGATAGAACAACTTTCTACTCTGAAAGGGGGGGTCAGACCCCCCTTACAGATTTTCAGACTGGAAGACAACAAACTACGTGTGTTATTCGGTTCTCATATCGCTTACTCTTACTACCCTTCGCTTATATTCAGACTACTCCTTTTCTAGTATCTTTTCAACCTGGAAATCCTTCCAAAAGTCTACGGGAAGTCACCCATTTGGCCTTTGTTGCAATCCAATCCAATTTATCCACGGGCGCTACGCAGTATTGATGCAAGATACGCGATGGTGTTTCTCTATACGGTGCACCGCTGCGGGTCGCACGAACTTGCGGCAGCCTCGGCAATAATTGCGACGATCGATGTTCTTTCCGACACAGCATTGGCACCGCCCATCAGTGATTCCCTTGTAGGGACAAGTATACTAAATATGATATCGGCCTAAAAATATTCATCCAGCGCAGTTTACTATGGGAGATCAGGGGTATAAAACCCGTAGCTAATCTTGCCAAGCTTTCCGCCAAGTCAAGTTCCCCAGACTGAACGTATTCCAAAACCCAAAACATTCAAAGCTATGGGCTCTCTCGACCAGCGTGGAGATATTTCAATCGCCCTCGTTGTTATCTATCCTTTCGTGCTCATCCTCTCTATAATACTAATCCTACGACATGGGCTCAAAAGGCAAGCAGGATGGCTATTCCTTTCCCTGTTCTCGACAGGTTTGTTATTGCTTTACCTATTAGTTAATGTACCTAGCTAAATCTGCTTCAATCTCTTTAGCGAAGATTATCGGCGCCATACTCCATATTGCAGCAGAGAAACAATCTCCACCAAAAGTTGGTCTTTTCATTGGCGCATTCGCAGTAGAAGGGGCAGGCCTTGGACCTCTGATGGAATGCACGCTGAGCTTCATCGGAGCTGTGTGAGTGGATTTTTTTCCGCCTCATCAATCAGATGAGCAAAACTAACTTACATCTACCAGTGGCGTGCGTATTATTGACACCCATCCAATTGTTACGCGAATGCGTCTCCGCCTGATTCACTTAGCCGTTACCGCTGCAATGGTTCTGAGCATAGTCGGAGCAGTAAAATCGAACACCACCGACAGTGGAGAAAAACAAACAGCATCTACACTGCGAAAAGTTGGAGGGATTTTGTTTGCAGCGACATTTGTTGCAATCATTCTTGTCCATCTCGTCTTCTGGCAGGCGCAGCGTGACCTAATGAAGTACCAAAAGACGGTAAGCTTTTTCAACCGCGAGCTCCGTAGATCGTGCTTAATCTTTATTGCATAATAGCTTCTCAAAGGCATCTCGTGTGCATTGCCTTTCCTCGCAATCCGCGTCCTTTACAGCGTGTTATCCGCATTTTCGCCTCCCGCCTCATTTGGTTCTTTGGGCTCTCCGTCGGGTTCGACCTCGGGCCTAGCAAAGTTCAACAGCATCACCGGCAGCTGGCAGCTTTTCCTCGTAATGGCTGTTATCATGGAATTTATTGTAGTTGCGACATACATATTCTTCGGACTGCGATTGCCAATCAGTGGAGGCGTAGATTACGAGAGCACAGCGACCAGCAGTCCATTCTCGCGTTCGATTCCTTTGAATTCTAACGCAGGCTTCCAGAGCTATCCCCCGAGCAAGGCAAACCTTAACGGTGATCAATATGCTTAAGCGGATACTGGAGAAGCTGTTTTCATTAGAAAGGGAGGGGTGCTACGTTTCGACTCGATTTTTGGCTCGGCTGCTTGCAGTTATTTATTTGGCTTGTTGTGATGAAATATTATATACTTTATAATTTGTAGATATCAAATTTGTCCCCGGTTTACTTGTCTCGAATATATCCCCAAAACGTGTGCGAAAATGTATTTGATCCTACTCCCGTGTCAGAGAGTGCACAAAAGTGCGATGTGCAATTTCGATTGAGTATAGCAGCCTAATTTGGAACACTACGCGGTAACGTGATTTCCATCAAGGCTTCTTCGTGAGACCAAATGAGACGGACAAGCCAGACAATCGATTTCGAGCTCCCTCATTCTATGGTCGCGCCCCAACAAGGTGACCTTCCACTTCTAGATTCCTTTCTCATAGACAGCCTATGGAAAGACACCTTAATTGCTGACTATTTCTGTACAGATGAAGGATCAAGGTAGGTGAATATCCAGTTTCTTGTAGAAACGACTGGTGAAATATGCGTGCTTCTAGACCGTGGTGGAAGTTGTCAAAGTCAGGAAGATGGTATCCGGGATATCCATGCTAAGAGTAATAAGGATCGAAAAGGATGGATGACCCATCGGCTTGTCCGTCGAGGAGATCGATTACCCCAAGTGTGTCGTATGCTTAGTATTACGTTTGACATGAACTGACACTCTTCCAGAGTCAGGTGAGGACTTTCGCGTTTCCGTTCTCATTCGTCTTTATTCTCCTTTCTCAAGTGAACTATAGTGGCATAGTCTATGGCAGCAGAATCAGCTGGGACAACGTCTACGATCATCACATAAGATAAATCTGAAGTGAGTGATCAGAACTGTATTGGATGAACTTCACATTGCTCACGCCCAATCAAGCAAGCCCTATCCGTCAACACATGAGGCTTCAGAACAGAAGAGTTCATCCTTATCGATTGTGCGTCTAAAAAGTTTGCAACGAAGACGTGCTTTCTTGTTAACACATTGCATAGCTCAAACGTAAATTCACCACACGAGGGACAGTTAGGCCTGCCTTCCAGGTTTCTGAAGGAGGTTCCACTGAAGCACAAGATGATGTGATTACAAAAAAGCAAAGACGACAACCTGACGAAAGGACAACGCTAACCCATTCTCAAGACAAAGAGCTGGACAATGAGGATAATGCGGAAGGGAATCACACTAGTGATCCAGGATCTAAACCAGACAGGGCGAAAGAACGGCAAAAGAGGAAGAAGAAACGGCAACGAATAGAGAGGCAAGCCCGCGATGAGGAGCATCGTCGTAGGATGGAAAATGAGGCAAGGCAGGCCGAGGCAGAAAGCCCTGGTCCTCGAAGGTTTCTAGTTGCCGTACCCTTGGCAAGTCTCAGAAATCTATCAGGAGGGTCTGTCAGCGGGCACTTTAGAAAGAGGGATTTATCATTGAACGACATGCTTCCCGTTACGTTAGAGTCACTTTTGGAATCATCGACTGCAAGAACACTTTACAAAGCACTCAAAGGACCTATTTACTTTGTTTGTCCAAATTTGCTTCCTTTAGCGTCTTTCCTGATCCACTTTTATAGCCAGCTTCTTGTGTGCAAATGATTGATCGTCTCAAGGAAAGGCTCAAGTGTGCTAATGTATGCTCCAAGCTAATCGTCACCAGCATATCTCACTTCAACGAAGTCACTGCTCCAAACCTCTTGCTCAGTGGTCAAAATCCTCGTTTACTGGGAAAACAGACACTGGATGCAATCGAACAGGTCCTCGAGGACTCCCAGCCTCCGCACGAGCTCGAATCCTCACAAAATGCAGAAGAGAAGATAAAATGCCTTTTCAGACCAATCCTTAGAAGCTTAAGCCTTGAAGATATCATCATTACTACGTGAGCGTGTCACTCCCTTATTCCGACCATGCCTAACAGACGTTTTCCTGCAGGGGTTTTTGTTGGAGGGAGCAAATCGGCCTTCGCTCTTCGGTGGACTTGGGCATCCATGATTACAAACCGAAGTCAGATGCAGCAATCATCAAGATTACCAGTGAAACAGATGCCCAGATACTGGTCCTCTTTGAAGCATACTCCAGACTAGGCCAAAGTTTGAAAACTCCAGACGAAAATAGAGCTGATAGAGTACGCCTCCTCATTCAAGGATCATACATCTCTATTCGGGATGAGAAGCCCTTGGTCGTTTTCTACCTCACGCGGGACAAGCACATGGAAACTATCCTAATTTTCTCGGAAAACCAGGAATACACTAAGGTACGATAAGCAGCTCATTCTGGCGAATGCAACGCTTAAGAATGTTGATTTTCAGTTCGGATATTATGCGGAAAAGCAGCCCTTCTATAATGAAGTCACCTGGGTGGATCTTATTTGTCAAATAATAAATATTGTTGGATGTAACTAATTTGCTGTGTGTTTGCTCTTGGTCCTGCTGTGCTACCGTATAACCACATGTTTAATACGCGAAATTGGATGATCGATTCGTTAATCGAGGTAATTGTGCTACACGTTATTAGTCATACGGTCAAAAAAAAGAGAAGCGGAAAAGTATTTTCAGTTAGACTAACACAGAATTGTGCCATGGCAACAATGGCACCGCTCAAAACGCGGATTTGAATTGCTTCCGTTTCAGTGCCATTGCGACATAAAGGATGCCTCTATAACACTCTCCTCTATCCACCTCCTTCGGCACTAGAGTCGCCAGCCTTCACTCCTTCAATCCTGACCACTCTCTTTTTCAAAGTCATGAAGTGGATTACTTTTTTGCTCGTTGAATAGATTACGTTTTGTCTCTGGTTCCTGAGATTTGATGCACTGGAAGGGTGAGCCACCGCAGATTGCATAATTGATCGCTCTTGCATGTGAGTTCAGTTCACCTATGTTGCTTCCATACACACAAAGTTGCCAATGGGAGAAGATGAGAGACGACGCGGTCTCGTGCAGCTGAACTTTCCATCTGCGCGGTGTATAAACCGACGCGTCCAATGGTGATTAGCTAATTTTTTGAGCTAAGTGGTCCGATACCGTGTATTTATTACACATTTCTCTTGCACGCTTTCCCACCTAACATCTCAACGTGGCGTGAGGTCTCTCTGTCTCTACCATCGCCCACGTCGACGTCGGCCATGGCTAGTGCACAGAGCTACTCTGTGCAGGCATCCTTTCCATCTGCACTCACTTCCCCGTTAGGCCAGATTCCTGTGCCAACCTTCTTCCCAACGGAGGGCAAAACTTCTTGGATTTATACCCTCGCTGCAATAGTCCTATCCCTTCTCGCTCTTGAGCAGGGAGTCTACCGCTACAAGAAGGCACACCTTCCTGGCTCAAAATGGACTATCCCTGTCATCGGCAAATTTGCGGATTCAATGAATCCGACTATGGAAGGTTATTTGAGGCAGTGGCAGTCTGGTGCCTTGAGTGCGCTTAGTGTCTTTAATATGTACGTGTTTAAATTTCTTGTCTTAATTTTATTTCTCTAAACTAACAATTTAAAAAGTTTTATAGTTATGGCGTCAAGTAACGAGTATTCTGTGAAAATATTCAATTCGCCAGCGTATGCCGAGCCCTGTCTGGTAAACTCAGCCAAACAAATCCTCATGCCAGACAATTGGTGAGTTCTTGTATTAAATTATTAGACGCATGTACTCACCCATGTGCATTAAGGGTGTTCCTAAATGGAAAAGCTCATGTTGAGTACAGGAAGGGTTTGAACGTCCTTTTCACTCGCAAGGCTTTAGGGTCAGTTTCCCCTGCTATAATATGCAACTCTAAAGTTTACGTTGTATTCTTCAGTATCTACTGCCATATGCAAGATATGATCGCGCGGAAGCACTTTGCACGTTGGCTTGAGAACGCAAAGAAGAATCCGTCAGCACAACCTATAATGTTCGCAGTACGCAACATGAACATGGATACATCGCTTCGAGTGTTCTGTGGCAGACATATTCCTGAGCATGCCACCCAGGAGATCAACGACAAGTACTGGCTTATCACTCGGGCATTGGAGCTTGTCAACTTCCCGCTTGCATTTCCGGGCACGAAAATCTACAGTGCTATCCAAGCCCGAAAGGTGGCAATAAATTGGCTTTCGCTCGCGGCGAAAAACAGCAAGATTAGTATGGCTGCTGGTAATGAGCCAGAGTGTATGCTTGACGCCTGGGTCAAAGAATTGGCAGATCCTGTATATAAGGGTCGACGGGAGTTTAGCGATCGTGAAATGGCCATGGTCCTATTCTCATTCCTATTCGCCAGTCAAGACGCAATGTCCAGTGGTCTTATCTATGCGTTCCAGCATCTGGCTGACCGACCTGACATGCTCGCGAAGATCAGGGCGGAATCAGACCGTGTCCGTGGAAATGATCCGGACAAACCCCTTACGCTCGAGATGCTCGATGAAATGTACTACCTTCGCGCGTTTGTCAAAGAAAGCTTACGTCTCAAGCCCCCTGTCACTATGGTTCCCTATAGGTGTACGAAGTCATTCAACATCACACCCGACTATACAGTTCCGGCGAACAGTATGCTCATTCCGTCTACGTACCCCTCTCTTCACGACCCTTCAGTTTACCCGGAGCCTGACTCTCTCAATCCGGACCGCTGGCTGGATCCGGAAAGTTCAGCGAACAAGAACCCGCGCAATTATCTCGTCTTTGGCTCTGGACCACACCGCTGTATTGGCTATGAATACGTTTATGTGAACATCGCAATTTGCTTGTCCGATGCTATCACGTTAATGGAATGGGAACATGAAGTGACACCACTGAGCGAGGAAGTGGAGTACGTGTTTATATTATTCTCTAGTGACTAATCGCTGATTTCTATGCAGGATCATCGCTACCCTCTTCCCGAAAGACGGATGCAAACTCAAACTCCGTCCCCGTGAACGAGTATAACGCTTCATGACGGCATGTTTCTTTGCACCTCAGTAGAATTTCCCTTGTCGTTTCTAAAAAGGATGCGACACATTTTGTTGCTATTTGTATCTATGTCTCCCCTTATTAGGATGTTATGAAATCTACAATTCCTGCATACCTTCGTGATTCATGAAAGGCAATTTTGTCTGTAAGAGGAGTTGTAATGAATGCAAGCAAGAAAAGTGTGGTCTTCAGGCCGAACATGGAATCAAGGAATTCTGTATTATTCATGTATAATAGATTCACCCCCAAGTAAAGATGTGTAAATTGTCAAGAATCAAGGTAAAGTACAGCAGATAAAGACAATATGAGTAAGTTTCCCAAATTAGATGACTACAGTGATCCACAGTCCTTAATAATATGACAACATTGTTGAGGTCTGTTGAGACGAGTAATTCTGTCAAACTGTAAGCAGCAGTGTCAAGGCCAAAGAATCGAAATTGAAATTGAAATAGTAGAAGAAACTGCATGGAAGGGAAGGAGCAAAATTGGGAATTGGTGGCACTCATCTGGGAAGTGAGAACAAGAGTGCCGAATAAAAACAAGATGCATACGGGTGCCAGTCGTACATCTGTTTCATATGTTTTAGACTCATCAGCTTTGTATGCCTATATCCAAAACGAGTTCATACACTACTTATTTGGACTGTCATAATATGCATTGTCTATTATTTATAACTACTATTTTCACTGTCAAAAGCATCACAATTACAGTCAGTACTCTGTATGTAACACTGTATCTACATTATATAATACAAACAATTTGAACCTTATCCAAGTAGGCTCTATTTTGTTTGGCTGATTCCCCAATTTTGCAGTATTTGAAGATTGCATTGCACTTCATAACTAATTACTTCTTGCTTGAGAGTTCAATCATATTCTGTTACTTCCATGCATGTCAGTAAAGACTCGAGGGTGACAGGTGGAAAGATCCGTACTAGACAGCCGAAAATTGTCTGTCTGAAGTGGAAATCGACATACCATATTACACTGAGCTGTTACACATCACCTTATTAGTTGATTTCTTAGAAAAGTAGTCCGACAATGTATATTTATTGCCTTCTCCACCAACCCCTCTCCTCTTGCTTCTCCCTCTTTCTCAGCACGATATCTGTCTTTACTATCGCCTGCAGTTACGTCTACCATGGCTAGTGTACATAGCTACTCTGCACGGGCATCACTTCCGTCGGCATTCACTTCTCTGTTGAGCCAGATCCCTGTTCCGACAGTCTTCCCAACGCAGAGCAAGTCTTCTACATGGATGTATACTCTCGCAGCAATAGTCCTGTCCGTTCTCGCTCTCGAGCAGGGTGTCTATCGTTACAAGAAGGGAAACCTTCCAGGCTCAAAGTGGACCATCCCTATTATTGGCAAGTTTGCGGACTCCTTGAATCCAACGTTAGAGAATTATTCGAAGCAGTGGCAGCTCGGGCCCTTGAGTGCTCTTAGTGTCTTCAATATGCATGTGCTTAAGAATCTTTTACATTGATTCTTTGAACTGATATCTCAAAAGTTTTATAGTAATGGCGACCAGTAACGAGTATTCACTGAAGGTATTCAATTCAGCAGCGTATGCTGAGCCCTGCCTTGCAGACTCAGCGAACCGGGTCCTCATGCCAGACAACTGGTCCGTCGTTGTATTTATTTGCCACACTGATCTAACCACATGTATGTAGGGTGTTCCTCAATGGCAAAGCCCATAACGAATATAGGAAGGGTTTGACTATGCTTTTCACTCGCAAAGCATTAGGGTTAGTTCTCCCGCTTTAGAATTCAACGCTCTCATTTATGCCGGCTTCTTCAGAACTTATTGTCCTATACAAGATATGATCGCACGGAAGCATTTTGCTCGATGGCTCGAGAACGCCAAGAAAAATCCGTCAGCGCAACCTATAATGTTCCCAGTACGCGACATGAACATGGACACATCGCTCAAGGTATTCTGTGGCAATTATATACCCGAACACGCTACCCGGGAGATCAGCGACAAGTACTGGCTTATTACGAAAGCATTGGAGCTCGTCAACTTTCCTCTAGCGATTCCCGGCACGAAAATCTACAATGCCATCCAAGCTCGAAAGTTGACAATGAAGTGGTTGACACTCGCTGTGAAAAACAGCAAGATTAGTATGGTCGCTGGCCATGAACCAGAGTGTATGATTGATGCCTGGGTCAAAGAATTGGCAGATCCTGCATATAAGGGTCGACGGGAGTTTAGCGATCGTGAAATGGCCATGGTCCTATTCTCATTCCTATTCGCCAGTCAAGACGCAATGTCCAGTGGTCTTATCTATGCGTTCCAGCATCTAGCTGACCGACCTGACATGCTTGCGAAAATCAAGGCAGAATCAGACTGTGTCCGTGGAAATGATCCAGACAAACCACTTACGCTCGAGATGCTCGATGAAATGCACTACCTACGCGCGTTTGTCAAAGAAAGCTTACGTCTCAAGCCCCCTGTCACGATGGTACCATACAAGTGTCTGAAACCATTTAACATCACGCCCGGCTATACAGTTCCCGTGAACACTATGCTCATTGCGTCGACATATCCCTCTCTTCATGATCCTTCCGTCTACCCGGAGCCCGAGACTCTCAATCCCGACCGCTGGCTGGATCCGGAAAGTATTGCAAACACGAACCCAAAGAATTACCTCGTTTTTGGATCTGGAGCGCATCGTTGCATCGGCTATGAATACGTTAATATGAACATCGCACTCTGTTTGTCCAACGCTGTTACGTTGATGGAATGGGAACATGAGTTGACCCCGCTGAGCGAAGTAGTGGAGTACGTGCTTGTTATTTCCCATTACTGAACCTAATGCTAACAGGTTTTCGTGCAGAATGATTGCTACCCTCTTCCCGAAAGACGGATGCAAACTCAGATTCCGCCCCCGTAAGAGAGCGTAGCGACTTATAATGGCCTGATTTCCGGTGTTTTACTAGAGTTCCTCTGTCGCTTTCAAAAGCGATGCAATCACTGGACGCCAATTTTGGAAGTCGACACTGCCTTCTTTGGAGAAGGATGAACCTTTATAGATAGGTTATATTACATAAGCTGATATTACGAATCATGTGTAATTTCTTGAGTCTTGACAAACATGATGTTTTCCATTATTTGACATAACGAAAATCAAGTAGCACTTGCTACACCCTCGTGCTGCCATCCGAGGTTCTTTCATAGGAATCGCTTAAACGAACACAAAAAGTTTGCATAACTTCAAATCAAGCATTACATCAAGAAATTTCAAATTTATTGATACAGGATAGAAATGAAACACCCTGTTATACCGATACATTGAAAATAAAAACGTAATAAAGGATTGTATCGTAAGGTGATTTGGAAACAAAGTTTCTAATTCCCATTGTCCGTCACGGTGAACTGCAAGGGTATGAAGGTAAGTGCAAGTACGATGGGTGGAAAGTGGGGGAACGCACGTAGACCATGTCGTCTAATGACCCGTGCTGCGCGACTGCCACGAGGACCGGCTGGTGGTTTGCGGCGCTATTAATGCTCGCCATACGGTATGTACCTGCAGGAAGGCCATCGGTTACATCCACAGAAAGCACGCCATTCTGCGCCTTTTCATTTAGTCCCTTGAAGAACGTGAACTTGGTCGGGTCTGTGACACTCGTGTCTGACAACCCATTGATTTTCTCGATGACAACGTGCGAGTGTCCGATAATGTTCCCCTGGTCGTTGATATTCTGAGGCGCGGAGAAGTAGTTGTCTGCAGCATTGACGAAGTTACCGGCTGCAAGGTTCTTGATGGCGAGCTTGACGGTGAACGACTTGTTCGCTTGGATCTTATCTAAATTCTTCGGTGACTGGAATTTTGCCGACGGCATGTTATTGGTAGATGCAATCACACCCATGGGTGCGCTAGAAAGGATCAAGTAAGAGAAGGCAAGAATTAGCAATTGTCTGACTGGATTCATTTATGAATAACGCACGCATTGCACGAGCCGCCCTTAACTTGCTGACCATTAGTGAGCGGCTTCTTAACAGTCGCGCAAAAGTTGATGAAGTTGTTCGGTGAGGTTGCGGAGGCCACTTGGTCTTGTGCGGGAACCTGCTGGCCATCCTTTTCAAAACCCTTCTGGACTAATGATGGGTCAAGGCATAGCGAGCTCTGTAAATCACCATTGTTGTTGCCGCCGCCACCGTTGTTATTCCCGTCGTTGTTGCTCGTACTATTATTTCCACCATTGTTGTCGCTGCCGTTGTTATCCTCGCCATCGTTGTTGCTGCCGTTGCTATTCCCGCTACCGTCGTTGCTGCCGTCGTTATTCCCGCCATCGTTCTTGCTGCCATTGTCATTGCTGCCATCGATGTTGCCGCCGTTATTCCCGTTGTTGGGATTACCACCGCGGTCATTGCTATTGCCGTTGTTATTACCGCTGTCGGTGCTGTTATTCCCACCGCCGTTGTTGCCATTGTCGGTACCGCCATTATTCCCGTCTTTATTACCGTTGTTTGCACCAGAGTCATTACCTCCTCCACCAGCGTCACCACTACTATTGTTGGTTCCACCATTTCCGGTACCGCCAGTCGCACCGGTAGCAGCTATGCGTGCATCAAGGTCTGCCTGCGTTGTACAAGTCACACTCGTTCCCGGGCTATTCACAAGCGGAAGCGCCGCGCAACTAGCAAATGTGCCGTTGTTAATATTCACCCAAGAAGAACGTGAATGATATAATAAGAGCAGCATACATGGTACCACCAGCACATGGTGTGAGCGTGAACTTGCCGCCAACGCATTGCGCAAACTGTTGATTCACACATGCGTTCTCTCCTGCATTGCACGACGAATCTGGAGTTAATTTAGAAATCTGGTTGCTGATAATTTTGCCAAAGGGGTTAGCATAAAGAACAAGAACAAGTCACTCTAAGAGACACAGACATAACTTACTTGAGATCTATGGCTTCCTCCCCGTTCTGCTTTGCGAACGAAGATGTTTGGGGGGTCGGCCTTGCAAGAGCATAGGAAACGAGCGAAAAGACAAGCGCAGCAGTCACAGACTTCATAATTGGACGTTTCGTTAAAAGGGGGGTGGAGAAGAACCTAGTCTTACAGAGAAAGGACTGAAGGGCGAAGACGATCTAGCCAGCTAGAGCCCGAGGAAAGGACGTGAAAAAGTCAGATAGAGGGGGTAAACAATTGCGTATCAACTCTTCAAGTGGTCCTTTATACTCTTGGCATGCGTGGCTCGGGACGTGACTATCGTCCAACAAGCGAGAAGTAGGCTCCGAGTCTAATTATGGATACCCTTTTTAAACAAAAGAGCCACATGCGGCAAGAACCGGCATTGTTTCTCAATTACAACCGTTTATTCAAGTTTACCATTGTCCTTGGCTACGAAGCCATGGCCGTCGTAACCAGTGAGTGAAAATATTCCATACAGCACCAATAGTGTTTGGTGCAGAAGTGCTCAACCTTCCCAGCGTGCTGCTAGATCTTGACGACTCATGTTGATGTGTGGCCTCAAGCCAGCTCCAATAGCAAAAGCGCGCAGATGCTAAGGCCATACGTCGCAGCTGTTCTAAAAATATCGCAGGGCATAATAGTTGGAGGCCATAGGCTGCAGAGAGGAAACGGTAGACAACTTGTGGTCTCAGGCGCTCAGTAGCTGACGGAGGGTGATGAGCCGTTTTGGCAACCACGTTTGTTCCAGCAACTGATCCCGTTGATGAGGTCTTCGGCAAGTTCCGCCGACCGTTTGTTGTCTACAACCCTGCAGGCAAAATTCCTGGCAGGTATCAGGATCCCAAATCCCTTAAACCAACATGACTATTCATTCCATCGTCGTGGATGCAGTGAGTTTTTAAGTATGCTCCAGCCTGAAGTTATCACATCTGATCGATCACTCACACTCAAGGTCTTATTTGACATGGATGGGTGAAGTAAACATGTATTCATTAAATACGCCGTTCGCTGATTGGAAGATTCACAAAATGCACTTTCACAGAACCCTTATAGACTCTACACCAGGTGTCATGGCTGCCTGGAATATATTCGCGAAGGATTACGGACTCGATGCTGAAACAGTCGCTCACGCATCTCATGGTCGCAGACTGTACGACACGCTCAGGGAATTCTGCAAGATCGAAGAAGATGAAAAACTTCTGGTCAGTGAAAAAAAACCATGCTTTCCAAAGTAAATTATGTGAATCATACTGAAGACGTCACGCCGATAATGGCAGGCAGAAGTAGCAAGATTCGAGGAAGAAGTCATCAAAGGCGGACCTGTGGCATTACCGGGTGCACTCGAACTCATCAAACAGGCTAGTACGATGTCTGAACATCAATCACAAAGCCTAGTCCCACGTAGCCTGCATAGATACAATCCGGAAACCCATCTGCCGAAGCTCAGAGACATGCTTGGGTGATCGCAACCTCCGCCACAAACGTCTATACACCGCGTGCCCTAGCAGCATGTGGCATTCCGATCCCACCTGCAGGACTTGTCACATCAAACGATGTTGCTCAGGGAAAACCTCACCCTGATCCATACCTTGCAGCTGCAAAGCGGTGTGGCGTCCTTCCTGAGAATTGCCTTGTTGTCGAGGACGCACCTTCTGGCTTGAATTCAGGACGTACTGCTGGGTCTAAGACTCTCGCTGTATGCACTTCACATTCAAAGCAGTCTATTCTTGACAAGTCCAGCCCAGACTACATTGCCAAGGACCTCACAAGGTAGGCCATTTTGTCACGGCGTAATAGAGTCATTTGACGATCTTCTTCAAGGGTGTCCGCTAATTGGGTAGACGGGAAATTAGAGTTTAGCATAGATGATTCTGAATAGGAACTGCAACGAGGCACTTATTGGTACAACAGGACAAAGCGATGTTAGACATTACAGACCCGAGAGTCAAAGAATGAATAGAGTTTGTTTTTGACTAAACTTAGTGTGAATGACGTAGTGTTTGTGCTTTCATGGACCACAGTGTGCGTGTCATGTCGCAGCGCTCAGTTAGGTCCGTTCAAGTGGTCGCTCTGGCAAGTCCATAGAGTCTACACGGCGTCCGAGACCATCAGGAATACTGAATGAGACCGTTGACATCTGAGCCTCGTTTGTATACACACTGTATGAGCTACCGCAAATCTGTTGCATGACCTCATTCCTCGAATGTGGTACAGTTTCCGATGTTCCGGTGTGTTTCCCAAATAGCGAAGAAATGCTTTTGAAGCATGACTGGTTCGCCGTCGACGCCACGGACAGCCGGGAACGCGACGCTTGTGGAGTGTAGGTGAACCCTATTCCTTGCCCAGATTGAGTTATACCTTTCGGCAAGTCGATCGGAGTCGAGTTCGTAAGATTCTTGAGGTAAGACGAGTTCTGTTTCTCCCCTTTCCTAAATCTCACTTCGCCGAGCATCGATATCATAGACCTTCGAGCCGTCAAGACAGAAGTGCGAGCCCCAGAAGCTGACTGCCGCCTCTTCCGCAATTTTCTTCTCGGCTCTGAGGTGCTGTGGTCAGGTCGTGCACTAGAACAGCAAGGGCTAGATGTCTCCCGCGATTTTGTAAGGCCGAGTACCTTCCAGTCCCCAGAAAAACGTATGGAAGGGCTCTTCAGAATGCCTCGTATCTTATCCATTGCGGCTACAGAGATAGGACGAATCTTCTCAGTCTCCGCAGAGTTCATAGCAGTGTGAGTCGCATTCTGCTCGTCTGGAGAGGTCGAAAGGGGATCCCAGGTGTACGTGAAGCCATCATAAACAGAAGCACCAGCACATACGTCAGGGCTATCATCAAGCTCCAGGAGATCCGATGTCTCGTAGAAATTGAAAATGTTTTCATCGACGTCCAACAGATCGACTTCATCTCCGTAGGGAATGTATGGGGCTAAAAACTATCCATGTAAATTTCTCTGTACCATCGTCTGACTGAAAACTCACCAGGATAATCCTTCGCATTAACCTTTTCCCAGTTGCTACAACTTTGGTGAGTCGCGTGCAGTAATTCTAGACCCCTACTTACATATCTGTAAAATATTCATGCATCTTGATCTGAGCTAAACTGTACCGTAGACGGGCATTGCGTTGGAGACACTGTAGAATGATTTCAATTATGTTTACGGATACGACACACCGCGCATACCTTCTTGATCAGGCTCCATTCGGAAAGTGGAACTACCTGAGAAGGGTGGCTTGGAGCCTGTCCGCGAAGTATCCTCTTTTGCATGATCAAAAGTGGATCTAGCTCGTCTCCTTCAAGAAATGGATGCTGAAGATACGTCATGCCTCGTCAGTTATACTGCGAGGATAATAGAGAACGCAGGTTTACCTGACCAAAATGCATAATGCATAGGAGCACGCCGAAGCTCCATATGTCGACAGCGTAATCATAGGACCATCCGAGGATCCTCTCCGGAGCTTCAAACTCTCTCGTCCCGCAATCCGACCAGGTACTCTCGCTTTGATCAAGAATTTTAGCGCAGCCGAAGTTAGTTAGGGCAATGTGTCCATCAGCCGCAATCATCACGTTATCCGGCTTGATATCACGATGAACAATGCATAGAGAATGTAGATGGGAGAGCCCTGCTACCTAGGCGTCGTCCGTGAGCCGCAAACACGCAGCGTATATGTGTGATCAAACTCACGATTTCCGACGCGTAGAAACGTGCTTTATCGGACGCAAATGGACCTTCACGATCTAAATGTAGCGCAATGCTTCCCCCGGGATAAGTATCCTGAATGCAGTGTGTAAATAGTTGTTGTGTTAAGTTAGGGAAACAGTACACACTAGCACCATATAAAGGCGTGTTTCGTCGTGGAAGCTCCTGTGTAGTTTAGGGAGAAATGAACAATCTCCTTCCGTGACGATTCTCAAACACCTCTGTTCGGATCGTATGCGTTTGAGACAGTTCGAAGTAGACGCAGCACGTTTTCCTAGCGTTTTTATTGCATACACTCCAAAGTCAGAGCAGCTGCGTGCCAATATAGTTTGGACAGATGACTCCCTCCCGGCGACTCGAAGAACTTCAAAGTCGGATACGCTGTGCCTCTGCAAGTGATAATTGCCCACAACTCATAAGTTCTTTGCGGAGGTGTTTCGTAAGGATGGACGGCTTACCTTAGACGCCCCGAGATCCAAGAACGAGCTTCGAACCTTAGCTTTTGGAGAAATAACCACGATCTCCTGAAATATGATATATGGGTGAGCACTGAGGTTAACTCAGGTTGTCCGATAAACGTGCCTCAATTTCATCGTGTTCCCATTCTGGGTCGATTTCTTTAACGTTCTTGATATGCTAATAGAAGGCGGTGAGTTTCTTCTATCGTGATTTGAGATGACTATATGCATACCTCAATATGGAAGCTTTCGCTATGGTTGAGTGGTGCGCACCCCTTGTCTGTATGGACAATTCGTACATCAGAATCAGGGAGTGTTGTGTCTGGTGTTTGTATCATTTCAGAAAAAGACAGCTGAACAACGACTATCAGCCATAGAGCAGGAAAAAGAATAATAAACGAATCCACAGAAAACGGGACGTGTTCCACGTCCATCTGCAGCGCAGGAGTAGCCGGAAAAGAAATTCTGTTGGAGGAAGTTGATGTGGGCGACTGGATAACCGTCGGACTTTGCTGCTACGATTGGTAAATATAAAGCATTATGTACAAGAGTCTTGAGAGATAATTACCAACGAGGAACGGCTGCTGCGACGGGAATCCATCGTGCGCCGACTATTATCGGTGGCACAAGACATGTTGAAGCTTTCCGACTCCATTCGGAGCGTAGAACGAAGTCGATAATATTCTGGATGTTAGGAAACAATAGCGAGGGACTATCCAAGAAATTAGAGTACCTGGATCCAGGACAGCAGTGGCAAGAGCGAAGAAGGACAGAGTTGCATAAATGCACCAACAAAGACCAATCGTGCCAAACATAGAAAAATAATGTTAAATAAATGCAATAAATTATTAAAATCGTGTCATCGCGATTCAGAATCATAGTATGTACAATATTTCATTTCCATGCACATTTTACTTTTCACCTTGAACTCTGCAGCGACTTGCTCGACCATCTCGCGTGAGATGACGATTACTTCCTCCATCTCTTCACTGTCTAAAGCTTGGATCTTTTGTAATAGACCACATTCGTGTAATGTGAATGCAACGTCCTCCGTGCGAATACCTGTCGCGTTTGCGATGTCCTGCAGCGTACACCTGGCGAATACATGCGTTGTGACACTTCCGTCTGGATTAGCTGAAGATCGAGTCCATCGCATTTGAGAATACAGCGCATCTAAAGAACAAAGCGTTAGTCGGGCCTACCCTTTGGATTATAGACACGATTTACGCACCATGCGCTCCGTTCGTTGCTGCAATAACGTCTTCAGTATTATACTCATTCTCGAGTCCGCTTTCCCAGAGTATGAGTCTACCGTCCTTTTCCACAGTATTCTTCACAGTCTTCCTCCGCTTCTTTAGCCCATCTACCCTCCGAGCTTCAACGAAACGAATAAGGTCATCGTCAACAGGTCTCTCTTCCTCTCCCGTAATGTCTCTTAATGGTTGCACGGAGAGTATTCGTCTGTTGTGGAATATCGTAGGTGAGTCGCGAGGCATCGTAGTCGGAATCTCTACACAAACCTGAACAACTGCACCAAAGCTCCCGTCCAATAGGTTAAGTAGGTCCTCAAGCCTAATTCTGAGAGGGGTCGTTCTGGTGTACCGAGCTTTCCTGCTAGACGAGACAGAGCATAGCCTTCGGAAAGAAAGAAAGTCGTCTCAAAACATGCACGATGTGGGAGGGTTTAGGGCACGTACTGAATTCAATCATGAGCATTCCATATCGTTTTCGTTGATATGGAGGGAATGTAATAATACATGCGAGATTGTAGTCGTCGTAAGAAATCTTTTCCTAAACACGGATGCGCTTAATACAGATGTGAACGCGTATGTATTTCATGTGAAACGTACCTTTGAAAAGAAGCCGATGACATGATCCTGATGTCTATCTCCTTCAGTCAAAACATAAAACATAACTAACAAAGGAGTTAAAAGTGTTCAATGAATGAGACATGGACACTCACAGTTATCACAGTCAAAGAACAGCGTCTTTATATCAATGAAGAATTTCCCGAAAAGAGATAAATTTTGACAATAGAGCTATCAATCCCGACTCAGCATGGGGTCTGGAACACAATTGACACAGATATGCGTACCTTATTCATAGCTCCATCAATCTCATAAATCATATGTCCACCCCGCTTGTACACAATCTTCCCGGGAGGATGCATTCTGTTACAAAATTTCTATATCCCTGAGCTTCAGACGAAATCCCTTCGCAACGAAGGCATCAGCAGGAGTTGCTCACCATGTGAAGCTCAAGCATACTTCCGTCTTGCATGTACTTGAAACATCGTTCGCAAACCCACAATACTGACTCATCAGCAGTCGCATGGCTATTCTGTGGGTTCGGTGTTTGAGGACGGCCTCGCGTATTACTGCGCTTTGCGAGCTGGCTACGCCCATTGCTAGATGACGTCCCGCCTTGCTTACTTGGTCCAATTGACACCGACACACTCTCATCTTCCATGGCGGAGATAGGGTAAGGTGAATGATACCTAGACATTACAGTATACAGTGAGTAAGAGACAGATTCTTGGGGTGTGCAATCGCAAGTACCATGTCTTTATCTTCCACCGTCCGAAAATTACTTTATCAAAGTTCCGCGGATTGGGTTTCCGTCCATTCGATCCATTCACGCTTGCCTCTGGATTAGCAGGTCCACCAACATCAGTCATCGTCTGTTGTTCCGGTACGAGGCCTTGAGTCGACGTCTGCGCAGGCGGCTCTTCAGAACCTCTTTGAACATCGCCGTTAATCTTCGTCGAACGTGCCGCTCTCTCTGGCTGAGAATCAACACGCTTTCGTTTCCGACTGTTCTTCATCGAGTTTGTCGGAATAGGCTCGTCGAAATCTACATTCGACACGTCCTGGTGCACGTCCTGTTCGTCCCCCGAAGGTCTCCCTTGCGACTGCGGGACTACTGACTGCGCCGCAAACTCGCCCAGATTGAACGACGACCCAAGTATCTCAATAAGATCCTTTCGCATCGAATTGACGTACGTCGGGTTCTCCAAAGTGTTATTAGCGTTATTGTTATTGTGGCCCGTCTGCAGCTTCGCAGCAGTCCTCGAACTAATAAACCTCCCATTCAACCGTTCCCTCTCCCAACTCCTCTTCGTCGTCGAACCCGATTGCCCACCACTGCCCCGTTTATGCGATCGCGCCTTTTCCTTCTCCTTTTCAGAAGTCGACGACGACGACGAAGAACTCCCATTAGCGTGTTGCAATTGTGCTTCCCCAAGATCAACAGTACCAGACGCGACGTTACTAGTGGTAGTCAAAGCCGGCACCGGTACCAACACAGACTCATTCGCGTGATGGCTCGCAGTTGGACTGGCATTTATTCCAACGAGCGTTTCTGCTGCGCTCAACTCGTTCTCTTCATATATTCGATGATTTTCATGTGTCCTTGACTGTACTGTCCAGGAGGACATGTTATGGAAGAATTTGGTGGGTGAGGAAGATTTGGCAGGCGTACCTACGAATGGCTGTTCGTGAGCCTCTGCACTGGGACGACGATCCCTTGTTCTTGCCATTGTCTTATACGGTGCGATGCAAATTCTTGAGTGAGCCATCCAAATCGGTGCTGATATAACCTTCTAAGTCGTAAATGGAGCTGCTAACAAGGAGCACACAAACAGGATGGATGAGAACAAGATGTTCATTCAGGGGAACAGTATCAATGGCATTTGTTTGGACAAACATCTTAACCGACAACTAGCGAGGTCAATTTAAATAAATAACACACAATTTGCTTAGCACACTTCTTGCACACATAAAGATGAAGTGACATAGAAGAGCCATGGCATATGATGATCGTGCACAAGCATAAGTACAGTTTGAGGTAACGACACGCATATTATCTGCATTACATTCACTCCTTAACTGCTTCCTCATGCTCAATAGCAATAATAGCCTGTCTCTTCTCCAGAAGGCGTGCTTGGCGACGGTCACGGGCAGCCTACACGAATAGTGGTATGAGGACCAATTTATAAATTTGAGAAAAAATCTAAACATACCTTGTTCTTGACACGGCGTGCCTCCATCTGGTCGCTAAGAATCTTAGTACGGGATTTCTCAGCTTTCGCCTTGTGAATGTATTCCATCAAAACACGCTTGTTCTTGAAAACGTTACCCTTCGACTTTAGGTAAAGGGCGTGGTAGCTATTTGCGAAAGAGCGGACCAATACGAATTAGGTAAAATATATTATGACTTGGTAACGATAAGACTCACAGATGCTTGTCAATTTTGCCAGCCTCACGGTATTTCCTCAGCAATCGCCTAAGCACACGCTGCCTACGCATCCATTGCACCTTCGTCGGCATACGAGCTTCAGAGGTACCCTTTCGTTTACCAGGACCAGTGTGACGACCCTTGCGCTTTGCAGCGTGGAGGTCGCGAGTGCGGGCACGAGAATGAACAGTGGCAGGCTTGATGATGACACGCCCATCCTTGATGAGCTTTTTAATGTGTGTACGTGAGTTGGCGTTGCCAATTTCTGACTGCTCGGCGGGGTCGAGCCAGATCTTGCGCTTGCCGACGCCAGCGACGGAGGCGGCGAGCCGTTTTTGAGAGCGTAAGTTGACCATGACGGCTGTTGAATGTTGGAATCAGCACTAGCAGCGGTAAAATGACCCAGCGACAAGCATACTGACCTTGTTCTTGAGGATGTCGACTGCGGCGAGTGAGTCTTACTGAGCAAGATGGAGTCACTTGCTTTGCTGTATAGTTTATCTGGTATGGAGAGTTCCTCCCACGATTACAACAGTTTAATATTGTTATAAGTAGTATTACATAATATAGCTACGACCAGGCGGGCCGTGCATACGGGTTCCATGATCCTACAATTTCCGATGCTCAAAAGACCCAGCATGTTGTAGCCTGGCTCCGGGGCCGTCAAGCACCAACACGACAGTACACTGCTTAGTTTCAAGTGCTGTTCATCAGTTTGTCTAGATTTCATTGGACAAACTGTAAATTTATCCGACCGTTCATCTCGTTATTTGAGCGCTCAATGGAAGAGAAGAAAAGGTCTAACCTGCGGGCCTATACAGTAACTGCGGCGTAGTAGAGGGCAGAATGCGTAATAGCCAGTCATTAATGTTATGCGGACTCGAGCAGGAAAAAGATCAAGAAACGCCGTTCTTACTGTATTCGGAAACAGAGTTGCCCCTACGGACTCTCTTCGCGTCGAATAATGAATTTGCAATGACGCACAAAATACAATATACGCATGGCGAAACTTTGAATGGAAAAGGACACGAAGCTGGTACGAATGGCAGAAAGTCCGCTCTGCCTCGCGTTGACTATTTTATTTATCAGCAAAAGAAGTACTTCTTCTGCGTGCCAGTCGATCGACCAAGCCTGCCTGCCATATTGCCGATGAGAGGGCATCTAGGAAGAACTCCCGCGGCAAGGACGGAGTGGGTGCAGCCACGCATCCGTTCCTAGCGAAGAGAGGAAGATGTTCACCGCCTCGTTGCACATCAGTTGCTTCATTGCCAAGTCGAATGTGCTTCGGTCATCCACCGCGTTTGAGATTAGGCAAACAGAGTGCAAGTTCGGATACGAGCTGCTATTTACGGGATGGCTCCCACGCGTTGGACAGAGTTGAGCAGACGCGGCCGCTCGGGGTTAGAATGCTCCGTTCTTACGTGCCCCGTGCTGAGCAAGTGGCGACGTGCAGTGATGAGCAGCATATAAGTTGGTTAAACATGAAGCAAAAAAATGCCGGGATGCGGCTAGTATGACGACGGGTGTCCATAAGAATAATGAAGTTAGGTAGTGATTTGTTTTATCATCCTATCAAGTTATTTTGGTAATTTACCAGAGGCTCGCACGTGACAGAAACGTGACCGTTACCGGGAGAGACCGAGTCAGTGAGCGTGACCGTCATTAGGTGACCCGACCCGACCGACCTGGCTCTTCCTTTCCTTTCCTTTGCTCTCGACTGCTGCAGACAGACAGACAGCTCCTCGCCGCCCTATAAGCCTGTGTGCACGAGGAGGGCTCGCCTGGCCCCATCTCCTCGCCTGCACACGCCTCTGCTTGTCTTCAGCCTTAACTCGCCCACAGCCCCCTTTCCATTCCACCACCCGTGCATCATGTCGTGTCAATAAACTCCCTTCTGTAGTATCCAGCGCGTCAGCTCTCCCCAGCTTCCCCACTTTGCTTCCCCCACTTTCCGCCTCTTTGCTGCTGTTTTAAATCACCGCTCTGGCTCCTCTTGACATCCCCTCCTCGCACCTCTATAGTCCCCCAGGCATGCAGGACGCCCAGGACGCCGCCCAGGCCGAGGGCGAGGGCCCCGATGGGTCCGACAAGCCCCCTCATGAGGACAGTCCTGCCAAACGCCCAAAGCACCGCCGTAACTCTTTCTTGTCCAAGTTCCACCTTTCCAAGGTCTCAGCTGACGAGCGTGCTGCAATTGCTGCTCGTGGCGATGCGAAACAGGTCAACAGAACTGCTGTGAATGCTTCACCCAATTCAGTCCCGCTGCCCCCACCCGAAGCTGGGGCATTTCCCAAGGAACCAGGATTCACCAAGGGAGAACTCGGCCAGCTCGTTATGCAACAGCAGGTCGGTACTCAGGGACTGAGTGGTCCGGAGACGCCTTCCACTGGGTCACCAGACGGGTCCATATCAGATGGGGAGAGCTGGCCCCCCAGCGCCGCTTCAACCCGCGCCAATAGCCGTGCGAACAGCCGAGCGCCGAGCTTCAGCCATGCAAGACCGGGATCTGAGGGTGACCCTCGCTCGAGAAAGCCATCCTTTTCTTCAAAGTCCGTGGAGAAGGAGGGAAAGGTCGACGGATACGTGACGACTGCACTGCCTCTAAGAGACCAACCGCCTATTCGCACAGATTCAGCTACTCCCACGCGGCCAAAGACTATTTCCCGACCACCGTCCCTCCATTCTGACTCCGGGCACAAGTTCCAGCTAAAAGACTTATTAGCAGCGACACCGAAACTGAACCGCAAGTCGTCAGCGAGGTCGTCAGCAAGTAGCAAAAAGTCCGACTCCGATGGTGATAGACGCTCCACTGCTGGCGACAGTACCGCCAGTTTGTCGAAAAAATATGGTGTTTGCGAGCGACTTGCCATTGGGAAAGGTGCCACTTCTGTCGTTCGATTAGCTCATAAGTGGGATCGGTCCGAGGAGAAGCTCTATGCCGTCAAAGTTCGTTGATCGTAGCTTTTGGTGAAGTTTTATCTGATGATCTTCTTACTTTTTAGGAGTTCCGGAAAAGGCGGAAGAACGAGACCGAAAAAGAATATGTTAAGAAGCTTACTGCGGAGTTCTGCATATCGTCAACTTTACATCATGTCAACATCGTTGAGACTGTCGATTTAGTTCAGGATGAGAACAAGCATTGGTGCGAAGTGATGGAATTCTGCCCGGGCGGTGATCTATATGCCGCAATCAAGAAGGGCGGTATGTCTCCGAGCGAGGTTGAATGTTGCTTCAAGCAAATCATGTCCGGTGTCGCCTATTTACATAGCCAAGGCGTGGCGCATCGGGATATCAAACCAGAGAACTTGTTCTTCAATTCCCGTGGACAGCTGAAGGTCTTGCTTCCTGCTATTCCGATTTGATGTTTCTTATATTGAATCATCTTAGATTGGAGATTACGGGGCGTCTACCGTGTATCGTCTTCCGTGGGAGACAACGGTGCACATGTCAACGGGTCTCTGTGGCAGCGAGCCGTACATCGCACCAGAACAATTTGCAAACAAGCGTAAGTTGTGCAGAGGCATGACTTTGAATTCGATTTAATCCCTTCTCCTTATTTAGCATATGATGCCCGTTTGGTCGATATCTGGGCTTGCGGGATCGTGTATTATTGCCTTCATTTCCAGGAGCTTCCTTGGAGGGTTGCGCAAAATTCAGACCCGCTTTACGCCGCATATGCTCAGGCGTGTTCCTCCACATCCCCAGCACAGTCCTCTTGTCCACCGACGATAAACAATCTCTCCCCTCGACCATGTCGGCCGCTAATTCGTAAGATGCTTGACCCGGATCCGAAATCGCGGTGGACTGTCGAGGAGGTTATCGCGTTTCCGTGGGTACAGAGCATTGAGGTCTGTCACCTTGTCGAGAAGCCGACTCACGTCCACGTGTATGCACGCTCTCTCGCCGAGGCGCAATCGCGCGAAGCGCATAATCGGGAGTTTCTTTGAGTCGGGGCTGCTGTTTCGCTGATAGGCACCGTCCATCAGTGAACTGGTGTTGACAAAGCTATCCCTGCTTCGGACTCTCGATCATCCCTTGCGACTGACGAGTCACGCGTATTGGAATTGATTGAGTCGTCGTGGGGAAGGGATACAGTGTTGCGGTGTAGTTCTAATTGGTATTCGCTTCCTCCGTTTTCCCATGTCTTTTGCACACTTTTGTGTTTGTCACGAATGACTGTCTCACATCCGCCCCTTCACTGGTACTGGTATGATCTTGGCTTCTTGCAGTGCTCGGGTGTTGCACGAGCATTGCACCCACTCGTTGCGTTGTGTTGAGCGTCTTTATGCCTTGTTTTGCTTTCCGATTCGCAATGAGTAGCAGATCGATTATTTTCGGGTTGTGTCGTTACTGCAGTATCAGATAATCTTAAAGCCTCAATGTATTCTTCCACACCTTTCATTACTCTCTATACTGATGCGCATGGATTTACTATATGATTACGACTGAAGCAATACACGATCCTTAGAAATTAAAAAATACCAGATATAGTTTATTATTAGTATATGATAAGCGTGGGAATATCTCTAGAGGTTCCGGAGTTTCTTAGTCCAGAGCCGGTCACCACTTCCCTGCATACCACCTCCTTCTCCTGCTCCTGCCTGCCTTCTGCATGGCCAACTCAAACAATCTCGACGTAGGTTCAAAGCTTGCTGTCCGATGTTCGCTATCTCATGATGTGTAGCGTGCGATTGAAATCGTGCAACGTGCCATAGACGAAGACGTCAATCAGAACTACGCAGAGGCGTCCAAACTCTACCAGAACGCTCTCGATTACTTCCTTCTTGCTCTCAAATGTCAGTTGTCAAAGGAACACAAAGTTTCGGTTCAGTGTGCTTACACTTTGCCCACGATAAACAGATGAGAAGAACGATAAACTAAAGGGCCTCATCCGTGGCAAGATCAGCGAATATCTGGATCGTGCCGAGAAACTCAAGGAGCACCTAAATAAGGACGCAGAGAAAAGGGCACGTCGAGCTGTTGGTGCTAATGGGACGGCATCAGGTGGACCAGGAGGTTCTGGTAAGAGGTACGTTTCCTTCATGTTTGTCGATGAGGATGCCTTTACATGAGTTGACTGACATGCTCTTTGTGATGTTGTACTCCGTAGCAAAGGCGAGGATGGCGAGGAGGATGACCCTGAGTTGAGGAAGCTGCGTGCTGGCCTTTCAGGTGCGTAGCACGCTGTGGTAGATACCTCAGTCTTCTGACTGTCTTTTTTGTCAACCTTAGGCGCAATCCTAACGGATAAACCGAATGTCAAGTGGGACGATGTAGCTGGTCTGGAAGGTGCCAAGGACGCGCTGAAAGAAGCAGTCATCCTGCCTATCAAATTCCCGCATCTGTTCACTGGAAAGCGAACTCCGTGGAAGGGAATTCTGTTATATGGTCCACCAGGAACGGGGAAATCCTATCTTGCTAAAGCAGTCGCAACAGAGGCGAACAGTACCTTCTTCAGCGTGAGTTCATCTGACCTCGTGAGTAAATGGATGGGAGAATCCGAAAGGTAAGGATTGTACGCCCCGTCAAGAATCAACGCAGGCTTACATGGGGCTCATGCAGATTGGTGAAACAACTATTCCAAATGGCTCGAGAGAACAAACCAGCCATTATATTCATCGATGAGGTTGATTCATTATGTGGTACAAGAGGCGAGGGTGAATCGGAAGCATCACGGCGAATTAAGACGGAATTTCTGGTGCAAATGAATGGTGTTGGACACGATGATACCGGTGTGCTGGTACTTGGTGCCACCAATATTCCTTGGATGCTGGACAATGCTATCAAGCGCAGGTTAGTTTGCTCATCATTCTGTCATTGAAAACGTACTGAGTCATGGTAAGGTTTGAGAAGCGGATCTATATTCCACTGCCAGGGCCTGAAGCTCGAAAACGCATGTTTGAGCTGAATGTAGGAACAACGCCATGCGAACTTACCCATAAGGACTACAGAGCTCTCGCAGATCGTACAAATGGGTCCGTATAATCATTTCATATTGTAGAGTTAATCTGATTGTTCCCCGTTTCTATCCAGATACTCGGGTTCAGATATCGCGGTCGTCGTACGAGATGCACTAATGCAACCTGTGCGAAAGGTGCTCTCAGCAACGCATTTCAAAGAAATACCACCGCCAGACGGCGAGGGCAAACCAAGATGGACACCTTGTTCCCCAGGCGACCCTGCGGCTGTTGAGAGAGCTTGGACAGAGCTTGAATCTGACGAACTTCTCGAGCCACCTCTGAAGCTCAATGATTTCGTTCGAGCAGTGGATAGCATCCGACCTACCGTGTCAGAAGACGATATCAAGCGACATATCGAGTGGACGAATGACTCAGGTGCGTGTTCTTAATCGCACGCACGATTGAGCCCCAAGTGACCATTCTCGTCCCAGGAAACTCCGGAGAATAAACATGGACGGCATTCTTTCTGTCTTCTTTTTTTGCTGAGATGACTTGCTCTGCGCTCTGTTCCTCTTTTTTTTTTTCATTGGCATGATATATTCTTTCCGTCTGCTTTGCTTTTACGATGCAGAGATTTTTACACGTGGGTTGTATTGTAATACATAATTGCTGTAGTTATACAACGGAGATTCAAATAGAGAAGAATGAATATAACGAGATGAGACCATACTGGATGATCAGCACATCATCGGCTAGCGCCGGCCTCCTTGTGAGTGACTCCGTTCCGCTAAGCTTAAATTTCTCTCAGCTATGTATAATCTCTTGCTTTTCCTTGTCCGTTCCTCGCCCGCTCCTGATACCCCGTCTTTGCACCACCATGACCAGCCGCTATGCCAAATTGATCGACCAGAAATATTTTATTGCACCGGCTTTTACCCTCGAGTCTGGTGTTACCCTCCGTGATGTACCTGTTGCGTACAAGACTTGGGGAAGGCTCAATGAAGAGCGGGATAACGTTTTGGTTATTTGTCATGCGTTTACTGGGAGCTCCGATGTTGAAGACTGGTACGCCTATCTTATTCTACCGCTTGTAACGAGAGAAAGGGAAAAAATTGACTTGCGAGACAGGTGGGGACCTCTAATGGGTCCAGGGAAAGCGTTCGACCCGAAGAGATACTTCATTTTTTGTGGAAATGTCATGGGCTCGCCTTATGGCTCTGCGTCACCAGTGACTGTCAATCCTGATACTGGAGAACCTTATGGACCGGAGTTCCCTGCTACGACTATACGGGATGACGTTCGGTAGGTCATCGCTCATCGCATATATTCAGCTTTTTTCCATTTCATTATCCTAAAGCCAATGCTAATGCATCAAATATGCGATAGCCTGCATAAACTGGTGTTAGATCACCTGGGTGTTGCATCTGTCGCAGTAGTGATAGGAGGGTCCATGGGCGGTATGGCCGTCCTGGAATGGCCACTCTGTACACCTCCAGGCTTCGTACGACACATAATACCCATCGCTACCTCCGCACGACACTCCGCATGGTGTATATCCTGGGGTGAAGCTCAACGACAAAGTATCTACTCCGACCCTGCATATGACGACGGGTACTATACACTTGGTAAAGAACCTAACTCTGGCCTCGCTGCGGCGCGTATGGCGGCACTGCTGACTTATCGGACGCGGGATAGTTTCGAGTCGAGATTTGGGAGGAAACCGCAGAAGACGAGGGATGGTGAGGTGGTGGCTATGTTGACTCCGCCAAGGTCGCCTGTGGGATCGCAGGATGCGCTTGCTGCGCATAATGATGGACATAAAAACGCGAAGCCGCGTCCGTTACGCACCAGCAGCAATAGTACTGGCAATGCACAAACGTCAAGACCGATTTCACCTCCAACAGGTCCAGGCTCATCATCTTCATCATCGACTCCCGTTCCACCATCCTCATCCACACCAGTATCAAAACCAACCGTATACTCTGCACAGTCCTACCTCCGTTATCAAGGAGACAAATTCACCGCCCGCTTCGACGCAAACTGCTACATCCACATCACCCGCAAAATGGACACACACGACATCGCCCGAGGCCGATTCGACATCCAAACTCCAGCAGACGAATCCCGCGCCCTAGCTTCCATCCTCTCCACCCTCCCCCGTCGTGCACTAGTCATAGGCGTCCAATCAGACGGCCTCTTCATGGTCTCCGAACAACGCGAAATCTTCGAACACATCCCCGACGCCGAACTCGTCATCATCCAATCTCCTGACGGACATGACGGCTTCCTCCTCGAGTTTCAGCAGATTAACACTCATATTCTAAGATTCTTGAAGAGGGAGTTCCCGAGTTATTATGAGAAGGAAGACGTAGAGGAGACACCTGTTGAAGGATTTGAGATTAATAAGACCAGTGTGTTTGGAGAGGCGGAGGCGGATATCACGCGTTGGTAACATTGCCAATTTTCTTCGCCTCTTATTATTTTATTTTTTTGCGGATTTGGTTTGCATTTGTTCAACCCAAATGCATCAAGCCAACCGATTTTTCTCACTCTTTTCTTGCTTTTGAGGGAAAGAAATGCACGGACATCGGAAGCATGTACGCATAGCATTAAATCACATAGTAACCACAATAACATTATAATCTCTATCCTCAAAACCGGTAGTACGGAGAAAAAGAAAGAAAAAAGAAAATTATAGAAAGTCAAACATCTTGCATTATCGTCGTTAGAGGGTGTGGTATCCAGAGCCAAACGAAAGAAATACATATGCATATTAACAAAATGCGTGACGACAAAAAAGGAGTGCGAGCTGTTCCGGGGATAGGAAGAGCAGGATGGAGGGACAGTATATTGGGAGAAGAGAAGAGACAGTACTAGTTGGAAAGCCAATGTGTAGCTAAGTAGAACAACGAATGATAAAGTACTTCAAGTATGAATGTATGCATGTAAAATACCCATATCCATGTAGAACCTAAACATCAAATACCCAAACATTCACTCAGAATCTTCGAGGAGCTCCCTGCAGACCTTCAATGGAATGTTGCTCAAGCTCATGTCGCGCTTTGAGGATCTGCGCATGCATCTCCTTCATCGCGTTACCAAGCTTCACACCAAAGCGACTGAGGATATCGCGTTGCCAAGTATCGTACTTCGCATTGACGCGAGCTTGTACCTGCTCGTAATCAATTACGCAGGCACCGAAGGATCGTTGCGTCTCGGATGTGTCGAATGTCGAACGAGCCTTCTTGATCTCGGTGAGCAGTTGTTGCCAATGTGCGAGCGAGTCGCCTAATCGGTTAAATACGTATTCGGCTTCTAGGTCCCATAAGGACTGGAATTGAAGCCATTTCGCAACATAATCTTTCAATTGCTGCACTTTGTTCTCGATAAGGGCGAATGGTCGTTCCAGAGTGTTGTCGGTAAAGTGTGTTAGCTGTAGGTTTAGTAAGCATCCTTGACTGGCCGACGGAAGGTAAAGTTTGCTTACCAGAGACGTATATGTCGTTTCCGACACAGCACCAACTTGCATTTGGAGACCAATCTCATATCGCGAACTTTGTATCCGCTGTTGTCGACACACGACAGCCAGCCATTCGTGCAATTGCTTTATCCACGTCTGCCGAGCGTATTCGATAGGTGGGTCGAGGAAGATGACTTGGTTCTGTATCCGAATCTCGTGGACAATTGGCTTAATGACGAGATGCCCTTCTGGCAACTTCTCATCTTTCAACCTCTTATCTCCTCGTCGCTTGTTCGTGATATCGCGAAGTACAGATGACTGTGTGTCGTCCTCTGTTTTGTCAAACTCCGTGCACCATAGCTTAATAGTCGCTGCTAATCGAGCTAATAAGATGCCCTCGACACGCTTGTCGAGCTCTGCTACCCAGTGCTCGAGGTTTGCGTAGCCTTCCAGATTTAATTGATCAATCTAGGTCATTGTCAGCAATGAAAATAAATTAAGCGGGAAAGTCCTTACAGCTGCTTGTATGCGACTAAGGAGTGAAGCGAACGCTTCACGAGTATAAGGACATGTCGATAGATCTTCAACTGCACGGAGAATATCTTTGTATAGATCAATCAGATTGTTCGTCTTGTCCTAGAAAACCCAGTTGAGACATCAGTTGAACATCCATGGAGAATTCTGGAGCAGAGAACGAACCTGGAGTACAGAGACAACACTAGCGAATTCGCGCACGAACTGCACATGTCTATTATCCCGTCCATCGGCCGTAGGTACGTATCGCGCTGTATCGTACTGATTCACGAAGTAGTCCCATCGAATATTCATACCACGTGTAATCATACGCTGTGCGTCATTACGATACTCAGCAACAAGCCACTCAATACCTTTATTCTTCTCCACCAGGTCGAGTGTCTGGCCGTACGTTCGCACGGTCTCCATCAGGCTCACAGCATGTGGGTACACGCGCTTCGCATCCTTGGCCATATTCGTGATTGCATGAGGTACCTGGAAGTTCAGCCATAACAAGTTGCGGACCTCTTTGAACAGCGTAATAATCTGCGGATCGAAGTTAACGGCCAACTGATATCCACCACCACGCAGTTTGACAATCTCAAAGAGGCGACCATTAACACCCATGTCGCGACGATTAATATCGTGGAGCCAAGCATCGTATACAGGTCGAGTGTCCAGTTTCTTTCGAAAAGCGGAGCTCTCTGATTGGAGCTTCTGACCTTCTGCATAAAGTTCCCATCCCTTCCCAAAGACATCCTCTACGCGCTTCATGTATGTCATTAATTGCCGCTCAATTTGACGAGCCCATATTATCGCGCCTGCTATTGGTGGCAGATCGCGCATTTGAGACATGTGGTAGGCTTCAGAGAAACGGTATTGGGTTTTAAACTACATAAATATGTGAGTGGTTTATCAAAACAATCATGGCTTTGTGAATACCTTGTCATGAAGTCGCTTTATATCTTCCTTTACCGAGTCAATGAGCTGAGTCTGGTATTCTTGGATCGCTCCACGGATCTAAGAATATTTGTAATTAGTCTTGATAACCGCCGTCAGCACCCTCATCCATTCACCTTTGGTCGAACGAAGAGAGCGTTGAACTTGGAGAATACTCTGAACATCTCATTGGCATTTCGTGCCGTGCCTAATCGATCGCGTAATCTTGAAATAATTTGGTTCTCAACACGTGCGACTCGTTCGTTGTATGCATTCTCCGCAGTTACCCAGATTTCTGCACCGTCTAAATAACAAAGAATGAGCAACTACAGAAAAGGTGAAGGAGAAAAGGTCGTACCTGTTGATACATCTAAGATGTCGATACTCTTGATAACTTCATATGCTTCCTTCACCTCTTCCTCCATGTCCATTCCACCGACTTCCTTCCCAATGGCTCCAAGACCCTTCGTGGGTCCAGTCATCACAGCAAGCTGCTCATGTTGCTTCCGCCATTCCCGTAAATATCGCACTCGCTCCTGCAGTTTCGCATGTGCAGGTTGAATCTTAATGGGGATAAAACGTTCTGAGCGCTTACGCGTGACCTCACGCGCGACATTCGTGAAATCCTTGATTTCATCGTCCCACGTTCGGAAGATGGCCATGGTTTGCGACATCAGTCGCTCGAAGGTATCATAGGGTTGGTAAGCCAGGCGATGTGAAGTGAGTACTCGTAGTAGTTGGTCGTTGAAATCTCGAGAAATGGCTTCGACGAGTGGGAGAGCACGCCGGACGGGATAGGGAGAAAGCTTGAGCTTGCGATTGATGTGGCCACTGAATATGAGATTGATGGCTTCCTTGATTTTGTCAAGGTCCGGAGCCGAAAGCAATTCGTTGAGGGGGAAATCCTTCATGAGGATGTTGTATTTGTGAACTGAAATGATAGAGCTTAGAAATTACCCAAAAGAAAGGTACATAACAGGACACACCAATATCTGTCGCGTCCTTCAATCCAGTGTCTGCAATGAAACTGACTGTTGCACGGAAGCGCTTCGCGTTTCGTAAACAGTCCATCACCATATTCACTTCATCGCTTCGTAACTGCGTCTCAATTGCCTCTAGTGCCTGCTCCAAGCTTAACCAAAAGTTGATTTCTTGTGACGCAGTCCCAGACGACACGTCTCGCGATAGCTTCGTAACAGCCTGAATAGACTTGATCCATGTGTTTACATGTGCTTGTAAGGTATTAAGGAATGTCGAGTCGTTGAGAGTCTTTGAGGGAATGAGGGAAATATTCGGGCGAACATTCTGTCCCTGAGCCTGCTCGACCACTCGTTGGATGACGGGATGAACGATTAGGTGAGTTTCCGGGATCTCTACGTTTTGTTGAAGGTGGAGAAGTGAAAGCTCGAGTTCGGCGAACTTCTTCTTGGTTATTGGGATGCCTGCAGCTTACTGTTAAAGGTAGACCGTGTACAGAGACCGAGGTTTACGCACCCATTTTACTATCTCCGTCCTTTCCACCACCCCTTGCACCGACAAATGCCTCAAACCATGGCTTCACAGCTCCGCTGACTAGCGAGTGCAAGCTCTCATATGGAGTCTCGTCGCCGCCAAACAAGTTGATTACATGCAGTTGTTGAGGGAGAGATAGAAGCGGATCAAGAATTGCGCTGCGCTTGATGAGCACTATAGTCAGAACGTGGGCAGGCGAGTAGGTTAGGGACGACATTATATGGTAGCTATACAATGGGGGAGAATCATCTGTTCACATAGTCAGCAACTGCTTTGAGAATTGCATGAAATGATACATGGTATAGAGGACGCAACAAACCTTCCACCTCCTCTTTCTTCTTTACAACATATAACGGTGAACCACCCTCACTCGCAAACCGTGTCACGCGCTCCTCGAACTCCGAATCGAATATTTGATCTTCAAGCTCACCTTTCTCCGCACCGAATATGGGCGGAAGAAGAGCGAGGAGATACGAACGCATGAGAACAGGGTCAAACGTCGATGTGGGCGCAGTCGTTGGCGCGCCGTCTGGTAACACGTCCGACGATGAAAGCGCACCATTTGTTTGCGGAGACGGCGGAGCCCCGGGCACTTCTACTGCAGCCATATTGTGCGTGGTCTTAAATCAGATTTCAATTGACGCGTTCCAGCAGCAGCTCGACGTGTCTTCCCTTCGTGCGGTACGGTTGTGAAAGTAATTTACAGTAGGCCCTGAGTATCGATATCGTGTTTGTCCACCTGTCATCGATGCGAACATGAGCGTACAAGTGAAAGGTTATCACTTGTAATTGCATACCTGGGTATAGTCACAGTCGTCGTGCACACTGCACACTGTTGCAAAACGTCAAAGAGCTCCTGTCGTGTGTAGTAGTAGAATACGCGTCGGTCACATTCCGGATAAGGCAATAGTTAATAATCCGATAAAATACATCCTCCGCGGTCCGCCTGTCGTTGGACAATCGCGGATTTCAATGTAGCTCTAATTGAATTATCGTTGCTGTATTATATGTTATAGCGTAAGGCAGGTGTTGTTCAGGTGAATGCTCATAACAAAAGCCAATAATCTAAGCTATAGTACATAGTCACATTGTTTTATCTCAATAATATACAACAGATCATTTTGGAGTCTTTGGACATTGCATAGAGAAAGTTGTAAGAGCCTTGAATTTTTAGAAATCGATTTCGCCCAAGAACCTCCAATATCTTTGCCAAATTTCTTCAAGGCATGAGACTAATGACCTTTCAAACATCGGCCGCAGCGACCCACAAAGTGAAAATGCGTCCTCATCCTCTGGCAAGAGCCAGGCAAAGGCCGCAGCTCTGTGTCCAATATGTGGACGCGTGCTTTCCATGTGTAATAAGAAGGATTGGGGGTTGCAATACCGAAATGTATTAGTACATTTAGAAAAAGCAGTTTCAAAGAAGAGCAACTGTTGCTGTTTGTCGATAGAATGCAGAGCATATATTAATACTCAGACGGAGATCTCGAAGTGGTAGGTCTGTTCATTCGCTGTGAACGTTCAATAAGCCCAGGTCCGCTGAAATTGGGATAAACTAATGCTTGAGAAGAGCAACTCTCTCCTTGTATGCATTCATTACGGCTGTCCAGATTTTAGTACCCTCTTTAAAATCGTAAATACAAAATCTTTAAGGAAATGCAGAGAAATGTCATACCTGTCGAAACATCGAGGATATCAACCTTCTTGATGATTTCATACGCTTCCTTCACCCCCTGCATATCTATTCCAGAATGCTCATCCCTCATAGTTCCGGGACACAATTTGCGATTAGTCATGGTGGCAAGCTGATAATGCTCTCTCCGCAATTCTCGAAGACACCGAATTCGTTCTCGCAACTTCGCGTGTGCAGGTCGAATCTTAATGGGAACGAAGCGTTCAGCACGCCTACGAAGGACCTCGCGCGTAGCACACTTCAAATCCTTGATCTCATCATCCCATATTCGAAAGACATCCATAGTCTGTGACATTAATCGGTCGAAAGTGCTATACGATTGATCGGCAAGACGACTTGAAGCGAGTACACGGAGCAATGTAGCGTTGAAATCACCAGAAATGGCTTCGATGAGGGAAAGAGCACGCCAGACAGGATAGGAAGAACCCTTAAACTTGCGATTGAAGTGACGGAATATGAGTCTGACGGCCTTCCCAATTCCTTTAATGTCGGAAGCCGAGTATAACTCGTTTAGCGGAAAATCCTGCATGAGAGTGTTGTATCGGCGCGCTGAAATGTTAAATTGTTTAGAAAATTATCCAAAAGAAGAGTGTAAAATGCAACATACCCACGTCCATAGCATCGCACAACCCAGTATCTGCGACGAAGGCGGCCGCCGAGTCGAGCCGCTTCGCGTTGCGTAAACATTCTATCGTCATGTTGACTTCATCGTTTCGTAGCTGCCCATTAATCGCCTCCAGCGCTTGCTCCAAGCCTAACCAGAAGTTGATTTCCTGTGACGCAGTCCTAGAGGACACATCTCGGGACAGCTGCGTAACAGCCTGAATAGACTTCATCCACATTTTCGAATGTGATTCCAGCGTGTAAAGGAACGCCGCGTCGTTAAGAATCTCTGAGGGTATGAAAGAAATCTTCGGGCCGACATTCTGAGCATGAGCCTGCTCAACCACACGTTGAATGACGGGGTGAATAGTTAGGTGCACTTCTGGGATTTCAACGTTTTGATGGAGCAGGAGAAGCGACGACTCCAGTTTGGCAAATCTCTTCTTTATTATCGGTATACCTGTATTTCTTCATGTTGAAGCGAATCACAAACAAAAATTGAGTTGTACTCACCCAATTTACCATATCCATCTTTTCCGCTGCATTGCGCCCCGACAAATGCCTCATACCACGGTTTCGCCACTCTGCTAATTACTGAGTGCAAATTCTCATATGGTTCCCCGTCATCACCAAACAAGTTGATTACATGCAACTGTTGAGCAAGTGGTAACCTCGGATCGAGAATTGCACTGCGTTTGATGAGTAAGACGGTTAGAACGTGGGCAGGCGAGTACGTCAGGGTCGAAGTTACTTGGTAACGATAGATTTGAGGAGAATTACCTGTCCACATGGTTGAAAATTGTTCCAGATCTTCTGTGAGTGAACGGATCGTAACTAAGTAAGGGAGTACAACAAACCTTCTGCCTCCACTTTCCTCTTCACGATACACAACGGTGAGCCTCCCTCGCACGCAAACCGTGCCACCCGTTCTTCAAATTCCGCATCGAATACTTGATCTTCGAACTCACTCTGTTCTACTCCGAGGATGGGAGGAAGAAGAGCAAGGAGGTACGAACGCATGACTGTAGGGTCCAACGTAACTGTGGATGCAGTTGTCGGCGGCCCGTCTGGTAACATCTCCGTTGTTGAAATTGCTCCACTTGCTTGCAATGATAGCAGCACCCAGGGTGATTCTAGTTCAGCCATATCATATCATACAAAGTCGTGCGCTGGGCGTCTGTTGTCCTGCATTACGGAAGGCTCAAAGTATATGTAAGGTTGTAGATCACGCGCGCTAGTGTTTTCTATGTAAGGAAACGCTTACTATAACTAGACGAGACTTCCCTTCATGGTGTCGAATTAACACAAGGAACTACTTGATTAACTCTGCTAGCGCTGCAATGCCGGCACTACTCATATCTCATAATACATTGGAAATCCATTCATTGTTATGACATATTTATCTCGGATAGAGACTCAGGTACAGGCGTTGCGGATCTCAGTCCAACTTGAAACACCGCGCCGGCACCCACTGTATAGTATATATACCGTCATATTTTGCCTCCTTTCTCCACCCACCTCCCGCTAAAAATGGTCGCCACACTCATCCTCGATAGTCCTGAGGAGCTCATAGTGCACATCCTTGTTCGCGCAGAACCAGTTGCTGTCATCACTTTTGCCGAGACCTGCCGCGAGGCCCGCGCCTTCGTCTATGGGCAACACAACGAGCACTTCTGGCGTCGTCTCTTCCTCAATTCATTTGACGATCCTCGATACTTGTCCTCATCGAATACTCTCTGTGCTTCTGAGTCTGCCCCACACACTATTGATTGGAAGCATGTCCTCCACAAGCGCGTCTATGCTATGCGTATGATTCAAGAAATGACTAGTCTCAAAACTACGCTTTCTACCCTCATTTCCGTTGCAAGGAATGCAACACCGATGTCGTACCGACTCGATGAATTAAATGATCTCGCTTGGATTAAATACCTTGCTGATGGACACAGCGCACCCGGCTTAGATCCTTCCATCGATCGTGAATTGACCGTCGAAGAGGAGCAACACATAGCCAAACTATGGAGTTTTGTAGGATGGCGTGACAGCTTGCTCACCAAAGGCTCCAAAGGCTTGTTGCAAGTTCGAAACCATGCACGGGCGTTCGTCTACGACTTTCGCAACTATATATGCGAGAACCACTGGGGACCATTCATGGCTGACAGGAGTGGGCGTGTGAACTGGAAGCACATGAAAGCCATTATAGTCGTCATGTACAGCAATCTCGTGGACCTTGGCGAGCTCTGGCTTGACACACGCCCTTCAGCGCGTCTAGATGCTATACGAACCTACTCCGCACCCATCACCCGCACCGGCGATCGTCGGGATTGGGCGGGCGTCGAAGGGACTTGGCGTCGATATGTATGCTTCATGGACCATCGGTAAGTTTGGTGGTATGAATTGTAATTTCCGTTAGCTAAAGATCCGCCCGCTAGCGATCTGTTCAGTGAGTTCATACCGTTAACTTCGGATAGATGAGCGGTGATTCATCTGTTTTGGAAACCATTTGATTACGTTCGTGCATGTGCCACGCTTTCTAGCTTTCAATGTGAGCACATTCTCCGCTGCTTTTCGTCACATGGGTAGCTCAGAAGACCTTCTGATTCAGTATACGGCAGTAGCACATAACCCGTCATTTTTTGAAGGTGATGGATTCCGAGAAGCGACGCGTCTTACCGAACTCAATCTAAGAATAACGAGTTTCGATGACGAAAAGAAAGATGATTACACCAACTTTCCCAGCTCATCATCAACTACGTCCGCTGCAAATTATTTTCCAGTAATCCACTTTGTCGGCGAGTCGCGTGGTGAGAACGTTGAAGAATCACGAGTGCGCGGAAGTGTGCGCATGACACCCGACGGACACATCCGCTGGCGATTGATATTTGTATGTTCAGGTTCACATTTGTTGCTTTCCCGTATTCCTTTTCTCCTCGCTCCTTTTTGCTTCCAATTTTGTCCATTTCCTTCTGTTTCCCGTCTCCTTTCCTCCCACATAAGTGCTTCACTTCATGCTTCCCGCAGACTTGTTGAGCTGACACCGGATTCGCCAGGCGTCAATACACGATAGTTACTCACACTGGAGGTCAGTGGACACAGTCATCCGTTCAGTGAAACTTACCAAAAGATTCTCTTTCATTATTTGCGTCTTCGCGCAGTTCCGAGGGAATTCAAATCGGCGATGTATGCAGTGCCGCTGGTGTCGTGGGTACTTGGACGGGAGCGCATCATGAAGGAGGTTAGTGCACAGACTCACACACTGTTATAGCAGAGGAACGATACACGATTTAACCGTTTGATCATTCTGTAATTGATATAGGTGACCCTGTTGGTATGTCCCAGCAATTTCGAATTCAAAATCGATACACAGTTGACGGTTTAATTGATTAATGTGATAGGTCCGTTCTGGATGTGGAAGGTCAACGATGACCACCCGAGCCGTCCGACTAGAGATGATTAGTGACTTTCGTGTGACTGTTGGCACCCTGGAGAGGTTTTTCAAATCTTCATCGGATTCCTCGCTGATGACAACGATTGATTGAATGGCATGTTCCTTTTTCTCCTTCGGATTTTCTTGTTCCTCCTTTTCTCGTACGTTTTGGACACATATGCAACTTTAGCACATGGTGTGCTCTGTGCGGATTTGACTAAAGCCTGTTAGTGATTGGAAAGCTATCTATCTCTTTGTCATGGACTGCTCTGCTGTATTCTGAAACAGACTATAATTAATTAATGCGTGGCATGTTCTTTTCTTTTTCCTTATAGTAACTTTGTTTGGTGCATCCATTATAGTAATGTCAAATACAAGGTTTGTAAATAACAGGAGAGGTATTGAATTTGTTAGTGCTGCTGTCTACATGTTTATTGTTTTACTGGAAAGTGTGCTGGAACACTCTTACTAGTTGGCTGGATTAATACACAGAAATGTGTCGATAGCAGTACCAGTGTTTCGCTTGCGTTTTATCCTATTCTTCATATCTGCAGCATAAAATCAATTTTGTCAAATAAAGATAGAAAGGCATTGGTCCATCCCCACTAACATCTTAAAGCTAACTTTACGCACATCTCACAATGCATTGTAAACGACACCGTGCATCTGACGTACTTATGCAATGAAATACTATCATGTCAGGGACCCAGAGTCAGACTTTCCCGGTTCCCAGTCTAAATGCCGGCACCCACTATACTTATATTTACTTTCATATTTTGCCGAATATAGTCTTTCTCCCCCGCTTTCCACGAGCAATGGCTGCCACATCCATCCTCGACATTCGTAAGGAACTTTTAGTGTACATCCTTGTCCACGCAGAACCAGTAGCTGTCATCTGCTTTGCTGAGACCTGCCGCGAGGCCCACGCTCTCGTTTATGAGCAACACGAACACTTCTGGCATCGTCTCTTCCTCAATTCATTTGACGATCCTCGATGCTTGTCCTCATCAAATCCTCTCTGTGTTTCTGAGTCTGGCCCATACAATATTGATTGGAAGTATGTTCTCCACCAGCGAGTCTATACCATGCGTATGATTCGAGGAATGACTAGTCTCACAACCGCGCTTTCTATCCTCATTTCCGTTGCAAGGAATGCAACACCGATGTCGTACCGACTCGATGAATTAAATGATCTCGCTTGGATTAAAGATCTTTCTGGTGGACACAGTGCACCCGGCATGGGCACCTCCATTGATCGTGAATGGACCGTCGAAGAGGAGCAACACATAGCCAAACTATGGAGTTTTGTAGGATGGCGTGACAGCCTGCTCACTAAAGACTCCAAAAGCATGCTGCAAGCTCGGAACCATGCACGGGCGTTCGTCTATGACCTTCGTAACTATATGTGCGAGAACCACTGGGGACCATTCATGGCTGATAGGAGTGGACGTGTGAACTGGAAGCACATAAAAGCCATTATAGTCGTCATACACAGCAATCTCGTGGACCTTGGCGAGCTTTGGCTGGACACACGCCCTCCAGCGCGTCTAGATGCTATACAAGCCTACTCTGCACCCAACACTTGCAACCCCGATCCTCAGGACTGGGCGGGCGTCGAAGGGAAATGGCGTCGATACGTATGTTTCATGGACTATCGGTAAGTCCGGCGGCACGGGTTTCTCACATTCCGTTAGCTAAAAATCCATCCACCAGCGATCTGTTGAGTGAGTTCTATTCTCGAGGTTCAGATAAAGGGACTCATCAGTCCTGGCGCCTACTTGCCTCCGAATCACTCCGATTGTGTGCGTTGTACACTATCTAGCTTTCAACGTGAGCACGTTCCCTGCCAATCTTCGTCACATGGGTGGCTAAGAACGAATACTGCGATTAAGTACTCGGAGGACCCATATAACCCGTCTTTCTTCGAAGACGATGAATTCCAAGAAGCGACACGTCTTATCGAGCTCAACCTAACAATAACGAGTTACGATGAAAAGAAGAATCCTTCCGCCAGATCTCCGGGCTCGTCATCACGTGCCTCCACCGCGTCACTGCGCTCTTTATCTGCACCATCCTCGCCTTCACCGCTCTCTGCTCCGAGTGGCTCACCTTCTACTGGATCTGGCCTCTCAAGCATCGCGAAGCAACTTCCTCCTGTAATCCACTTTGTCGGCAAGTCGTGCGGTGGGAACGGTAACGAATCACGAGTGTGCGGAACTGTGCGCATGACACCCGACGGACACATCCGCTGGCGATTCGTAAGTGTATGTTTGGGTTTACTTTTACTCTCCCGCTTTTTTTCGTCGTTTCCCTTATTCCGTTCTGCCCTTTTCCATCCCCTTGTTTCCCACATACCTACTTCGATTTATGCCTGTCGCCGAATGGACGAGCTGACACCAAGAATCACAAGGCATTAAGATACGACGGCCACTCACAATGGAGGTCAGAGGATACTTTCATTCAATCAATAAATCTTTCCAAAGGGGAAAGGTCTGGCTCCTTTCAGAGTTCACTGACTTCAGTTCCTTTTGCATCTCCATACAGTTCGGAGGGAATTCAAATCGGTGATGTATGTAGCGCCGCCGGTGTTGTGGGTTCATGGACAGGAGCGCATCACGAAGAAGGTCAGTGAACATTTAGAGAAACAAAGTAGTGATTATTGTGTTTTATCGTTCTGTTTTTAATATAGATGACCCTGTTGGTAAGTCCCAATATTTACGGCTTCAAAACCGATACACATTCGACGATTTTAATTGGTTAATTATGATAGGTCCGTTCTGGATGTGGAAGGTCAAGGATGACCACCCGAGTCATCTGCCTGATCAGCGTCTTTCAAGTGATTGAAAGCCATCCCTGGGGAGATTTTTCGAATCTTCATCGATTCGATTTTTTAGTTGACAACAGCGATTGATTGCATGTTATATTTCTTTTAGCGCTCAAACCATCTTGTTCCGTCTTTTCCCATCCGCTCTGGATATATATGCAACTTTAGTACTAGGGAGGGTTCGACTAAAACTTGTTAATGATTGTTTGGCTATCTATCTCGTTGTCCTGGTCTGCTCTGTCGTATTCCGAAATGGATTATGCTTATCTAGTGCACAGATGATTCTTCTCTTTTTCCTTATAGTAACTTTACTTGATGTATCAGTTTGTTAGTTTTGTATACAAGGCTTGTAAAAGAACAGCGCCATAGAAGAAGATTAGTGGTGCATATGCATCCTGACGGTTTATATAAGACATTACCATCACAGCAGGAAATTGATCATGAGTATGGCAAACATATTCTAAACTTGACACTTAATATCCAATTGGAGGCATGCTTCAGAATAAGTTTTAGCATTTGACGTAGATCATATTCTAATATGCCTGTCGTATCTGTCAATAACAGATCGATAAATTTGTCGAATAAGGAAATATATTGGCTTATCCTGCTGCATACACATCTCAAAATGCATTGAAAGTGTGTCTTTAGTCGATATGAGATTTGAGAATTTTGACTGAAATAGTGTCAAATCATTCAAATGCTATCATGTCAGACTCTGAGTCAGTCATAGATATCCAGACTCCGGCTCCCAGTCTAAATGCCGACCCCAACGTCGTATTATTGGACTTGGTCACTCAATACCGCTCATGACTGACTTCCTCCGATACTGACCGTACACCTCACAAACGGAATGGCTGCTACCTCCATCCTCGACATCCCCCAGGAACTGACGGAGCACGCTCTCGTTCATGCAGAGCCCAGCGACATCGCAAGCTTCGCTCAGACATGTCGAAAGGCCCGCGCTCTCGTTTACGAGCAGCCCGACCAGCACCTTTGGCGCCGACTCTTTCTGAAGCATCCATTCGACGACCCACGGCAATTTTCCCGTCCACACTCTTCCCTTCTTTCTGACTCTGGTTCTGGCTCTGGTCCGAGCCCCGGCTCATGCTCTATTAACTGGAAGCAGGCTCTCCAGCAACGCGTCTATGCAAGGCGCATCATTCAAAAAATGACCAGCCATCCTCCGGAACTCGCAACTGCACTCTCTGCTCTCATCTCAGTCGCAAGGAATGTACCACCGATGTCGGATCAACCCGACGAATCAAAAGACCTCGTCTGGCTCAATAATCTTGCTCGCGAACACAATGTATTCGGCTTAGGCGGCTCCTCTGACTACAAATGGACTTCTGAAGAGGAGCAGCGCATAGCCGAACTGTGGAGTCTCATCGGATGGCGTGACAGCGTACTCAGCAGAGCCGCCGAAGATCTTCTGCAAAACCGGAACCGTGAACGGGTATTTGTGTACGATATGCGCAACTATATGCGCGAGAACCACTGGGGGCCATTCATGGCGGATAATAGCGGCTGCGTCAATTGGAAACACATTAAAGCAATCATAGTCGTCATCTACAGCAATACCATAGACCTCGGTGGGTCATGGCTAGAAGCACGTCCTCCGTCGCATCTAGATGCTGTCCGCGTATACTCTGCGCCTAATCATCATACACGCGATCCACGGGATTGGGCGGGTGTGGAAGGAACATGGCGTCTGTACGTATGCTTCCTGGACTATGGGTAAGTTCGGCTGTAGGGATGTTTTCGATTCCCGTTAGCTAAAGATCTATCCACCAGTGATCTGTTCAGTGAGTTCTTTTCTTGAGGCCCAGCTACATGCGCGGCGACTTATCTGTCCTCGTGCCCATTCGCCTTCGAATCAATCCGATTGCGTTGTACGATACTATTTAGCCTTCAATGTGAGCACGTCCTTCTCTGGTTTTCGTCATATGAGTGGCTCAGAATCTTCCGATTCAGTATACAGCGGAAGCGCATGACCCGTCTTTATTTGAAAGCTATGGATTCCAAGAAGTAGCACATCCTGTCGAGCTCAAACTAAGTACAACTGGTTTCGGCGAAAAGAATGACATGTCGACACGCTCCTTCTCTGCACCTCCTTCGACCTTACTGTCCTCTGCCACGGGTGGCTCATTTTCCGTTGGATCTGGTCCGGACAGTATTATGAATCAACATCTAGCAATCCACTTTGCTGGCAAGTCGCTCAGTGCAAATGGCAACGAATCACGATTGCGCGGAACTGTGCGCATGACATCCGAGGGACACATCCTTTGGCGATTCACAAGTGTATGTGCGGGTCTCCCCTTGCTCGCTGATATTTTCTTCTCACGCGCTTGCTTTACCCAATTCCCCCTTTCCTCCCCGCCTCTTTTTTCTTTCCTCATGAGTGCTTCACTCTATACCTGTCGCTAAATTGACGTGCTGACACTAATTTCTCAAGGACGACGGTCAAGCGCAGTGGAGGTCAGTGGATACTTTCATTCAATCGATAAATCTTTCCAATAGAGAAAGAGCCAGCTCCTTTCAGAGTCCACTGATGACAATCTTCTTTGCTTCTTCACACAGTTCGGAGGGGGTTCAAATCGGCGGTGTATGCAGTGCCGCGGGCGTCGTCGGCATATGGACAGGAGCGCATCACGAAGAAGGTGAGTGCACATCTGGAGAATTGAAATAGTGATTTAATGTGTTTGCTTATTTATCCGATATTAATGTAGGTGACCCTGCTGGTATGCTTCAACCATTTTTGGCGGGTTTCAATACCGATGCACATCTGATGATTTAATTGGTTCATTATAGGTCCGTGCTGGTTGTGGAAGGTCAAGGATGACCACGCGAGTCATCAACATAGTTCTTAATGTCCATGGTACTGAGAATTATCTCTGGAGAGAGCGTTCGAATCTTCATTGATTTTGTCGCTGGCGATAACAATTGACTGGAAGGCATGTGTCTTTTCTCCCTCTTATCATCCTGTTTCATCTTTCTCTTGTGTCTTGGATACATACACAACTCTAGAACTAGGTATGGCTTTGATTACAACTTGTTGGTGATAGATTGCGATTAATTACGGCGTGGTAGATTATTTTCTTTCTCTTGCAATAACTTTGCTTTGGTACATCAATTGTGCTAATTTTATATATTATTTTGTAAATACTAGAGAATGTTTTATTACTATTACATCTTGACCAGTTATTGAATGTTTAAACTTAATTTTCTCTCGGTATCCTTATACTGTAGTTGCTGAATTAATCAGAGAAATATGTCGGTTAGCTCTTAGTTGTATCGATGTTTTTACTTATGTTTTATCCTATTTTTTATACTTACAATATGAGAAAAATTTAAGAAAAACAAAGGATATGCGACATGTTAGTCACAAATATGGATTGTAAATAAATTAAATCTTACTCATGGGTTCTCACCCATCAAAGCTGTAGCAGAAAAAGAAATGATTGCACAAAGGAACAACCGACGTGCCGATCATTTCATGTGCAAGCCTATCCGATCAAAAGATTCTCAATTATAACACTGATTGCAAGTGACAGGCAAGCGTGGCAAGGATGCCTCTGAGCTTCTCATACCTCTCTAACCTTGTGCGCAACAACCCACTCCTAGCTTCCGTCTCACTCTTGTCGATTCTATTTTTACTACGCCGGCAACATCGTCCAAATAAACGCCAGACGAAAATCCCGCTGAATGAAGAACACGTCCTTATCCTCGGTGCGAGCTCGGGCGTGGGCCGCACACTTGCAGTACAGTATGTTCAGCGTGGAGCATACGTGTGCATCGTAGCGCGCAATAAGGAAGGGTTGGAAGGGACAAGAAGGGAATGCCTTGGCGTGAGTGAGAGCATGAGCAATTTGAAAGGAGAGGGAGAAGCGGAGAAGAGGGTGGTTGCGGTGGTTGCTGACTTCTCGGACGCAGAGGGTATGGCAAAGGTTAGGGAGAGGATACAAGCTGGTGAGCATATTTGTCGGTGATGGAAATCTGGAAATTTCTGATAAAACGCATATTCGTTAGAATGGGGTCGTCTCGATACACTTGCTGTCATAGCTGGCGTGTCCTCGCTCAGACCTTTACTCGAGACCACTGGGATTGAGTGTAAAGAAGGAAGAGGTTCCTCGTTTCCAGATGCTGATGTAGAGGGCGTTCGGACAGGCCAACAGATCGCTAGTGCAGCAATACAAGGAAACTTCACCGGACCTCTCACAGCTGTCCTTACTTGTGTGAGTCCTCGCATTTCATTATTTGTTGACTTCTCGCAAATAGTAATGTCAAAATGCAGATAGCCTTCCTAGAACGCACCTCTCCTTCACCCTCAGTCCTCCTCCTGTCGTCTGTCGCAGCAGTCACGCCAGCACCGACTCGCACACTCTACTGCGCAAGCAAATCAGCAGCACTCATCTTATACCAATCACTCGCAATCGAACACCCAAAAGTGCACTTCACCTCAATCTTACCCGGGACGATAGAAGGAGCCTTCCGTGCCTCTGCAGTTGACGGTGGTCTGGTACGCGAATCAGATCCAAATCGAAGTGGTTTGAAACGCGAGGTCGTTGCGCGCCGGTGTATACAGGCCGTTGATAGGCAGGAACGCGATGTGTTCATGCAAGGATTTTATCGTTTCGCTCCTGTGTTGTATTACTCGCTATGTCCGGGGCTTATTGAGTGGGTTGCGAGTAAGAAATATAAATATACATGACATCTATTCATCGGATTTTCTTTTGCAATTAATCTCGTCTGAGATGTGGGATTGAAAATGTTCATGCATTGGTCAAAAGGAATTGAGGAATATTGATACATTTAATTGCTCAATGGAGTGCATTAAATATGAACTGCGATCCCTTTACTTTCGCATCTCCTTCTTTAAGTCCTCCTTCGCCTGAGTTGCCCCAGCCGAAGCCTACATTGAAGAAAAGCCACCGTTAGTCAAACAAGTCTCCGTCGCCACATCAGATCAGAAGTCAGTACGAACCTGGTTAGCCTTCTGTTTTGCCACCTCACCCGACTCGTTGGCTTTCGTCTTCGCAGTACCAGCAGTCTCTTCAGCCTTGGACTTTGCAGTCCCGGCCATGTGTTGCGTCTTCTCGGTAACTTCTTCGCCTTTCTCGAGACCGTGTGCGAGTGTCTGCCCGACTTTTAAATTAACCTATACGAAAAAAAGAAAAGGAAAAGAGGTTGAGCTTTGAGCATCAAAAATATTAACGTCGGAATAGCGAGGACGGATTACTAACATTATGTGCAGCCTCTTTAACCTTCTCAGTTACCGTCTTGCACGCTACGGGAGATGCGTGTAATGATCGGGCCGCAACGACGGAACGTCGAGGAACAGCAGCAGATAGAGTCGTGCGCAACATTATTCTTTGAGGGTACGTATACGTGTAACAGAAGTATCTCGAAGAAAATGTGGGTAGAAAAGGCAAGTAGTTGAAGTAGACATTATATTGAGGCTGGACTGGGTTATGAATGAATAGAGGGGCGGGGATGACGTCGACGATGATGCTTATGGTCGGAGCGTCAAGTCAAAGCTAACTCCATCGACGATCTCTATTTCTCGGGTACTTTACACGTGCGTATGTGAGAGAATCTTCAATTTCACAAGGTAGCTGGCAGAATAGCAATGATGTTTGATATAGTTGAATGTATGAGCCACTCAGTCAAGCACCTCCCATCGCCATTCGAAAAACAACATGGAAGGCGCTCCGGCTTAGTTGGGCTCTTTGGTAGGCTTTTCGTTCTCTCCTAAATGACCAAATACCCTCCGGCCATGTGAAGACTGAGAGTTGCGCCGACGTACGTCGAGCGCTGGATGAGGATGCATTTGAAAAAAGAACGAGCATGGCCCTTTTGAATTTAGGAAGTATTCAGGGCCGGCGAAATGAGTACCGTAGGTCACTGGATATGACGTAACTACCTCCGTAATGTTCCAATGCCGATCCGCGCATACAGACAGCACCTGATAACTGCAGCTCAGCGAGTCCTCAAAGCCAGGGTCACCATAAGACTCAAGAGAGAAAGATCTCGATTGGAATGCTCACCCGTCTTCGTGCTCTCGTCCATCACCTCAACCATAACCGCACAATGGCGTCAACAACGACCTCCCAAGGCGTCCAACGCGTAGTCAACTCCAACCCCGCCTGCTGCTCCATCCCGCCCGTCCAATCCAACTACGTACCCAAAGGCACATACACCTCTTTCGCAGGTTTTGATTCAACATACGTCACCGGCCCACCTACATCCTCCATCGCTATCGTCAACGTATTCGACATCTTCGGCTTCTGGCCACAAACCCAACAGGGCGCAGACATACTCGCCCAAACCCTCAACGCACGCGTCGTCATGCCCGATTTCTTCGCTCCCGACAAGCCATTCTTTAAAGAGAAGTTCCCCCCGCAAAGTCAGGATGATAAGAACGACTTGCAAGCGTTCTTTGCTGGCCCTGCCAAGCCTGACAAAGCGGTTGAAGGGTTAGTAAGAGTTGGTGAGGAACTGCGTGCACAGGGAGCGGAAAAGGTCGGCGCGTATGGACTTTGTTGGGGAGGGAAGGTTGCTATACTTACTGGGTCTAAGGAGAATACTCCGTTTGACGCTGTTGCGACGTTCCATCCTGCGTGAGTTGCATGACAACATACTCATATTTGCTTTGTTTCGCCGAAACTCATTCGACACGAATAGCATGCTCTCTGCGGACGATGCAGACAACCTGCGCGTCCCCCTCGGTCTATTCATCTCAAACGACGAACCCAAAGCGGAGTACGACAAGATGATCGAGAAACTCAAGCAGAAGCCCTATGCTGACAAGATTGCATACAAACACTATGCTAACATGTATGGCTCCTCTCATATTCGTATTCGTCTCAAAACCATGGCTGATTATTATTATCGGTGCTAGGTTCCACGGATGGGCAGCAGCACGTGCGAATCTCGAGGACGAAGAGAACAGAAAAGAATTTGAGGACGCATATACAAACCTAACCGCCTTCTTCAAGAAAGCTTTTGAACGTGACCGCGGCGGTACCGAAACACGCGTGTAATTCGCCGTGGAGAATCATATGATATGCCAGTCGAAACGGTTGTCCCTCCCAGGAACGTTTCATGTATAATCAATCAAAATGTAATAGTACATTCTTCTGATATATATACAAACTGTTGTACTTGAAACTGACATAATTGACACGCCAAACCAAACCGAATTACTGTAAAGAAAAAGAAAAAGAAAACCCCGCCGCACATTATTGATTAACCATAATCCATTCCAGAACACAAGAGGAAAAGAGACCACAACAAAGGAAAAGACGACAGCCATCCAATCACCAACAAGCCATAGTCAAGACCATACCCGATACCAAAGTCACATACGTATCCAAGAGAAAAACAAGGAAACAAGATAATCCGAGGGGAAAAAGAAGGAGAAAAGAAACATGCTATCCAATCATCTTAATCATTAGTAAAACAGCAGAGAGATTAAAATTAATCAAAAGCTTCGCAAGTGCCAGTGGAGATGTTGAACCTCATTGAATAAGCATGTGTCAAGGACTATGCAGATGACTCGGATGGTCATCTTCGACTTTCCACAACCAGAACGGACCTGTAACAAATCCATGCCATTTAATTCATCGGGATTGAATCCGAGAAATTATTGGAGCCGTATACGTACCAGCAGGGTCACCTAAATATCAAAATCAGATAAATGAGCACAGAGCACGTTCCTCCACTAAAGGAAGAAAAAGTAAACCGCGCACTGACCTTCTTCGTGGTGTGCTCCTGTCCATGTACCCACAACACCGGCGGCGCTGCATACACCGCCGATTTGAATTCCCTCCGAACTGTATGGAAAGAAGAAGGGGGGGAAGGAGAAGCTTGACGTCAGTGGAACTCTTTCGGAAAGATTTTTATCGGTTGATTAAAGAAAGGTATCCACACTGACCTCCATTGTGAGTGGCCGTCGTATATTGACGCCTTGCGATTCTTGGTGTCAGCTCGTCAATTCGGCGACCAGCATAAATTAAGGTAGGTATGTGGGAAGTAAGGGAATAGAAAAAGGAAGGGAAAGACAGAACAGAACAAGGGAAACGACGAGAAAAAAGAGGCGGGAGAGTAAAAGTAAACCCAAACATACACTTACGAATCGCCAGCGGATGTGTCCGTCGGATGTCATGCGCACAGTTCCGCGCACTCGTGATTCGTTACCGTTTCCACCGCGCGACTTGCCGACAAAGTGGATTACAGGAGGAAGTTGCTTCGCGATGCTAGAAAGGCCAGATCCAGCAGAAGATAAGCCACTCGGAGCAGAGAGCGGTAAGGGCGAGGATGGTGCAGATAAGGAGCGCGGTGACGCGGTGGAGGCGCGTGATGACGAGCCCGTAGAGCTGGCGGAAGGATTCTTCTTTTCACCGTAACTCGTTATTGTTAGGTTGAGCTCGATAAGACGCGTCGCTTCTTGGAATTCATCGTCTTCGAAGAAAGACGGGTTATATGCGTTCGACGAATACTGAATCGGCAGAAGATTCGCTCTGAGCAACCCATGTGATACAAAACCGCGAAGAACGTGCTCACGTTGAAAGCTAGATAGCATGGCACCGTTCACAGACGCAGTCGGAAGGATTCGGAGGCGAGTAGGCGACAGAACAAATGAACCACTGCGCGCATTTATCTGAAATTTAAAAATAGAACTCACTGAACAGGTCGCTGGCGGATGGATCTTTAGCTAGCGGGAACTGTAAATTCGTACCGCCGGACTTACCGATAGTCCATGAAGCATACATATCGACGCCAGGTCCCTTCGATGCCCGCCCAATCCCGTGGATCGCGTGTGTGGGAGTTACTAGTAGGTGCGGAATAGGCCCGGATGGCATCTAGATGCGCCGGAGGTCGTGTATCTGGCCAGAGCCCACCGAGGTCCATGAGATTGCTGTATATGACAACTATGATCGCCTCTACGTGTTTCCAATTGACACAGCTACTCTTATCGGCCATGAATGGCCCCCAGTGGTTCTCGCGCATATAGTTGCGCATATCGTAGACAAACGCCCGTGCGCTGTTCCGGACTTGCAGAAGATCTTCGGCGTCTCTGCTGAGTACGCTGTCACGCCATCCGATGAGACTCCACAGTTCGGCTATGCGCTGCTCCTCTTCAGATGTCCATTCACGTCCGTCAGAGCCACCTAAGCCGAATACACTGTGTTCGCGAGCAAGATTATTGAGCCAGACGAGGTCTTTGGATTCGTCGATTCGGTCCAGCATTGGTGGTGCATTCCTTGCGACTGAGATGAGAGCGGAAAGTGCAGCTGCTAGATCTGGCGGGTGGCTGGACATTTTTTGAATAATGCGCCTTGCATAGACGCGTTGCTGGAGAGCCTGCTTCCAGTCGATAGAGCATGAACCTAAGCTAGAACTAGAACCGGAGTCAGAGGGACATGGAGAGCTCGGACAAGAGAAGCGTCGAGGATCGTCGAATGGCTGCTCGAGAAAGAGACGGCGCCAGAGGTGTTGGTCATGCTGCTCGTAGACGAGAGAGCGGGCCTTGCGACATGTCTGAGCGAAGCTTGCGACGTCGCGGGGCTCTGCATGGACGAGAGCGTGCTCTGTTAGCTCCTGGGGGATATCGAGGATGGAGATGGCAGCCATTGAATGTGGGAGGGAGGCGAAGGAAGGAGGGAGAGATGTGAGAGCATATAGAGGGCTCGGGATAGTTTGCTTCATATTCACTTGAGTGAAACGGACCGACACATGCCGTGTCTCTTGCCTTTTTGGGCGCGGACTCAATTACGTAGCTGTAGCCATGCAATGCAATGCAGCCTCACGTACACTGGACGCGTCTGCTCCTCACTCACTCGTCGCACTACATCCTGCTCATTGTCGCCATAAGCAAAGTCACATCCAGGTGCCTCTGCAAGCCGCAACAATGCGCACATCATTAACGGCTCTGTTGGCTCTCTCATCGCCGCTTGTAGCCAATGCCCTCAATGTGTTCGACTGGTTATACCCAAATTCTGGTTCTGCTACCGTCTCCAATGAAGTCGTACCTCACAGAATTGCAGTCATCGGTGCAGGTGCAGGCGGCTCATCCGCAGCATTTTGGCTATCAAAGGCAAAAACCCGCGCTGGAGTCTCGGTAGAAGTCGACGTCTTCGAACGTGCCGCATACGTGGGCGGCCGTAGTACGACCGTCTTTCCTTATGACGACAGAACACTCGATCCAGTCGAAGTAAGTTTCAAATCCGCTCAATCCCGTCCATTGCGTTAATTCTCTCTGTAATTGGCCTTGCCGTAGCTCGGCGCGTCCATTTTCGTCACTGCAAACAAAAATCTCTGGCGCGCGTCACAGGAGTTTAACCTTACTAAGTTGGTTCTTGACGACGATGGCGTAACTGGCTTCTGGGATGGGGAGAAATTCGTATTCACCGTGCGCCAAAATGCCATTGGAGCTTATTGAATTTCCGTCTGACATTCATTTGCCATTCGCCAGATGAAAGAGAGCAAGGGTATCCTTGGATGGATAGATACAATCAAGGCACTATGGCGCTACGGCTACAGGTCTCCGGCGAGAGCGCAAGCCCTGTGAGCAGTTCCTTATGTGCGCCTTCGACCAACGTATTAACCCATGCACTGTTCCTTAAGAGTACAAGAGATGATTGACAAATTCGTAACCTTGTACACACCCTCCAGTCCCTCGTGGTCAAACATCTCTGAGCTTGCTTCCGACCTGGGCTGGGTAGATCTCGTAACTCAAACCGCGGCACAGTACCTTGACGCTCAGGGCGTTTCCCAGCTCTTTTCGAGAGAAATCATCGAGGCGGCGTCGCGTGTTAATTACGGCCAGAACCTTGACGAATTACACGCGCTGGAGGGAGCCGTCTCAATGGCGGCGTCTGGAGCCTCAAGCGTGAAGGGCGGCAATTTCCAGATCTTCGAGCATTTCTTGGGACATTCGGGAGCACACGTGTACCTGAATACCTCTGTAAGTCCTCTTCAGTGCTTCTGTCCATTTAGTGATCCTATGGAAATCCCCGCGCGCAGGTCATCTCCGTTACGGAGAAACAACATCAATGGATATTGAAAACTTCCACTGGTGAATCCAAAAACTACAATGACGTGATCATCGCTGCCCCATATCACACTTCTGGAATTAATGTCGCACTCTCAACTGGCCTCCTTGCGCCCGCCTCAGCCCCGGAAGTCCCGCCACAACCATACGTGCATCTGCACGTCACCCTCCTCACCACGACCGCATTGCATCCGGACCCAGCATACTTTGGGCTGAAACCCGGCTCGAAGGTCCCGCAGACGATCCTGACGACCTATGAGGGTGCTCGTCGCGGAGGACGGGTTCCTGAATTTAATTCGCTGTCATATCACGGAAAAGTTTCTTCTGATCGGGAGGAGTACGTCGTGAAGATCTTCTCAAATGAGACGCTGTCCGATGAGTGGCTCAAAACCGTGTTCGGCGGTAAGGTTGGGTGGGTTCTCCGTAAAGAGGTGCGTGTCTAGTACTTCTCGTTTTGAATTGCAATCAGTATATTAATGTCGCTCCAGTGGGATGCATACCCTCGCTTGCCTCCTACCGATTCATTCCCTCCTGTAGTCCTGGCTCCTGGCCTTTACTACGTTAATGCCTTTGAACCGTACGTACTCCTCCGCCGACCCGAATTTAGAACGTAAATTAACGGTCTCTTTTGAAAGGTTCATCTCCACAATGGAGACAGAGACGATTTCTTCGCGTAACGTCGTGGATCAGCTCTTCCGATCACGCTTCGGAGTGGACATCTGTGGAAAGGCAATTCCGGTGCGAGCGGAGCAGCCAGAACCAATTGCGGTTCTGGAAGGCGAGGTGGAGCAATTAGTCCTGTCGGACGTCGTGGAAGAATCCGCAAAGGCCGCGCCCAAACCAGAGAAGGTAAAGGAGGACTTTGTGCTTGGCTGGGACTGCGCATGATCAAATGCCCTTTCCAAAATATTGAATGGACGCTTGGTAGGTATACACAAAAAAGGAACTATAATCATGAGGTCATGGGCTTTGGATAGTATGCTTTGCATGTTGCTAATCTTGGACTCTTGGGGACCATAATAGAATGCATTGGATTCTTCTGTGATGAGGGATGCGAGTATGTTAAGTTAAGAGCACTAGACGACAAAGCTTCATGAAGGAATGCAAGTATGAGTAAAAGCAATCTATAAGCAACCCGAAAAATCCGATACTTACCGTTAAACTAAACAAGACGAAGAAAGAGCAGCTATCGCGCACGACACACAACCTCTCCATCCAAACCCAATCTAAGCGCTTCCCTCGCCTCTAACCACTCATGTTCCTTACTCGAAGTCCGAACAACAGCAACCTCACCCATCCCAAGCGGCTTCACCTGCTTCGCGCGTCTCCCCGAACATATTCTCCGAATCTCACCAATATCCATGAACACACGCTTACTCGGCAGACTAATGAGCTGCATAGCTGTCAACACAGGTCTATCATCACGGTACTTGAGGACCGCCCAGATACGTCGTTGGGCTTCGCTTTCTGTGAGGAGGAAGGCGTCTGGATCGGGTCCAGCGGGCGTGCCACGCGTAAGGTTGGAGAGAAACCCGGCACGTAGGAGGATAGAGAGGATCCCGAGGTTTTGTTTTGTGTGGTCTACGCAGACGCGAAGGTGTCGTCCGCGAAAGGCGTTTTGGACGCGTGCGCAGAGGTCGTGGGGGAGTGGCATATCTACGAAGCAGGGCAAAGAAGGACATCGGAGGAATTAGCCCAATATCAGAGTAATGTTATTGATATAGGTACTTACAGCCTCTGAGATCTTCAGTTAGTAGGTCCCAGTTTACAGGAAAGGAGGAAGCAAGTCGCTGGTACACGAAGGATTTCTTTTTCCGAAAAATTGCTTACGTCATGTCTGTCAAGTACTGATAATCATATTTATTTTTTGATTCTATTAACCAGGTCTGAAAAATACATTCATTGAAGTTATTACGGGCGGGCAATATCAAATTTTTAGCATTGTAGAGCGGGAAAATACATTCACGAAATGGTAAGGGTACCAAAATGATAATGAGTCTTCGTAAAAACGTGTGCGATGCTGCTCCAATATAATTTTGTGACGTGCATTGTAGATGGTAGATCCAATTTGTCGTTAGATGACGTGCCGAATATTCGGGATATATTTTGAAAGGCTGCAATGCGGAGCCAAGGAAAGCAGAAAATTTCCCTTTTTTTCGTGACCTTCGTTATACTTTTTCCGATATTGTCTCAAGAGTCGTTGGCCCATTCGGCGTGGTGGCATTACCATTGCGAACCGTTCGTTTCTGGTGTTCGCCCGTTTCGGTATATCCGTGTCGGTCTCCAGCAGCGACGTGAACGGTCTGTGGCACTGATGAGTCCGAGTCTGTGCCGACTCGCGAGCGCAAGCCCCAAGTCTTTTCTACACCTGCGGGAGGGGTCCAATCATCAAAGTCTCGGCGGACTTCAATATAGTCGCTCGCGAATTCGCCAATCTACGTGAAGTATTTAGCCTTCCTATCGTCCTAAGAATACAAATAGGAGACAAACCTGATCGTCGTCCATGCCCATATGCTCCGCCTCGTCCGAAGCGCGCAGATGTAGGCCGGGTATGATGTCCACTGCCTTCGCCAGCAGGGCCGTCACGACGAACGTGTAACCACAAGCAGCGCAAATATAGGCGAATTGTATGTAGAGTTGCTTCCAATTGTGATCCAACCAGCCTCCACGAATAGATGTGTTCACACCATCAAGGGCGATGATAGAATTCTTTGCGAAGAACGCGTTAAATAAAAGGCCAATGATCCCACCTAAGAGAAGTATGATTAAGCCTATAACCGAATTACACATGCCTATGACCATACCTACGGCGTGCTCAGCGAATAAATCAAGAGCATCATCAATACGCATGAGGAACTTCACTGCAAAATAGGGACAGACTTTCAGAACGTATAGTCTGAAGTGGATGCAGATACCTACACTTAGTTGCAAAGTTGCAAGCCGCTCCAGCAACTATGCCCATGATCAATGATGCCCATGGCTCAATGAATCCACTGGCAGGGGTAGCTGCGACGAGCCCCGCGATCGTCCCAGAGCAGAAACCGACCATCGTAAATTTACGCTCTATTCTCCAGTCCAGAAGACACCATACAATCCCGCCAAACGCTGCAGCGATCATCGAGTTCCAGATGGCTATTATCGCGCGCAGATTCGCTCCAAAAGCTGATCCGCCGTTGAAACATAGCCAACCAATCCACAACTGGAAGGTTCCCAATGCAACAAGGGATACATTATGCGGGCGAAAGTTGAGAAGCTCCTTCTCCTTTCTACGGCCAATAACCCAAGAAAATGCGAGACCACCGACACCGGATCCGATTTCAACTGGTCCGCCTCCAGCATAATCGAGAACGCCCCATTTGAAACCCCAGCCATTTATGTTCCAAGGCCAACATGCTAACGGACAATACACAAGAGTCATCCAAAGAAATACGAACACCATAGCTGGCAAGACACGAGCTCTCTCAGCCAAGGCACCCATCAAGATCCCGCAAGTTACTGCGGCAAACTCCATTTGATAGAAGGCATAAAGAATGTCTGGAATGAGCGGAGAACCGGGACTCGGATCGCCGAGAGTATGTCGAAGGCCAAATCTATTAAGGTTTCCAATGAATCCGTTCGTGGCGCTCGGGGAAAACGCCAGAGAGTAGCCCCAGAAATACCACTGGAATATAACAACTGCATTGCTTGCAGAAACAGCCCAAATCATGGACAACGCAGACTTCCTTCATGGAGGGCGAATGAGAAGTGCACGAGAATAAGATATCAGAATGTAACGAAGTCGCTGTACAATACCTTCGCGCTAGCCCGGAATACAGGAACGCTACGAATGCCGAGAAAAGGGCAAGGAGAATCCGGATTGGCGATAACGTCACGAAATAGAAATAGAAGTTTACTTGCCCAGACCGGGAACCATAAGGAAGACAAATACTCCAGCAATGATAATGAAGGCGACATCAGCGCCATCGAACCTGTCGAAGGCGGTAAGGAGATAAGCTGAGAATAGACGGGTGAATCGAGGGCCACTGACTGGCTGACCGCGCCTATCACACGAGACAAAATTAAAATTTGGTCAAGATCAGTGTCTCATTTTTTAGTTGCTAAACGCATGGGACGCACGTTTCGCTATCCGTTCTGTGCTGCTCGCCGCCATTAATGAGGTTGAAGAGGAAGAGATGACTGTCGGATTCACTCTGAAGTGCGGCGGTAAGCAGCCGATACACAAAGTATTTTAACCCACTTGTGGGGTCTAGGACTGGCTTTCATTGGGCCGATAAGCTTCTGTCTCATTTTCCCGTATCTGACACGAAATACGGAAGAGAAAGCACATCCACCTCCCGCTTTCTCTTATCCTCATTCTACTGGATGCGACTGCTTGATGGATAGCATATCATGATTCGATATTCTGCGCTCCTGCCATTTTGCTGAGGGGATTGGTGTAGTCTCTGTGGAAAATGAAGTCCTGTGGCCACTGATCATCGGCCGAAAAATTTTGTTATCTTTCTCTGACACGGTGTCGGCAGTAGTTGTACGTAATCTCCAGAAGCTGACCTATCACAGTCGGGAAATTACGGACTTGTGGGTCCAGATCCTCTCTGACACATATTATGTAAGAAAAGTATTATTTTTTGAAAAAATCACTTCCGCGTTTTCAATACAACAACGATTGTAACTCGGTACTTGGAAATACAACCATCTTCTCATCCATCATCGTGTAACTTGGTTAGCCTGTTCTATTTATTGTTTCTCTGGTTGGTGACTGTTACTAATATCAGTGTCCTTACCCAATCCTCCTGTGCTGGAACTGTTGGTCTGATGATCGTCTGGATGCCCGGCTCGGTTTCGGTTTCTGCCATTGCAGTTTCTGAGGCAGTACTGCGGCTGTAGCTCGACACCATCAACTGGATTATTTGTATGGATTCTGATCATCTGCACCGACTTCTCAGTTCGGCAGCATGCTTCCGCGAGGTCTTTGAGTTCAAATGTTTACATCTGTCAATGTTGCTGCTTGTTCCCCATCAAGTGCTTCCATCGCTCCTGTACTTTTCATATATAAGAGGAAACACGGGGAGCTGATCATCAGCAGAGGGCGCTGAATGGTCCACCTCCACGAGCTTTGCACGAACTTTACTGAGCTATTCAACCGTTGGCGGTCGCGTTGTGTTCACAGGGTCCTGATCACTGTCAACTCCCCGCGAATAAGGAGTCGGTCACTCTTAAGTGTTCCGAGATATCTTAGCTGTTGCCACTCCTCCATACTGTTGCTCCCCATCCCTCCCTCCCTTGCCTCGCAGAGGGCTGGCAGATCTTCCGCACTTCCCGTATTGACTACGGAACCCATTATTACCCATTATTGAGAGTGCCTTGGCCTGGATGCTTAGAGATTTTGTAAGTCGTACCACACCTGCTGTTCCCCTGTCTGACCGTCTGATGATGCTTTGTCCAACGTCGAATCTTGCTTAGGCTCGCCGATTGCTTTTCTCGCGTTCGACTGCGTACTTTCTGGTCTCTTTTCTTTCTGCATGCTGTCAGGTCATCCTTCGCACTGCTCTTTTCGTGACTGACAACGCCGGGGCGCGACGTGAGGGTGTCTCAGTTTGGCCTGCCTCTCAGCTTCAGAATGTTACGGGATTGTTTCGTATTCAACATGATGGACGTTTTGAATTCTGCTCGGATGTTCCGCATTACTGTCAGAGCCCTCCCCCAAACTTCATCAACACTTGCGACGCACTCGCAATATATTCAATGAACTTGTGGGTTGACTTGGTTACAATAAACTTCGAACACGACTCTGACGAGTAAATACGCGTAGATTTCGCGACAATCGTTTGGAAGACGTCGTGTTTATAGTAATTCACACATATCTCATTTGCGTCACCATATATGCACTAGCTCGTGAATCAATACCACACATGTAAGTATTTTATTCTGAACTTTGACGTGTCTTACATTATTCTGCAAAACAGCATCTTCATTTTCGCTATTCGTTGTTTGTCGGTGCTGTGGGCATTTGCGCGTGTCATTGAAACCTTCATCATCCAGAAGACATTGATTGGCACCCTCGATGGAGGGCAATGTAAATCAGAATCGGCGTTTTTCGGGTCGTCCTTCTTTTCTAGCAGACACATATTCGAGGTGCTTCCACTAGGATTTGTTTGTCTCTCTCGACATTTACTTAACAAGCATGGATACAGGGTCTTCTACTCGGTGTCTCGGTGTTGTCGGTTAGCATCGAATCCTTTGTGGCGCTCAAGTTGGGTCGCGTAAGTCGGAAATTTGACTGTTATCGATCGTTCATTTGATTTGAATTTACTCTATTAGATTTATTCCGAGAGGCCGTGGCGTGTTGTCCAGGTATCCAGCGAGATGCGTAAGATGTACAGGGTATTTAATACCAACGTTCTCTTCGTAGTAACTACACGAAACTCATAGCTTCTTCTGGAAATTGGTATTCAGCTTCTACTTGGATTTTCTGTTGTCGCTCAAATGGCAGGACTGATTCTGCCCGCAACAATGGCACTGTGGCTAGATCAGCTTCTCAACCCCTATTTCTGGCAAATCGCTGGGAGTCACAAGTACATATATGGCGCTTTCTTCCTCGCTTGGACATTGGTACGTATTTCTTCACTTATTGTGCTTTTCTGCGAAGTTTCATTGAAATTCTATCTGTCCGTAGTTACTTCCTATGTGGATAGCGCTGGTTCGTCTTTTTATTTATTCGCCGCTACTTCAACTCCTTATTTTGCCTTTCTGCGTAGGGATGGTTTGCGTTGCGACGCGAATGGAAGAAATCAACTATTGTCTTCTTTTCCATAGGAACGGTCTTCATATGCTCCTTCATCGCCGGACTGGGGTCAGCCATGTTTACTTGGGCCGTCACAACTTGGTGGTTTTTCGGAACAATGTATGCAGCATCGCTCGCTCTGCTACTGGCTGCCACGGTACTCGCAGTGATCTGTCGACGCAACTTCGGCAAGAATCTCGATCACTATCGTACGTCCACACCATCCCCGCGAGTTAGTATATCTTGCTTATTATTTCTCGTGACACCGTTAGTCTTGGTACAAAACAGGCTGTCGTCCATGAATTTTACGCATGCACATTTCGATAAGGACATCAAGCAAGACCAGGCGGAGATCCCACAGGAATTGGAGAAATTGGACACTAAATCCGATTATGAAACGGAGTATTGGGGGTATGAAACCGACAAACATTTTGCATACGACTAAGCGCCTTCCGGTACAACACGTCCGTATATGCGATGACAGAGGTGTCATGGGGGTGAAGTATTTCGCCTTGTGTATGGTATCAGCTCTCCGCGCCTCATCTTTTGTTATTCTTGGAAAGCACGACCGAAAATATGATCAGAATCATTTGATTTCCTCGTTTGGGCGTACGGTGGTCAGTAGTTGTACATATAACATCCTTTCACTTGTTCTTGTGAGCATCTGTCTTATTTATAGAGCAAACTTCTGCCCTTCGCGCGCCTCTAGTGCCTGGAAATGAGACCGTCCAGCGAACCACCCTCCAACGCCAACAGTTTGGTACGTCTCAGCCGCTTCTTTTTCTCCGATAAGAACGGGTTTTATTCCTGTCTGAGCTGCCGCAGCATCTGCCATCAATTGAGCTTTGCAACATTTCTCAAATGAGACAAAGAAGTGGACAGTCGATTCGATTGTCGCTGTTGCAACCAACAGTCCATGGTTCTTCGGTGAATTCATAAAGGGTTAGTAGAGTAAAATTAAGTAATGATGATGTGAAAAAGATGCTTTACCTGTAGAATAATGGCCTAAGGGACTCTGATTAATTCATCATTGCTACATTAAGCTGAGGTCATTGAAACGAACCTTCTTGTCCCCGAGTGTTTCAGCGATGCGTTGACCTTCATCCTCGGCAAGTACAGCCCCGTTAAATTGTTTATACACAGCATGATCCTGATAGAAGGCAGTCGAGTCCTGTGTAGTGATATCGAGTTCTTTCCCAAGCGTGGAGAACACACGTCCATAGATTGAATGAGAGTGAGCAGCACATAATACGTCCGGACGGGCCGTGTGTATCGCGGAGTGGATCATAAATGCGGCCGTGTTAAGTAGGCGGCACGGCCCGGATTCATCGAGAATATCGCCCTTGTGGTCGACTAAAAGAAGATCGGACGGTTGGATGAGTGAGAAATGCAGGCCCTTGTTCGCTACTATCAGTGCAATGATGAACAAAATAACCATCTCGGTCGCCTACAAATGGGTTGACCCAGAAACAGTCTAGTTTGATAGGATCCTTGACAAATATTTCATTGACTCCGAAAGTACATGAATGAATTTAGAAAACAGTAGCGTACTCTGACAGTAATGTGTCCTGCTACTCCCTCATCGTATCCCAGGTCTCCAAAGATACGAAATGCCTGAGCAAGCCTGAACTTCAGGTATTCGCGCTCTTTCATTTTATCCTCGAACTTTGGTGGGCGTGGGAACGCCGACCTCGAGTTCTTGGAAAACACAGGTTTGAGCGCCTCATCCCTGTTGGGCCTTGCACTTGGCAGTGATGGCATGTTGGACGTGAGAGGGGTACGGTGAACGCGATGGGTACTTGGTGGATAGATACCAAGGAAGCCACTAGTTGTTCATGAGACCAAGTGCGCAGGATAAGATTTCGGAGAACCGGACACGAGGTCCGTACAGAATAATCCTCCTCTGAAGGGCCGAGGAGAGGCTGCATGACTAAATTAATATTGAACGCAGGCTTCCCAGCTTAAAATGTAGATGCAGATGATTGCCAGAGTCAAATGTGCTCGGTCGGGAGCAATTTTAGGTTTTCCATATTTAGGTAGGGGATCAACACTGGACCCACTAGCGGTGTCTTATTTTGTTTTTTACCTGCACGATTCACCTGAATTTCTGACATGACTTGACGATCAGGACAAACAAGGACTAAACTGTAGCACGAGCATGTCTTTGTCTTACTTGTTATTCCATTCCTGTCTGGTCTGAAGACTAATCTACGCGAAGCTGGCATGAAAATGGCCTTGTCAATCGGTATCTCATTATCAAGTCTACTCCCGTCCTTTCAACTACTGCTGGAGGAATTATTTTATCTAATGCAGGCAGGCCTGCATCATTAGACTGATCTTTTGCACTCGCTAAACAATGCATTGTTCTAAAAGACTGGTTCTTTTGCTTCTTGCGTATCTTGCTCATACTGCTCCACGATCTGTGCTCGCTCATTCCAAAGAGTCTGGGACCTCATCAATTCAAGTGAGCTGGACAAGACCTTCCTCTGGAGATATTTACGGGCCGGGCGGAACGATTGCAGGCGAATGGGAATCCAAGCAGGACGTCGTGTCACCTTCGATTAGGCTGTGTGCTTTGAATCGTGATTCAGATGACCGCGTTGAGAGCTCTTGCGGAGAGACTGTCTGGCCGGAAATCAAGAAGGTTGGAAGGGCGTCTTCATTCTCTCTGTGGGTGACACCAGACATCCACATCCATTGCGCCGCAAAATCGTAATTAATCTTTCTTCTTAGGCTGGTTCCAGATATCAAATCAGCTTCGAAGTTCTACCTTGAAATGAAAGATGATTTTGGAAGGACTACCACATCACCAACCTTCTCCCTGGACCGTGCGTACATCTCATCCAATCTTTCAATAATCTCAAGTACTCAAATACTGCGGTCAATCAGCTTCCGTTGGTGCTAAAAATGGGGGTCCGTCGGCAGCACCAAAAGGCACAGGTAATAGTGGGACTTCCGAAGGCAATCAAGATATTTCTGGACACTCCGATCCTGAAGCTACGTCTAACTCGAACAATGGCGATTCACATCAAGTATCATTCAATGGTCCATCAGCTGGAGGTAACTCGCAATCACACGCGACTTCACCGAATTCTAGCTCGAAGAAGCCTAATACTTCATCGGGATCAGATGCGCAAGCTGTGTCCGGAGGGTCTCAAGCATCCGCTAAGTCTTCTGGCTCCGCGCCTCAACGTTCCCAAGTTACAAAGAATGTCTCAGCTTCAGGTCCCATCTCAAGTGCCTCGTCGAGTCTTCCGGCAGGCGTCAATGTCGATTCTCTCACGCCGCAGGAAGCGGTGCTCTCTCGAGCAGCACTACCAACAGCCGCCATAGCAATCCCACTGTCTCTGCTCGGTGCCACAATCCTTGCATCTCTTGGACTATGCATCGCACATCGCCGGTCACTTGCCGCTCAACGTGCGAAGAATGCGCAGCTCATTGATGTACGGCGCAACGCATCTGTTCGAACGTCAGAGAGCAAAGCTCCTTTTGTTGAAAGATGCGCCTCCAGATTGACTTTGATAGGTGATCCGGATATAGAGAAGGCCATTGGCGCATTGTCGGGTTGCGATAGTAAGTCAACGTCAAGACATGGTAGCCTGCGAAGAGAGGATTCTGTGGTATACGTACCTGTTTCTGCGCGCTACGCCGTGCCACGGCAGGACGTCCGCAGACAGCGCACGAATACGTACGAGCGAAGTTACGAGTGGCCATACAATACCGATTCGGATCCTTTTGTTCGGCGTCATCCATCACAGTGGTCAGGATACCAGCCTAGTTATCTGCGATCACCTCCAAGGGAATATTTGAGGCCACTATCCAGGCACCATAGATGGCGTCGTCATAGACGAAGGCGCCGATCTGACCGACATGATGATGACGAGGACGGCGCTTCGAGCACAGAGGCCATCTTATCAGGCTATATCTCGCCCTGTATCCCACCATCTCGATTGTCGCGCTTCGATCCGCATTTCAGTGCACTGCAGGAACCTCCACGCTCACATAGTAGACAAACCGCGCCTTTGATGGCTGGTTACCGACATCATCATCGCGCTGATGATGGATATGGCGCTACTTCATCTCCACATGCAAGAAGTTTCCGTTCGTTTTGAAAATTATCTTCATCCCCCTTTTGTTGTTGCACTTGTTAGACCTTATTGACGTGCGCTCGCTGGAAGACGTACGATTGGACATTATTTATATCACCAAATTACAAATTACAACAACGGATTGAGCAGTGTCGAGACAACAAAGAGGAGAGTGAGAAGCAAGAAAGTACCCAGAAGACAACGAAGTGCAAACCTTCAACCGGTAGAAAAAGGGATTATGAAATGCATCATGAGGGCACCTAGAGTATTGCGAAAGAACAAGTACGCTGAATTACGAAAGGACGAACGTTAGAGTGAATTGAACAAGCAGCACACGGACAAAACCTTTCCCAAAGTTGTCGGAAGGAGAATGTAGGACATACGTGGGTGATAAGCGAAACTGATAAACCCTTGGCCTTGGCGAAATTTGGCGTTCACGTCGATCTCTTCGACCCTGTACTGGTTTCAACAATGTCCTCGATCTGCTTCCGCGATCTCTTACACCTGAACAGATAATAATATGACATCATCGACACCAACCAAAGTTTTCAGTTGATAAAACAATGCATCCAATATCACTGCATACTGACAAGACCTACAGTTGCTCTGAAGTGGCGAAGGGGAAGTGCGGTTCGGAGATATTGGATGGAAGAAACAACATTGCAGAATAAGGATGGGATCCCCTGTTGTCAACATCTCAGAAGTCGCGCGAAACCGGAAATCCAATGTTGGAGCCTGTGCAGGGAGGAACGCAACTGGAATCCGAGTCCAGATACACGGCGGATGGCCTATGTCCATGGTCTCCAGAACTATCGGGACTCCGTGAAGAGGATGCAGAGTAGATAGATCCTTCACGGGACGACGCTCCAACCTGACGCGGGAACGTAAACGTGGACTTGTCCGATCCACGAGAGACCGTTGAGCGGGCAGAATAATAAGCAGTTCTAGAGGTTCTGACTGAGAAGCCGCCCACAGAAGCAAGCGACGTAGTCGAGCGAGATCGCTGCTTCAGTTGGTGAGAAGATACCGGCTTAGGCGGTTTGTAACTAGACGGCGAGCCTGCAGGAATGCCGTGATTGTAGCCGGGCGGCTGCCTACACTGTTCTACAATCGCCCGTCTTTGGGAATTGGTGAGCTCATTCGAATGGGAGGAGCTGTTACTTGATCGCCGATAGTCACGAATTTCGGTGGCAGCGGATCCCAAATTCTTCTCAGGTGAGTGTATTGAATATTTCAGAGAACGGGACGTTGAACTCGCTCTAATATACTGTAGATTATGCTTAACTTCACTGCGCTTCCTTGAATTATAAGGTTATTCTTTCTTACCTGATTGTCAGGTGCGACGGCGTGGTACACCTTCCCGTATTCTTCGTCGACAACGACTGTATGATTCGGAGGTAGCGGCCAGCACTGGGACGCGTGTAGACTGGATACATGACCTTCGTTGTCCGTTTCACTTTCCGCTGGATGGAAAACTCGCAGCGGTGAAGAGTGTCCATAATCGTTCCCCTCGAGATTCATTGGGCGATCATACAGCTTCCGTCCTTCATCATACCTCCCGTGTATAGGTGTTCCGGAATGCAGATCGAGCGCAAGAACATTCGAGACGCCAATAGGTGCGTCATTCTCGAGTGTGTATTTGAAACCGTCATCATAATCATCGAGTTCCAAAAGCCAAGCAGTAGGAGAAACTATTTCTCTCGAAGAATAATCAAGCGTGAAGTTCCTTGCCGCCTCACCGAAGGCATCAACATCTTTGGCGCTAAGCGACCTCGGCTCTTCTATGCATTCTCCATGCCGAATACGACACGACTCCACAAGACGTCCGACTGGCTGGGTTGTGGGCATACATCTTGCAGAGTGCTCAGTCGTTGCCTTCGACTTCTGGAAGAGCAGAGGAAAGGGTGAATGAGGTCGACTTTCTGAGTGGCCAACGACTTGCGAGTCGCGTTCTTCGCATTCGTGCCGTCGGTTGTTCAAGTCCTCTTGCTGTAGTTTCCGGTAATTCCGTACCTTAATGACAGCTTGGTTAAGATCGAGCTGATTTCTTGATAGATCAATCGGGATGGAAGGTAGAGCACGTTTCAGGTTTTGCCCGTCGACGACGGGCGAAGGAAAGTGCTTGTGCAGTGCGCCTGGGGGAACTGCGCTCAATCTACTTCTCTTCGAGGTTGAATCGGGGTGATCATGGTAAGATGATGAAGGAGTCAACGCGGGCGATGATTTGTTGGAATTGGAACCTAGGCGGTAATGCCAACTCGGTAGCACGCATATTGGTAACTCAGGAGAAACGGAAGTTGAGGATGCATTTCCCAAAGACATAAAGGAACGGTATTTGTCGGTCTTCATAGGCTGTGTCTCAAAAACAGGAGATATAGGCGTGATCGGTGTAAGAGGATCTGCTGCGAAAGGGTCGTCCTCAGGAGTAAATGCACGATCGATAGCAAGTGCTTCTTCTCTCCGAACAAAACAGAAAGCTTCCTCGTCAATTCCTTTGCCTGCAGCGGTGATAGCAGCGATACTTTTGAAAGACACAAGGGAAGCAGACGTAAGTCTCTGCAAGGGTAACTTTGGAGAATTCGTCCTGGATGGAGGACGATGTGCACGAATAGTCGACTCGGACGAAAGCCTCTCACGAGATTTCGGCATTTTTGAAGATCCTGAAAGAAATTCTGCGGGAGTGGGAACATGTAGATGCAAACGCGGGCCAAGGCCTAACCGTTCACGGATAGAACCTCGGGATGGACGACCAAGTGCATGCTTGTGATGAGGCAGCAAGAAAAAATAAAAATAAAAATAAAAAATAAAAATAAATAAAAAACTATTAGCGCGCGTATATCACGAAAACGATGAAAACTCACAGCTTGCGCACTCGAACTTGTTGACGTTGCGCTAACTTGTTCATCTAGGTTCGGCATCCGCCAGCTGAGGATCTCCGTCGAGTCGATGGAATCCTCACTCGTATCACCGACTCCATCTGGCATGCAGGGAGATATTTGGCCATGAGAAGAAGAAACGAGCGTCGATATGGCGGATAGGTCCGGTGTAGGAGGCAACGGCGACGTAGGGCTGGGATATGGCGGTGGAGAGTTGCGAGAACCACGGGATACAATTTTGCGCTCTGAGCTTGACGTTCCAATGATCAGATTAGAAGCTCGCCGAGCACGAGCTTCTTCTTTAGATCTGGCCTCCTTGCAAGGTTGGTCTGGCAACGAGTAAGTGTCGCGAACATCAGAAAGACTTTGCTCGTCAACTGGAGGTGTATAAAAAAGAGAGCCTCTATCGAATGAAACATTCTCGTGCGTATAGAGTGAATCTTTCATGGGCGTCGCTTCTTTATACAGAGCCAACGGTCGATTTTCGGTTGCTGGCGTCGGAAGAAGAGCCTTATCACCTCCGTGTGCGGAAGGAACGGCAGAATGGCCTTTATTGTTACCATGTTGAGAGGAAAGAAACAATGAGCGGAGGCTCGTTTTTGATTTCTTAGCAGCTTTCAGTGCATGAAGGTCTTCTTCGTATCCGCTATCGTCGAAGAACGAACGTAACACATCGGCATCGGTATAGCTGCTATCAACCGTTGGAGAACTGTTCGAACTTATGCTAGAGGGTTCTGAAGGGGGAGTTGGAAGAGTTCCAGAAGAGAAAAGCTTCCTGGATGCCTTTATGCTCAGCTCAGGTATAATGAGCGGCTTGAGATTGAGGAAAGACCGGGCGCTTGAGTATTTTCTTCCCTCTAGACGAATATCTGGTGCGTGGAAATTCTCGGCACAAGACCGATTCTCGAAGCCTAAGGGGTCGGTCAGACACGGGGGGAATGCTTATTAAACAAGGAATATCACCCTCATATGACCCAAACGGAGCCAAAGAAGTAGCAGGTAAAGAAGTGGGGTCCGAAGGCGTCTGGACACTGAATGCAGTCCTCTGACAATTTTCACCGAAGCCACAAATGGCCAGCGAGGGTGCGGAAGAGGAGGCGGCGCGTCGCGATTCGGGTGGCACAGGTAGAGACGCGTCGGTCGGCTCAGTTTTCTTCGTGAACGCACCCTTCAGTCTCGTCAAGGTCACTGACCTAATTGAACGCGCGCCATTAGAGCGTCGTGAACGCGTCGAACGCGTCGAGGGTGGGTATGTGTCGCCGCCAAACGAGAATGCCAGATCACTGTCGGGTACGCGTTGAATGTCAAGTGCTGATGCTACAAGCGCTTGAAATTGCTCAATAGTGAACGAGCGCTCCCGTTCATGGCTTCTAGTGCTGGCCTTCTGGGAGTGGGCAACAGGCGAAGTCATGGTGCTAGACAAACGAACGACACGGAAGACGAGGGAGACGAGGTGCAAAGTGAGACTTAGCAGCGAGCGCTATTTGAATCAAGGCCATAGGCATATGGTCTTCGTTGCTGAATAAAAGAGTGCATGATATATTGATAGACAGTGCTTCCTTTTCTAATTATTCTGAGGATCGTCATCGATGCAAACAAGGCGGACCGTTATCCGCTTCTGGGGTGTCTTACCGCCTTCGGCGTAGAAGCACAGCGGAAACCGGTATGGAACTGTCACTTTTAACTGATGTCATCTCCTCTTCGGCGGATTCCCTTCGTTGTTGACGCTCGGTCTGCCTTATGCGCTGTTGATCCACAAGACAGTTAGTACACATTCGCTCTCATGTCATTCCAATAGAGTCCACGAACCTCGGCGGCTGCCGTCTTACCTTATAGAAAGCCAAGCTTGCCTCCTTCGTTGGTTCATTGTCCTCGTATATCTTTATAAATTCTCGTGCATCATGATGCTGTCCAACTGTAAGTCGCACGTGGACGTCTCAAGGGACAAGGTTAATTGACAAAGGCAGGCGTGAAGCGAGTCTAACAAGGTATAAGTCTGCCTCTTGGAGCCCGTCATATTCATCGTGCCAAACAGTCAATGTTTTGACAGAAAATGAATCGATGGAAAAATGACATAGCGAGTGTAAGTGGAGAGATATATGATTACATACACAACTTGTTTACCCAAAAGGACCATTAGATCAAAACGAAGTGATCGACGCTGCTGCTAAATCTATCTTACTGAAATTTTGAGTGGTACGCATATGGCTCGGTCCATCACCATACGCGTCCCTGCGACATCTGCAAACATCGGCCCAGGCTTCGACGTCGTCGGCCTGTCTTTGTCGCTGCATTTGACACTCAATGCTACTATAGCGGACTCAAATGTTCGATATCCACCAACCCTCACTTATTCTGGAGAAGGCGCCGACGAAGTCCCGCTCGACCCATACAAGAACTTGACGACTCGCGTCTGCTTATACGTCCTAAGGTGTCATGACATTTCTTCTTTCCCGGAACATCTTGCAATACATGCGCACAACGAAATTCCATTCGGTCGCGGTCTAGGATCGTCTGGTGCTGCAGTAATCGCCGGAGTTCTTCTCGCAAATGTGCTCGCAAAGCTCAATCTGACCACGTCGCGGATACTCGACTTTGCGCTGATGGTTGAACGCCACCCGGACAATGTCACCGCTGCCCTTGTGGGAGGCTTTGTAGGTTCATACCTCCGCGAACTTGATGATGATTCGCAAGCACGTGCTCAAGTCCCGCTCAGCGAGGTCTTGCCAGAATATCCTCCAGATGCCGGCGAGGACTGGGGAAAGAATCCACCACACCCACCTGAAGGTATCGGTCACTATGTCCGATTTGGATGGGCAGAATCGATTAAAGCCGTGGCCATCATCCCTCGTTTCGAGCTCAGCACGGCCAAGGCGCGTGACGTGCTTCCTCAAAGCTACTCTCGAAAGGACCTGGTGAGCTTTATATTTCATATCTACCTCCGATTATCGCCTGGGACATGAAGAAGTAACTGTTATGCATCAGGTGTTCAACCTACAACGGTTAGCTGTGCTGACTACAGCACTTTCACGGACACCACCGGACCCAGGACTCATTTACGATGCAATGCAGGATCGCGTGCACCAGCCTTACAGGAGGACTCTAATTCCAGGACTTCCTGAAGTCACTTCTCGACTTACTCCCACGACGCATCCAGGCCTCCTCGGAATCTGTCTAAGCGGAGCCGGGCCGACAATTCTGGCGCTTGCAACTGAAGGATATGAGAAGATTGCGGTAGATGCGGCGCATATATTCAGAGAAAAGGGCGTCGAAGTGGATTGGAAGCTGCTTGAAGTCTGTCAAGGTAGCTATGTGGAAGAGGATGGAGCGGAAGTCTGGCAGATTGTATGAGCCCGATTGGTATAATAGAGGAAAGCTTCCAGCCATATTAGACGGAGACCTCGCTTTGCGAAAGGGTCCAAACTCTACTGTTTTAGTTTTCATCCCAAGGATCTGCATTGACCTTGAATGGCTGCCTTATGCAGTAATTACTTCCGTTAGCGTTAACCAAAATCACCCTGCCATTTGCAGGTCATATGGCAGGACTTATTACAGTGTCCACCATCACGCATCAATCATCCACTTTACATGAACCGGTCTGCGGCGGCAGGATGCCAAAAGGTGTACGTGTATGTAACTCGGAAGAACAAAGCGGGTTCCGAAATGTCCGTAAGTCAAGAATGACTCACGGAAGCCGCATGTCTGCCAACATGCTTAACACACGTGTAAGCAACTAGAGAATAGGCATATTAGCACTCGACGTAAGACCTCCCCTGGCCTTTGTGTCGCTATTTCCTCCTCCCCTCTTGCTGCCCCTTCACGAGACGAACAGACATGTCCCGCGACACCCTACAGCAAATGATCCAGGTTGGTGTCAGTCCCGTTGACGCGTCAACGAATGAGCTAACGTTCCCGTGAAGCCACAGAATATCTATGCGCGTTGCGCATCTGGTGGACCGAGCTACAGCTCGGATGGGGTGGCCATGTCATCAAGACGCGTAAGTTTTGTGTCCATCGCTTGTCTCTTGTATCTACAATGTGGCTCATTTATTGTTCTCGACGGTGCATTCCATAACTAGTTATCCTTAAACTGCCCGAATTGCAGGGCCTCCGTCCTCAATATCCCTGAAGACATTCTTGAAGTCGAAGAAGGGACATTTCCTGAGCCTCCGAAAGTCAGGCGGTGGGCTAAGCGCCCTACCTTCATTTCTCGACCGCTCAATCGCAAAGAGTCGGACTCGTCGACAATACCAGGCCCAGGAAGCTCTATTCGAGGCCTTGACATTGACGGGGCCACTCCGAAGCATCTCAGACGCTCATCAGTCTCGTCAGAGGCTGCATCTGATTCGTCGAGCCAGACGAAAGTTGAGCCTCCACCTCCGCCTCGTTCGATTCTCACCCACTCGCCCTCCGTCTCGAGCGGAAAAAGTGGGAAGAGCACGCTCACTGCGAAGCGTTCCGTCAAGTTCTGTGACGAACCGGTGTATTACGACTACTCATATCGCTTCTCCAAATTCTGCACCTGTGCACATCCACCGCACCACGCTCCGTTCTGCAAACTCCCGTACGACTGTAACGGCGAGTGCTTGTACGAAGATTATAGCTTCTGTGGATACGACGACGACATGTTCTCGTTTGAACTCCCCGAGGAGATACCGTCAGAGGCGCGTTGGGGCGTTTTTAGCCGATTTATTGCTTGGTTTAGACGATTCACTGGCGGGCGCATGTACACTATCGACGCGGAGAAGAGACGGCCCGTCATTTCACGTCCACAGCCACTGACGCCCCGCCCATGTCGTGTTGACGTAGCTCGGGAAAAGAAGAGCCAGCGAAAAATGAGGAAGAGGAGACCGAATCCTCCCCGGACAGTTTACGGATAAATTATGGTATGCTTCCTTCATTTTTGTTTAATTACGCATTGACTGAGTTTATTGTCATTTTGCATTAGCCCTAGCACTGACGACCCCCCCTTCTCATGATCACGCTCAACCGTTATTCACCGTATCCCCTACGCGGTATTCCTTCACGTATCCTACCATGTTCGCAAACACATTGCCCACAAAAAACGAATGCGTAACGAATGCATGTCTTCACTCTCGAAAAACCTTACGTTTCATTGTTCTTCAAGAGTGTACGACGTAATCGAGCCGGCTCGATAGTGGCGCAAGGCCAGATCCTTGCTTCGCACGGATTTTATGTTCCCCCAGGACTAGCACTTGTTCCTCGTCCTTATGAGCACTTGATGTACGTTGTATGGAGTTGCATATGCTACATGTGTACGATTAGATCAATTATCGTCCCGACTCCTCTTTGCCTTGACTTTTTCAGCAGCTACTTTGCTTTTTTCCCTTCTTGTTGCTGTAGTCGTATGTTCAGACGCGTGTACGCTTCATAATGACATGACATTACGTGCAGGAAGAACAGAAAACGGCGCGGGGATGTGAACGCTCCGTGGTGCAAAGTGTGTATGATATAATAAGGAAAGGCAAAACTGCAAACATTAGCACATATGAAAGAAGGGCAGGGAAATTATTCCATTCATTCCGGGTTCGAGGGCTGGTGCAGGCGTGCTCTTGGCCTACTTTTCTGTGTAATGGTTCACAAGTTGCTCCGTCTTTGCTTTTCTGCTTCCCAGCGCGCTTTAATTAAAGATGCGCTGGCAACTCTGGAATGCACAACAGGTGGAGCGAGTTGATTGTGTAAAGCTTCGAGATGTGGAGGGAGAAGCGAGTCGTTACGAATGGCCTTCAAAATCGGAGGAGTAAAAATAAATAATGTAGAAAATGTAAGTGTAAAAAGAAAACGAAATTATAACAACGTAAGAAGCACGCACCGAACCAATGGCAAGGAAGAATGTGAAGCTGGCTGCACTGCCGAGCATGTATTGTGAAAGAGTGGCCATGATGCCTCTTGGGCCAGCACCATTCCTGCACGCAGAAAGAGAATAGAACAGAGTGGAATTTGGATGAATGACAAGTCCATTAAGACGATAGATGTAAGGATTTACCTCAAGATGCTATACGAGCCGAAGAGGAAGCCGATGGTAAGGCCTACACCTGCGCCCATCATCGCACCCATTCTTGACACATATGAGTACTGGAGCTGTGTGGACTTGAGGAGAATCGGGATGTGCTTACTTCACTAAAAGTCAAGAAATGTCAACGGAGTTAGACATGGTAAATCCCGGAGGAATAATGACGACATAAAACTCACTCTTCTGCCAAACAGTCGGGCCCTCCATACGTTGCTGAGGTACTCGTTGAGCCATGGTAGGCTGTATAGTGTCAGAAGAGAGAAAGAAAACGATACTCAGACAGACAGCCGCCAACTGACGCGCAGCTTTTGCCGTGATCGGCGATCGACGCCATTCACGTGCATCTACACACTGCAGACTCTTTGAACACTGCCGCCATGACGAGCTCACAAGGAGCTACTGCTTTACCTGAATTTCCGGCTGCCCAGCAGGCACAAATAAGTGAATGATTTTCATGAGTAATTCTTGAGCTATATTAAACTGTGTTTGACAGTTAGAGCACATCAACGGGACTTGTTCTATGTTTATTCATTGAGAGAACAGGCGGAGAACGTACTGAGGTCGTGGTTAGGTGTGTAGCCTTATGGAATACTTAGGGGTTTGGCTTTAACTCTTTGTTCAGGGAACAGGTGGCTTACTCGATGGGATAAGGAGTTAGAGCTTCTTTCTAAACTTGTTTACTATGGACTGACTACTGGTCGAGGTGTGCTCATTACACGTCTCAAATATTTCGTAAATTCTTATCCCTACATAGCTCAACAGACCCTTGGAGAAGAGTATACGAACATATGGCAGTACTCCACAAATGAGAAAGGCACACCTTCGGCTCGAGTACTTAGCTTCATATCACTCCAATCTATTTGAAGTAACTAATATATGACTACAGAAACGTGCAGCTCTTGTATTCCTTCCTGCTTTTCCGGCATACATAATTTCTCGTTATGAAAGCCGGCTCAGTGGAGGCAACGAACGAATAGCACGGATCTTACGTCGACTGCCGAACATACTGGATATCGTCTCCGAGATTAACCTTGCCGTCTTCTACTTCAGAGGGGTGTACTATAACCTCGTCCAGCGTGTGCTTGGCGTGAAAACCGTATGTCTCTAATTTATTTTAGATCAATTAGAGTAAATGGTCACACTATTCACAGATTTCCTCTATACCTGAGAACCCAAATACCCGTCCTCCGTCTTATTCTCTGTTGGGCATTCTCATTCTGGTCCGGCTCTTGCATCGCCTATTTTCGACAATACGGGAACTCCGTCGGAACACCACGAAAGAGATAGAACAGAATTTCTCAGGGAAAGGGAAGCAGGTCTTGCGCTCAGACCGCACAGTAAACTCCTCAATTGACGGAGTCCCAATACCCGAAGTACTGGAGAACACGTCTGATGAGTCTTCTGCTCCTATACCGGCGGAGGAAGACCAGCACACGGTTTTAGACTTCACGCAGATCCCGGAAGACGTGAGGGCAAGAAGGAGTTGCACGCTTTGCCTTGAGGAACGCACGTCGAGCTGTGCGACGGAATGTGGACACTTGTTTTGTTGGTCGTGTATTATAGGGTGGGGTCGAGAAAAGGTGTGCTTTACGTTTTGATTCTTCTATGAATGCATGCTCATGGAATTATGAAGGCTGAATGTCCCTTGTGCCGTCAAGCGCTGAATCTGACTCGGCTGATTCCTATATATAATTTGTAGCAACAGCTAAACAGGCTCTGACAATTTTGTCCCTTTCTTTAGTAGACAGGGGCAATTTGTCATTTATAATCGTAGGGAAAACAGAAAAGTAATGAAACACAAGCAAAATGTACTGCTAATTACACTAGGGAAGCGGCTGGATCAAAGTAATGTTGTCACCTTTAAGCAGTAGACGTCCTGTCAAAGAACAGAATCCATTTCAGAATGTCTCTTTGACAAGAACTGAGGTACATACCTAAATCTCTGCGAGGCTTTGCTTCTTTCAGATATACCTCAGCAGCGTCGTCCAGAACCACGTTCATGAATTCATCGAAGCCCTGCGTTAAAGAATATTAATTAGCGTGCTACAGACACTAAGTATGTGGAAAATGAAAGGGAAAGGAGTCGTCGAAGGCGTGAAGGCTGTTCGCACACGCTTCACGCTGCACATTTTAGAACACCGGCCTTGTGGGTGTAAGGCGTTTCAACGGAAAAGGAGGATGCATGCAAGCACTTATACGTACAATAATGCGACCCTCCAATCGCATCTCATTGTTATCGTATAACCAGACTGATACCTTCGTTTTCTATGGGAGCGAAAATACGTCAAAACACAAGTTGACGAGCCCTATGAGTACAGCGTGACTAACTTGCTGAAGATGTCTGAAGATGACATTCTAAACAAGAATGTGTTAAAGAGGTTAGCAAATGTGAAAGAGCAAGAGGATTGATTCACTTACGATGGGCTGTACCATCACACGCTGTTGACGACCCGACATCTTGAATAGCGTATTTTATTTCGTGAATGAGGGACTTGAGATGGCTAGACGTAGGTGAGTGTGTCCGTGACGTGCAAGTGCCAAAAGTTGTGCGCGACACAGACCTCCTTCCTTATCTGGACAGCAGTCAACCGACGCGTGTTGACACGGAGCCTCTCTAGAAAGTCTTCCACGCTGGAAGCACAATGGAGGTGAGACTCGAAGTTGTACTATTGCTATATCAGATTCTAATTTACCGCACAGGCTTTCGCATCTCCAAACTCATCGACGGCAGCAGCCGTTACATTCATCACATTCGTGCAAGACCTCAAAAAGAAATCCAAGACTTGGGGTCCACTTATAGACCTTTGTGCCAATGGCGAGAAGACATTAGAACGCTTTCGATACCAGTTTCCGGATGACTGGTTATATAGTGACCAGTTGCGAGGAGAGTGGAGCGCGTACAATGAGATTCTGAAGAGGAAGAACGACTCGATTCAGGAGCAGCTTGGTGTGTTCTGCGTTGCACATTGATTCTCACTTTATTTCTAACGCTTACTGTGATAGCTGGTTTGCAACTGAAAATTGTCGCTGAGGATAAGATCGTTGAGAATAAAATCAATGATATTATTAGCGAGTGGGAACAGACACGTCCAGTACAAGGCAACCTGCGAGCGGACACCGCTATGAACACCATAAGTGTGTTCGAAGGGAAGCTCAATCGTGTCCAGGAGGAATACGACCTCGTGTGCCGAGCGAAGGAAGCTCTTGACCTTGAACTGACGCGTCACACGCGTCTGGAGCCCGTGTTCGAGGAGCTGCGTGACTTGAAGGCGGTCTGGACTGCATTGTCTGGCATCTGGGCACAAATCAACGAGCTCAGGGATATTGCATGGGCGAGCGTGCAGCCGCGTAAACTCAGAGAGCAGCTGAACGGTCTACTGAACTCTACGAAAGACATGCCAACCCGTATGCGTCAGTATGCTGCGTTCGAGTACGTTCAGGAGACACTGCGTGGTCTTCTGAAGAGCAACATCGTCGTTGGAGAGCTCAAGTCGGAAGCCCTCAAGGATAGGCATTGGAAACAGCTATTCAAGGTCCTTCGCATGTCACCAGTCATGCTAACAACGTGCGTTGATGATCGTGAATTGAAAAGCTACTATTAACTTCAATTTCTACAGTATGACTCTTGGAAATGTTTATGATATGGATCTGAAGAAGAATGAATCTCTCATTAAGGAGGTCATTATTCAGGCCCAGGGAGAGGTATACAGCCACACCTACGTTGTATTTATTGCTACTAACATACTATGTTATAGATGGCGCTTGAAGAGTACATTAAACAAGTCAAAGAAACTTGGACATCCTATGCGCTTGATCTTGTCAATTACCAGAATAAGACCAGGCTTATCCGGTAACTTCATTTTTCGTTTCTAGTATGATAATGACTGAAAATGAGTTCTGGCAACAGTGGCTGGGACGACCTCTTCACCAAATGCAGTGAAAACCTTAATTCCCTAACAGCCATGAAGCTGTCTCCATATTATAAAGGTAACTCAGGGCTATCTCTGGAGTAGTTCCTCATTACTAACGCAGATCGTAGTTTTCGAAGAAGATGCGGCATCCTGGGAAGATAAACTGAATCGAATTCATGTTCTTTTCGGTAAGCATGTTCCGCTATGACTTCTCGGCATAGATTAATGAATTGCGATGACTATAGATGTCTGGATCGACGTACAACGTCAATGGGTTTACCTTGAGGGTATCTTCTCCGGAAGCGCCGACATCAAGCATCTGCTTCCTGTCGAATCGAATCGATTCCAGAGTATTAATTCAGAGTTCTTGACTGTTATGAAGAAGGTCAACAAGACTCCGTACGTCGTCGAGGTCTTGAATATTCCGGGAATCCAGAAGTCCCTAGAGCGTCTTGCGGATTTGCTGAGCAAGATCCAGAAGGCTTTGGGAGAGTACCTCGAGCGAGAACGTGCATCTTTCCCTCGTTTCTATTTTGTCGGGGACGAGGACCTTCTCGAGATTATTGGTAACTCAAAGACTATCGTCAGAATCATGAAACATCTGAAAAAGATGTTTGCGGGCATTGCCACTATGATGTTGGACGAGGACGAAACCCAGATTTCTGGAATTGCTTCTCGCGAAGGAGAGGAGATTTTCTTCAGGACTCCCATCATCCTAAAGGATTATCCGAAAATTAACGACTGGCTGTCAAAGCTAGAGTCTGAAATGCGGAACAACCTCGCTTATCTCCTATGCGATGCTGTCGAGGAATTGCAAGGGTTCTACGGGCACGAAACTCTATTCACGGCGGAGACCTTCATCCAGTGGGTAGAAAAGTATCCTGCTCAGCTCGTGTCTCTTGCCATTCAAGTAGCATGGACTGCCTCTGTTGAGAGCTGCCTCGAGCAAAGTCAGACCCCAGATGCACCCCTCGAGATCGTCCGCCGCGGATTGGACCTCCTCGCAGATTTGGTACTCACGGATTTAAATCCCATTACTCGAAGGAAATGCGAGCACTTGATCACCGAACTCGTTCATGAACGTGATGTTATCCGCTCGTTAGTTCAGCAAGGTATCACTGATAGCAAAGCCTTCGCGTGGCTCTACCAGATGCGATTCTATCTTGACCAGACTTTGGCGAACCCATTGGACAGGCTTGCAATTAAAGTAGCTAATGCGACGTTCCCATACGGATGGGAGTACCTTGGAGTACCCGATAGGCTTGTCCAGACGCCATTGACGGACAGGTGCTACTTGACTCTGACACAAGCTCTCGACGGCCAGTTGGGTGGCTCTCCTTTCGGTCCCGCTGGAACAGGGAAGACGGAATCGGTCAAGGCCCTTGGCGTGCAGCTGGGACGCTTCGTACTGGTCTTCTGTTGCGACGAAACGTTCGACTTCCAAGCTATGGGTCGCATTTTCGTGGGTCTATGCCAAGTTGGTGCATGGGGGTGCTTTGACGAATTTAATCGTCTTGAGGAGCGTATCCTCAGTGCTGTTTCTCAACAAGTCCAAACGATCCAGCAGGGTCTTGCATCATTAGCAAAGAATCCGCAAACCGAGATCGAGCTTGTCGGGAAGAACCTCAAGATTAACCCAAACATCGGGATCTTCATCACTACGAATCCTGGCTACGCTGGCCGTACAGCTCTACCTCCTAACTTAACCAAGCTCTTCAGGCCAATGGCTATGACACGTCCAGACCGCGAGCTTATTGCCCAGGTGATGCTTTTCTCGCAGGGCTTTAGGACTGCGGAAGTTCTTGCTTCAAAGATCGTTCCTTTCTTTAACCTTTGTGACGAGCAACTCTCACCTCAGCCGCATTATGACTTTGGCCTTCGTGCCTTGAAAGCTGTTTTAGCTAGTGCTGGTATTCTTAAGCGAGAGCGTCTTCTTAATGCTCGTAATGGAGAAGGGGATGTCGCGGGTCTTTCAGATGCTATCCAAGAACAGGTCATCCTCATTCAGAGTGTGACCGAGACCATTGTGCCGAAGCTGGTGGCTGATGATGTGCCGCTGCTCACGAGGTGCGTTACTTTAACTTCATATGTCAAGAGAAACGACAACTAATTTACGCATTTAGCCTGCTCGCCGATGTGTTCCCAGGAGTTGATTATGTTCCTGTCGACTTGGAAGCTTTGCGAGAGCAAATAATGAAAGTCTGTGCGGAACGGCGCCTCGTACCAGGGGAACGCTGGATAGCCAAGATTCTACAACTTTATCAGATTCAAAAGATCCAGCATGGTTTGATGATGGTCGGTCCTTCTGGCAGTGGCAAAACAAATGCTTGGAAGGTGCTATTAGCTGCGTTGGAACGTCTCGATGGTGTCGAAGGCGTTGCGTACGTCATTGACCCTAAGGCAATCCACAAGGAAGATTTGTATGGTACATTGGATCCGACAACACGCGAATGGAATGATGGTCTCTTCACTCATATCCTGCGCAAGATTGTCGATGATGTCCGTGGAGAAAGTGGCAAGCGCCATTGGATTATATTCGATGGTGATGTCGACCCAGAATGGGTAGAGAACTTGAATAGTGTTCTGGACGATAACAAGCTCCTGACGTTGCCGAATGGAGAACGTCTTAATCTTCCCCCGAATGTTCGCATTATGTTCGAAGTTGAGCACCTGAAATATGCGACGCTCGCTACTGTCAGTCGATGTGGTATGATTTGGTTCAGTGACGACGTAGTGGAGCCGAGTATGGTCTATCGACACTATTTGGATACCCTCTCAAACGTCCCACTCGACGCGGATGAAGACGAGACCTTCGAACCTGCCGCATCTAGACGCGCTGATGCTGTTACAACCGATTCGTCTGACTCGCCCAACCTTCGTACACAGCGGGAAATTGCTGGAATCCTCGAGCAATACTTTGCAGATGGCGACATTATCAGCTCTGCGCTGTCGTATGCTGAGTCTATCGACCACATTATGGACTTCACAGCCACGAGGGCCTTGAACACACTTTTCTCCTTGATCAACAAGACGGCTCGTAACGTCCTGGAATACAACATTCAGCACGCGGACTTCCCATTAAGTCACGAGAAGGTTGAACAATATGTGACGAAACGACTACTTGTCAACATTATCTGGGCTTTCTCCGGTGACGCTCGACTCGACCTTCGAGCCGACTTAGGCGATTTCTTGCGAAAGCAGACCGGCATTGATTTACCTTTGTTGACCCCTGGCAGTTCACTCATTGATTACGATGTGCAAGTTGCGACCGGTGAATGGATTGCCTGGTCATCTCGGGTCCCTGTCATTGAAATTGAGGCTCACGCTGTCACGGCATCGGATATCGTGGTACCAACTATTGATACTGTTCGTCATGAAGAGGTCTTGTATTCATGGCTTTCCGAGCACAAGCCATTGATGCTCTGTGGTCCGCCGGGATCTGGTAAGACCATGACACTCTTTAGCGCACTTCGGAAGCTTCCAGATATGGAAGTTGTTGGCCTTAACTTCTCCAGTGCAACGACACCAGAGCTCATCCTGAAGACCTTCGAGCAATATTGTGAATACAGGAAGACACCTAATGGCGTAATCCTTTCGCCCGTCCAAATTGGGAGATGGCTGGTCGTCTTCTGCGACGAGATCAACTTGCCAGCAACTGACAAGTATGGTACACAGCGAGTTATTTCTTTCCTCCGCCAGCTTGTGGAGTGCGGAGGATACTATCGGACTGCGGACATGGCGTGGGTCAGGCTTGAAAGAATTCAGTTTGTTGGCGCTTGCAATCCACCCACCGATCCTGGTCGTGTTCCCCTTTCTCATAGATTCTTGCGCCATGCTCCACTCGTCATGGTTGATTACCCTGGAGAAATCTCATTGAAGCAGATTTATGGTACTTATAACCGAGCCATGCTCAAGGTCGTCCCGACCTTGCGTGCTTATGCAGAGCCCCTTACCGACGCAATGGCGACTTTCTATTTGGAATCACAAAAACGGTTCACAACAGATATGCAAGCGCATTACATTTACAGTCCTCGTGAACTGACACGCTGGGTTAGAGGTATATACGAAGCCATCAAACCTTTGGAGATGCTGTCCGTTGAAGGTCTGGTGCGAGTCTGGGCTCACGAAGCTCTCCGTCTCTTCCAGGATAGGCTAGTCTCAGAGGACGAAAAGGTGTGGACCGATGAAAACATTAATAGTACTGCCATGCAGTACTTCCCAACGATAAATCAGGGAGAAGCGCTGTCGAGACCGATATTGTTCTCAAACTGGACTTCCAAGCATTATGTGCCAGTCGATCGCGAAATCCTGCGAGACTACATTAAAGCTCGCCTCAGGGTCTTCCACGAAGAAGAGCTTGATGTACAGCTTGTTCTGTTCAATGATGTTTTGGACCATGTTCTTCGTATCGACCGTGTCTTCCGTCAGATCCAGGGACATCTGCTTTTGATCGGTGTGAGCGGTAGTGGCAAGGTAAGCAGAACCAATTTATTATTCCTATTCGTCATAACTAATCTCTCCTCATAGACGACTTTGTCTCGTTTCGTTGCTTGGATGAATGGTCTGAGCATTTTCCAGATTAAGGTTTCGAATAAATACACAGGAGAAGACTTCGATGAAGACCTGCGTACAGTGCTCCGAAGAGCAGGTTGTAAAGGAGAAAAGATTTGCTTCATCATGGATGAGTCGAACGTTCTAGACTCGGGTTTCCTGGAGAGGATGAACACACTTCTCGCCAACGCCGAAGTCCCGGGTCTGTTTGAAGGAGACGAACATTCTGCCTTGATGACTGCTTGCAAGGAAGGATCACAACGAGATGGTCTTATGCTCGACTCACATGAAGAGCTGTACAAGTGGTTCACTCAGCAAGTGGCAAAGAATTTGCACGTTGTCTTCACGATGAATCCCCCAGAGAACGGGCTTGCCTCGCGCGCCGCGACTTCCCCTGCTCTTTTCAACCGTTGCGTCCTTGATTGGTTTGGTGATTGGCCCGATCAAGCATTTTATCAAGTCGGTTCCGAGCTTACGACCACGTTGGACCTCGACCTTCCTGCATACAAACCTCCGCAGTTCTTCCCCATCGCCTACCGACAGCTATCTTTGCCACCAACGCACCGTACGGCTGTCGTAAATGCTCTTGTTTATATCCACCAGTCATTGTACCAGATCAACAAGAAGCTGAGTAGGCGCCAAGGACGGTATAACTACGTAACGCCCAGACATTACCTTGATTTGTAAGTTTTAATTTTCTGCGAGTTGGATGGCTGACGAATGCCCAAATAGCATCTCCCAGTACGTCCGGTTGTATAACGAGAAACGGGATGAACTCGAGGAACAGCAGCGCCATCTGCATGTCGGTCTTGATAAGCTCAAGGATACAGTGACGCAGGTTGAAGAGCTCCGAAAGAGTCTTGCCATTAAGAGAAGGCAACTCGAGGCGAAGAATGCGGAGGCAAACGAAAAACTTCAACGCATGGTCTCCGACCAGCAGGAAGCTGAGCAAAAGAAGGCTGCGTCTATCGAGATCCAAGCCGCACTAGTTGAGCAGGACAAACACATCGAACAGAGGCGAAGTATTGTTATGGCCGACCTTGCGGACGCTGAACCAGCTGTACTTGAGGCTCAATCTGCTGTTGGGAATATTAAGAGGCAGCATCTGCAGGAAGTGCGAGCCATGGCTAATCCACCTGAGGCGGTGAAACTAGCTATGGAGTCGGTCTGCACAGTTCTTAGTCACAAGATCGACAGTTGGCGAACTGTCCAAGGTATCATTCGGCGCGACGATTTCATCCAGAGGATCGTCAACTTCGATACGAACGCTCAAATGACGAAGCCAATGCGAGAACTCATGAAACGCGAATACCTTGCCCGTCCGACATTCAACTTCGAGACGGTAAATCGCGCCAGTAGAGCCTGCGGTCCGCTTGTGAAATGGGTCCTCGCACAGGTTCGGTTCTCTGAGATTTTGGACAGGGTTGAACCTCTCCGGAATGAGGTCCAGTCGCTCGAGGAACAAGCTGAGGACACGAAGAAACAAGCAGAGACGATTATTGCCATGATAGCGGAGTTGGAAGCTAGTATCCGTACCTACAAGGAGGAATACGCACTTCTTATTAGCGAGACCCAGTCTATTAAAGCGGAAATGGAAAGGGTCGAGAATAAAGTGGAGCGCAGTATGCGGATGCTTGATAGTTTGTCTTCTGAGAAGGCTCGCTGGGAAGCTGGAAGTCAGACATTCGACGAAGAGATGAGCACTATTGTTGGCGATGTTCTGCTCTCAGCAGCATTCCTTGCGTATGGTGGATTCTTTGACCAACACTACCGGGAAGTGATGTGGCATGAATGGTCGCACCACCTTCACGAAGCACACATCAAGTACAAGGCGGAGTTGGCATTCCCTGAGTATCTGTCAACGGCGGATGAACGCTTGAGCTGGCAGTCCAAGTCATTGCCCTCAGATAGCCTCTGCATCGAGAATGCCATCATGCTTAAGCACTTCAACCGTTACCCTCTCATTATCGATCCTACTGGTCAAGCCACGACATTCCTCTTGAACGAGTACAAAGACAGGAAGATCACTGTTACTAGCTTCCTCGACGATGCTTTCCTCAAAGTATTGGAGAGCGCACTTCGTTTCGGTAACCCTCTCTTGATCCAGGATGTCGAGCATTTAGATCCCATTTTGAATGCCGTTCTCAACAAGGAGATCAGGAGGACGGGTGGTCGTGTCCTTATACGGCTTGGCAGTCAGGATATCGACTTCTCTCCATCGTTTACGATGTTCCTTTCCACTCGAGATCCATCGGTGGAATTCTCACCCGACATCTGTAGTCGAGTTACCTTCGTTAACTTTACGATGACTCGCAGCAGTCTCCAGAGCCAGACCTTGGACCAAGTATTGAAGGTCGAAAGGCCGGACACTGAACGCAAGAGGACTGACCTCATGAAGTTGCAGGGAGAATTCCGGTTACGATTAAGGACACTGGAGAAACTCCTTCTGCAAGCCTTGAACGAGTCCACTGGTAACATATTGGACGACGATAAGGTTATCAACACCTTGGAGACGCTTAAGAAGGAGGCTGCTGAGATTACAAGGAAGGTTGAGGAAACGGATGTTGTCATGCGTGAAGTGGAACAAGTCACTTCTGAATACCTACCTATCGCGCAAGCGTGCAGTTCGGTGTTCTTTATCCTTGAACAGCTAAATCTCATCAACCACTTCTATCAATTCTCGCTCTCATTCTTCCTCGACATTTTTGACTTTATCTTGCACCATAACCCCAACCTCCAGAATGTCACTGACTATACCAGTCGACGACGGATTTTGTTTGATGACCTATTCCTCGTGGTGTTCAAGCGCACATCCCGCGCACTCTTGCATCAGGATCATGTCATGTTAGCTATGCTTCTCGCGCAAGCCAAATATCGTGGAATGGAGGAACTCACAGACGAGTATGAGTTCTTGCTTGAGAGTGGTCAGGGTGTTCTCGCTCCAGGTGCTGGTGGCGAATCATCCGATATTGCCATTCTATCGGCTGAACAACACGAGCGTCTTGACAACTATGCTAAGCATCCGATGTTCAAACCCGTGCTCGACAGCATTAGGAGCAACGAGAGTGATTGGGTGCCTTTCTTGCAATCTTCTGAGCCCGAAAAACACGCCCCATTCCCGTGGGAACCAACATCGCGTTCGTACTCTCCTTATATTTCTAACTTATATCAAACTGATCCTCTTTCTCCCTAACAGCTATCATCAAGGCGCTTCGCTACGTTCTGTTGATCAAATGTTTCCGTCCGGATCGTCTCGTATCGTCAATGGATACCTTCGTTCGGCTTGCTTTCGAGAAGGATCTGTCAATGGAGTCCGACTATAACCTCGCGGATGTAGTTGCAAAGGAGGTACCTCCAGTTACACCGATTTCCCTCGTATCTGTCACCGGTTACGACGCCAGTTATCGTGTCGAAGGTCTTGTTCAGACGTCTGGTGTGAAATGCTCCTCTGTCGCGATGGGATCACAAGAGGGCTTTGCCTTAGCAGATCAAGCAATCGCAGTGGCAGCTCGACAGGGTACCTGGGTGCTCTTGAAGAACGTACATCTTGCACCGTCATGGCTCGGTCAACTGGAAAAGAAGTTGCAAACCTTAAATCCAAATCGCAGTTTCCGCTTATTCTTGACTATGGAGGCCAATCCAGTCATTCCTGTGAACATTCTCCGCCAATCTCGTGTCATTATGAATGAGCCTCCTCCAGGAATCAAGGCTAACCTCCTGGATTCACTTCGTGGTATTCCGCAAAGTAGGCTCGCTCAAGGGCCCGCTGAGAAATCGCGACTATACTTCCTCCTTGCCTGGTTCCATGCCGTTGTTCAAGAACGGTTGCGTTATGCTCCTCTCGGCTGGAGTAAGAAGTACGACTTCAACGACTCTGACATGAGCGCGGCATTCGGAACGATAGATGTCTGGTTGAATTCTATTGCCAAGGGCAGAGCCAACGTAGACCCAGTCTCTGTTCCTTGGGATGCCGTTCGGACTCTTATCAAGCAATCCGTCTATGGAGGTCGTATCGACAGTGACTTCGACCAAAAGTTGTTGGACACGTTTGTTGATTCCCTCTTCACGCCAGCTGCATATAATTTGGACTTCGATCTTGTGCCACGTTCTGATGGGAAAACGATATTGGCCGTGCCAGAAGGAACAAAGATAGATCACTTCCTGTCCTGGGTACAGAATCTGCCTGACCGGGAACCGCCTTCGTGGTTGAGTCTTCCCCCAACAGCTGAGCGCGTTATTGCCCTTGCTCAAGGTAAGTTGTCTTGAGCTTCTGTTATTCGAGTCTTCTGACCGGCCGCCTAGGCAATGATTTGCTGATCAAGCTACGCAAGATGAAGAGTCTGGCTGATGATGACGAAGACGATATTAAACCTGTCGGACCTGCACAGTCTCAAACCGCTGAACAGCCAGCATGGATGCGATCACTTTCGGAGCACTGCCGAGAATGGTTAGCATTATTACCAGAGGTACGTGGTCTTTCTCTTTCTTCTTCACTCACGCTGAAATTGAATACCGTGGTATCTAGAACTTCAACACGCTCGCGAAACAAGCAGTGGAGAACCAGGATCCATTGAATAGGTTATTCTTGCGTGAAGGCGAGATTGGTCGCAAACTTCTCAACCAAGTCCAAAGAGATCTAGGCGACGTCATAAAGGTTTGCGAAGGCGCGCTCAAGCAGACGAACCATCTTCGCGGCCTCTTAAGTCACCTTACGAAGGGAACCATTCCAACGCATTGGTTAAGATATAAAGTCAAGAAGACAACGTCTGTGTCGGAATGGATCCCGAATCTTGCAAGACGTCTCGCGCAGCTGGATCGGATTGCGGGTCTTGACACTTTGAACAATGTTGAAGTTTGGCTGGGCGACTTGTTCTTCCCTGAAGCGTATGTTACAGCGACTCGTCAAGCAGTCGCACATCGCAAGAAGTGGAGCTTAGAAACGCTTGACTTGAGACTTGATATCGAACGAGTAAATGACCCAAGTGCATTTATTGTGGATGGTTAGTTCATTCCGATTGTGTCCTGAAAAGAAAGGTTCTAACTCTGGGTTCCAGGTCTCGTGCTTGAGGGTGCCTCTTGGTCATCCGACAAGCTTACACTGAACAATGGCGAGAATGTACGTCTCAACCCGTCTCAAATACGATGGGTTCAGGTCGACCCCAATGAAGACGTATCCCACATGGTGACACTACCTGTTTATCTCAACAATGACCGAAGCAACGTCCTATTCACGATTAAGCTTCCCTTCAATGGCATTGATGGCCAGCTCGTTGCTATGCGTGCTGTATGTCTCACAGCAGACGGTTAAGTTAGACGCTGTCTCCTAGATGCTAGATGCTTATGACTTTTATGATTATATACCATTACCCTCGCTATCCTTAGCCATGCCATTTTGATACCGTATTCTACGTACATTACACATTCGTTAAACTTGTTTTGCTGTTGCATGGAATAGATCGGATTATTTGTGCTTCTAATACGAATGAAATTACCTCATGAATGCCGCACGATAAACAAGATATCATTTGGAGGGAAGGATGCATGCGCCTCGTGTAAGTATGAGAAGCTCCCATTATGGAAGCACTAATACTATCTTGTGTTACAATGTGCATTCCAGTACGCACAACCTTGTTCCATCGACGTCCTCGTTGGCGCTGCAAGACTGGACGAAATGAACGCCGCTAAGCAATGCCGAACATCGGACACAGTAGACAATCACAAAAGGGCTTGGTGCGTCCGTATTAACCTTAAGCTTGTTTACAACTCAGTAGTTATCTAATCTCATCTTATTTTGCTACTATCAGCTCGAAATGCAGAAAACAAAAAGATAAAGTTTTGCGAAATGACAAAACCGCATCAGTGCCATTAAGCAACCCCAAGTCTGCACATGACAAGAAGGCGAAGCAACAACATTCAGATAGTGGAACGGACATTCCGAATGAGAAGACGGAGGTGTTGTCACGCAAACGCAATGCAGCACCAGGGAAACAGAGGAACGCTGATAGAAAGGCTTCCAAACCATTGCATGGACGCTCAAAATCACGAACTCGCGACAATTCAAAGATTAGTGTTTGGGATTTACTCTGCAACACGGAAAAGAATTTGGCCGTTAGGAGCGAAACGATTGATCTACTACGCAAACTATTGAAGCGACTCGAAGAAGAGAAACGTCGTGCCAATGAAGCCGAACGGCGTGTCCAAGAAGCAGACCAACGCCAAAGGGTCGTAGACTCGGCACACAAGCAAGCCCGTTCTGAAGCAGCTCGGGTTCATGAACAACTAAAACAGTACAAATCGCAATTGGAGTTGGCTCAGCAACGAATTACTCGTGCAAATGCCGTGATCGAGCAGGTGGACCAGCAGAAAACGCGTGCCGCGTCCGAGGCTATCAGGGCACGAAAGCAGCTGAAGAAACACGAGAGGCGAGTTATGATTAAGGAAGCCATGGAGGAGGGTAGGCTAATTGGACAATTGCAAGCACATAAGGAAGGCAAAGGAAGTGCCCACCATGTCAATCCACAGATACACGAACAATCTTATTTGAACCCCGTTGCCGACTTGCTTGACAGTAGCCGAGCTTACGATGACAACTACCAGTATCCGAGTGGCACTCACAGAAACGCAGAGCGACCTTTGCAACATCTTCCGGAGCAAGTATGTGCACACCCCAGGCGAAAAGTGCTTTCCAGTCATACTGTCTTAGTCCACACATCACCACAGCCCCACCTGCGTAGACAGCAAAGTACAACTCGTAGAAGTATTCCCCGCTTCAGAGACAGTCCTCGAGGTCAAGTAGGATACCAGAGTTCGGCTCCTCGACCCATTGAAACAGAAATTGTAGTAATGCCTGGTGAAGTACTCGTCAGTCCGACTGTTGCTCCATCGCAATATATGTTGCCCAAGCTTCCAATAAACCGCCCGGTTAGGAGGCATATGCAGGCGCCAGACTCCAGACTCGATTCGTCGAGGATTCCTCCAACTCCGCTTCCGAGGTCCGCGAAATCTCCTGCACCACAACGATCGGCCATTCCACCTGAAGGATACATCCCTCGACGGGACAGCGACGGGACTATTCGACTCCCACCGCCTCACGAGATGATACAACCTCTTCCGGCCCCAGAGAATTTCTCTCTCAACCCAGTGCTGACAGGAAAGATTTCTTCTCAAAGAAAGCGTCGACAATCAGTGCACAAATAATTACAACTAGGGAAATGGCTTTTCCATTTATTCACTTCTTGGGGCACACAGTAGCTATTATCGAGTTTTTCGGAATGGTTTGTTTCTCGAAGAGATTTGACATGTTCCCGACTCTTGTTCTTGGTTGCCGGCTAACCTGTTCTTGTCAAACGTACTCATGTTGCCTAGTCAAATGCGGCTTAAAAGCAATTCAGTAAATTTCCGATTATTCAACGATAAACTTGCAAGCCTTTAAAAATACATTGCGTGATGCAAGCTGCCAAAGATACAATGCTAATCGTGGGGAGATGATGCTGTCGAGTCGACCTCCATCTTAACTTGGGAATCTTTAGGAGGACCAGACGTAGACAGAGCGTGGCTTGAGAATCTCGAAAGCTGATCCCTGAGCAGAAATAATCAACGAATTGGCCGTTGATCAACCGAGGGATTGGGTACTGACCGTTTTTGGTCTCGCAGCTGCTCAAGCATCGCGATTACGTCATCCTGGTCCTTGATGAGCATCTCACCTCCTGGGAGCGTATTCGCGAGTTCCTTCGCTTTCACAAGGCCATCTTTAAATGCAGTAGTCTGTACGAAATATGAGAGTCTGCGTGTGAATATACACTGACTTTGGAGTGAGATGTGCGTACAGCTTTGAACATGGCTTGCCGTGTTTGTGGGTCGAGCGTGGAATCGGAGTTTTGCACTACTTCGAGTACGTGTGCAAGCTTCTCCAGAAGGCTCTCAAATACGGGGTCTGGAAATGAGTGCCCAGACATAGTTCGATACAAAGTTCAGGCGGGTTTCATAGACGGGATTCTCTGTGGTCACAATTCAAGAGGAAGACACAAACAAAGCCACATAACATGCCATGGAAATTTCCGAATTTCCTTTTCTAACTATATAGAAGCTTTCTCACCAGTGTGAGTGCGCTTGATGTCGCGCGAAAAGTGTACACCCAGCCTTCTGTTCTCCTTATTCCTCCTATTCTTACTTATACCTAAAGCACACATGATCCTAGAAGATTAATAATGGCACCGAATCGGAGTACCTCCTCTCTTGCTGCGCACGCCTTAACTGTCCTCGCTCTCGCCGTCTTGCTCAACTTCGTATCAAACAGCCTTTCGCCTTACTTCGGTAGCACTAGTCAATTACCTCTTTTCTTGAAAAATACAACTATGGCACCTGTTAAGCTGTATGGCGCTCCTATGTCGACATGTACCCGTCGTGTTGCGACAGTATTGAAAGAAAAGGGCGTTCCGTACGAGCTAGTCTTGATTGATTTCTCAAAGGCGGAACACAAGAGTCCGGACTATGTTGCCAACCTGCAGCCCTTTGGTCAAGTTCCAGTACTCAAGGTAGGGGCTTCCCTGTCCTCAAATTCATTTACTCGTTATATTTACTTACTTTATTCTCCTTGTTCAGGATGGCGACTTCACGCTTTACGAGTCTCGCGCTATCGGCCGCTACATCGCAGCCAAATACGCAAATCAAGGAACACCAGGTCTTATTCCTCCTCAGTCGAACATCGAAGCATGGGCACGCTTTGAGGAGGCCGCGAGTATTGAGCAGAACAACTTTGATCCATTTGCCAGTGGGATTTCTGCTGAAAAGGTCTTCAAGCCGTAAGACTTTACGAAATGTCTACATACTCGGTGCAGACACCTAACTTCTATTAAGGATGCGAGGAGGCCAGACAGACGAGAAACGCGTCAAGGAGCTCACCGATACATTGTACGCTAAATTGGATGCATATGAAGCAATTTTGAGCAAGCGCAAATACTTGGCTGGCGACGTGCGTAGCAGTCCTTAAATGTTTGTATCGGAGATTCGAAAAATTGACTTAAATGCAGAGCGTCACTCTGGCTGACTTGTTCCACCTTCCTTACGGCACAATGATTACTGAGGTAATTCAGCTCTAATCATGTTCGACTTTGCTGTACTCAACCTATTACTTGCAGCGTCTCGGGATCGATGCTCTGAACTCCAAGCCGAACATTGCAAGGTGCGTTGCCTGTATATTTTAACAGTATAGTTCTGACGTTATTTACCAGGTGGTGGAAAGATATTACTTCTCGCGAGTCATGGCAGGCGGTCAAAGACGGGGCCTAAAAGAAGTTACAAATGATACAGTTGATCTAACGAGTTCCTGGTGTAATATTACATGAAGCATGAGAAGATTTGAATGTATATATCAATTTCCTATTCATACTGAAAGAGTTCCGGGAGACCGAATAGGTGTAAGCGTCTGTCCTCCGATCCATGTTTCGCCTGGTTGGATCGTCTTGAAGTCAGCGACATATCCTGGTTCAAGACACAGGAATCGTTCCCTGGAAAGAACAATTTAATTTGAAGTTCTTCAATCCACGAAATCATTACACTTACCACCCTCCGTCCTCCATGTCAGCGAGTTCACTTCCTTTTTGTGGTCCCGGGTTCCAAAGCACGACATCCTTAAATCCAATAGCCTTCACCTTGATACCTCCATCCGGCCAGGTGACAGTATACTCGAGTGGGCCATCCTCATATACGAAGTCCGTGAACTGGTGTACATCGGCGATGGCACGACGTTCCATAAGCTTCTGGTTTCCGCCTACAGTCTTGTCGAGGTAAGTCAAGCCTTGGAGGCCATCGATATGTGCTGCAGCCTTAGGCGCGCGGATGTATGTGTGCAGCAGCGCTTGGAAGGAAAGTGGGGAATCAGGATGAGTGTTGGTTACGTGCAGGTCAGTGTTGAGCTGGTGCTCTGCGAGCGTGATGACGTAGGCGAGGACAACTCGGTCGTTCGTCAAGGAAGGGTCGGATGTCAGGGCTGTCGATCCATGATAAGATTAATTCTCCGTAGCTACTTAGAAGCCAAGAGAATCAAGACATACTGAGCTTGACAGAGACAGCCACGTCGTTGTCCATCAATGTCTGACCATCCCACTCCCACTTTGAGTTGCGTGCGTATCCGTGTTGAGGTAACCCAGTATGCTCAGGTCTCGTCCTGCCACGCCATAAATAATACATTCACAATACTGTAAGATGCACTCACGGTGCACCAAAGCACGGAAAGACAACTGGTATACCCCCGCGCACAGGTTTAGACCCATCAAGAAATGCCTTCGAAGAGACGAAGAGTTGTTCGGCAAGGTTGTTAGATTCAGGCTTCGGGGCTTTCCATGAGATGATAGTCGCTCCATACTTGAGTACCTCAAGGGTTGCACCCTTATAGGTGGAAGGAATAATAAATCCACTGGATCAACTTTGCACTCTACTGATAGCATACCTTTGGATGCACGAGGCGCAGTTTGTTTCCGTCGTCGAGCGTTTCTACGGGCATGGTTGTGAGTGTTGTTGCTAGTAGAGTGCGAATTCGGATAAATAAATATTCGATTAACCTGGCTATATGCACCCGTCGTCATGCATAACGTCAGCGCACGATCCACTCAAGCAAGGGCCGTCCGGGCCGGCATCCAAAGAGATTGTTCAGATTCAGAAACAAGAGAAAACAAGTGAATATGCGAGATATGCGGATGCTTAGCACTAACTACCTAGGAAATCTTCACGTACACTAAGGACAGGTAACACCTCATCAGCATTCATCTCTGTCATCCCAATCACCTCCGCGAGCTGTTGGTATTGCTTGTCGTCACCTAGTCGAACAGCATTCACCATCTGATGGAACGGCTCTCCCTCCAGGCTTAAAAGTCGCCCTGCCTCTAGAAGACGCTCCCAAGGACCCTCGACGCGTCGTAAACCAGACGGAGCCATCGCCGTCCGGCATGCTTGAACCCATAGCTCGGCCTCTTCAAGAAATAGCCGCCCTTCTCGCGGAGATAGCCTTGAACGTCCGCGATACAGTACCTGCCGGTGAAAAATATGATTTGCGATGTGACTTGCGACTTGGCGGTATAATCCAATAGCCAATGACGCAGGTAGATCCTTTGAGAGTGATGAAAGGTGTCCATGAAGACGTGCCACGGGCACGAGGAGAGTTTGGGATGGTAGGACATCTTCACTTTCGTGGCTTTTTTCTGGTTGTCTAAAAGAAGTGTTAGGCTGGGTGGCACACACGGACAGATAAATCGCATACTTGAACAAATGCACTTTGAGGTCCGTCTCAACATCACCACTGATCTGTCTGATCAACATGCTCTCAGCACGTTCGGTAAGTTTCTTGTACAGTGCCACAAGCTCATCAAAGATTGTGCTGTCATCCTTCACGGTACGCGGGTTTGGCAACGTGTCGATATCTGCAACGAGGATCCGTAGCGACGACTTCTCGCATATTTGATGCCAAAGCTCAAGAAAGAACTGTAAATGCACATAATGAAGACTTTGAGACCATGACGGAATGCTTGAGACATACTATATCTTCTCCCCAATTTGCCATCACAGTCGCCATCCATTTTGCACTGATGTATGCCTTCAATATGCGCCGAGCACCCTCCACTCCTTCAGTACTCTTTCCATCTTGCCTATGACCCATTTGTCCAGGCAAAGCCCCTGGGACAGATCGCATGAAATACGACGAGAGCGATTCGAAACCATCAAGAGTCTCCGAAATTTGGGTATGATATAGTTTGAGTATGGGCAGCTGTACAGTAATCACGAAACGTGTTCTGTGAAGAAAGTGCGGCAACGCTCTGTAGCGATCTACCGGGAGAAAATATCAGTATTCGGATGTCAATCAGTAATTTCTGGCCGCAAATACCTGTTATCTGTTCAATTAGGGTCTTTATCCGACGAGCAGAAATTGTCGACAATAAATCCGTTCCAGTGGCAGCTTCTTCGGAATCGTCGGATAATTGCCACGGATCATGGAAATTGAGAATGTCGTAGTATTGATCCTCAGCAACTACCACTGGTATTAGACAGAAATAATAGAGTATAATTGCAGAGCACCCACACTTGCGTTCACCTTCTAACCAACTATCGAACCATTCCTTGTTGCCTAAGATGATTTCACTGGTACCTTCCCATTCACCATGATCATCTTTTGAGGAGTCCATTGTATTGGCAAGGCTAAACCCAGCTTCTCGGAGTGCATCATCAAAAGCAAGAGCCTGATATACGGTATGTGCAAGCAGAGGAGGGTGAGGAAGTAAAGTAGGCATGGAACGTTTAAGCTTCCTGCTAATCATTGGGAAGAGTAGCCGTGTAAATTCACGCTGCAGGTTGCGATGGGTATGTTAGCTAGTCAACTTCAATTAGACGCAGTCTGAGACGCAACACTTACCCATGCATTGATTGACGCGTATTTCGAATTTTGTAGTAGTCGCTGAATAACCTTCTCCATGAACGGGCGGTGCTCGTGGGACACATTCAGAATATGTGCAAAATACCATTCGGGCTATGGAGATGTATTAGTACCACAACATCGATACAAAAGAAATGCAGAAAACATACCTTGTCTAATCTATTTGTTTGCCGCGTACCATCGAAATGATATTTGAATCTTTGAGCTGCTGGTCGAACAAGGGCTTGTAGAGGATATAAGCCTTCTTTGGAGGACTTCTCGTTCTCTGGCTGTAGCTTCTTTCCACTGGAGGTTCAGTTAAGCCATATAAATAGTTCGCAAGCCGCAAACGCGTACATGTCTTGTAACCTAAGCAGGTTTCCGAACGCGCCTTCAAAGGCTCGGCGAGTGTCGACTGTTGCTGCCGCGTAGTCGACAGGCATGGGCCAATGAAGTCCTTCGGCAGAAGAAAGTAGTTTGCTATTGACTCGATCAGTATAAACTTCACGTGAAAGATAAATATACTGACGAGGAGAGTACATCCTTTATTCGTAACCACGTCTTGTCTTCAAGATCGGATAGGAAAGATGATAATTTCAATTCCTGTCCTGTACTGTCGTTGGCTTCCTGGCTTGCACGTTTCACTGACTGCACGAGTTGTTTAAGAAGCACGTAGTCCGTCAGAGAAGCTTCCGAAAGAGGAGTTGACGTGGGCAATTGTTCGACATTCCCGATGGCGCATTCGCTACGTGATATAAAGCTATTGAGAAAGCAGTACGAAGGAGACAGATCTGACGGACCTCAGTTGAAGTGCCTTATGGATGCTTTGGACGAATCCTTTGACTAGTTCAAGATCTTTGAGGTTACGGTGTAGAACTTCAAGCTCTTCTAGGAGGGATGGTTCTGATCCTTCTGCCGTTGCAGCAGACTCCAACTCCTCCGTGAGACTCGTAAGTTCATCCGCTAAGGAATGTCGTAAGAGTGACAGCTCTTGCGCAGTGACGAGTTGTTGTTTCGCTTTCTCGCTTGTTTCAAGGATGAGGCTATCAACTCTATCTTGTGATGTTGCCAGCTATTCTAGAAAGTTCTAGTAAGGCATCTTAACAAGCACTGTGACTCTCAACGTACTTGTGAGCTGTACGACTCCGAAACTCGTCGCGCTTCGTTTATGGCATCTGCCAGCACGTTTCCGGAGTTAACATGTTCAAAAGAGGGAAAAGATCGATCAAGGAAACTTGTTGCATGAGCTAATGATTCGTTGACATCGGGTCCTTGACGCAGTGTTTGAATCTGTACAGAGGTCATTGTGTTTACATTGTAACACGGCGTTCTCGGAACTCGCTGGATAAGTCGCGCAGAACTGTGGCACGTGACCATGCCATGCATTTTGAATTTCAATCTGCGTGCTGATTCGCTGTTCACTGTCAAGACTATAAAGTGATCACGCTGCCTCATTCGTTTGCTCCACTAGGCTTACTCGGATCTGGGAATTACTATTTATTTCACGCCTATAAGCATATCATGCCTTACTATCAGCGAATTGCGCAATGCTGGCTTTTTCATTACGCCTTCGCACGCTGGGTAGAAACTGTATAAAATCCCATGGACATGCTTCAATCTCCTATACCCCACAAACTATGTCTGCGTACAAAGAATTCATACCTGCGAACGAGAAGTACACCGCTGACTTCGCCGATAAGGGTGGTCTACCTCTCCCTCCCGGAAAGAAGCTGACAATTGGTGGGTTTCTCGTATGTTCTTTAATAAAACGTATCCCGATTGACTTTTTGTGTAGTAACATGCATGGATGCTCGGCTTGAGTATGTCGATTATAATTTAGACATTATTGAAATTATCTCAACTGTTGTATCACCGTTCAGTCCTGCTGCACATCTCGGAATTAAGGAAGGCGACGCTCATGTAATCCGAAATGCAGGCGGTGTCGCGTAAGTTGATAGCTTACTCGCCAATACACCTCTAATATTCGAGAAATGTATCTAGAAAGGAAGCTCTACGTAGCATCATCATCTCTCAGCAGCTTCTAGGCACTCGCGAAATTGCTCTTTTTCACCATACGGACTGCGGCATGCTCACGTTCAAGAATGAAGACCTCCGCAATTCACTGAAGGAGAAATACCCATCTGTGACCAAGGAAATCGAGTCCATCGATTTCTTTCCATTCCCTCAACTTGAAAGAAGCGTGAAAGATGACATAGAATTCCTGAAGCAACATCCCCTCGTCTTGGACGAAACCACGATCACTGGATGGATTTATGATGTCAAGACGGGGAAGGTGAGCATAATTTTGATACTGTCAACTATGACTGACCGTTCTCCTTTCAAAGATCACGCAAGTCGTGTAATATACTACTTTGTTGATGCATTAATTCTATCTGTGTTCTTGTATCTTATACGGTTTCAATATTCAGCAGAATCCAATTACATCAATTTACTGATAAGGTAAATTGGAAGATGCCTCGTTGGAGACACAACACGTGATCGTATTAGGTATTTCGGTCCTTCAGCAATCACACTGCTTCATCCCGTTCCCTCCGCATGCCTTCCTCGGGTTCTAGGATACATTTATCACTTCCTTCCCGCCAAGAAAGTATGTCATGCCTTAGTAACATCGAATTGCGCAACGCTGGCTTTACCACTACGCCTTCGCGCGTTGGGTGGACAGTGAACATTGTATAAAATCCCCTCCCATGGACATGCCTCGATCTCCCATACCCTACAAACCGTGTCTGCACACAAAGACTTCATACATGCGAACGAGAAATACGTGGCTAACTTTGCAGATAAGGGTAACATACCCCTTCCTCCCGGAAAGAAGCTGGCAGTTGGTGAGCTGCTATCATACTAATAAATAAATGGTATCCCAATATTATTTGCTCCAGTAACCTGTCAGGATGCTCGGCTTGAGTACGTTAATCTTAACCCAGGCAATTTCGCAATTACCTGAACTGTTGTATTGTGGTCTAGCCCTGCAGCACACCTTGGGATTAAGGAAGGCGACGCCCATGTAATCCGTAATGCAGGCGGCATCGCGTAAGCTGTTAGTTAGTTCTATCATTAATCCACCTCTAATAGCCAAGAAATATGTCCAGTAAGGACGCTCTCCGCAGCCTGATTATCTCACAGCAGCTTCTGGGCACTCGCGAAATCGCTCTTTTCCATCATACGGATTGCGGCATGCTCTACTTCAAGAATGAAGACCTCCGCAATTCGCTCAAGGACAAGTACCCATCTACAACCGAAGAAATTGAGTCCATCGAGTTCTTTGCGTTCTCACAGGTTGAGGAAAGTGTGAAAGAGGATGTGGAATTCCTGAAGCAGCACACTCTTATCTTGGACGAAACGACTATCACTGGATGGGTTTACGATGTCAAGACGGGGAAGGTAAGCGAGGCCCGTCAACTTCAATTATAAGTAACGACTAATTGCTTTCAAAGATCACGCAAGTCGTATAATAAACTTGTTGATGAATTGATTTTTTTTGTTCTTGTTCTTGTATCTTGAACATTTTGGATACTGGATCTATTACATCATTTGACTGATAAGATAAATTGAGTCATTGATTTTGTGATTGCCGATGGAAAATCGCCTTGTTCAGGAAATTCATTCGTTACAACTTACCATCATGTCCAACAGACAGCCTGAAGCACCAGTCATTGCTGTTGACTTAGATGACGTCCTTAGCCAGACTAATCAAGCCGTTGCAGACTGTGAGTTCAAGGCCCCAAGTTTTAAAGAGGGATTCTAGCAATTCGAATTGACATCCAAATAAAGGGCACAATGCAACATATGGAACAAATATGACAATAAATGATTTCCATTGTAAGAGAGCAGTATTCGATCTCAAATCCGCTTTTGACTACCGTGATGTTCTATAACAGACTACCATTATTGGAAGGTTTGACAGAACGTTGTACGGGCATGTCCATTTAACCTGAATATATGCACCAGAACCCGGATTGGGGCTCTCCTACCGAGACTCACGACAAAGTGAAAATATACTACGCTACTAGTATCATGTCTCCAAAGCCCGTACCAGGAGCACTGGAAGGTGTCAAAACGCTCCGGGAACTGGGTTACAAACTTGTCATTATCACAGCACGACACGCTGAAGAACAACCCTTGACGCAACAATGGCTGGACCAATATTTCCCAAGTATGTATTACTTCAAAGCCATAAATGGACTGCTAATACACGGACTTTTTGATCCCAGATATTTTTGATGAGGTATATTGCACAGGTCAGTTTAACAAGGATGAGGACGGTAACCAGGTTCATGTTAAAATAGGGAAAGTCGAGGTAAACCCGTCGATGCGTTTTGAAAACATGACTAATGAGTGCATTGTAGGTTTGCCACAGGGTGCATGCGAAACTCTTGATAGACGATTCTGCAGAGAACGCACTTGCGTGTGCAAGAGACGCCACACTTCCCGTGCCCGTGCTTTTATTCGGCGACTACAGTTGGAACCAAAGAATCTCCAACCTAGACCATCCGCAAGATCACCTTGGATACAAGGAACGACTCGAGTTTGAGCATGGGCAAGAATGGTGGAAGAAGGAATCAGTAGACAAGGAGCTACCGGAGAACGTGAAGCGGGTGAAGAACTGGGAAGAAGTCGTTGCCCATGTGAAGTCTATATCCCAGCTAGCAAACAGAAATTGAGTAGAATACCGAGTAACATGACAGAACAACTGTAATGGCTGTGATTGAAAGCCTGTCCAAGGCTGAGTGACTTGGATGGGGGTTCTGACGTAATTACCACGCGTCATATCACATGTCAGAACGCGACTTAGACTTGACGATTCTCGTACTATAGCGTCCGCTTCTCATCACTTCTGCCTCTCTCTCCGCTTCCCCTAATAGATGGCCGCGGTTTCAACATTACGCCCTTCTAGAGAGCGCATTGCGCAACTGACCGCCACCTATGCGCACCATAGACCGGCTATTCAGCGGGCTCTGAACGTCAGTTTCATCCTATACACACTTAACTGGTCGTTTCGCGGTGTATCTGGAAAGTCAGTCTCCCCGCAATCGCGCAAGTCGGCAAAAGGGAAGGCCAAAGCGGATGAGAAGCCAGGAAAGAGCGCAAGAGTAGCGGTGAATAAAGTTATTCTCTCCAGACGAATTGATGATGGTTAACTGGCTGGACACCTGTAGGTAGACGCCGTATTTTATGAACGGTTATCCAGGATCCTGAGGATATGTATCCCCGGATTCCGCTCAAAGGAAGCTCTGTTATTATTTTACCACTCCAGTCTGTTGATATTCCGGACTGCGATCTCGTTGTACGTTGCGGCACTCGACGGGAAGTGAGTAGATCAGCGCGACCAATCTACTGCACGTCTTCTGATCTCTGCATTTCTTTGCTAGGATTGTGGCATCCCTCGTAAGGGCGCAAACTCTTCCCTTTCTCTTCAACATATTACGATGGCTTCTTGTCGCAATACCTGCTACGGCATGCAACAGCCTGCTCAGTTATATCCAGAACAAACTCGCAATCGCATATAGGACACGTCTGACCCGCGAAGTCATGAAGCAATATTTGGGTGATGACAACGACCAGAGCATGGTTTATTACAAGATGTGTACGTAGATCGCTGCTGTTGACTTGTATACGAGGCATCTTAAGTTTCTGGTTTGGAACAGCGAACCTCGACGATCGAATACAAAACCCAGACCAGTTCGTGGTCGGTTTTCTAGTTTGAATTATGCGCTAAGATATTCTTCAGGATGATCACAGTGGACATTCAGCGCTTCTCAACACATCTAGCAGCGATATATGCCAATCTGGCGAAGCCGGTCCTGGACGTCGTTTTGTACAACTATCAGCTTTCACAAAATGTTGGTGCGGAAGGCCTTGTGCTCCTCACGGGCTTAGTGCAGGCATCAGCGGCTCTTTGTGAGTTCGGCTAAACTAATATGACATCATTCCTGTTAACACGAACTAATAATAATAGTACGTGCATTGACGCCGCCATTTGGGAAGTACGCTGCCGAAGAAGCTCAACTGACCGGTCAGCTACGCCACTCGCATTCACGGCTCGCAGAGTTCTCCGAGGAGATTGCGTTCTTCGGAGGTGAAGAAACGGAGAAAATGCTAATTGAGCGTGATTATTTTGGGCTTGTGAAGCATGTCAATCGAGTCCTCAGGATCAAAGTATGGCATGGTATTGCGGAGGAAGGAATTATCAAGTGAGAGCGATAGATTCTTCCTTTTAAATTTCGGGCGTTTCTGATCAGCTCGTAGGTGGCTATGGGGATCCTTCGGAGTAAGTTCACTCCAAATATTCGAATTTACGTGACTTACCTCGAGGATGACAGCTCTGCATTTGTGCCATTCCCATATTCTTTAAGATTCCAGGTATGGAGAATCTTGATCTCGGCAGTAGGACAGAAGGTAAATTAAGCCCTGATTTGTATTATGATACGTCGATTAATATACACTCAGGTTTTGTGACAAACCGACGCCTCTTATTATCATCGTCGGGTAGGTTATTAATTCTGCAGGACTCGGGACAAGCTTATAATATCTTGCTATAGATGCCTTCGGACGCGTTATGTACTCGTACAAGGACTTGTCCGAGCTCGCTGGCTACACTGCACGCGTTTCGGAACTCCTTGACACTATGTCTGATATCAGGCAAGGAAAGTTTGAGAAGGAGCTCGTCAGTAGTGCTAAAGATGGCGAGAATGCCAAACGTATGTACCTCAAATATTTCTACTGTATAGCTTACATGACCGTCTTTGCAGTTCTCAAAAGCCGTGGTAGGATTATTGATTCGGACGATATTGTGTTCGAGAACGTGCCCATTGTAACACCAAATGGCGATGTATTAGTTAGGAGCTTGAGTTTCTACGTAAAGCATGGGGTAAAGCGGATCTCGTCTTGAAAACTCGTCCTTAGTTATCTAATGGGTTTCACAATAGGGGCACCTTTTGATCGTTGGACCCAATGGTTGCGGAAAGTCATCGCTATTCAGGATTTTGGGTGGTCTCTGGCCAGTGTACGGCGGAACTGTCCGTAAACCTCCAGCGTCCGAGTTCGTCCTTATCCCTCAGAGACCGTACCTCTCGCTCGGCACGTTGCGAGATCAGGTCATCTATCCACACTCGCAGGAAGATATGCTAAATCGTATGTAACGCATGATATTCAGTCCTTTCTATTTTCGATAGTGCTAAAGCAATGATTACAGGTGGTTTTGCGGATGAGGATCTCATGGAAATTCTTGCCGTTGTCCAGATGGATCATATCGTCGAACGCGAAGGCGGTTGGAATGCTGCGCGCGATTGGCGCGATGCTCTTAGTGGAGGCGATCAACAAAAAATAGCATGGGCCAGGCTTTTCTACCACAGGCCTAAGGTATGTTGATCAAGACAGATAATTTGAGTTGGCCGTCAGCGTCTAACGGGCGATAATTCAGTTTGCGATTCTAGACGAAGCCACTTCACTCGTTCCGCTCGACATAGAAACTAGAATGATGGAGAATGCGACGCGGCTAGGCATCACACTATTGACTGTCTCCCATCGTCCCTCTCTGTGGAAGTATCACTCGATGATTCTACATTATGACGGTCAGGGTGGATATGTATTGTACGTAGAAAATTCCTTCCTAAGAATTAGTCGGCTGAGTTCCTTTTAAGCACAAAGCTTGACGCAGAGAAGCGGTTAGCTCTCCAGGACGAGAGACAGGCTTTGGAGGCGAAGCTCTTAGAAGTGTGCGTTCAAAGAATCAAAAACTGTTTGGCAATGCTGACGTACTAAATAATTGCTTAGGCCAAAGATGAGGGCACGTCTTACAGAACTACGTTCAGTAGCGGATTCAGCGGATGGGGCATTATAGACGTTGTGATCATAATAATACATAAATGTGTTGTGAAATAGATCTCTGTATTTTGTTTTTGTATTGTGAATGTGATTCACCGTGAACGTGATCGACGCGACTCGCGCCGTTGAATTGCGCGTCTTGTACTTCTCTGTTCTTTCAACTCTCCCTACCTCTGTCCTACGTTCCTTCAAGATAAGTATGTTCGGTGGTAGTGCCTTTGGAAAACTAGCTGGGTCTACGCCCTTCGGCTCCTTTGGAAACACGAATGCTAATGCGACCGCTAACACAACCACAAACCAACCTCAACAGCCAACAACTTCGCTGTTTGGATCGTTCGGTCAACCTCAAAACCAGCAACAGGGGCAACAACCTCAACAACAGCAGAGTGGTGCTCCGAATACAGGATCCTCGCTGTTTCCTTCCGCGAATGCGAACCCTAACCCTCTGTTTGGTGGTGGAAAACCTACAACGTCGTTATTTGGGAGTACAACGGGCACGAATGCTGCCAACACTGGTACAACGCAGCCAGCAACAGGAACCTCGTTGTTCGGAGGGTTTGGCGCAAACGCGAATACATCCATGCAAGGTAACGCGACAGGCGGGTTTGGGACAAGTACGGCTCCGACAGGCGGTACTACATTGTTTGGATCGTCGACGAATACCGCGAATGCGACTCAGCCAAGTACAGGCTTGTTTGGACAGCAGCAGAACCAACCGTCCGCTGGTACAACCTCGCTGTTTGGCCAGCCACAGCAATCTCAGCAGCCACAACAGCAACCGACGACATCACTCTTTGGACAGCCAGCAGCGCAAGCGCAAGTTCAGCCGCAAACGAGTCTATTTGGCAATCTCGGACAGTCAACCATTAATCCTCCATCTGGTGGTCTAGGCTTGTTTGGCAGTAATCAACCGAGCAGCTCGCTTTTCGGACTACCGAACACTGGCGCATCGACTTCTGGTCTCTTCGCTGGCAGAAGTTCTCTCAGACAAAGTCAACAACAGGCCGATACCGCTCAGGCACAATTCCTGAACCTTGTGCAGCGGATAGAGGCTGTCGCTCAAGCATGGGACCCGAACTCACCGCAATGTCGTTTCCAAGTGAGCTTAATCTGATGCAATGTTGTGTTTTTAAAACAAACCTAACAAGAGTATAGCATTTATTTTATAACCTAGTTGACCCGAATCAAGTACATCTGTACGGACGTCCACAGAATGCGACGAACGATGCTCTTTGGCAGAAAGCTGTACGCGAAAATCCCGATCCGTCGTGGTACGTTTCTCTGTAACATGCTATTTATTTCCCTGTGCTTATGCTAGGTCTCGTTAGCTATGTCCCAGCCTTAGCACTTGGGTTCGATGATCTCCAAAAACGCGTAGAAGCCCAAAGGGCACAAGCAACCGCCCACCAAGAAAAGTTAAAAGAGCTGAAAACTCGCATCGCTACCCTCGCCTCTTCACATTCCAGCACAAACGCACCTCGTTTACAACGTGCTGCTGCTGTGCAGACTCAGTTACAACAGCGGCTTGTTCGACTCGTGCAGCATCTGCATCTTTTGATCCCGTCTGTCCGTTCGTCGTCAATCCGGCCAGAAGAGGAGGCGCTAAGGTCTATACTTGAAAGCCTTGATGAGGAGATTAGGAGACCGGGTGGGGTGGGTCGGTTGAAGGGCAAGTTGAGTGAACTGTGGGCTGTTCTTGGAGCAATCGAGGCGGAGAGGGAGCGTGAGCGGAATAATAGCGAAAGTCGGGTAGAGTGGACGGTGGTTGATCCAGAAGGCATGCAAGGGCTCACGAAGGTCCGTATCTCCTACTTTCCTACGGTCTTATCAGAACCGCTGATGTTTCTTTCTAGATCTTGAATGACCAGCAGGCTGGTATTGCCCATTTGATCAATATTGTCAAAGGTCACCAAAAAGACCTGGATGTAATATTGGGCAAGCCGACAGAGGACCGTGAACGTGAAACGGATGCGTTCTCGAACCCTCAAGCTAGCCAGGTCCTTCTGGGTGCATCGATGCGGAGGTCACTATAGCTATAGGATTTGCGCTGTGTGTGTTGGATGCGATACCATGTAATATCTATTCTTTCAAATTAAAAGCTGCATATATTATGGTGTATGGCTTTGTGTGTGATACGACTCTGTGCCGTTTGATTTCATTCTATGAAGATGCTCCTGTCACCTTCGCCTTCTTCGCAGGAGGGGCTTTTAAAGCATTCTGAGACCCGTCACCAGTATCTATTCGTCCCGCTGCCTGTTCTTCCTTCAACCATGTTGCGCATTCGTCTTTCGTGCCTTCAGGATGATCAAGTGCCCATTCAGAGACCTGTGCGAGAACGGTGCCTGTCCATACACCTGGCCGCGTTGCACCTAGGAGCGGGACAATTTCTTTACCCTAAATACAAGAAATCAGTGTCCTTTGTTTAGGTACGGGTACTTTTTTTCTTGACAAGTGACTCACGTTAAGGAGAGGTTTGTCGTTAATTGTGTCTGGTAGTTTAAGCTCTTCTACGTGCTGTAAGAATCGATTATATCGTTCCACGATCGGAACTGCTTGTTGTACTGCGAGAGTGTGAGTGAAAACAGAAACCCCTGTCAAAGATAACAAAAGTAATGCCCACCGTCGAAGGTATCTGTGCCTGCATCCCAGTGGGCAACCAGCTCCTGAATTAGTGAGAACAGTAGGGATGAAGTCCAGTGAGAACCCGTGATAGCATTGTGCACGGATTTCGTCCTTAACAAAAGACCTAATTCACCAGTATGAGGTTCATCATTCTCTTCATTAAAGAAGTAGACATTGCTCACCTATTCGCGACCGTTCCTTAGAACCATCAAACTGACTCGCATCAACACCACGCAGAACATTCGCTGCAGCGAATAGCGCAGGTACACCATCCGCATAATGATTCTGCAGTCCAAGCTTCAACCCTTCTCGAATGACCACTTCAACTGCTGGTGCGGTTGACTTCTTCTTCTTAGGTGTATATTGGACGTTTGCGTATGGTGTCATTAAAGCTGCTAGAAAGAACCGTGGTCGGAGCGTTTTGTCTATTTCCAGCTGGGAGAGGAGGAGAGGGTGTGGAGGTGGAAGGTGTAGGGTGTCGGAGAATGAATTGGATAGAGCGGCGTGGAGGAGAGTTGCTGCGCCAATTGCGGACGATGGAGGGGAAAGACTGGGTGAGAAGGTGGATGCGATGGCTAGTGGCACGGCGGTAATCGAGGAATAAAGATTTAGGGATGTGATAAGTCGAATAGAATGCAATGGGTCCCGTCCTACACAATATCAGCTTCCATAAGCCTTCTCAGAGATAATGGTAAGGCTATACCTTTCATCATCTTGTCAAGTTCTTCTCCTATTCGCTCTTTACTGATTTTTGAGACGATGGCAGCCTGATATTCGCAATGAGCGAAAAGTGAGACACAATACGAAATATGACGTTTAGTTTAGACCATACCTGTATTTCAGTGTTTTGCATGGACTCCTCCATCTCTTTCACCATTTTGAAGCCGAGTCGACTCGCAAAGCGGATGCAGCGTATTACTCTGAGCGGATCATCCTTGAACGTTTCGAAGGGATCCATCGGAGTCCGTAACACGCCCTTTCGTAGATCGTCAAGTCCCTAAAGAAACAATTAGAGGGGCGGCAGTTATCTACATCGATTATAGACCGTGATACCTTTTCCGTGAAATCTTCCACAGAACGCGAATGAACGTTGTAAAATAGCGCGTTTATAGTCGCGTCACGTCGTAGAGCATCTTCAAGTGGTGTGCCCAATTTCTACTTCACTCCCATCAATTAAAAGCAAGCACAACTGAAATATACGACAATATGACGCACGATTTCAGTAGGTATGCGACTGTTATCCGCGTACGATTCACTGCGAAGGTTGACGAAGTCTAGTTCTGTACTAAGGACGGTGGTACGAGCAGTTTCAAGGTGTTTTGACTGCTCGGGATTACGCGCAATGGTAGCCACGGTTTTCACAGGTAGGTTCTTGGATGCGACAAATTCTACGAATTGCTCTGCGAAGGAGACGCCCATGATATTCGTCAATGCGACATCGATGTCATTACTCTGCGCGCCAAGTAGCTGAACTCTGGTATTCAGCAAACGAAGACACAGACATGATGAATAACCAACCTTGTCTCTGACCCAACCTCCACTTATCCTACATTCGACGTTCTGGCCCTTGCTCTCAAGATTCTGCTTGCATTCATCCAATAAGGTGCATAGTTGGTCTTCAGTCGGAGTAAGTTTTACTTCGAGTTTGGTAGGAACGGGAATGGGAATCTCTTTGAAAAGGTTGTTAAATGACAATTTATGCGTCATTCTGAAATGATAATTCCGTTGAAGCCTTGACAGAAAGAATCGAGCACATAGCATGAACTCAACCCTGCACGAGTCTGACTGGAGAAACTGGCGAAGACTGGTTGCCTTATTTGCACTATACAGCGTAGATCCTTATTACGTATTTCTCAAATTACACAGAATTTACTGTCCCTATTATTCCTTAGAGTCAGGAGGGCTCCCAGAGCCAGAGCACAGAGCTGTCGTTAACCAATCCACCAGATCATACAAAACGTGCACCGTAACTTCATGACCCATTTCATCATATTCGAGGTAACGTAGGTTCTCCTCGTTCATGCACAACCGTTGCTCGAGAAACTCTATGCTGTTCCGCGCGTATCGTACTGGTATTTCCGTATCGTCTTTACCTTGTGCCCAGAAGATGGGGAGGAGTGGATCGTTATGTACAATATGCTGGAAGGTTGAAAGACTAAATTTATGCCGCAATATTGGAAGACAGTTGCGGTAAATCACATACGTTGCGGATGCGATGCGGGATCCAGCCTGACAAACTTGCAACTCCACCAAGGTCGTGTAGCGTAGTCAACGCCGTCATTAGACACAACGCTGCTCCTTGACTAAATCCTATGAGTAAAATCCTCTTTGGATCAATGCCGTTCTGCACCTCCACAAGAATGAGTTGCTCGATGAATGAGATGGATTCGCCTATAGCGACTTCGTCAAACTCATGGACGTGCGGTGGTAGGTACGAAATGTTAAACCACGAAGGTCGATGCTCGCCTCCATTATACGTCACTGCTTTCTCGCATCTAGAACAAATGCGAGTTAGAAGTTAGCTAAGGAATAATAGAGACTAACTTACGCTTGCGGACGGATCCATTTCACAAAGGGTAGCTTGTTTGCAAGAAACTGAACGTCCATGTCGTAAAATGAAACTGATTGACCGAGTCCCTGTACAAACGAACGCTAAGTTTCGCCAATGGTTCCGATCTAACATGGGGGGAAAATATACATGACACAGGATAATTGTTGCAGTGTGGTCTTGGATAGGTTCGGTTATCGTAACGCAAGGCTCAGTAGAACTTGAGCTAGCCATGTGCAGATTCACGGAAGCATAGAACGATAGCAACCTACACTGGTTACTGTAAGGCGACTATATAGCCAGTCCTCGTCATACGTTCATCGCATTACGAATTTGGGATTGCAACACGGGTTTGAGACTACCATACATTAAAAAAAGAAGCATGAGAGCCATCGAGCGCGCGCAGCAGTCTACGAGCGGAGAACAAATGCTGCTCTGCGAAGCACTGTGCCCAAGCCATGACAGCGTCGTGTCGCAAAGTTTGCACAGCTTCATTCCGCAGTTCGGGAAAGAGCAAAATCCGCCTATCGTGCGTGCGGAACTATTCCTGCCGGCTTCGTCGACGTGCTATGAATTGAGATCTAGCCTGTAGACAAACAGCGGCCTTGTGAAGTCCACAGATGCTATAGTTACACAGAAGTGACCGAACGACAGTAGTTTGGTCAGAACAAGCCAAGTTCGGGAGGGCATTTGTGTAGGGTATATTCGGAGATTCGTTTAGGTCAAGTCGAGTCAGTCTGTTCATCCGCAGCACCAAAATGGAATAGTTGCGCAGATTGGGCATCGCCTGAGGGCACGAAAGATCAAATCCCCTGGAGACCAGAGTGCACAGGTGTGGAACCCAGAAACTAGAAGATGGACAAGCTCAAACAAACAAGGCCCAACGTATGCTTATATAATTACCGGGTATTACCGGATCATTTCCTCATCATCCCGTACGCCATTGTGAACGCCTTTCTTTACATTTGCAAGTAACTCAGTGTCAGTCCTCGTCGACTTAGAACTCCAAATGTTGCGCTTAATTTCGCGTCCTGTTGCACGCTTTTCGACTCGCCGCGTTCCCCGCTGCTCGCGCGGCTTTGCTGCTCACGCCGAAAACACCGAACAGTTCGTACTCGAGGGCAATCCGACTAAGCAATGGTTGGAGCAGAGGAAAGCCGTTGAACATCATGCTGCAGGCACGTCCTTTCTGGATGTCATATAATACAAAGCTTCATCAGCCTGTAATTAATATATATCGTCCTGCTTTGCAGAAACGACGGAACTTTGGAGGAGGATCAGGTTAGTTTATGGTTCAGTCCATCACGCTTAAGCTAATTCCATCCATTAGCTTCTTCGTTGCGGTCCCCGCGAGTATGTGATGTTTCTGAGAGCATGGCTGTGTACTCAACTGCGTTCTCTTAACTAGCCATTTTGGGTACGCTGTGGGTACAACGCGTCGAGTCCGAACATGCGGAACACGAGGAGCACATTAAGGCCGAGCATGGTGGCGAATTGCCTCCAGTTCCAGAGTATGACTATCTCAACAAGCGTGCCAAGCCGTTCCCTTGGGGAATGAACTCCCTCTTCTATAACCCTCATGTTCGTCCCATCTATTCCTGGAGGTGTGCCACTCACTGACAAGGGTTATATTGATCACGTTTGCAGGCCAACAAAGACATGAGTGGTGCCGGGGAAGAGTAATCGGTTATCATAAATTTCCATAAATCTGTCCGCATAAATGCGACATAACTTACACAAATGCACTTTTTTTCTTATTTACACACAGGAGCCGACTCATTGTCTGGCAGATCGTGTCCACTACGTGTGGAATACGTAACATTCTCAAATGAGGGCGACGCATTGCTTTGTTGCTTGTGTATGATGCTGCGGTCAAAGTTTATCTGACAATGTTCAGCCAATCCTCTGAACAGTGCCTCTTTGTATAGCATACTGGTGTACTGGGTTTTGATTGTGCGCCCATCACGTGCTATTTTTGTCGGTACCGCACGCAGTCGACTCCGGCCTATGCGTTTCAGAACTCGAAGGTAGATCTCATCCTCAATGGCTATTTGAGTATCTAGCCAGTCGATACGTCTCACGCACTACCGTCAAACAGCGCAAGGGATAAACTGACTAATGGTTCTTGAAAAGTTATTCATGCAACACCACTCTCTCGACGAGGGGCACAGCGATTCACCTAGGACGTTGCTGAATTGAACTTTAACCAATAACGTACACAGTAGCTTTGAATGCTGGCACAAGGAGACATGCTGTGTTAAGGATCTCTCATCTGATGCGATACAACGCGGATCGTCACTCATAGCTTTTTTTGGAGCGGGTCCAAGCTCGGAAGAATTGACTTGTACTTTACTAATGGAATCACGAAGCACCCTCTTCGTCGAACTCAGCACAGAGAAGTATCACAGTCGATTCCCGCAAAGCAGCAAAGGTAGGACGGCACGTGAAAGTATTCCCCTCTTTTAGGCAATTTCCCAACTCTTGCCAAGAACTAACAAGTTTGCGGATTAGACGCAGATGTATAAAGCGACTGACATGTTACAGCTAATTTGCAGACTTACTTTCGCACCACCTGCCATCCCCTCTTCTACTTGAAGTCTTTGAGCAGTCGTTCAGGATGCGTGTCGCACTCTTTGCCCTGCCTTTTGTTCTCGCTGTGGTTAATGCCAATGCCATGGAGGAGAGAGGTCAGTACATTTGATTCTGTATCGTAGCATGTGCTCAAATCGTCCTTATAGATATTAGCTCTGATGTCACTAATGGAGCTAGCGATGCTGGATCAGTCGGTGGTGCTATTTACACCAAAGTCACCGACATTGGTGGAGAGGCAGTTACTCTTGTTAGCGAAGCTGGACATGGAGTGTACACCCTCGCTTCAGACGGCTTCGGTATGCATACATCATACAATTCTGGCTTCTTAGCAATCTCATTATCATTTGTCGTTTAGGTACGGTAACCTCGATCGCGGGACATGCGTTTAACATTGCTACAGACGCCGGACATGCTTTCCATGACGGCGCCAGTTCAGAAGCTCATGGCGAAGAAACACCGACGGAATCGTACGTCTGTTGTCTTGCGTTCTATTCTCTCTAGACTAATTACTTTGCGACTGCTGTTTTACCAATAGCCCCAACAGCGGAGCATCTCTTCGGCCTTGGACCATCTCTGTCCCCGTCGTCTCCGGCTTGGCAGCCCTTGCTGGTGGTGTCGCTGCTGGAGCCTGGATTGTGCTATAATTACGTGAAGTGCAGAGTATTGCAATGAGTCGCCTACCCTCTTCTGCTTCATTATCGGACTGTTCAGACACAGTGCAAAGAGACATTGCAAAGTTCAAACAGGGTCATTCGCATGCGATTTGTATACCACCGCATTTCCATTTTGTTTATCTTTATTTAGATTTAGTCTATATATATTTGTTTCGTTTCAATAAGACTTATTTCTCCATATTATAAATTGTAAATGACGTAGTTCGTCCTATAAAAGGCTTGATTTTCGTGAGAAGATCGAGCTCTGTCAGCTTCATCTGGTAGGAGTCCATCATTGCCTTGTGATTCAGGTTACTCGGGATACTAAACTCTGATCAGATAATCATATCATAGAGGCTTATAACATGAGATAAAGGAGCCACAAATTCATCAACATACGCTAGTAAAAGTACAATCAAGCCACGTTTTATCAATCCTATCAAGCACCAAAACCATAGAGGGTGCGGCCAGAGCGCTTCAAGGCGTAGACGACGTCCAATGCAGTCACAGTTTTGCTGGTAGGTAGTCAGTTTAGATAGACACGAATAAAATAACCAAATGTACCGCTTGGCATGCTCAGTATAGGTGACAGAGTCCCTGATAACGTTCTCCAAGAACACTTTAAGGACGCCACGTGTCTCCTCGTAAATGAGGCCAGAGATACGCTTAACACCACCACGGCGAGCGAGGCGACGAATGGCCTACACATTCAACACGGGATGCAAAGTCAGCAAAGTCCTGTAAGCTACCGTAACCAGTGGTATGCAACTCACAGGTTTGGTAATACCCTGGATGTTATCGCGAAGAATCTTACGATGGCGCTTTGCACCGCCCTTTCCAAGGCCCTATCAATAGCGTTACCGAGTAGTGGAAAGATTGAGTATCAAACAGTGTTGTAAAGGGGAGATACTATGAAGCTTCATCGTACCTTTCCTCCTTTGCCACGGCCGGACATTGCAAATAGTAAGAGTTAGAGTACGACGAGAGAGTAGGTAGTTGTGATGGTGGTGGTAGCAGTACAAGAGAAGACGCCGAAGTGGTTATGTGTCGCGAGTCTGTTTATTAGACGCGCCTCACGTGATGTGGCCTTTCGTGACAAACGCGTTCAATCTTCAGCTTGCGTTTCCTCAATTCCTGCCTGTTTTTCTTTCCGGCTAGAATAAGGCACACAAAATTGATGGCTGACAATGAAGTGGTTTCTTCCTTAGATAGGATGGTGCCGATGCAAAACCTTACAGATCAACTGGCTCTCCACGTTACGTTGACGTTTGCACAATCTCTCGATGCAAAAATTGCCGGTCGCGACGGGAAGCAACTCATACTGAGCTGCAAAGAAAGTATGATTATGACTCATAGGCAAGCTTGTTTCGTAAGGCTTCTTCTCAACTCGAAACGAGACTGAGTTGGGCGCAGACTGCGATCAAGGCACGACGCAATTCTCGTTGGTATCGGGACTGCCCTAAACGATAATCCGCAACTAAACAGTAGGTCTGGATCTTTCAGGAGTCAAGGCGGACGTGGCATTCAGCAAATGATTAGCTCGTCTACTTGCACCGGATGATGGAGGTCAGGCTGTGCCGCTTCCAGTCATCTTGGACTCGAACCTTCGATTTCAACTTGATTCAAAATTGGTGAATAACTACAAGATCGGCAAGGGAAGGCAGCCCATAGTATTCACAGCCTTCGATCACTTGGGCACTGATGCGCAGTTTGAGGAAAGGCGTAGGCGCCTTGAAGCTGAGGGTGTAAAAGTTATTCCTATTAACTCCCTAGATGGTGAATGCCTTTTTTGTGATGATTAGTCCGGCATGGTGAACATTCCATATATTACAGGCAAACTTAATCTAGGTTCACTCCTAGATGAACTTCAGAAGATCGGGATTCGTTCCCTAATGGTGGAGGGTGGAGCCACTGTAATATCATCATTTCTGCAATCCGGCCTAGTCCACAGCCTCATTGTTACCGTGTGTCCAACTATTGTTGGCGACGAAGGTATCGCATATGATGTGAAAGGAGAGGTGTGTATTTCATTATACTATATCAACTCTTCACTATCTGACTTCTCTTAGGTCAAAGGCCTTACTTTTCTTCAGACGCAGCTCGTGGGGAGAGACGCAGTTATGGTGTGGAGTTTGCCTAAACGAGTCACCCTGGATTAGTAGGAACACGTATGCGCAACGCAATTAAAACAGGCGAAAAACTTGCTGCGATCTACTGTGCGAGATGTCGGATAAGATTTGTTCTGCTAGTGGACACGCAAGACTAGTATACACGCAAGCGTCCAGGGCGCGCATTGGGTATTTCCCATGGGGGTTCCTTGGTGCACAGGGAGATTGAAACTCTTCTGTCCTCAGGATTATAATGACACATTGCATGTTATACCCGAAATTAAACGCGACCTTTGCATGCTACCACTGCAGATGTTAAAATGTGCCATGTACAGTGTATGATACTGTTGAAAGAGTCTGACGACTGACGACTGCGTGAACTGCGCGTGATGGCTTACGTGCTGACAACCGGCGTCGTGCTCCGAGACGAGACGCGTCACGTTATATATATAAGGGGTCCCAATCTCCGCGCTGCGCTCCATCCCATCCTTCATCCCATCCCATCATGTTCACAGTAAAGGCGACGTACAACAATGAAACTCGCAAGTTCACTCTGCCAGAGTCGTCCTTCCCCTCTTTCAGCGCAATCCAGAGTCAGGTTAGTTGGTGTCCGATAACAAGTGCAGGGTATGCTGATAGTGTTTCGGCGCCTCCCTCGCACAGCTATATCGTGTCTTCCCAATCAGGGGATCTTACCATCTCTCAAGGCTAATGTTCTGTCCTTCTGAGGGATCTAGAGTCGTCGTTGGTAAAGAGGTCCACAATGAAGCACAGTATAATGAGCACATCGCCCCCTTTTGTGGACGTCTCTGGCCAAACGGCCTGCTGCGGTTCAATGTCGTAGATGAGATTCCGCATAAGCCTCCTTTTGCTGCTTCTTTAGACCCGAGTCCGTTTGACCTTCCTCCTTCACCTCGATTGGCTAGGCCGCTTCCTCGCCATCCGCCGCAGACTGCGGGTTCTTCCTTCATGGACGTAGACGACGAGTGGAGCGCCACAGGTACATCCAATCGTAACTCTATGCTTTCTCAGTCGACTCGGCAATCATGCTGCTCGGTCTCTGAAGGAAAGGAAGAAATGAAGGAATTAATGTCGAACTTCCTACGAGACTTCAATGAGATGATGACATCAACATTCGGCGAAGCACCAGTAACTCCGACACCCAAACGTGTCCCTACTCCTCCAGTTCAGGCTGCCTCTTCCTCTGAGGCTGTTGCTCACGAACAAGCCGAACAGACTGAGCAGAGGAATCCCGATGATGCCAGTGACGTGACCATTCCGGGAGCATTTGTCCACCCGGCTCCAAGCACGAGTGTACCAGCACCGACAGAGAGAGTTCTGCATGACGGTATAACGTGCGATTATTGCGGATACGACCTACGTGGAACGCGATTCAAGTGCCATAATTGTCCTGATTATGACCTGGTGTGTTACGCTTTAATTTCTCGGATTATGTATCTTTGGATCTCACTTTCCCTCTCCAGTGCGAAGACTGTGTAACATTGCGCGATGCAATGAGCTGGCATCAGGCAGTTTTTGCCCAGCAGGACGATGGCCCTCTTCATTCTTTCCTGGAAATTACGAAGCCAGGTGACGTCGCTTCGACCCCTCGCGAACGTGATCATAATGTACTTGAGTTAATTGAGTTGAACATTCCTCCGCTGTCGTCGAGGCCTGTTCACTCAGGGATTTCCTGTGATTTCTGTGGTTCCATAGTCGTGGGTACTAGACACAAGTGCCTGGACTGTCCGAGTATGTCCCTCATTCTTTTTGATGAGACCCCATCTTACGATTCAATCTTTATGCAGATTTCGACCTATGCGACGAGTGCTTCCCAAGGCATGAAGTCGACCATCCTGGACATGAGTTCGTGTCATTAGAGACGCCCAGGCGAATCATGTTTATTCAAGTACGTGATGGGGATGAAACTCCGAGAGTGCATCAGTCTAGTCGTCGGGCGCAGCCTACTGCCGCTCATAATGCAATTTGCGACCTTTGTGACTCAAGAATTCGTGGATCTCGTTACGTATGTTCTTGTTTATCGGGATTTACCTCTAGGCTTTACTGAGTTGGATCTCTTAGAAATGTCTTTCATGCCCGGACTTTGATACTTGTTCGTTACGTTTGGCTTCGTACTTTGTGCAGTGAGCTTGACAAAGTTGCTTGATACAGGTTCTTCCTGCCATGATATCGTGCCTGAGCATCATCCAAGGCATACATTCGTCAAGCTTGATAAGCCACAAGATCTTGTGAGTGCACCAGTTTGAACTCTTTACCAAGATAGTACCTGAATAATTTTACATAGTCATCTCGCGACCCGCATGCTTACAAGAGGCACAGTGCTCGCTGCAACGAGTGTGGTGAAACCATCCGTGGCGTCAGATACAAGTGCTTGCACCCAGAATGCCCAGATTATGACCTTTGCAGCAAATGCGAGGCAATGCCGATCGAAGTGCACCCTCCTCTTCATCCACTGGTCAAATTGCGTAGTCCCGACGTCGTTATTCCGACTGTTTACCGTGTCGGAGGAACATCTCTCATCGACACGCCTATCCGTCAACCAGAGACCATAGGTGTTGCAATCGAGACGGATCCACTACCCGAGAAGACTGATGTTTCAGTACATGCTAATATCAAAGGCAAGACATCCGATGCTGCGGTGGCTACCACCCCATCAATTCTTGATGATGAAGAATCGCCTGAGCGTTCTGTGACTGACGCTTCAGTACATGCCGACATCAAAGACAAGACGTCCGATGCTGCAATGGCTACTACTCCATCGATTCTTGACGATGAAGAATCGCTTGAGCGTTCTGTGGTGATGCCCATCCTGCCAACGCCACCACCATTCATGCCCAGCATGCCTTCCGAGCTTGTTCAGCAATTTGCAGACCTCTGGCGCGACGAACCCACGAAGCTGGGCGAAGCCAGCAATGCCCCGAAGAAAGCAATGACGCGATCTGAGGCAAACGATGCGGACGTCCCGTCCTTCCCATCACTCTTTTCGGCGTTCATGGCGAAATACCCTCCGGTCCCAAAGAATGTACTTCACGCAGTATTTGTTTCCGATGTCAATGTCGAGGATGGTCAGGTTTTCCCTCCAGGAGCGGAATTCGTAAAGTCTTGGCGCATCCGGAATGATGGTGTTATGCCATGGCCGGAGACTACGCGCATTACATTTGTTGCTGGTGATCGCATGCCAGCATTCAATGGTGCTCCTCTCAGCTACCATGTTGGGGGTGTCGAAAAGGGAACTACAGTAGATGTTAACGCATATGATATGAAGGCGCCCGAAATTCCGGGCAAATACGTTGGCTATTGGCGCCTTAGCGACGGTATAGAGCCATTTGGTCAAAGCGTCTGGTGCGAGTGAGTGATGAATTCCTATTTTGAATCGCTATATGGTGTCTCATGCATATGCGACCGTATGTTTTCTCTTAGGATCTCGGTTCCTATCCCAAGTGGTCCTTCTTCCTCCGGTCATGAGTCACTCACTGCGTCCGAGGTCGTCATGCCTGAGCCTTCGCACGCGAGAACGGCCTCAATTGACCACCCAGTCGAACCTCGTACACCTGACCTAGTTCCATCGACATCTATTCCAGCGACCCCAACCGTATCGGCTCCCTCAACTGACGTAGACAGCGTGGACTCTTTACTTGACGATTTCGACGCAGCCTCGGACGAAGAATATTGGGAGGCTTCTCGTGAGCACGCAGGCGGCCGCCAAGTTGCCCACCATCCCGATGCGGAATATGTCGTCCTGTACGACGAACAGAGTACCGATGACGAAGGTCATTGAAAGAATTTTTTTCTCCGCGGCTAATATTCGTATTCGTATGCAACTTTCCATGCATTATCTTTTGCTTCTTGAGTTTTCGTTCACACTGGAGCTTTTTTGGAGCTTCAACGTCTCACAGTCATTTTGTTTGGTTTCCTAACTCCTTTTTGCTGAACCGACATTCTTTTCATAGTTTTACTTTCCCCATCTTGTATGACAGCCCCCCTGAGTGTATATTACTGGTACAATGTGAATGCAAGAAAGTTTTGGAGAAAGATAGGAGATGCCATGATCCAGAAGAAAGAAGACTATTTACAGGTATGCATGCGTAAGGAGAACGGGAAAGCCAAGCAATGAAGCAGTGAGAATATTCGAAATAATCCAATAAGAGCAGGTAATTTACACATACTAAGAATGGCACTCAAAAAGGTAAGAAATTATCATAACCAAATGCGACAGCAACATGCCCAAAAGATGTTACATATAAGTGTATACAATAAAAGGAATGCAAGAATGAGTGGCTCAATCAACGAGCTAGTCAAATGAAAATGCGATGCAAGGAACGACTATTGTGAGTGATGCAAGTGTAGATGCTAGTGTTACATGTGTTGAGACGATGAGCAAATGGAATGGAAGGTAGGTTAACCGTGGAACAGAAATGTGGAGTTGTCTTGGGCACGATCGCATTTCTTCGCGAGGCGAACAGCGACTTCGACCGCTTTCTCCACGCAAGAGCGAGTTGGCGACGAGGCAGGCGTATGTTTCAATAGCTCTGGAAATAAATAGACTGAATAAGCATCGTGGAGCTGAAGAAAACAACAGAAGAATCCTTGTTACCTTGGAAGAGGAGAACATATCTGGTGGCGCGCTGCGTCGGCAGAATAGCAAGTTCTCGGAATGGCGCCCTGCGTCGTTTCTCCCTGTCTTCTTTGGACTTTGTCACACTCCGACGAAAGCTCTTCCGCAGTCCGGACAGTGCGTCCTTATCGTAGACATCTTCCGCAGGGTTTTGCGAAAATGCGGGTTGAAACAGCCAATGAGACCTCGAACTTGACATAATCGACTCGCCGTTAAGGAACTGCGCAGAGGTGGTTCGCGTTGCAAATAGGTTAGATTCTCCGAGCATCGATACGCTGCGGACTTTGGAAACACCACTTTTCTCCTCGGTATCAGCGGTATCACGTACGACCTCTCCCTTGTTGGGTTTGGCAGTCCTAGGGGGTGTTCGATTGCCACCGAAGAACTGACCAACGACCCCCGACCAAGGAACGAGAGCACTCTCAAGTGTTGCAGCCACGTATAAGAAAGCATTCGTTATGCCATACGCAGACAAATCCTCGTTAAAGTGAGTACTGAGAAGTTTTGATGCTCCGATAAGCTCAGGTAGGTATTGTAAAAGTAATGCCGGTACCGCATCGGAAACCTGTTGTCTCAAATTGAGTAAACTATTTCGCGAATAAATATTTGATGACTCACATTGCAATTCGCTAGGTCCTGTAGACGCTCCTGATAATTTCTCTCCGTTCTTACCAGCTCGCGACAGCACAGAATGGCACGACGTGCATGAAGCCACTCCATCTCGTCCTCCACACCAATCTCCTGAACTAGGACAGTGTTGGAGGACTTGTTGCGTTGTAATTGACTGGCTTCGAGAGTTTCGGTATTTTTACCGCCCCCAGAACCTTTACGAGCTGCGGCCGAAGGCGGCAAAGTGTGAGATGTTTGCATAACGTTGTGGAAACCGTGAATGTCGCCTGCACGCAAGCCCATACGACGAAGCCGATCGAGTTCCTCAATAAATAAATCATCGGGGACGTCTGCCACGGCAACGGTCCACCTTCGATTGGACTCAGTCCTCAATAATGACGGTCGCTTTACTGGAGGCCTAAACTTGCTATCCTCAGAGGTGGCCGCAGTCTCTTGCGATGAATTTAGTTCTTCCTCAGCAGAAGTAGAAGCAGAAGTGTCAGTAAGAGCAGGAGAACCAGAGCTGACATCTGTGCTGTGAGACTCGGACGGAGGAACTGGGCGCATTTCCTGTAAATAAGACACATAAATACCATACGCCAAGGAAAGAAATTCAAATGTACTAACGCGTGCATTCTTTACAAATGAAGGATATTTAGGAGGAACCGGAGGCGGCCCATCAGAAACGTCTCCGTTAAAGGGCCCTACGGGGAGAGGAGGCAGGGCCGGGGAAGGCTTCTTCTTCAATTTTCGGGGTGGTCTAGGGTGGGGCTTGGTCGACACAAGAGGTGCTGTTACAGCGGCGGAGTGGGCATCTGAATGTACGGACCGGTGCGACGGCGATTCAGGTGATGCAGACGAAACGTGCATAGTCCGCTGATTTGCTCGTTTTTCAGGAGTTGGGATAGACCTGAGGCTCTTTTGCAGCTTTCGCGGTCGTCGGTGTGGAGTCAAAGGTGTACCTTTACTGGATGTGCTTACAGGTCTGGAAATCGCTGCTCGCATCGATTGCATATTTGAAAGGGGACGAAGACTTGTGCCTGATTTGACGTTATACCGATCGTAGTTGCCGTACGACAATGACAAGGCAGAAGCGAACGCAGGTGGAGGCATTGCCCTCGAGCCGTCAGAATGCCCAAGATCAGAATGTGCGACACGATGAGGATTCGGCCAGTTGCAGGAACTCTCCAAAGACGTAGTAGACTGATTTACGTCGTAAAACGTGTCATGCATGGTGGATAACGGTCTATAGGGGTCACAGTGTCCCAACTCCGATACAGCGCGCCGCACATTCGTGTTTTTCAATTCACACGTGTGAGACTCGCAACTTGAGGTCTGATTGATTGGACAAATCGGTCAGTATCGGGAGAATGTCACAGTGATCGCACGTGTAGATGTGAAATGGTAAAAGCGTTGCGGCGAACGTCGAATAAGCAGCGAATGAGTTGCAAAGGAAAGGGTGAGCGCGCCTCATAAAGGTACATGTATGGAAGGGGGTAACTTCGGCTGAGACTTACCTGGGTACTTCTATTCCTTCTCAATAAATCACCTTCATTAAGGGGTTGTTTCTGAGTCGGAAGATGCACTTCGGATAACGGAAATTTTGAGTCATGGGTAATTTTCCCAAAGTTGGAGTGCGAAGGATATTCATCGTAGATACTGTCCACGCAAGTAGCAGATGTTGAGGGCGACAGCGGGGAAGTCGGTGACGCATAAATATAGGGAGAAAAACCAGGCCCATATGGATCGCGCGACAAAGGCTTGTCTAATCTTTGAGACACGGGCTCCTGCCGATGAAGATTAAAGTCCCCGTCGCGAGTCCCTCTCTTAGTTCTCAGGCTCACACTACCCGGCTTGGAAGCGTCGTCGTTCGACTTGTCGCCCATAACGGCCCATTTGACGACTTTTGAGATTCCTCTCCATTCCAGTTTCCAAGAAGACGAAAATGTGCCGGAGCGTTTGATAGAAGACGGATACTGATCTGTGCCGGTTCCATGAGAACGAGAGTCAAGCTCGAAAATACGCGTTGGTTGAGGCGAAGCCGGACGGGCGCCTTTCGGAAGAGGAGGACAGTAACAGGCAGAGGAGTGGGATGAAGCCTGGGATGCAGAGATGTGGAACCAGGACTCGCCACTTGATGGATTTGAGGAGGGAGTTGTTTCGGAGACGGAGGAAAATGAAACAACGCGGGATCGACGCGCGCGATTATCCAGCGGTTGCAATACTGTCGGAAGCGGACGCGCATATGCGATGTCGGCCATGTCGCGTGAGTTGAGGCGACAACGAGGAGAGAGAGAGAGAGAGGAAGAGTGTGGGCGTCTTGAAGACGGACTGGGGTATTGGAATTATAGACGAACGGATATATGAACTATAGATGTGTCGGGTCACGGATGATATCATGTCATGTACTGATACCGCCACCTGAGCACCTACCCGTTTCTGTTTCTCATCTCCTCCCGGCTACCCCGGTTGTGACGTCAGCCAGCGATTATTCCTGGATGCCTGGACACCTGGCTGTGCCTTACGCATCTGGCTATTCTATATTGTACCTATCTATAAACTACTACTTCTCTACCCTCGCTTCTGCTCGGGCCGAAATTTTTGGTGGAGTATATGAACATCCACTCATAAGAACATTGGAGACTATGAACGAATGGTCGTGAACAAACAAACAACTGGGCGGACGTCATGCTAATCTTCCCTCGAAATACCCTTTGTGTCGAGAAAGGAACGATGAGGAAATGCAATGCAATGAATATCGAATGCAGATAAAAGAACAAGGAGCGATGCGATGCGAATGATGCCGGTGATGATAATGTGCAAGATGAAGCGTCACAGAGTGTCTTTCGATGTGTTGTGGTTATGGTATAACGACGGTCCAGAGAACGTTAAATGCAGACAATACCAAACGGAAAGATGGTGATCAATTGGATGGTCGAATATGCTTGACAAAGGAATTTCGACAGATGGAGGTGATGCTGTTTCGTACTTCAGTTTTTATTATGGCGTCCAGATTGTGTTCGATGGTTTTATTGCAAGGTTCGTGCCGGTTCAATCAGATGCAACGTAAAGAGATTTCCAGCGCAGTTAAGCCGAGATACTCAGCCACCAGCTGGCATGAGCATATGTACAATAGTGATCAAGACCCGTAGTAAGCGCGCTATCGAAATTAGCTGTCAGGGGGCGCTCAGTCGTAAAATATACTGCTAAATACCATTCTGTCACTGGACAGACGAACTACTGTGAATGGGAGTGTGCTCAATGAAAAATGGAAGACGCACAAAAGCCAGATAACCTTCGAGCCAGTCTTGCAGCCTCGCAAGGTAACGATATGGCCGCGGATCTATCGAGATATTTGAATCCAGGATAGGACAAACATAGTAGAGTGGGCATACCGCATCATATAATGTGGTCCTCTGATCCTTGTCAATCTGTACACAGTTAATTATAACTCCAATCACGGTGGAACCGAAAGGAAACCGTACGAACGTTAGGTAGGACGCTCGCAATGAGCTGACTACCGGTTGTAGATAGAGCTAAATCTACAATGATAGCTCTGCGGCCGCTACAATGGGAACGTGAGCCACCATCAATTAACATCAGTGACCATGCATCACAAACCTAGGCGGAGATTCGCGCATCCTATTAACGAACTTGTCGAGAGTATCCTTACCTCCCTCTTTCAAGGCCTTCGTGACCGACTTGAAGCCCTGTTCGTTTGTTGCGAATTCCAGCAGACCGGCGAGCAACAACGAAAGGGCGAGGTCGCGATGTTTGTAGCTGCCATGTTCCAAGACTGTATGAAATTAATACGGCTATGTAAATTCTAATTTAATTAGGACGGACTGACTATGTTGGATACAGTATGACCCCCATTGGTTTTTGGCGACGTCAGCAAAGACAAGCGGGCCTCTATTCAGAAGCTCATCTACGATACCATCCTTGGCGGATTCCTCGAGATTCTCGAAAGCGTGCTATTTAGTGTCGATAAGTTATCTGCGCAATGCATCTACAGAGTAATCGCAAAGCGTCTCACCTGTACAACAAGCGAGCCAGTCTCGTGGCAGGCCAGAGATGCCCATTTTCCTTGGAGTGCTTTGTTCACACTAAAATGGTCATCCTTAATGACTGTCGACATACTTCCAAAATTAATTGAAGGAACGTACTAGGAGAAGATGGGCGGAGCTGGGGGTGTCCAGCTGATTTCCATAATCTCAAGAATACGTAAGCATAAGAACTGATCCGGAGACTATGAGCTCCCAACTACCTTACTCCAGACGTGCGAGGCATGTTTATTGATAAGCGTCTTTGCAGGATCACCCAAGAGAAGTTCGGAAACGATCAAGAGCCTAATGTCCTCCTCGCAATCAAGTGCTTTTTGAAGAACGTGGCAGCCATAACAATTGGTGGCAAGTTCGACGACATTTCCTCTAAACAGACACGGAGATAAGTGAAGACAAGTCATGGAGCCATGCGGAATGATCACCTCATACACGCGGCGATTTTTCGTCGTTCTTCGACTGACGATGCGGCCTCGAGGCAGCGCTGGACTGCCCAATTTCCAAACCTAGATAGAATTTCACCGTAAGTTATCATGTACAGGCGATGCAGTTACTCAGCTTACCGGTGGGACATCATTTCAGTCCCACGAGTACAAATAGCATCCACAATTTTAGCCCTTTCCTTTTCGTCGGCAACCTTAAGCTTTTGCTGCAAGAAGATAGAAGCTTGTTGGTCGGAAGACTTGACAATACGCGAGACGAAGAGAGCATATGGAGGAGTCGACGACGGATGAAGAAGGGACAGAAAGTTGATTGGCTATAACGCATATATCTAGTCAATCCCCGCGCACATTAAGACAAGTTAACAAACCTCATTTGATACGGAATTCTGCTGAGATCGCGATTGCATTGAACCTGCTGGGCCAAAGGTATTTCCGGTTCTTCCAGTTTCGGTGAAATTGAGCTTAGGAAATTCGTAGTCGCTACGCGCAAATGGCCTACCGTCTAGCGGAGGAGTCAAATGCGACCAGCAAGGTGACTCCGCAAACGGCTGCTGATTCCAGTCAACGGCAGCAGCGTGTCGATGATCACAATTCAACGCGGTCGCAAATGCAAGAGGGGGACGGTTCTCAGAGACACGGTCGAACGGATGCACCTGCTGGAACGTGGCTTGATGTCCAGCTTGGGTATGAGTGAAATCATTACGCAGAGCTGCAGGATTTACTTCGCCCCAGTATAACCCCTGGGATTGCTTTTGCATCACTGGTAAGATTCCGTTCTGAGAAGAAAACCCGAGCCCGACATTGTTCGCCGAGGCGGACAGTTCGTTGAAGTGATGGAAAAGAGTGTCAGAAGATCGAGGTGTCGTGGGCGAACTCTCGACAGGGGTATTGGGAAATGATGAAGATGTCGATGGAGAAACGTCAAAGTCGACCGCGGGGGACAGCTGTTCCGGTGCGGGAGAATTCAGATCGAGTGAGCGAAGTAGCAATTCGACATGCTGAAATTCAAAGAGAATTCAGTCAGATCATGAAAGGTGCATGTATGCGTTGTTTTTGCACGCAGCAAATCGACAAAGGAATCGTCATGGGACTTGGCATACCTCTGCTTCACGGAAGGGAGCATCTTTCTGCCTCCCTTCGCCAATGGCACCAACACCAGTCTGAGGGGGCGGTTTGATGCCACTGGGGAGACCAAAGACGTCTTCCCTGGTGAATGGCCTATCGTCAACAACAGGGAAAAAGCCGTGTTGCGGGACGTTAGGCCTGCTGTCACTAGGCACAGTGTGCTCAGCAAAGCCGTGCGTGTCCTTGGGCCATGTGCCACCCGGTGATTTGGGCTGCGGAGCCCAAATGGACGCATTCAATGATGTGGAAGAAGGAGCGGAATGTTGTCGTGCACGACTATGTGGGTCTGGAAGGAGAGGAATAAACTGATGACGGAGCGAGCTCGACGAGGAGGTGGACTGCATTGCCAGCTGGAGGAGATGGTGGTACGAGGTCAAGAGGAACAGGCGGAGCGATGCGTTATGAATGTGACGGCCAAATGACAGATCAAGTGTCAAAAGTAGAAATCACCAAAGAAGCAAGTTCGGTCCACTTGCGAGCAGGGTGAGGGAACCGGGAGTCGCACGGCATCAGTTCATCACGTCCTCGAAGCTCTAGGCTGACCTTCACCTTTGCAAGCATATGAAACCGTAAATATCACTGCAAGCGCAGGGCTAGTAGGAGTACATCATTCATTCTAATCCGTAGATAGACAAACTTCGAGCTAGCTGCAGTCTTCGGAAGCATATGCAAGGATGAGTTACAAGCCATTGCTAAAGGTACTTGTAGGGCACTCAGCCCGCAGCTGTACGCATAAATTCTCCATCCTGACAGACAAAACCGACATCATTCGTAACCTGTCAAACGACACTTAATTATAATTTCATCGGCGGGAGAAACGTCATTACCGTATCGGGATTACACATTACCGCAACAGGAGCACCAGTCTCAGTCTTCGCGAATATGTCCTTCGCGACTATACTTGTCGCTAGAAGGCATATGAATCATAAGATTCACATCTCTAAGATATCAGTTGAAGCTCCTCACCGGTGTTGGGGTACAGATCGAAGATTATGACCTAGAATATGGTCGGACGAAACTTGGTCAAGTAAAGATCGAGTCAGAATACATTATCCGCTCACCTCTTTTCCAGTAGCATTCGCCACGGCATACCAGCATGGGTCAGAGATGCACGATCCCTCCGTGTAATTTGCTCGGCTGCACATGTTTAGATCGTTAATTATTAAATCAAGACCAATCAATCGCATCACGTGCTCAACTCATCAATCGTTCCAACGAAATTCTGGAACAGGAAGTCTTCAATGTGTGTATTATTGGTGGACGAAGTATTTGGTGCCGGGCCAAGCTGTTAGGTCAAGTAATGAATTAATAGAAATTTAGCATCGGAAAACGTAACGTACGCCTTGGTCCCAGTAACTTAAGTCAACTCACATTCAATACAGCGAATTGAGACCAGGAATTCGAAACTTACTTCTGAGTCACATAGATCTTCAGATAATCATGTCAGGTTCATGTTTGGCTTTCCATGTACGTGGACTTACCGGGAAGCGGACTTGTTCAAATGCGATATTTCGCCAAGTTATGCTTCATCAATAGTGAGCAAAACTGTCAATCAACGGATCATAAGCATACTTTCTAGCAAGGCCGTTCCCTCCGGTCCAGCTTTTGAATCGAGCTCCGTAGAGCGAATTTTTCTGCGTAAGGTCTGATTATCGGCGACTTGCAAGAGCGTCTCCGAAAACCTACCATAAAGTTATTCTCGATCCTTGCTCAGGAGTCAGCATCGAATCAGTGAATAGGTATTGGAGAGCATACAAAACATTCTCAACGTCAGCAACAGCGCCATCCTTTCCCAAAGATCCGATAGACAGACCATGCCCATTTTCACCTGCAGAACTTTGAGACAGACAGCAACGCCATGCGTCCGATCACGTACAGTGTGTATTCCTGGAAAACCATCGGACGTTAAAATTCCGACAGTTATGACAACTATAAACCTTACCTGAAAATAATATTCTTTGCCCCGCTACCTACTGTCAGGCAGTCGTCGCCATTGACAATATAGTTCGATTCAAACAACAAGTTTGTTCCTCCTGCCGAGAATCCATCACTGACAAAGGTATGTTACTAACTGATCCATGTGTGCTCAAAAGATACTCACGTGTTAAACGGGAAAGCCTTCGTTACAGTGAAGAGTCAATCTGGATATAATACGTCGAAATTGACGCAACGACGCACTGAATTGTCTGAAATTGCCAGAATCGTGTTGTTGAACACATGCAGATCGCTAGATCCGCTGGTCGCAAAATTCCAAGCAACTGGCTACAGACAAAGAATCGTGAGGTTACTCGCTGGCTCTATTCTAACCATTACCAAAGTACATACCTTCCAAATCTTCACGTCTCTGATGACACCCCCTGATATTTTGCTGAACGCAATCCCGTGGGGTCGGTTATCTTGATTCATAGCATCCCACCACTACGAAGTAATCATTAAATATTCAAACGATCGGGAAACTTATGAACACACCTGCTGCCCGTGTCCATCAATCCAACCCCATTCATCGTCCTGTGAACCACGAAGAGTGACGTTCGTTCCTCCGGAGAACGTGATCCTTCAAATGTTATTTTATTAAGGCTTAGTGAAGAAAGTTAGGGATGACACACACCATGAACCAGGGTAGTTCTAGTTCGTCAAATAAGATTAGCAATAATTCACAAAGAGGTTGGCGATTTGCTTATGAATCGCACCGATGATGCTACAGCAACTAAAGCAGAAATTCGTATCAGCGACACCCATTGCAAACGAAGAATATTTTCATTGAAGCACCCTGTATAGCAGAAACATTCGTCGGATATGTGAGGTTACCTTGGATGCTAACCTCGACATTCGTCAAAGTCGGGAACTTGATCGGTGAAAATATATTGTAAGTGACGTCCTTCTCAAACAAGATTGTCGAGTTTGCAGTATAATTTTCTAGTACAGCCAACAACCCAGGACTGTCATCGGCACCATTTGTATGTGGGACGGTCAGCGTCGACCAAGCAGCAGCACAAGCAGAGCCGGCCAAGAGGAATATAGAAGACAGCAGCATTATGAGTCTCCACTGGCCAAAGTTCATGAAACGTATCCAGATTATATAGTCGTGTTCAAGGTCAGAAAATTCCGAGGTAGAACCACAAATATATTGTTTCGTAAATCTGTACATGTGACGAGAAGACTTCGACGTTCCTCGTCATCCGGTTAGAAGTACTTGGCCGTTAAACATCTTATTCTCGCTGATCAGCACTACAGAAACGGGCCGGGAGGTTGAACAGGGATGATGATGACGCAGTCATCCATGCAGACATTTGGAACATCGGAAGATTTAAGCAAGCTACTTCGACATGAAAACTGTTGAGCGACATTCTGCACGTGAGGTGAGCGGACCGTCCAGCCGCTCCGACGGATCGACGGTTACACTTTACTACAGTATCCATTATTGGTTTTGGATGTCTAAAAACAAAATAGCACGTTGAGTGCTTGAAATGTAATAATGATAAGTACCATCAACAGATGAATGTTGAGGGCAAAAACAGAAACAGAAAAAAAAAGATCATCTACGCGTGCGTGTTGGACGCACAGCACAGCTCATTCACCAACTCGGAAAGACCGCAGGACACTCTGCAACTTCGCCAACATCTCGTCCCATTCCGCTTCGGGATCAGACAGTGCAGTAATGGCACCTCCAGCACCAACAAGCCATTCATCATGTCCTGTATTATCGACGTCCGTCGGATCGTTTTGAGACATCGGCTCGTCTTCATGCCTGAAGCAGCTGCGTATAATCACCGACCAATCACCTCCACCTCCAACGCACCAGTAACCCATAACGCCGGAATAGATTCCCCGCTCATCATCCTCGAGATCTTGCAGGATCTGAACACTACGTTTCTTTGGAGCACCAGTCATGCTGCCAGGTGGCAAGGATTTCCGAAGAACTTCCCATGCCAGTTGTTTGTCACAAACGAAAGGCTTTATGTCATCCAAGGATTCACCATGAGGATAAGCAGAACCCTCAATGACGCTCACAAGCTGCCATACTGTTTCATACTCCTCAATACCACAAAACTTCCTGACGTCGACACCAGTGCCTAGGACTCCATGCAAGTCATGACGGATAAGGTCGACAATCATGAGATTTTCACCAATTTCTTTCGGACTATTCAGAATCTCTGCCGCGCAATCTCTTGACATACCGTTTCCTTTCCTTACGGTACCTTTGATAGGTCGAAGTTGGAAGAGCTGTGAAGGAGGCCGAGAATACGACAGGAACCTCTCTGGCGAGGAGGATATCAGCGTTGATGGATGAAAGCGGATATATGCAGCATAGGGTGCTGGATTCGCTGATCTAAGCTTCTTGTAGATCTCCCATGATGATTGAGAAGATGCTACTGGGCTCTTGGGTACAAGCAACCGAGTGCGTGCCGTGAGACAGAGTTCGTACGACTCTCCCGAGAAGAGGCAGTCTTGTGCCTGCTTAATTCTCGAGATATATTTGGCCTTGTCAGGATAGACGACTGTAGTCTTCGAAGCAGACAAAGGGCGTTCCAAGCCGGAAGATTTACGAGTGATTTCTTCTCCCACAGCTGCGCGTTTCAATGCCGAAGCGGTGAATGCGAACCAATCGTCGTCCTTCGGCAAAAGGGATTGTATGGTGACTTCTCCTGTTTTCGTGTCAACGACAAGACTCCTTTCAACATAGACAAGGTTGACATCCGGAAAGCGCTTGTTCTCTGGATTGATCTTCCCATGTCCGCAGCGCAGTGTCTCGAAACCAAGCTCGTAGCTGAGGTAACCGACAAGTCCACCCCAAAACGGGATGGTAGGGTCACCGCCCAAGCCGTCCTTAGTTCGCATAAATGAAGCTAACCATGTCCAAACGTCGCAGGATCCCAAAGCAGATAGCGTGCGCCGCTTTCCTTGAATTAGGGTGACAAAATCGTCACCTACAAAATACTGTATCTTGAGTGAGTTAGGATGCATACATCCAATGATAGAGTATGATCCAGGTTCCGCAGCGGAATCTAGGAGTACAAAATCCGTGTTGGCCTTGTAAACCCCTAATACTTCGCATACTTGCGGTACCTTCAGTTGAGGAAGGGATATTTTCGTGGATGTCACTCGTTGTGGGTTGAACCTAAGGTGATGTGCGTCTCTTGTCCAAAACGCCGGCCAGATGTTAACAGAAAACTGTCTTTCCGCGTTGTCGTCCCATGTTTTGACCGGCCGTCTCGCCTTAGACCTCCATTCACAAGCAAGGCGCCAAAAGTTTCGTACTAGTTGTGGGCCACTTCCATCCGTACAAACAGATTCTGGATGATATTGCACACCATAGAACGGCTTCGTTCGATGCTTAAGAGCCATTGTGACTCGGCCATTTTCCGTACCGTCATCGGCCCAAGCTAGCTCGACCAATTTCGACGCATCACGAGGATCGACACAAAGTGAATGATAACGAACGACGGATGCTCCTTGTGGTATGCCCTCAAAGAGGATCTCTTCGTTGTACATTATACGAGAAACTTGACCATGTTTCACGACGTTCAGTCTTCGTAAAGATGCTCCGAAAGCGAGTCCAAGGCTTTGCATGCCGAGGCAAACGCCAAAAATAGGCATTTGCTTGTCCTCAGCTAAACTCCAGAGACTGTCCACGACGCCCACGTCGGAGGGTATTGCTGGTGATCCTGGTCCTGGACCGACCACCACAGCAGAAAAATAAGGTAGAAACGGGGCCAACTCGTCAAAGTCGAATTCGTCATTCTTTATGATATGAATCAGAGCCGATGGTATGGATTGCTTAAAGAGGGCTGCTAGGCTGAAAGAAATTGCTTGTTATTATTTGCACCTCGAAGAGATGAACGACTAACTTGTAGGTGAAGGAGTCATAAGAATCTATAATCAAGAATCTCGGTTGACCATGGGAGGTTTCCATTGGGAATTAAATTTAAAAAAAGAATGTTGTAGAATAAACAGGATGCAGAGAGAGAAGAATTCGTTAGTAGTGTGTTCTAAAGGCGGACATAACTGGTGGAAACAGACTGAAGAGTTGGCAAAACAAAATCTTTCGCCGATCGGATGAATGAGGAAAGTCTTCAGCTCAGCCAGAAACGATCGTCCAAGCCAAACCTTGTGCACACCCCATCAAACATGCCTTATTGCATCATGTCGTAGCTCATTCATAGATTGCATATCGCACAGATGGATCCGTATGACACCAACCAACAATTCATTGTCGTAGTGCACAAGCCCCACGTGCATCAGATGAAGCCTTATCCGGACGACGTACAATAAAAGGCATCTCCAGCATAAATATTTATATGACTGTCGTCATTTCATCAGCCTCAGCGCATCCCCACTGGGTTAAACACTTACCATGTCCAACAACGACAAATCCCCTATCACCTGCCACGGTACGTCTTAATGTCAGAACAGTCAACTGTCTACCGTCTAACATACTCTGCTTCCATAGTTCTTGACTCGTCGCTGGGCAAGCCTGCTCGTGGCGTTCAGGTCCAGCTGCAAAGACACAGAAAGATAACCGATTCATCGGAAGGAGAAGTCTTTGCCTTCGATCCCATCGCCCATGGGTGAATGCATCTGCCTATGCTGATTATAATCGCCATGTTCTAACGTGTATCTTAGAGAGACCAACGAAGATGGGCGGTGCTTGGATCTACTCATAGCGACTCGCGAATCTGTTGAACAACTTGCAATCCTTCGTGCCGGGCTTTACAAGATTGTGTTCCAGACAAAAGAGTACTTCGCGGCAACCGGCAGAGAATGCTTCTATCCCTGGGTTGAGGTAAACAACTGTCTTTACTCCTGCATACACTCTGGGGCTGATTATTGGACAGGTCGTATTTGAAGTGAAAGATACGGCACAGCACTACCATATACCTCTTTTGTTGAGCCCCTACTCATATACAACATACAGAGGAAGCTGAATGTTTGGCTGTCTCAATGTACATCTTCTTGCAGCTGTCTTAGTTCCCACAGGGTCCTGTAATATCAGTGCAATTGGCCATCCATCACTACATAACAATGAAAATGCGCGAAAGAAAAAAACGATAGCATTGAACTACTGATACTCCGAGCTTGGAGTTCGCAGAGCCTCTCGAACGTATTCACTCGACTTCTCCTTCGACTTCTCCCTGCTAATCGATTTCTCTTTGCTTACTGGTGCTCCTCGTACGTCATCATACGTTACACCATCAATAGTCCCACCGGTTATGGAGTACTTCACATTACGCACGAACTGCTCTCGGTCGCGACGGAGCACTTCGGCAGCATCTACGTTTGCGTGTTAGCCTCTTGAGATATAAACTCCGTGTATAATGGCATACCTTTGTTAAGAGGATCATCCGCGTTAGGTTCTAAGAATAAGTACTGTAAACCAACAAAGATTGAATTAAGATTGAGAACGGGTTTCCAGTCTTCTCGGAGGATGTTCAGACAAATGTTTCCGTCTAGATCGATGTTCGGGTGGTATATCTGGGTATTGATATAATTACTTCCAGTTTAATAATCCATTTTTGTGACTCACCTTTTGGGTGCACTTGACTGTTGGTACGTCGTGTGGGTAGGTTTCGAGGATTTTAAACCGGAATACGTATACACCGCCTTGATACATCCCTGTACATACAATTAGCTGGCCATTGCACCTTGGATACAGTGCCTTATACCTTCATCGGGTCTAATTGTCAGAGTGAAGTTCAATGGATCGTTCTCGTAGTCCTCCCAAGTCGGCTTCATCGTGGAATACTCCTCGAGCTCTGAGATGTCTGACTCGACAAGATCGATTCAATCATTCCCTTAATGTATCCAAACTTAATTTTACCTTTCTGAACCCGGATATGCCCAGCTGTTCTTTTACTTGCTCTTGGACTTGACGCCTCCTGTTGTTGTTTCTTCTTCACAGTCCAGATCTGCGTCATCGGCACGATGAGGACGGCGATTTGCGATATATAACGTATAAGGCTTACATTTAACATGGTGTATTATTGGTACCCGCAAATCACTGTCTCGTTGGTCTGGGGTGTGGTAGATACCACTTGCTCACTTGTGGGAGGCTTACTTGTAGAGAGGGAAGGACCCTTCGTGGTGGTCGGGTCGGAAGGCGCGGGCAGTGGCGTGAGGGTACGCCAGTCTCGCGTGTCAAAGACTTTGTGTCGGCCTACCACAGTTCACTTTGTGCCGCCACGCTTTGCTCTTACAATTACATGCCAAATATTTCCACAAGTACAGTTACTGTTCGAAAATGAAGATGATATTCAGCTTGGCGCTCAGGAATTCTGATGCGCCTTGAGGAATCATTCTACACGCACATTTCCGTCAGTCAGTAAATGAGCACATGGCCACAACAGTCAACTTCTCGCCGGATGGCACGCGCAACGACTATCCTTTCTATTTCTTACCATGACATTTGCTACATTGCCCATCGTCAGCCTTGATATCTTCCTGAACGAACCTCCTGAATCACAGGCGGTTGTATCGGAGTGCAGAAAGGTGATCGTGTTTGCAGCAATGTCAACTTGGCTGAACTGATTCTTTATCTGCATACACTCTGGATAGGCGGCTGATGCTCTCATCACATATGGAGCCTTGCTAGTCGAGGATTCCCGTGTCTCAGAGGACGACAATAGTACGCCGCATGCTTATTAGCTCTCTGTCCTCTGGCCTAAATCCACCTGTGTCCCCTAAGATGCCTTCCTGGACTTGATGGAGGACTACTTTGCCCAGCCGGAAGAGGCCTTGCGGAAGGACGAGAGACCCGAGCTAGGCTACCAAGTGGGAGTTACACTCGAAAATACCGAGAAGCCCAAGTGTGCCGTTGATGAGCCATGCCTGCAAGTTATCACTCGCCTTGACCCAGCCGAGAGACCATTAGACATCACCGGTCACCAACCTGATCCTAAATGTCGCTTCTTCTGGAAAATGGGCGATGTACCGCCGTATGAAACGAAATATCCCTCTCTTAATGCACCGAATGTTGTTCCTGAGAACGAGGAAATAAAGTCGAGATGGGTACCTACACTGGAAAAGTGGGGTAATTGCATGAAGAATGCGTAAGTTCAATATCATTCGGATATATCGCAGATTCCTCAACGGGTTTATTTTCCACCAGTGTAATGGGTGTTGCTGAAATGGCTGCTCTTGGTTTGGCTCTGCCACGCGAAACGTTCATTGAAGCAAGCCGCTATGGGTAGGTATTTCATTGTCTTGGATTCCAAATACATGACCTGATGTATTTGTATTCTGTAGTCCCCATCTTCTTGCACCGACAGCATCAGACCTTAAGAAATACGGACAGAAAGAGTATGATTCCCGCCATCCTGTATGTGCCAAATCTGGCCTTAAATCGTCCATGAAGTACAATCCTTGCAGGTTTCCACACAGACCTTAACTTCCTCACAATTCATGGAAGGTCTCGTTACCCTGGCTTGAACATATGGGCACGTAATACCGGGAAACGTATTCCTGTGAAATTCCCGCCTACCGGACGCTACCTCCTTGTTCAAGCCGGTAAGCAGCTCGAGCATCTCAGCGGTGGGCTTGTCAAGGCAGGGTACCACGAAGTTGTAGTGAACGATAGCACTTTAGAGGTTCGTTAATCTTTTTGTTCATCACGGATTCCTTTCTATTCTTTTCTAACTGAATAATGATATAGGTTACTGAGAAGAGGAAGCACAGCCATCCGGACCGTCCACTCATACGGATCTCGAGCACCTTCTTTTACCACCTTTCGTCCGATTTTGACCTTGATCCCATACCGTTGTTGGCCGATAAGGCAAGAGAATTGAGGGCACAAGCTATCGATCTAGGAACTGTGGCTGAAGATTCGGAATACCCGCCGATGAAAGTGGGCCAGCAGGTCCAAAAGTATGCCGTTCCAAACTATTTTTATGTTTTTGATGTTCTGACGAGCACGATAGTGAACTACGTCACATCGCTCTGATGGCCTGAATGGGAAGAATGAACTGTTTTATTTGATTGATTTGGAATGCAGACATATTATTCTCGGTTTGTTATTACACACAGGGTCTGATATGATCCCTTAGCCCTGTTTTATTATTGCGCTCACTGTGATAAAGATACACGGTGTTGGAGTCACAATACATATGAGATAAATTCCTTCAGGACATGTCCGTATGGAGCGGATAGGGGATAGCTCTAAGCGCTCACGTGAGCTCTGCCTCAGTCAATAAATAGCTCTTAGTCCTGGCATCAAGGTAGATCAAAACCCATACCCTTGCAACTATTCAACAAGATGTCCCAAAAGCCTTCAACATATATCGCTGTACGTACATACTGTCCATCCTGGCGTGATTAAATTTCCTATCTGGATTTTGAAGGACCATTCCGAGACGGTTCTACGCATCCACTCCGTCCGCACCGCTGAGAATTCATCTGGATACCTAGTAAAGTCAGGCTTGATCAAACCAGACTCTCGTATTCTCGATGTTGGATGCGGACCTGGAACTATTTCGGCTGATCTCGCTGATCTCGCTCCGCAAGGTCATGTCATCGGTATCGAGCCAGTGCCTGACGTTTTAGAAAAAGCTCGTGCAATGGCCTCTGAGCGAGGAATTACGAATATCGAGTTTAAAGTCGGAGACGTCCACGCACTAGATTTCCCTGACAACACGTTTGATATCGTACACGTCCACCAGGTACTCCAACACATCCCGGATCCAGTCCAGGCGTTACGCGAGATGCGCCGGGTGACGAAACCAGGAGGAACAGTCGCTGTTAAAGAAGGCGAGGTAGGAAGTATGATTTATTACCCCGATCCAGACGAAACAATACAGAAGTGGTTGGACCTTTATTTGCGCGTTGCGGAAGCGAAGGGCAACCAACCGCGTGCGGGCCGTCGACTTCTTTCTTGGGCTTTGAAAGCTGGATTCACACGCGATCAGATTACCTCGACGTCGGGTACCTATTGTTGCAGTGGACCTGTCGAAAGGACTTGGTGGGCTAACATGTATGCGGATCGTATGATAAACCCTCCCTTCAAGACGCATGCACTAGAGACGGGGTTGGGTACCGAAGAAGAACTCAATAAATACTCTGAAGCAATGAGGAAGTGGGGTCAGCAGGAGGATGGTTGGTTTGCAGTGATCCATGGTGAAATACTTTGCCGAGTTTAAAATCGTTCCATTTAAAGCAAGTCAATGATAAAAATAACGACATTACGAGGACCAACACAATATAAACGATTATCGAACGTCTGGATCCACGTCTGAATTATTTGACACCTTTTCTACTGACTCGCTGGGCCCGCTCTCGTCACAAACGGCATTACCAAGAGCTGGACCGGTGAACTTCTTCCTGCCCGTAGTTATCCATGTCAAGAGACTGATAGCGCCAATAGCTCCAAGCGCCGCAGATGTGTAATTCATGTTGTCCTTCGTGACAGGATTGACTGTATCGTATTAGTCTGGATAATGTATGGCGCAGGATAACAACGCATACCTTGGGGGAAGTTGAACGTAATAGAAGCGAACAGGAGGAACAGAAGGCCTATGACGTTAAGCAGAAGGGAAAATTTCCCCAACGTATAGGCGCCTTCTAGACGTCGATGATGGCCGGTAAGCTTGCTCAAGGCACGAGCGCCTAAAGGCGCGGCGTACGACAGGTCTATTATCATGAGTCAGAATACCCTTCATAAGTTTCGATACACACGTACAAAAGCCTTCCGTGCCGATCGCAATGACAGTGTTGAATCCAGTCGTAGTTCCAAAATCGATCGCGCAAAGTGCGAGCTGGACGGCCACGGCGAGCAAAAGGGCGTTGAACGGGATCTTACTCTTAGGATCCACTTTGCTCCAGAAGGGGGAGAAAGGCAGCCCATGGTCGCGAGCGAATGCGTACAGGCTTCGCGAGCCCTCAGCCTATTTAAATAGTAGTTAAGAATTATCGGTTACCCAAGCCCATCGTAGCATAAACGGAGAAAAAAAAGATGTCGCTCGTACCTGTAGAGCAGCCGCACAAAACAGACCAATTATAGTGATGAGAGTTGCAAGGAAGCAAGAGCCAACCGTTGATTGGGTAGAATCGAAGAATATCTGGATGAGGGGTACGCCGGTCGGTGTGGATGCCGTTGCATCAATATTACCGATGCAGAAGCATATAGAAATGAGGAAGATAAAGCCCGTTACAGCGCCAATGTATACGGACATAATGATTGCCTACAGTACGATTTAGCAATGGAACTGAAGGTATAACTAAGCCATCAGAACTCACCTTGGGGGCTTCTCTCGAAGCGTTCTTCATCTCTTCTGTCATATGAGCAGGAGCGTCGTAACAACACATCCCGAAGGCACTTTGCAAGATCTATGCCAAATCAGCTTTGAGTCCGGGAAACAAGGGCGTGCCGTACCCCAAGTATAGCAGCCATGGCGGGTCCGAAACCCGTGAAATTTTGAAACTCCTTGAAGACGAAACTCGCTCTTCGAAGTATGAGTTAGTATACCCCCATAGTGTCAAGCGAGTTATTACTTACGGTTGTTTATTCGAGTTGGTCGCAAGAACAACAATGACAACTATGAAGAATGATGTAATGTTCCAAATGATTGCAGCCTGCAAGACAATCTTAACCATTTGTTGTATGTACACAAATTTAGCTCAACACTATCACTTGCTTTGCTTATCTTTTCCAGGAGATGTGGTCCCCAGATATTTACAAATGCGGCAAAGAAAGCGACGGCATAAGAAACTAATACAATATGCCAACGCTCGATGACGAAATCCGGGTGTGTCAGGTTTACTTGACCTAGAATGAAGTTCGAACAGACGAAGTTATTCGTTGCGCCCATTGCAAGGATGCCTAGTGTTTATTAGTTAGACATCCAGTTATAAGCCCTTGGAAAGAACGCACCCGTAATCATGAGCCAGCCCGTCACCCAGCTAGCACCTCTTGCAATCTGAGAAGAATGATGCAGTTAGTGCTGTCATGGGCAAATTAAGCATTTGACTTGACTAACTTTGGGTGGGGCCAGTATATAAACCCAGGAATATTGGCCACCAGCAACCGGATATGAAGAGCATATTTCCGCCATCGAGTATGCAACTGCAAGCGTCAAGATTGAAATTGCAATCCATGAATAAATCATGACTGGAGGTCCACCAGCAGAGATTCCGGCAATTAGGACGCCTGCAAGAGCAGTCCAGCTACATGAAGAGTCCACAGCAAGTCAGGTCAACTTGAGGGGTTAAAATCTAGCTAAACAGTATAACACCTAGTGACTATGCTGAAGCTGAATCCAATCATGCCCAATAAGCTAAATGAGCGCTTCAATTCTGGGACCAGAGACGGTCAATAAACAAGCAAGTTAAACTTGGAGCAAAACATTGGATGTGAGAATCAAATACCTTGTTGGTACCCCAGCTTCTCGAGGTAAGCATCCTCGGTTAAATCCGCGGGTATGACATTTATGACGCCAATCGAATTCTTCTCCGATGGCTCCATCTGACTTCAGTTCGCGGAAGCAACAAGGAAGATAAGGGGAACGAGCAAGTTGGACACAAAGATCGTGTCACGTCTGGCCACCCTTATACTTATCCTTCGAGGGCCAAGGAAGCACGCGCTCGTGTGTGTGAACTTGCGGTGTCGAAAGACAATCAATTTACAGATAAGCGGCTTCTCTCTGGAGTATCGTTATTCCCAGAGAACGTTGCTCAATAGACTTTACGGGTCATTTGATTAGAGGTGACAAGTGCTTCAGAATGATCCTTTGGTCCCACAGACAGGCGTGTCTCGAATAAATCTAAAGCGGAGTGTGCATTTTCGCGTGTTAATATTCCAAAGGAAGTGCTTTACAGTTCTATTCATCAAATGCGGCCGTGAGAAGGAAATGGGTTCTGGTAATGATAGCATCAAACTCAGTGTCTGGCAGGCGCAAGATGGTGTGTTAGGTTGTTCAAGAACGAAGCAAATCCAAGGCACTCAACTCACCAATCTTGACTGTTCTGTTGTACCTCTCTAATACGCTCCTCAGCCATAGCGGCCTTCCAAAGAGCATGTAATTTTTTCCGGTTAGATTCTCTTGTGTCTGGGCCGTTTGCGACATCAAACATCTTGCGCAATAAATCCTTCCGTAACTGTACACTATCGACCTTGTCCTCTTTCTTCGGATCTTCCAGGCATGAATTTGACCGAATGTTTTCAAATGTTGGCTCATTCTCAAGCCGAGGGCGTTTCCTTTGTGGGGGTTCAGGTGATAGGACTGGCTGACGTTTCAGCGCAAGAAAGAGACGGTCGAGGATTTCATCATGAACCCGTTGATACGTCACGTTGGAGTTTGTTCGAGCCGCAAGGTCGAAGAACGGGTATAACAGGGGCGAGAGAGGGGCTGGGGCTGGAGCGCTTTCTTCCGTATCAGCGTCAGCGTCATCAGAGGGTTTGAGAACTTTGTCGAGTTCCACTAGGTAGATGTCCGCGAGGTGATATGAGAGGCTTGCCGGTATTCGGACATCCAGCGCACTAAACCAACTCAATTGTAACTCTAAATTATTAAGTCACAAAAGGACATACCATAAGGGACCACCCCTACAGGTCAAAATATCTTTGTATTCAGTAACAGCTTCTTTCTCCCATTGTTCTCGAAGTAATAGTCGGAAGCCTGCATTCACAAATTTCCGCACGAGCATATAATACTTGTCCATACTTCGAGCTTGTCAAAACACACGAAGACGGAAAGGGAAAGGCAAGCATACCGGAGCCGATCAATGCCACTCCATTCCCGCACTATAGCTTCCCAGAAGCCCCTAAGGAAGGACAGAGAAGCTTTCGCGGACGAGATTGATAGGACGATTTCCGCCAATTCGGTGGACAACGCTTGCTGGACGCGCGGCTTGTCAGACATCCAATAACCTGCGGCAAAGGTTTTAGACAGAGTGGAGCGGCCGGGATGGAAGACGTACAATAAAAGATTCCCTTCCATAACTTTGCCATCTCTGATCTTGGAAGTGCATCTTGGGCGGGGGTGGAGAGGAATGCTGCGAGGCTTTTGACCGCCTTGTCGCGTGTTTTCTTGTCTGCGGCATTGTCAGCAGTGGAGCAGTGGAGTTTATGCATCTCGGAAATCCTGACCTGTGGAAGCAAGATACTTGCCGAGAGGGAGGTCTGGAGCTGCTTGTTCGTCTGAGGACATGGTCAGAGTTAGAAGAGTCTGCACACCTGACGCGAGACTAAGTTCGGGGATCGGCGGCGTCGTACCGAGGTCAGGATTCGCGTTCCATGCCTCCTGCCATAACACGTCAAATTAGTGCCATTCATCTGTAACTCGTTCGCGCCCTCATCGGACACGTGCCTTGGCCGGAAGTCCAGTAGGGCAATCAAAGTGCATCAAGCTAGCGCCGTCCAGTGCGCGTATCATGCTAGCTGCCAATGGCGAAGACCACGGAAGCATCATGAAACCAATGCTGGCATCGGAGATGCCACCGACCGAACCCGTCATCCCCCCGCCTTTTGCATATATAACCAGCGCTGAAGATGCATCGTTTCGTGCACGTCAAGGTCTTGCTCAACGATGTCTACCTTAGAAAGCTCCCCACTGCTCAACCGTGCTTATCAGAAGCACTACGACCCCAGTAGCCCAATCCTCCATGAAGCAGAATCCACAATGGTCAATTCTGCTTCCGGTTTCTCAACAGCAAGCTCAAAAACCCAGGCCTTTGGCATTCAGCGTGAGTCCGCGCCCCGAAACTGGGTACCCGATCCCGAGTCCCGGGACGAGGAAGGCCGTGCGCGCACCCTCATCATGTGCTTCGATGGTACTGGAGACCAGTTCGACGACGACGTAAGAACCTCTGCGCGATTGTTATTTGGATAAATTTTGACGCTATCAACATTATTGCGCAGAACTCGAACGTTGTCCAATTTCTTTCCTGCTTAAAGAAAGACAACCAAGCGCAACAGCTCATCTACTATCAGGCCGGCATCGGTACCTATACAAACTCTGCGTTTGTAACACCCGTTACGAACAAGGCCAGTAAGATATTGGATGAGATGGTTGCCTGGAATCTCTCCACCCACGTTCAAGGTTTGTTGAGTATGATTGTTACGAGATCCCCGTCACTGACATCAGAAACAGAGGGCTATCAATATTTAATGCAAAACTGTAATATTTGTTTGACATATTTTCCAATTCGACAATGTTAACAGTTATTTTTTGTATTTCAGACAGAGCCGGTGATAAGGTCTGCATTTTCGGCTTCTCCCGCGGCGCATACACTGCCCGTGCTCTCGCTGGAATGGTACAAAAGGTATAACAGTCTCTCTGGGCAAGTAGCATACATCCACTAACATTTTTCATATTAATCCCAAGGTTGGATTGTTGCCACCATACAACCATGCTCAAATACCCTTTGCCTGGGCTATGTATACCAGAGAAGACAAAGACGGCCTCATCAACAGCATAGGTTTTAAGAAAACCTTCTCAACGGACGTTGACATCGATTTTCTCGGTGTATGGTTAGTATTCCCTCCACCACGCAAGTCCTCTATTCATGACGTCTAAACATGCGATTATGATTAGGGATACTGTCGCGTCCGTCGGTATCGTCGGCAAAGAACTGCCCTTCGTCGGCACGAACAGCTCTATTCGTGTTTTCCGTCACGCACTATCTTTGGACGAGCATCGCGTGAAATTCATGCCGAACTTCTACCATCATTCACCGGATTCCGACCCCAAATCAGCTGAGACTGCTGGCTCAGAAGCAATAACCGCTGTTCCGAAGACATTCTCATCTCCTGACCAGGGTGCCGTCAAAGTCAATAAACCAAAAGCGAAGAAAATGGGGAAACACCGTTCAGAAAGTGAGATGTTCGAGGCTACCGTTAATGCACAGAGTGGTGTCGATACCGATGTGCTCGAAGTCTTCTTTGCGGGATGCCACTGTGACATCGGTGGCGGCTCCGTGAAGAACGGGACTCGGAACTCGTTAGCCCGCATCCCGCTGCGGTGGATGATTCGTGAATGTTTCCGTGCTGAAACAGGCATTATCTTCGACAAAGACATGCTAAAAAGGAACATCGGTATTGATGCTGATATGCTTTATCCTATTGTTCGGCAACGTCCAGCACGTATTCCCGCTCCTTCCAATGCGGTTATTGCTCCAAGGGACCCCCAGCCGTCTGCATTCTTGGAGTTTTTCAAAGTTATTGGCGGGTTGATTGCCATTCCTTTGACAATCATCGCTCGTATTATCGCCTTCCCCATTAAACACTTTATGCTGCTACTAAAGTTCACGAGGGCAGGGAAGTGGGTACGGAATACGATTAAGAGTGGCTGGTCGGCTATTACGGGATTATTCAAGAAGGCTGCCGAAGAAATCAAGCCGGATGCCCCTGCTTCTCAGGACAACTCAAAGCAGTTTGTATCTGAAGAGGAAGAAGAACTTGGCGACGCGTTGCAACCTGATTACGACCAGCTTTCACTCGCATGGTTCTGGTGGATCCTAGAACTCATACCCTTCCGGTTCCGAGAACAGAAGGGCAAGCGTGACGACTACTTCGTGCGCGCGAACTTTGGTCAGGGGAGGAAGGTTTACGGTGACGCGAAGAAGAATGGGATCAAGGTACATAGGAGCGTGAAGACCCGTCTTGAGGTTGTTGATAAAAGAGGGAAGAGTGTTTACAAGCCGAGGGCGTGGTGGAAACATCACCCTGCGCCAGACAAGAAGGGGAAAAAGGTCGCTGGACCGGAGGTTTGGAATATTGACAACCCTGATCGATGGGAGTGGGTTGACTGATTGACTGACTGGCCGAGCAACTTGCTTGCTCGTCATTGTGGACGCTGTGGTTGTACGATTACGAGATTGTGTGTGTGTGCCTGCACTGACTTTGTTACCTACACTTGGGAAACCCCATGCCTCGCCTGGGTCTCACCCGTTAATTATGTTCATTGTAGTTATAATTACAAACTTTTTATCCTTACTATGGGAAACCTCCCCTCCCCCACCCCTAAAGTTAGCTAGCACTTTCGTCAAAATACCATTCACCAGACAGCACCTTCTACATCTGTAGTGTTCTATGTAATTGTCGTCAAGACACGGGCTTTTGAAATTTCATAAGTTTAGCACTGACTTGTTCGATCAGTCAAATGACTCGACACCCCAATTTTCCGTTGCCTGACACGGTACAAATGATTCACTAAGCATCTAGCATACGACAGCTTTTAGGAGTCATCTAGTCTCTCAGCTTGGTGGAATAAAGACAGTCAACTACTCTGAACTCAATTAAATTTCCCGTCATACTTTTGACTAACCAAGGAGACAAGGAGATGGGCGAATCGAACTAACGTTAAGTGTCCCCCCCCTCTTTTGAAATGAGACCTTCCCCGCATGGTTCAACTTGGTATACAGCATACAACAGAAACCGAACTAGTTATAACGATAAAGTACGAATGAACAGTTGAACAGTCCAAATAACTGAATAGTAAAATTGGTGGTGGTGTTACAAATCCGGCAACTCCCTCTGCAACAACCTCGCCCAAGTACTATCCTTCCACCACCCTTCAAGCCCTTCAATCCGTTCCCAGACATTCTCCTCATCCAGTCCGAAGATCTCGTACTTACCATTCCCCATGAGAGTGCCGTCCCGTTTAGCTACTTCGATCGCGGCTTTGTTCTCTCCGCTAAGTAAGTGAATAAGTATCTGTGTCAGAATGACGAACACCACAAGTAGTTCTTATAAATGAAGGGAAGAACGAACCTCAGAAGACTTAGTAATTCCTGCCGATCCGGAAAGAACAAACGAGACTCCAACGACGCCAAAATCGCGAGCGCAGCTCGGAACAGGAAAGAATCTCCCTCGAGGACGAGTACGTCCCATATTCGCGCACATGCCTCCAGGGAAAGGTGGTCGAGGAATAGAGGAATAATCCATTCGGGGAAATATGCAGCGGGGGAAATTTGGTGCTGCTTGAAATTAAAGTAAACTATGTGGTAGAGCGATTAACAAAAAATGGGCCAGAGAGTTCGAGAAGTTGGACGGACCTTTAGGCATACAGTCTGCTAAGAGAGTATCAAAAATACTGGACCCTTGGTAAGCTTAGGTCATTTGGGACTTGTTAAGATACATACCGATAATAAGCATCGACCTGAACAAATAGAATTTATTAGCATATGAGAAGCAGAGAATTATAAAAGCACTCACTTCTTCTTTACACGACAAGCCTCCATAAAAGCTTCGCATGCAATGCCGCTCTACCAGGTTCCTCATAGTCACAAATGCAGATGCCGGCTGCATATTGAGCAAGAGCATAGCAGCAATTTTGCTAGCACCCATCACATAACCGAGTCCTTCATCAGAACGTGAGACCACCCAGGCACAGAGCATATCTAGAAGGTCCTGATACATCGGCCCTGCCGTAGGAGTGAAGATGTGGAGCGTTGGTAGTGTCGAGCGAATATCTGCATCTATTAGATTCAGTGTCGTTGTCGGGAATGTGCCTGCAGCAAGGGCTCGGGATGCTCGAGCTAGACACGTCCGATATGTATCTGATAATTCCTGATATGAGTTAGAATACAAGACACTTAAAACCAAGATACTCGCCTTTACTTAATGCTAGATCATTTCCTACAGCTCTTTCCCACATCATACCTCGTAATTTCGGTGGAATGCCATGCCACCACAGCTTGCGCAACTTTGGATCTCGAACGGCATTCTTCCAGTCGGGTACGATTTGCTGCTCCCAAATACTCGTTGATTCCTCTACCAAACGCTCTCGCGCAAGTCGCCGTTCCTCTCGCAGCTTCCTCTTTCTAGCCTCTACAAGACAAACGAAACTTGAGAATGTTAGTTGGCAGACTAAATATAACGCTTACGAGCTTCTCTGCTTTTCTTCATCATAATTTCCCAGTCAGCTAGATGTTTCAAGTCCTCTTCCTTTGGCTTTGGAGGCAAGAATGTCGGCCTTGTCTTCGAGATGACCTTTTCGAGTGCACTAGGCCCAGTGGATTTACTGACACGATGAACCTGTGGTCGCGAGACCGCAACGCTAATTGGAAGGGATTGAGAGTTCGGGATGCCTGCATCCATTGAGGCTCTTTTGGGAGACGGCAAAGCTTCGGAGGTAACATTCGCGGAATCAGAGGGAGTTATTGGATGTTGTTGCGATGACTCGGAGGAGTTGTCTGAAAGGACCGTCACTTGTGAAGCAGGAGGTCTGGAGAGGTCGATGACGACCGAGGGAAACGAATGATGAGCACTGCCATCTGGACTGCTGTCTTCACCTTTTGGCGAAGGGGAAGCGTCTTCGTGATTCGGATGGTCTGCCTCAGAGCTATGTTCTGGAGTACCTGGGGAATGCGGAAGGGACACAGTAGCAGGATCGGGAGTGTGGACCGGTGGAGCATTAATATCGAGAGTGGATATAGACGTGTCGGTTTCGTTATACGAGGGTTCTATCTGTATATTTTCAAAGTTGATTTCCTCATCTCCCGCGAAGGGATGAGCAGCCGGTGCATTCCTTTCAAGTTCGCGGCGAATGGATTCGGAGGAGAACTCGAAGTTGTCCTCGCCACCGTCCGAGAAGGCTTCGTCTATGGAGAACCTACGCGAGTCGGAAGCAGCTCCGGGCTTGGCGCTCTTGTCGTCGTCCGAGTCCTGAAGGTGGCCTGTCTCCAGAGTCATTGCGGCTAGCAGGACGAAAGGATGGACATGAGTAGTAAGCGAGGGCGGGGAGAGCAGGAGGATGTTGCTACAGCACTAGTCAGGTCGAAAATGAATGAATTGCACTGCATTGCGCACTTGCACGCCGTTGCCGGATGTGAACGGTCACGATCGACGCGTCTGGTGCCGGAAGACACACACGGACACTGACCGTGACTTTCGACGCGTCTCATCTCCTCCGTTGCCCATGATCGCTGAAATATTACTTGTCCTAGCGGGTCATTCCTCGTCGCTATTCCCGACGGGGGATAAGCTCCACCAGGACTTTGTACCGTATCTCCATCCCGGCGAACAACATTGCCTCGTTGCTCTAGGTTGGCTCTCAAATGCGCATCTCAAGTCACAAGCATATATATACTGATGTCTCCGCATGTTTAACATTCTATCGCGCGTTCGTTAGGCCATATTGCCCTATCTTATCGAAATATAAAAGCAGCCTGCGCCAGATTATCTCAATCCCCCTCCCGGTACATATGCGCGTTCTGTGCAAAACTCAACGAAATTCTAAGGGACGAATACGAGGCACTCGTCGTCGAGACGGAAGCAAAGATTCTGCAGAAAGATGCCAGTTATGTTGGAAGAGGATCGTTCGTACCCCTAAGCGCCATACGTGCAACCTTTGCAGAATGGGAGACTCCTTTTATTGCAGTTGAATCATTGGTCTCCCAACTGGAGAAGGAAGGGCCATGGCCAGCTGGCAAACTCATTGATCTGCTTCTTGTCCGAGTAAGTGGTGTCGCAAGATTCTTGTTTATTCAATCTTACAGACCTTTAAATAGTCAGAGACTGGGAGTCATCGGGTATCATATATCATGTCCCGCCTTGCTGAAGCCGTGCAAAAGATTTGGCGGACACAACTATCCGCATTTTTGGTCCATGGGTCATTGTCTACCGTTGAGCCGCTAGCGAACGAGACCTACGCGCTTCACGATGAAGCTTTCCCTTCTCGAGTGTCGCCTTCCGCAAGGGAGTCAATAGTCTACGTCGGAAGAGCAATCGGAACTGTAAAAGCAATGAAATGGCACCGACAGATTCCGAGCACTGTGGCTCTAAGTCATGCAAGGCTGATTAACAGCGTACTCCCTCAAGATCAACATGCCTTTGAGGAAGTCATCTCTCAGATTCGAGCAAATGTTAGCGAATGGCTTTGGTCAAATGTATTGACAATGCCCGATGTGGAGGATGCTCTCGAGTCATTGTGAGATCTGATATTCTAATTACGTGTACCACTCTGATCATCGCATTTCGATCCAGAGCAAACTACTTCCTCATGCAAAATGGGGAATTTGGGCTTTCTCTGATTAGAGAATTTGACAGGTTAAAGAACTCCAGACTTACGGCACGCTCAGGACCAGGCACGCTCATCCGCGAACAAGACCTCCATCTTGCGCTTCTTCGCGCTTCGCTAGGTACTTCGGCTCAGCACGATCCAAGTCTCTCGCGCATTCGATTTCAACTGCCCAATGGACCCGTCCGCCCCCTTCTTCCTGCACTGAGTCAATCTACCGTCCCTACACTATCCTCGTCGCAATTGGGAGTCGAACAAGTCCGCTTTGATGATGTATTACTAGGGTATGTTGCATCTACTTTCAATTACTTAGAACTGTGTACTAATCGTGACTCGTTACCGCGTCAGCTTTCCCCTGAGAATGACATATGGAATATCGTGGCCCTTAGACCTCTTCCTCCAGACATCGGACCTCACGATATACGCGGAACTCTTCGCCTTCCTCTCATCTCTCCGACATGTACACACCCGTGTACATTCTTGCTGGGCTACACTGTCGAACTCGCAACGTGCACGACGTCGATGGACGGGCCTTGATGAAGGTGGAACCGCAGACTCGGAGGCTCGTAAGGAGCTTTTACGATGCGGATGGGGCGTTGTTAGACTAATGGGCTGGTTTTTGGACGTCCTCTTGGGTTATCTGATGAATGATGTTGTGGAGACAGAGTTCCAACGGCTGAAAGGACTACTCAAGTCCAGCGGAAACTTGGTAGGGAGTAAGAGTTCTGACACGATGCGGCAGTCGAAGTCTACGGCATCACAAGCACTTTCAGCGTCAGCGTCAAAAGACAACGTAGCCTCTTCGTCGAAAAACTTGGACTTCACGACTTTACGGAACCTGCATACGACGTACTTAGATCGGCTCCTTTCTGCGAGTTTATTGACGCAGCCTGCACTTGCCGCAACGATCCGTTCGATTTTTGATGTCTGCGAGCGATTCGTTGGTCTTGTGGAACGATGGGGTGACGTACTTCCGGGTTTACTGACAGAAGGCAGTATATCCGAGGGTGTTTCCGGCTCTGTTGGTCGACTTGTCAAGGAGAGGCAGGAAGTTGTGAAGGAGATTGATCAGGTATGTCTTCCAACGATGATTATTAGCTGTTCGCTCTTGTAACAAGCTAATCTTCGTATGCATATAGAATATCAAGGCACTCCTTGAGACTTTCTACGAGCAACTATCTTCGACGACTTCCCAGCCATTGAACATCACTGACGCATCCAAAAGTATCTTCATGAACGCGACTGTCGCGAATTTCTCGAATTCACTTCGAACGTCGGTAAGGGGAAGAACTAAAGGGATGGAAGGAGATGGCGAAACTCGACGACGCATTGAACGGCTCCTCTTGCGTCTGGACTTTAATAGGTTATTTTCTAAGCCTGGTATTGGGGAGATGGCTGTGCCGAGAGAGTCGCTGGACATCCTGAAGGAAGGTGGTCTAGCTTGAGATTTGGTGTCATTGAAAGAATATACTTCATTTCATATTTACTTTATTATATCCGCTGTATTTTATATCATGTACAGTAATCGTAACAGGCAATGAGAACAGTCAACATTTGCATGCAGCAGTAATTTTGTACCAATTACCAAAAAGTAAATAACTTAGCGAAGTGGAGAGGAAATGAATAAAAAATTAAGCCGGACGCCGTCGGAGTGCCGATTATCAGACGAATATTTATCGATCAACGCCCGCAACCCGTGCTCGTGAGCACATAGATACAGTAGATGAGTGGTGCTGCTGCCAGACGACTGGCTCTCGCCGCGCGTCAGCTCTCTGCTAGTGCATCTCGTTCTTTATCCACTATGTCATCCCGTACGTATCCCTTTCATATCTTCATCGGTACCTTTTATTTATGGCTTTTCGTGTCGTATAGCTTACACACCACGCAACGTTGGTGCTGCGAACACTCTTGGTGAGAATTAATATCACTCGCACGACACGCAGTGCCACCGTACCTGCAATCCAACTTCTAACTTCTAACTTCTAAATATCTCATACTATGATACTATGCAGAACACCGCGTCTACCTCCAACAAAACGGCAACATCATCTCATCCTTCCACGACATCCCGCTTTTCGCGGACCAAGATAATGGCATCTTGAACATGATCGTCGAAGTCCCGCGCTGGACGAACGCCAAGATGGAGATATCCAAGGAAGAAGCTTTTAATCCTATCAAGCAGGACGTTAAGCGTGGTAAGTTGCGTTATGTGCGCAACTGTTTCCCTCATCATGGGTATATCTGGAATTATGGCGCGTTCCCTCAGGTGAGTAGCTGTGTGTTGGGTGTAGCCACTCGTTGGGTGTTGAGTGTTGATATATTGTTGTTATCATTGGCTTGTGGTAGACTTGGGAAGACCCGGCGATTATGCATCCTGAGACCAAGGCGAAGGGTGACAATGACCCTCTTGACGTCTGCGAAATTGGCGAACAGGTTGGCTACGTCGGACAGGTTAAGCAAGTTAAAGTTCTTGGCATCATGGCGCTTCTCGACGAAGGCGAGACGGATTGGAAGGTCCTCGTTGTGGACGTTCAAGATCCATTGGCTCCCAAGTTGAACGACATTGAAGACGTCGAGAGACATCTTCCGGGTTTGATTAGGGCTACTAACGAGTGGTTCAGGTAGGAGACCTTCATTGTGCTTAATGTCATCCGTTTATCACGTTTGTTGTATGCAGGATCTACAAGATTCCCGACGGCAAGCCGGAAAACGCATTCGCATTCTCCGGAGAGGCGAAGAACAAGAAGTACGCCACGGAAATCATCCATGAATGTCATGAAGCGTGGCGTCGCCTTATAACGGGAGAGAGCCCTGCAACAACAGCCTCTTACGAACTCTCCATGTACGCCATTTACTATATCCTTTTCACATCCGTGAACGCTTAAACGACTTTTTCTAGTTCGAACCTTACTCAGGAGAACTCGCCAGGCGTGATCAGGATGAACGATCCTGGATACCTCGCTCTGCCTGCTGAGAGACGTGAGCCACCTGCTCCAATCGACCCATCCAGTAAGGTTTCTGCTTTATGCGAATGAGCTGCTTCTCAATTCCACTCGCTTCCAGTTAACAAATGGTTCTACATTTCATCCGCTCAAGTTTGAAGAGCCAAAGGCCTCCTGCAGGACAACAGGACCTTGGAACAACACGTCACACTCAAAAAGCTACTTTTTACTTAGGTCATAAAGCTATAGGAATGGATGTTGTTTCGTCCACTATGTTTAAGAAATAAAACAACGTGAAATTGCGAATGAGTATATATGTAGTATGGTATGGACAGGCCTAATGATACAGGTTACTGGGATGTGACAACTCAGAAATATCCACGGACTAGAGGGTTTCAGCTCTTTGTTCTATCTCCCAGTCCATCTGGTTGCGTTGGTGGATACCGACAATATTTGTCAGAGATGAAAGTGACTGTCCAGGTTCCTGTACGAACTAACATCAGTATCCAACTCAGACCATAAGTGAACACAGATACGAACCTTCCAAAGCAGAGTAAATCGAATATTCATGGCTCATCACACCTGACACCGTATGCATCTCAAGCACTTTACCAGGCTTCGCACCCTTCCGAGTCGGCCGTTCTGCACGCTGATAAGTGAACGTGAAGGGCGGTTCTCCGACAAGCGAGAACGTAATCTGTGCTTGTGTCCCTTCGTGGATATCTTCAAAGTATTCGCGACCAGCTGCAACTTGAGCCGCGGGTAGAGGGTGGACGTCGAAGTGGATATTGTCCACTGTTGTTTTGCATTGTTGTTGTTGGTGAGAGACGGAAGTGATTGAGAAGGGACCGGGGTTTTGGTGCACGAGTGCGAAGGGAGATTCTTTGACTACTTGTTCGTGGTGTTTGTTGTTGGCTTTGAACCTGAATGCGATGTCAATCCACTCGTCAAGGTGTTAAGAGCTTGAGATAGGCAACGTACCCGATAGTCCATGGTGGAATACCTTCAAGCTGGAATTGAGTAACATCACCAACACAAAAGTGTTCTCGTCGGTCAAACGGTACGATCGCCGCACTTTCAGCCACGTCAACCCAAATCGACGTCCTCAATGGATCAGGAACAGCCTGCATACACGACGACGCATCTCTCACAGACTCGATCGTAACCAAGTGCGGACCGATAGTACTGAAGAGATAATTCGGTAAGTTGACTTTCCATTGTGGTGTCCAAATCTCGACTGTTTGACGGTGTTCTTCACTCGCAGCGAGGTTCTTTACTGATAGCTCGAGGTGGAAGGGTGGCTTTCCGTCTAAGACGATCATGTCGTCTGAAGAGTACGAGTCTAACGGGACAAACGCATCTCCAAGACAATGTGATAACCTCGCTTGTTTCTTGAACTGTGCCGAAGGTCTGCCGATTACTTCCTGTTCGAATAAGAGACGTTCTTGACGTGGGATGACGTGACCACGATTTTGGTCGAGTGGGTAATTGGCATCACCGATTTGTTTGACTTCGTAGTACATACGACCTGCTTGAGAGGTGTAGAGCTGAAGGCGGGCGCGGGAGTTTATACTGCTGAGGATGGGCTGTTCGAGGATACGAGTCCCTCCTGCCTCGTTTCGAGTTGCAACGTTGTACCCGATTTGGAAGGGAGGTCGTCCTGAGGACAGTCATTTTAGGTATTGCTTAAGAGAGGAGAGAACGTGTTTGAACGCACCTGTCACGTCCAAATCGACGTGGTCTTCCTGTCCTTCACAGATCGGTGCACGAACATGAGAGCCGTTAAAGCTGTGGTATACCACTTCGGTCTCTGGGGAGAGCTTCACGAATGGGCGAGGTATCCAAGCGACCTTGAAGTCCGCTTCGCTTTCCACGATCGAGCCTGGGCATTGAGAATCTGACACATCGGTCAATCGATATGACCCCTTCTCTTTGACTACTAGGTAATCATTAGGGGTTTTCAAGATAGCGGTTCGCGTTGCGTTGTTTAATTCGGATAGTTGATATTTCACTTTCCATGGCTAAAATGGCTTCGTTTTAGAATATGAAAGCATTGAGGTGCATTCTGTTACTCACGCCCTCGCCCGTCAATCGCATCGGTAAACGAGCTTCTTGGCCCTCCAGAACAGTTGTTTCTCGGATTTGGTCCTTCGAATAGAATCGAGCATTTGGCTACATTCGTCAGAATTTGATTTTAGTGTCGGCGATGCATGTTTATAGACAGTAAAGCTTACCTTCACTCGGCGGACATTGACAGACAATCCTGGAACAGCGAGGTCTTTTCTGCACCCGTAGGAATCCTCGACATTAACAAGATCAATCTGGAACGTGCCGCCATATCGATCAATATCGGATGGAATGGGGACCGTGATCTTCTCTCGACTGTTCTTAAGGTCCTTTAAGCGTATTGTTTCTGATCCCTTAGGGCCAACTGCTTGAACTTCCAGATTCCATGGACCGTCTCCCTGGAGAATCGTTAGTTGCATGTACTTCGCGAGTAATCAGTCCAACAACTTACACGAAGGTCAACGTCGACGTCAACAGTATTTCCAGAACAGCTGTTAATAGACTTCCTGCTGCCACCTACGCTTCTGAAACTAGCCGATGCAAGCGGGTGCACGACCTGTGTGATACTAGGTCCTTCGAGCTTCACCCGTTTGTAGTTGGCATCACTTAACGAAGTGAAGGTATAAGTGTAATTGCCACTACTTTCTGGCTGGAGGGTTATTTCGCCTCTTGATCCCTGGAAAGTACGCGACATTTCCTTGGCCTGTTCGTTATTCCGCTTCTGTTGGTAGAATACTTGGAATGGCGGTTTGCCATGAAGGACAAGGTATGCTGAAACGCCCGTATCTCCAGAGCTGTAAGACCGTCAGAAACATAAGTCATAAAGAACAAATTACTCACCATTCATGGATTCGTTTCCAGTCAATTTTCGCAGTTGGATGAGGCTGAAGCACTACTCGACATGTTTCTGGACTGAGAACATCCCCAGGACAATATTGTCCCTTTACATCCAAGATTGAGTATTCTCCAGGTGCATTCGCAGTTAACGTAAGCTGGTGTCTTCCAGCAGGGGAACTGACTGTCTTCACCCATGGTTTAGGTGGCTTTTTCTCTGTAGTGTCTTGACCTGGCTGGAAATTTACTTTCACGTCCCATGGACCATCTTGGCTGTCATATTCGCGCGCAGAAATCGTCAGCTGCGTTTCCGAACCGATGAGAAGATCTGCAGGGTTTCCAGGTGCACAGTCTCTGAAGGACATTGCGGCACGCTTCAAGACAGAAACGGACCGAGTCGTCTCCTTCAACTGGGAGGCACTGACGTCCGGAGTTTCTCCTCTGCGAGTGATTGCTGGCATTAAGGATTGTACGTTACCGAGTCCATCAGAAAGAGAGTCTAGCACATATTCATGAGATCCTGGGACATCCAGTTGCATGTCGAGAGGTAATCTGAGATCATGAATTTGACCCTGCTTCTGTATAAGCACTGTTAGCTAGGAAAAAATTGCAGAGTTCACTGACACATACATCAGGTTCGCCTTCCATCCTATCTACAGAAAATACTTCTCTTCTGCCGTTTATGTATCTATGCCATCTCAAGTTCAGCGGCGGTACACCAGATACTTGAACAGATAGCTCTTCCTTAGAGCCAACACAACGAATGGCATTCCCCTTCACAAGACCATCGGGAACAAATGCTGCTCGAGGGCAAGGAACGACCTGGACTTCGCTGCGGAAGATGCGAGCCATATTCGATGTACTCATTTCTAGCACACGCTCGAGTTGTACGGTGCCCAGTTTATTCACTCTTAGGTACGTAAGTGATTGGGTTTCTTCAAGCTCCTTCTGGGAACCCTTCGGGTGATCCTGTATCTTCAGAATCTCTTCGTCCTCCTCGTCCCAATCCACATCGCTTTCCTCATCTTCTGTGGATGCAGAAGCCTTCGTTGACCGAAGAGTATCTAAACGCTGTTGCTCAATAGATCGCAATTCTTTTGAACTTAAGTCCACATAATCCACTTTCCCGTTCCCTGGACGAGTGATGCTATAGCGTATATGAGAGGGCTTCGTGTTGTTGAGGAGAACAGGAATGAGGACTGCGTTTGACGAAGAACTGAGACAGTATGATTGCCCGTCCGGATTTAACTTGGCAGTGCTTAGTACAGACAATGTCAATGACACTTTATCAAGATACGTGAGTGATAACGTACCCGGTAGGCGACATTCTGACGGTGTGCTCTCCCTTCAAATGGTCATCGCTGGACAATAAGTCTCGTAAGCTAACCAAACGACCGCTTGTAGACAGCTCTCTTCGATCTAAGTCGATTGAGGTCAGTCCACCAGTCATAACGAAAGCGTCAAAAAGGCCTACAGTAGTCCCTCGCAGACGAGGACAGAGAATATGAAGATACGCCGACCTAGAGATTGTTCAGTCATCAGAAGCATTATAAACGATTATGACCGTACTGACATGGATAGTCCCAAACAAGATTCCATTCACAAGCGAAAGGATGAGTATTTGCAATAGCACTGCTGTTACTGCATAGTTGAGCTTGGGGATTCGTAGGCGCTTGAGGATCAGGCAGTAGGAAATGTCGACAAGAATCCACTTGAGCGTAAGATTGACAGAGGGTTCTACAACAAGGCTGTAGAGCCAGTCGAATATTTTTATTGCCTGCAGTGTAAGGTCTTAAGTATCAACACAAATGTACGTAGACGTAGGTCTCATGAACACACCTGGCAAAGGAGTCCAAGGCTAACAATGTAGAGCCGTTGAGCTGGCGCGTCGACAATTGACTCTGGTATCAGAGGGCCCTTATGTTTTTCGATTGGATTCTTCACGGGAGGAGGATCTTTACTCGACATAGCTATGCCGAAATCTGCGAATGAGGTACGCGCAAGTCAAAATCTGGAAGAAACTGAATGATGAAAGACGAGCAGCGCGTCCGTGTCTGCAAACTGCTCACGTGTCGTCCACACGTGCCGACGCGTTTTTTGTGTCGCGTCCGGCTCGGACTCGGAGACTCGGACAAACAACGGATCATCTTTCTCATAGAGCGACGAGGCTCTCTATTAAGCTCAATGGCTGCCTCTCGCATTGTAGCAAGCCGGCTCAGACAGCAATGTCTTACTCGACGTTGGATGAGCTCGTCTGCGAAAGCACTTTCAGGTCTCAATCCGGTCACGGAAACCGACTTGGCTCATTTTTCCCGAATACTTCCAGATTCCGCTATCCTCTCTACTCTCCCTTCTAAGCGTCTTTCATCTGAGGACCTCGCTACATATAACACAGACTGGATGGGGAAATACAAGGGCAAAGCAACTACTGTCCTCAAGCCTAAGACAACCGAAGAAATCAGCGCTATTTTGAAATGGTGCTGGGATAAACGCATTGGCGTTGTCCCTCAAGGTGGCAACACTGGGCTGGTTGGTGGTAGCGTACCAGTTGGCGATGAGATCATAATTAACCTGGGCAACATGTCCAAAGTACGATCATTCGACCCAGTGACTGGTGGGCTCTAATCTCGCTGTGCACATGATTTGCATCTTAAGTATTTTTAATTGCAGGGATTCTAGTGGCAGATGCTGGCTGTATATTAGAGGCTTTGTCCGAACACATTGCTCCTCATAATCACGTAATGCCTCTTGACTTGGGAGCTAAAGGCAGGTAAGCCTGATAGAGTGATTACTCATGTTCATGCTAATATTGTTTTCAGCTGTATGATTGGTGGGAATGTAGCAACCAATGCCGGTGGCTTGCGGGTCCTACGATATGGTTCCCTACATGGCAGTGTGCTTGGGCTTGAAGTGGTTCTTCCGGATGGTACCATTCTCAATCAACTTTCGGAGCTCCGGAAGGACAACACGGGTAGGCACATACATTGTAAGGTAGCATGCATAACTCACGTGAATTAGGTTATGACTTGAAGCAGCTCTTCATCGGTGCTGAAGGAACCCTCGGTATAATAACCGGCGTTTCCATCCTGACGGCGGCGGCTCCTCGCTCGTCTAATAATCTGTTCTTGGCTCTTCCGTCTTTTCAGAATGTCCTTCCTTTATACACGAAGGTCAAGCAGCACCTATCCGAGATACTGTCAGCCTTCGAATTCATCGATCGCAAGTCCTATGACCTCGCGGTGAGGCACGGTCAAGGCAAGGCATTGGCTGACGAGGAGATCGAGGGTGCGGAATGCTTTGTGCTCGTGGAGACAAGCGGTGGAAAGCGAGAACATGACGAAGAGGTTAGACCGATTCTTGACTCTCGGCGCAGAATTCCAATCTTTTGCACACACAGAAACTTAATGAACTACTAGAGGTCCTCCTTGGATCTGAGGAACCATTAATTAACACGGGAGTACTGTCACAATCTCCCTCACAATTCGCGTCAATATGGGGGTTGCGGGAAGGCATAACGGAAGCTATATCCAAGGAGGGAAAGGCGTACAAATACGATATCTCGATTCCCTTGGGTGCTTTCCAGGAAGTCGTAGATAAGACTCGAGACCAGCTGCAGAAGAAGGGCTTAATACGTAAGGGAGCAGTGCGAGACGTTGTTGGCTTTGGCCACGTAGGTGACGGTAGGTTTTCATTTTCTGTTCTGCACTTCGATTTTTTACTAGAGTGTTTGTAGGAAATCTGCACTTAAACATCGTCGCGGACCAATATTTACCGGAAATTCGAGATGCATTGGAGCCATTCGTGTACGAACTTGTTGGTAAGTGCTCAGCCATGTGTCATAAATCCTGCACTTCTCATTATCTCTGAGCAGCAAGCTACCGAGGCTCCGTCTCCGCTGAGCATGGGATCGGGTTGATGAAGACGCATGCTTTGCGGTATTCGAAGGATGAGGTTAGCAGGGAATGGATGAGGAAAATAAAAAATCTCTTTGACGAAAGGGGCATAATGAACCCAGGTAAAGTACTCGACTAGCGCTAGAACCGGGACTTGTAGCACTTGTAAACGTATCTCAACGTACGTTCTTGCATATGAAATAGCAGCACTAGAACACAGTCGACGGTAGAACTTGATTTACTAGAGAAACCTTATCACGCCACAAGCGGATGTGGCCCGAAGTGGAAAGAAAGTTCTCACAGACTATGCAGGACTGGAGCAAAAGCGGAGATTCACGTCCAAAGGGAGTGAGACAAGGTCAGCCCAAAAGCAAACCTGAACCCGAACCAAACCCACCAAGGAGCATCGAAATGGTAACAATGACCTTACAATACTGCTGGTACAAGGTCTGACCCGCTCTTATCCGTCCGCTTAGATCTTCCAACAGCACGACGGCACACCCATCAAGTTCTTCCTACAGAAGGACATCCCCTATGACGAACGAATAGCGCTTGAAGCGGCTGTTCGGGTGCGTGAATTCATCCCTTTGGCTAGGTGCTTTAACCCACATTTTGTCCCTTTTGTGCGCAGACGGAAGGTGGAATTATTGCAGAGAAAGTACCCATTCGGGGATATGTCATTGTGTTACCTGGCACGGCAGAAGCTGAACGCCTGCAGACGGAATGGCGAGATGAGGCTCGTCCGCACAGGTTTTTCGTGGCTACGTCATGGGTCCAGGCATGCAAGGAGACCAGGCGACTAATTCCACAGGTATTCACCAGAGATGGGTATCCTATAAAGATTCACGTCCACAAATCGATTTCGAACGTGCCTACGAGAAACGCTCTTTTTGAAAAGATATCTGTTCGTTGCTGTAATATTTTCTTTGTTTATCCCGCCTCTAACGTTTAGTCTCTTCTGCCTATGTAGCTTCATGGTGGAGACCCAGATGTTTCAGCCGACGAGGCCAGCGTCATTGTGGCAAGTGAGGACAGGGACGTATTCAAAACGATGCGCAAAAATTTCCAAGACAGCGAAGACAAATTTGTCGAAAACCTGAAGTGGTTGGATATCTGCATTGGACAGCAGATCTACTACAACACGCCTACTTCGACACGAAACCCTGGTGGAAGACGAACTGGTGAAGAGTGAGTTCACAAGTGGTTGGAGGTTTTATTTTCTCTCGAGACACACTGATTATTTCAGTTGCAGACGCATGCCGTTTACCGAAGAGGACGAGGCAAACCTCTGTAATTGGATTGCCACAGTGATTCCGTTCAAGGAATCAGGTGGTCGAACAGGAAATAAAATTTATATGGAACTCGTTGGGAGAGTAAGCCACATCCTAGGCTAATTTAATTTCTTTTAGCTCATGACGTTTGCAGGCTGGTCAGCCGGGCTACGAATGGGTCGCAAGACATACATGGCAGTCCTGGCGCGAGCGATACAAAAAGAACTCCGAGCGACTTGATCGACATATTGCCGCAATCGTCAATGTCGGCCAGGCGAATGGAACTATCGTCCAGGACAGAGCTCCATTCGGGTACTTCAAGCTCACGGAAGGTCGACGAAGCCAGTCTCGGCGTCGCAAGAGACAAGAAAGTGAAGGAGCTATTGGGGAGGAACTGAGCAGAGAACCTTCACGCGAGATCCATTCAACGCAGACGCAGGACGAGGAATGGGCTATTCGTGAGGGAAATAACCCCACCCCCGACTGGGCAAAGCGCAGTTCACAAACGGTTGTCGATTTCGCCGAGTCGAACTCGAATGAACATAAACGTCAGAAAGTTAATGATGCTACTTTCCGAACATTCGTCCTTGCCCCTGCCAACGAGGCCCCCTCAGGACCGTCGTCGTTCTCAACTGCTACGGAATTCGCTGCAGATTTCGGCCATCATGGACCAGTGGTTGACCCAGCAGAACACGAGATTTTAGCTATCGCTCGGGACCAGCGATTCCTTGCTGACGAAGTACGCGCTTATTATCAACGTAGTGGAGATCTCATGGTAACTAGGCAGCGTTTTGAAAGAGTTCGCGCTCTTATTGATAATCTACCATAGTAATTCCTGCATTGTAATTAAATGCATTATAATACAAGTTTGTCCATAATCAAAGCAGAACAAAGTTTCAGATAAATATTATTATTAAGGCAGATCCAAGTCTGTCAGTAGTTGGTATTTGGCCGCTCCATGAGGTGCAGCTGGACTGTCCGGCTTCTTTCGCGGCCTAATTAGTGATGGTTAGTAAAAACCATCGCTGGCAATAACGACAAATGTACTTCTCGCCCGCAGCTACGGAAGGGAAAGAACTGAATAGGTCTGGATGTTTTGGAAGAGGCGATTCGCTATGAGAAACATTAATATGAGTAAGAGACGGTCGCGGACACTTTATCTGCCAGACATACCTGAAATATGGATGCTGTAGAGCCTCTTCCGCATTTATACGTTGATCTGGATCGTACGTCAATAATTGTGACAATAGGTCAATTCCTGCCACGGTCAGGTACGGGAACTTTTGACGGAATTGAGGTGCATGAGACATGGGCAAGGATATCGTTTTCGCGAGTGGAAGGCTTGCATATCCCGGCCAGGATGATGATGTCGGAGGGCCGAGCATCTTGAATATCAACGATAATTGCTCGAGTTCATTCTTGGCTGGAAATATGGGTTCCTTCAAGAGAAGCTCTCCGAATATGCACCCGACGGACCACATGTCGACAGCGGTAGAGTACGTTGTCGCGCCAAGAAGGATCTCTGGCGCTCTGGTTCAGCGTGTTTAGTGACAAATACCACAGAAGAAGTAGCAGTGAAGACATACCTATACCAAAGAGTAACAACTAGTTGTGTCATACCACCTAGCCCAACGGGATCTCCATATCTCCGCGCAAGACCGAAATCCGCGACTTTAATTGTTCCACGGTTATTCATCAACAGGTTGCTCGTCTTCAGATCGCGATGAAGAATCCAGTTTTTGTGACAATGAGCCACTGCCGACAGCAGCTGTCGCATAAGCGTTTTGATCTCGGATTGGAGAAATGGTTGAGGCATGAGAGTGAGCAACGATTTCAGATCATGCTCAATGAAGTCCATGACGATGAACACTCTATGCCAATCCGCATTGTAGATATGCATGCCTGTGTGATGCCTTTTTGTCGCGGTACGGAATGAAGTGACGACGCACGCACTGAGTTAATGTTTCTCCTACGACAATCTCTCGAATACCAACGACGTTGTCATGTTTGCACGCTATAAGCGCGTTTATCTCGCGCAGAGCGGTGATAGGAAACCCATATTTCTCCTCGTCGAGCTTCAGCTTTTTCAGAGCAACTATGTCACCCGTTTGCTTGTCTCGAGCACGAAATACCACGCCGTAGGATCCCTCTTCGATTTGGTTTAAGCGTTCGTATGAATAGACGGAACGTGAAGGAATAAGGGGAGGATGATGAGTGCGCGGCGGAACGGATCTGCTGTGCGACGGTGCAGTTCTGCTTGGGATATTTGGAGGACGGTTCGACGCTTGAGCTGGTTCAGGTTCGTGGACCCTGATATTCTTGACTTTTTGTCGCTTTTTAATCAGCCCTTGCTCTGGAGTACTGCTCTGTGCCTGGTTTTCTTCTACATCCCACTTGGATCTCTTTCGTGAGTTTGGTGTCGAGGGACCTGCGATGTCGGACATGGAGGCAGACGAAGTCGAAGAGGTAGAAGTTAAAGAATTGAACGCGGCTTGAGGCTCCGGAATCCAGCCAGATAAGGCAAGCGAACCGGTTCGGCAAAACAACTAACCGAATCCACCACGACTGAAAGTATAAATGGTCACTTGTCCATTGTATTGATACGGTTCAGCACTCAGTTCTGTCTCACAAGCGACTCTCTATCAAGCTCAGTGAACCATAACGCTACCTAGTGCTTAAGATGTCCAGTACTCCAGACGTATTTCCGGGTAAAGTGATCCTGGTTGCGCATGTACGTTGTGGTTGTCTAGAGTATGTCTATATGAATTCGCATTGACTGCCCTTTTTAATACCCGCAGTTACACTCCCAGCCAGGCAAGGGAGACGACCTCCAGCGTTATCTGACAGCAATTCACAAGTTCGCCAACTCTGACCGCGAGCCTGGGTGCCTCACGTTCCGCACGGCCAGGTCGGGTGATACATTCGTTGTCTTTGAAGAGTACGGGCAAATGCACTCTGTACACTATAGGCGTATCTCATTGCCGTTATCTTCGCAGATACACTGACAAGAATGCTGTGTCCAAGTCAGTTTTCTTCCGTTGATCGTAAATTAGACTAACACTATGCTTGTTAGACACTTTGAGAGCGACCAGTTTAAAGCCCTAGCAGGAGCCATTCCTGAAATTGCACTCGGAGTGCGTACTCCCACATACCTTACCACGAAGTCATACATGAGTACTCATATTACATACAGCCGCCAACGCTGACTTATTTCGAAGAGTTCAAGAGCCAGTGAGCAACGCCATATTAAAAATATCAGACGAAGGAACAATTTAAAATAAAGGAACAATATGTAACATTGTGTATTATTCCGTGGAATCTGTGAATATGAGAGATATTGTTATTTCCTGTAAATACTACGCATTAGACTTCACACGGCTTCAGTGCTACTTTGCATCGAGTATGATGAAATGTCCAAAAACAAAGAGACGATCGTCACATTATCCAGACGATGAGGGGCTAATACTTAACGAACAAGTTAGTATGATAGTAGAGATGTTGTCTTGAATTAATGTCGAAGAATTAAGTTGAGGTTAGGTACAGTCTGTAGTCGCTGTTCCGTGTAGTTACTAGCTACTTGTTAAGGCACCTTTCGCATCACGTGTGAGAATTACGCAGCATTTCGAGTAGGGACTGCAGCGGATAAGGCTATCCGCGGTGTCGTACCGCGGTTGAAAAATTCCCACGGATACCACATCCGCGGATAACTTTCTCACGGTATCCGCGGTTTTTGCACATCCGTCAGATGTATATAGAAATCAAATACATCTACTGTAGACATTCATAACTTCCAAGTATTAGCATTCATTAACTAAAAAAAGACAAAAAAATTCTACTATGTCTCAGAACTATACCCTACACTCCTTAAATTCAATATTTTTCCCATCTTACAACATGTCCTTGTCTGACGAGATGTGAGTCATGTGACAGCTGTCTGCTTGTTTGTTTTTACAGTAACCATTAACAAAATGACACTCTCTACATAAGTAATGGTTGAAGTATATTATGGTCTCTGGCAGGGGTGTTAGGGTTATATGAGACATTGA